TCGCGGGCGCATTCGTGCGGATGCCTGACGTTGCCGTGCACAAGAACCTACACGGCAATGTCTTCGCGCGCAACCTGGACCGTTCCTTCGGCGAGGAGCACTACGCGGTCTACGCGCGAACGGCCTTCTCGTCCTCGCAGGCTTACTCGCTGGCGTTGAATGTCTCGTACGATTCGAAGATCGTTGTCCGGATGAACGGCATCGAGGCATTCGAGGACAACCCCAGCTCGTCAGAGCGCCCCGAGGTGTTCCGAACTGTCGTCATGCCCGTCGCTGCAGGGGTGAATGTCATCGACTTCGCCCTTGCGAATGACGTCGGGCCCGGCTACGCCCGTTACGCGCGCAACCTGTGGAGCCTTCCTGGTTTCACGCCACTGGATCCTTATGCGACCTTCGACAGAGATGCGGACCCAGACGCGAGCGGGCTGTCCCGTGAACCGATCATCGGCCCGAATGCGAGCAGACCCGGCGCGACGGTGGTGTGGAAACGCTGGAGCTGGCACTGTGTGCCCGGAACGGTGACAACGTCCAACTTCCAACACATCTCCCCGGACTCGAAATTCATCCAGGTATCGAACATCAGCACGAATCTTGACAATCCTGTGTATCTGTGGGAGAGGGAGCGCGATGGCTTCAGTGGTCGCACGTCGTCGACCGCAACACTGCCACCATACCCTGGGTGGCCTGCATGGTGCCCCACTCCCACCCCCGTCCCGACCACGACTGCCCCGCCCACCACCACTGGACCCGCCACGACGACTGCGCCTGCAACGACCGCTCCCGCCTCTGGCACCTTCACGCGGGTGCCGTCCGAGACGATATTCGCGACGCTGGGGGCGCTGACCGGCAACACGACGGCGGACCTGGCGGCGATACGCGCGGCGGGGCTGACGGTGTTTGCGGTGCCGAAGACGGACAACGTGGCGGAGGCGATTGGCAAGGCGGCGTCGACGAGCGCGCTGGGCGAGGGCGAGTACGACTGTGCAGCGATCAGCGAGGACCACTGTGGGGTGTTTTACGGGGTGTTCTTCCAGGGCAACGCTTCCATGGTGGTGGAGTGGCAGCTGGGCAACTCGACGGACATGACGGGCTACTTTGAGCGGTACGCGACGGGCGACACGTACTCGTACAAGGTGTACAACCCGGGCCTGGGGGCGGTGACGAAGGTGTCGAACTCGTCGGTGACGCTGAGGATGTCGCTGTCGGACGCTCAGGGGTGGGAGGGAGCGTGCCCTGCTCAGCTGTCGTCGAGGGACGGCGCGTGGATGGCGAGCGACACGCTGGAGCTGCTGGAGGGCAACAGGCCGGCGTCGTCGTTCGGGTGCGGGAACGACGTGGACTGCTACGGGTTTGGAAACTTTGCCGGCACTGACTCATCCGCGAACGTGCTGTACAACGGGACGAACGCGACGACTGGGGACGTGAAGGCGTACATTGTGTTTAAGGTGCGTGGGCGTGACTGCGTGCGTGCGTGGGCGGGACTGCGTGTGCACGTGTGCGTATGCGGGTGCGCGCGGCGTGTGCTGCGTGGTGTTGATATGCTGGGGAAAGCAATGAGTGGGTGCTGCTGTTGCCTTGCGGTGGTTTGCAGGAGTACTCGAGCTGCGGGACGCTGACGTCGTCGGACACGATATTCGCGACGCTGGGGGCGCTGACCGGCAACACGGCGGCGGACCTGGCGGCGATACGCGCGGCGGGGCTGACGGTGTTTGCGGTGCCGAAGACGGGCGACGTGGCGGAGTCCTTGGGCAAGGCGGCGTCGACGAGCGCGCTGGGCGAGGGCGAGTACGACTGTGCGAAGCTGGCGAGCCGGCACTGCGGACAGTTTTACGGGGTGTTCTTCCAGGGCAGCGCGTCCATGGTGGTGGAGTGGCAGCTGGGCAACTCGACGGACATGACGGGCTACTTTGAGCGGTACGCGACGGGCGACACGTACTCGTACAAGGTGTACAACCCGGGCCTGGGGGCGGTGACGAAGGTGTCGAACTCGTCGGTGACGCTGAGGATGTCGCTGTCGGACGCTCAGGGGTGGGAGGGAGCGTGCCCTGCTTCGCTGTCGTCGGACGACGGCGCGTGGATGGCGAGCGACACGCTGGAGCTGCTGGAGGGCGACAGGCCGGCGTCGTCGTTCGGGTGCGGGAACGACGTGGACTGCTACGGGTTTGGGAACTTCGACTCAGGGGACTATTCCGCGAACGTGCTGTACAACGGGACGAACGCGACGACTGGGGACGTGAAGGCGTACATTGTGTTTAAGGTGCGTGGGCGTGACTGCGTGTGCACGTGTGCGAGTGCGTGCAGCTTGCGGCGAGACTGCGGATGCGTGTGTGTGGGTGTGCATGTGTATTGTTTTTTGTTTCCTTTTTGTTGGACGCTGCATGTGGCTGGTCCGTGCATCGACGGTGCCGGGGCGTGATGACTGCAGGGGTACGCGAGCTGCACAGGCTCGGGCACGGCTACGACCCCTCCTGCGCCGGCTACGACTGCTCCTGCTACGACTGCTCCTGCTACGACTGCTCCTGCTACGACTGCTCCCGGCTCCACCCGTGTGCCGTCCGAGACGATATTTGCGACGCTGGGGGCGCTGACCGGCAACACGGCGGCGGACCTGGCGGCGATACGCGCGGCGGGGCTGACGGTGTTTGCGGTGCCGAAGACGGGCGACGTGGCGGAGTCCCTGGGCAAGGCGGCGTCGACGAGCGCGCTGGGCGAGGGCCAGTACGACTGCAAGGCGATCTTGGAGGACCACTGTGGGGTGTTTTACGGGGTGTTCTTCCAGGGCAGCGCGTCCATGGTGGTGGAGTGGCAGCTGGGCAACTCGACGGACATGTTTGACTACTTTGAGCGGTACAAGACGGGCGACACGTACTCGTACAAGGTGTACAACCCGGGCCTGGGGGCGGTGACGAAGGTGTCGAACTCGTCGGTGACGCTGAGGATGACGCTTACGAGAAACCAGCAATTTCCAGGATGTCCTGCTCAGCTATCAGCGGACGACGGCGCGTGGATGGCGAGCGACACGCTGGAGCTGCTGAATGGTGACAGGCCGGTGTCGACGTTCGGGTGCGGGAACGACGTGGACTGCTACGGGTTTGGAAACTTTGCCGGCACTGACTCATCTGCGAACAAGCTGTACAACGGGACGGACGTGACGACTGGGGACGTGAAGGCGTACATTGTGTTTAAGGTGCGAGGGCGTGACTGCGTGTGTGCGTGTGCGTATGCGGGTGCGCGCGGCGTGTGCTGCGTGGTGTTGATATGCTGGGGAAAGCAATGAGTGGGTGCTGCTGTTGCCTTGCGGTGGTTTGCAGGAGTACTCGAGCTGCGGGACGCTGACGTCGTCGGACACGATATTCGCGACGCTGGGGGCGCTGACCGGCAACACGGCGGCGGACCTGGCGGCGATACGCGCGGCGGGGCTGACGGTGTTTGCGGTGCCGAAGACGGGCGACGTGGCGGAGTCCTTGGGCAAGGCGGCGTCGACGAGCGCGCTGGGCGAGGGCCAGTACGACTGCGCGGCGATCAACAAGGGTCACTGTGGGGTGTTTTACGGGGTGTTCTTCCAGGGCAGCGCGTCCATGGTGGTGGAGTGGCAGCTGGGCAACTCGACGGACATGCTGAGCTACTTTGAGCGGTACAAGACGGGCGACACGTACTCGTACAAGGTGTACAACCCGGGCCTGGGGGCGGTGACGAAGGTGTCGAACTCGTCGGTGACGCTGAGGATGACGCTTTCGAGAAACCAGCAATATCCGTTATGTCCTGCTCAGCTATCAGCGGACGACGGCGCGTGGATGGCGAGCGACACGCTGGAGCTGCTGAATGGTGACAGGCCGGTGTCGACGTTCGGGTGCGGGAACGACGTGGACTGCTACGGGTTTGGAAACTTTGCCGGCACTGACTCATCTGCGAACAAGCTGTACAACGGGACGGACGTGACGACTGGGGACGTGAAGGCGTACATTGTGTTTAAGGTGCGAGGGCGTGACTGCGTGTGTGCGTGCAGCTTGCGGCGAGACTGCGGATGCGTGCGTGTGGGTGTGCATGGGTGTGTCTTGTTTGATTCTTGCACGATGCATGCGGCTGGTCCGTGCATCGATGGTGCTAGGTCGTGATGACTGCAGGGGTACACGAGCTGCCCAGGGGGCTCAGGCACGGCGACGACCGCTCCTGCCACGACGACGGCGGGACCGACAACATCGCAAGGTTCAACAACGCCGTCTCCGACGACGGCGGGACCGACAACACCGCAAGGTTCAACAACGCCGTCTCCGACGACGGCGGGACCGACAACGCTGCCAAGTCCAACGACGCTGTCTCCGACGACGATGCCGCCCGTGGCTCCTGGCCAGTACTCGCTGCTGTACTCGTCAACCAGCATCTACGTCCCGCCTCCTGCCTCCAAGCAGGTCACGTTCCAGCTATCGTACGAGGATGTCGTCCTTATTCGGGTCAACGGATCGGATGTCTACGTCGATCGCTCCGACAGGAAGTTCCTAGACGACTACTTCAACTTCACGTTGACGATCCCGCCCGGAACGACGTCGCTGGACATCAGCGTGATGTACGACAACCTGCAGGGCCGGTACGGCCTCCTGCTTGGCGCGCTGAAATCCGTCGAGGCGCCACAGTCGCCTGGAAGCCGACGGCTCGCGCCCGCGGTGTCACCTGTCACCGGCATCGCAGCTCTTCCATCGAAGGACGGCAGGAAGCTCAGGTCGTTCGTTGATACCCCACTGGACCCGCTTCCGGGAGTTATTCGGGCGTCCTCCATCCTCTCTGGCACCAGCGGCGTCGTGTGGCGCGGCGTGCCGGGGTCCAGGATCCACGTGTCGGTCGCATTCCGTCTCCACGGGCCCGGAAACTCGATCTGGGTGTCGTTCGGCGACCACCGGCCTGAGACGGGCGTAGAGTACGAGCCCAGCGGAGGCCTGCGCGTGTGGCTGAGTCACGAACTCGGAGCCCTCGGCGTTTCGCACGGCGGGCCCGGCAGAGCCGACATGCTCAGCACGCCCCTGAGGAGCTGGTTCCCCTTCCGGACGCGGGCGTGGTCGCGGCTGAACGTCTGGATGGAGGCCGTCGTGGCTGAAGGCGGATGCAGTCTCTCGTGGGCCGTGTCCGCGCAACTGCACTCCGACGGCGGACTCAGCGTCGCCGCGAACACGGTACTGAGCGCTGGGCCGTACCATGGCGGTCTCCCGAGCCCGGAGGGCATCGCGTCCATTGCGGTGGGCTCCAGGTCCCCGCCTGGCTCCGAGGTGTGGCTGCGCCGTCCATCGGTGACGACTGGAGCTGCTCCTGCCATCCCGGCACTTGGCTCGCAGGGACAGTGCGTCGTGCTGTCCGATCCGACGGTGACCGCGGCGCTGGCGTTCGGAGACGCGGCGCTAGGGGCTGCGAACGACGCAGTCTTGAACAAGCCCGACGCCCTCTCGCAGGGCAGTGTCGCGTGGAGGGCTGCGCTGGGCACCAACTTCGAACTGGACTTCGACTTCCGGCTCACCGGCCCAGCAGAGGCGGCGGGCCTCGCGGGAGCCGTGTGGATCTTCATTGCAGACGGTGAGGATGACCCGGGCTCGGAGGTCGGCAGCGACCCGTTCAGCCTGGTCTTCGACGCTGGGCAGGATCGCGTCCTGGTCGCCACGTCCGCGGGAAGGACGACGCTTCTGGCCGGGGCAGGCCTGGCCACGAAGTGCCGCGTGGGATGGTGCGGTGTGCGCTCGCGCTTCGACTTCGTCGGCTTGGAGCTCTCAGTGCGCTTGACTCTCACGCTGCACTCGGCGCCGCGCCCCGAGGTGCTCGAGATTCAGATTCCGGAGCCGCCCGGTGGCTGGCCCAACCTGATGACGACAGCGACCATAGGTCTGGCTGGAGTCGCGCGCGAGGCTCAGGCCACCCTGTCCCCCGCGGGGCACTCCGTGCGCAGTCTCGCGCTCACGCGCGGCTGCCTCAACGTGTCCCCACGAGCATGCGGTGGCGGCCCCGCATCCACGCTCGGAGGTGGGGTCTCACTGGTCGCGTCGCCCGGCAGGTCCCCGCTTGGGAAGCCGTTCCCTGCATTGCTGGGCGCAGCACAGGCCTTCAGCGACGTCCTCGACGTCGACAGCGCTCCGAGCAGTCAGGCAGACCTCATTGGCGAAGCTGTGGCCACCGGCGATGGGATCACCCTGTCAGGAGAGGCGGGCGGCGCAGGCGTGGCGTCCGCAAGTGCCATCGCGGGCTCGCGGGTGTCCTTCGGCGTGGACTTCTCCACGTCGGGAGGCTCCGGCTCGGGCAGCCCTGCAATCTGGGTCTTCCTGGCAGACACCTCTCGTGAGACGGCCTCTGCCTCCCACACCGTTCCGCTGGGTGGTCTGAGAGTGTTCGTCCTGCCTGCAAACGGGACCATTGCCGCCGTGGCCGGGGCCGCGGGCCCCCCGACCACGGTCGCCCAGGCAACGGCCAAGTCCTGCGCGGCCGGATGTCGCCTCGAGGTCTCGATCGCGCCGTCGGCGCAGCTCGGGAACGGGTTCGAGGTCTCGGCCGTGCTGCTGTCCGCGGGCGAGATGTCGGCGTCCGTCGCGGGCACTGCCGAGGTTGCCTCGTCCGCTGGCAGCATCGACATGTTCTCGCAGGCGTTCCTCGGCGTCGGCGCGATCTCCGGGCCCGGCGGCCCGGCAGTACACTTGTCGCGCGCCCGGCTCGGCTCGAGCTGCGTCGGAAGGCGGGCCTGCTCTGCGACTCTGCCCGACGGCGGGGTCAGACTGGCCTCTGCGCAGGAGGGGGGCAGTGGCGCCCTGCAGTGGCTCGTCTCGCCCGGGAGCGCGTTCGAGGTCGCGACGAGCTTCCGTTTCGATGGTCCCGGCGGCGAGTTCTTCATCTCCGTGGGCGACCAGGGCGCACCGGCCGAAGCCAACGGCGGTCTGAGGCTCTCTGTCAGTGCAGACACAAACGCGGTCGGGATCCGATACGGCCCTCTGGACGACCCGCTGGCGCTGACGCTCGCGGATGTGCCGGTGCCGGACACGCTCACAGGGGCCTGGTGCGACCTGACGGTCACGTTCCAGTACGCGGAGGACGTGAAGGGCGTCGAGTGCCACCGCGCGTGGGAAGTCGCGGCGTCGCTGTCCTGCCCAGGCTTCCCCCGGCCCCTCGACATGGCATCCGGGCCTCTGCCGGAGCCTGCCGCCGGCTGGTCGTTCGGCCGTGGAGGGGAGCGCGTGGTCCTGCGGGCGGGAGGCTCCGCAGGCAACCCGCGCGGGCGCTGGTACCCCACGCCGTGGATGCTTGGCCTGCGTGCGAGCGCGATCACTGGCGCAGTTGACGTCCCACCGCCGTCGCAGCCGTCGGACGCTTGCGCGGCCCTGAGTACGTCGCGGACGCTGGGCACTGCGCAGGCCGTCGGCGCTGACGTGTGGCTGACTAGCAACGCGCCAAACATGCTCGGCGGCGTCAGGGCCGAGGCTGCAGTTGCAGGAGCAGCGTTCGAACTTGGCACCAACTTCGCCATCCTGGGCTCGCGCGCGAACCCGGGAATCGGCGAGGCGCTTTGGCTGTTTGCGGGCACCGCTGTGGATCCGGCCGGCCTGGGCCCCCTCTTCACGGAAACGACCCCGGCCGCGGGAGTCCACGTCTTCGTTCGCGCGGCCGACGGAACGATCGGCGCCTCGTGGGGCGACGCGCGCTGGAGCACTTCCGGGGTGCAGTCCACCACTCTGGCGTCGAACGTCGACCTGCTTGGCGGCTGCTCGAGCGCGACGGCGATGTGCCGTCTGAGCATGCGCGTGCAGCTGCACGGTCAGGGCTCGCGCAAGGCTCGCCTCGTCGTCGAGCTCTCTGGCGGCTCCCTGTCGAGTCCGATCAAGGTGTCGGCGCTTCTTGACGAGCCGGCCGGGGGGTGGTGGGACACGACTGCCCCGGCGTTTGCAGGCGTCGCCGCACGCACATCGGCCGCCAGCTACGCGGCCCACGTCGTGCTCGACGTGCAGGCAGCCTCCTGCGAGGGCCCTAGCGTCCTGCGGACGTCGCGCCGTGGTCTGTCCACGGCCCTGGCGCTGCACCCGGGAATCAATCGGCGCCGTGCGATGCTCGGCTACCACGAGGCGGCGTTGAAGTCAGTGGAGGACCTGACTACGCTGAAGCCCATGACCCGCCGCCGCGCGCTGGGCTCCAACACGCGGGTCGGGATTCGGTTCTCCGGCGCAGCGAAGATCTTCATGCTCGAAGTCGTCTTCTACGCGGATATCCAGCAGGCGAGGAATGGCGGTTGGAAGGCCATGATCGGTCTGGACGCGGCGCGCACTCTGCAGCGCCTGCCGTCGGTGGCCGGCATCGTCATGAACTGGCTGCCGCTCGGGACGACGATCTTCGGGACGGTCACCGCTCCCGGAGACTACCTCTTGTGGGACTACATGAACTACGAGAAGGGCTTCACCGAATGGTCCTTTGACAACAAGGTTCTGGTGCTGATGGCCGCTGAGCCAGACAGAGAGGGCGCTCTCTGGAAGGCAACGCAGAACTTCCTGGGCCCGATCGGGGGCGACATGGACAAGATGGGCGCGGTCGAGATCCACGTGGGCAACGCCTACGCGGGTGCGTTCGTGACGCTGGTGGGCGGGGTGCCACTGTGGCCTGGTTGCTGGATTGACTCGCTGGCCCTGGAGTTCATCTACGACGGCGGCGACTTCGACCTGGGCTTCAGCGCGGGGCTGCTCATGCAGTTCGGGCAGGACATGGTGCTCTTCGAGGGGCGCATCTCCTTCAGTCTCGCCACCCTGGAGCTCAGCGGAGAGATCCAGATGATCTCCGACGACGGTTGGAGCAACCCGTTGGGACTTAACCCTGAGCTGCGCCTGCGCCGCCTCGGGGGCTCGATCGGCCTGTCGTTCGCGTCGGTGGCTGCGGGCGGCCCGCCTACGCCCACGTCGTTCTCTGTTGTCGGGGACATGGAGTGGGGCATCCGCACGTACCCGAACAGTCCGCTGCGAGGCAGCGTGTACCTGGACATCAACCTCATCAACCCGGCAGACGGCATCGTGGTCATCGTTATCCTGGACAACCTCTCGATGGGCCGCGCCATCCTGCCCATGTTCTCCAACCTGGGGCTGCCGATGCCCGGAACCCTTGTGCGGAGATTCTTCGACATGTTCGCGGTGAAGAGCATCGGGATAGGCGTCAACATGGCGCTGACTCCAGTTCGCTTCCGCGAATTCACCTTCGTGCCAGGCGTCGAGCTCTGGCTGGAGGAGGCGTCGTTCGATGGCACGCCCCTCGCCTCGGCGCGCATCCTCGTCTCGTTCCTCCCTCCCAGCCTGGACGCGACTCTAGAACTGGGGAAGATCACCTTCGGTGCCGGCATCATCGCGCTGGAGGGCTCGAGCTCCATCGGCGGGCCCATCTGCTCGTTGTCCGTGGGCCTGCAGGCCGGCGGCTTCGAGCTCGGGTGCGATGGCAAGGGCACATTCGCCGCCCTCACGATGGAGTTCGAGTTCAGGATAGGCACGACCGGCGTGTTCATGCACGGAATATTCCGCCTCGGAAGCACACAGGGCGCGACTCGCCGCCGCCTCATGGCGGCCGCAGCCCCTGGCGGTGAGCTGCAGGACTTGCCGAAGACAGCTGAGCGTCTGCTGCAAGTGCAGCGGCAGGTCAGCGACGCCAGGCTCGAGATGATGTTCTCGGCCGGAATCGACATCACGCGCGGGCTCAAGAACATCGCAGCGTTCGAGTTCCTGTTCCTGGCCGAGACTTCCGACCCGAGGGGCATTGGCTACGCGATCGTCGTCGGTCTGATCGAGAACGTGGTCGTGCTGTTCGACAGGCTCAAGAACGCGGCGATCGACGGCGCGAAGGAACTGCAGGAGAAGCTGGTTGCTAAGGCACGCGAAGGCGTGGAGCGGGCGAAGGCTGCCATCCAGGCGGCGGCGGAGGCCGCGGTTGAGCGAGTCAAGCGCAGGATCGACAGGCTTGATCGGGACTATCGCTACGCGGAGAACAAGCGACGTGGCCACGCAAGAGCATGCAAGTGGTGGAGGCCGCACCGATGTGCGGCGGCCGCTTTCTGGGCGGGCGCCAAGGTCACTATCGCTGGCCTGAAGGCTGCTGCAAGGGCAGAACTCGCGGTGGTGAGGGCCGCGGGGAGGGCGGTGGCATTCGTCGCGAACGCCATCTTGGACGCTGCATTGTATACCTTGGAGAAAATCACGGCCGCGGCGGCGTTCTTCGTCGCGGCGACCGTCCGAGCCGTCGCAGCGGTCGTCCAGCCCATCATCGAGGCAGTCGCGCGGGCGCTCATCGCCGTCGTCACGGCAGTGGACCTGAGCTGGTTCTTCAAGCTGACCAAGCTGTATGCAGCTGGGTCGATCGGGAGCGCGGAACCCTTCATTGCCGTGCAGATCAAGGGGCAGCTGCTGTCCTTCCTGCCCTTCGACGTCAATGTGAGGGCCAGCCTGAGCTTCAAGGGCATCGTCAGCGCCATCTTCAACCTTATCAAGAAGGACTTGATTGGGTGGTTCAAATCCAAGCTCCCAGTCTTCCGCAACCGTTTGCTTCTCACCCGGGACGAGACGCGCGAGTGTACGTACGACGAGACCTTGGTGTATTTCGACGAGCTGGTTGCGCACGCCACCAGCCCGGACGGGTCGCAAGACTGGATCGACGGGTACCTTGCGTGGGTCGAGGAGAACGGCGCCACGTGCATCCACGCCTCCGCGGACGAGGGCGCGGGCGCCGCCGTGCACGCGCTGCGACTCGAGCGCCGCGCCCAGGCGGACCCTGTGTTCGCGTCGATCGCAGCCGCCGCGGACAGCGCCGTGCAAGCCATGGACCCGACCGCCATCATGACCCAGGCGGAAGAGGCCATGGTCGAGGCCGCAATCGCCAGCAGCGGACAAGCGCCGCCCTCGAACGAAGTGGCGCAGGTGGCCGCGGGGATCGGAGTGGCTTCTGCGGAGGCCGGCAGCGGAAACGGCACAGCTGGCGCCCTGCCGGCTGGCAGTGAAGACGAAGTGACGTACGTCGATATCTCCGCCACCGTCGAGTTCTTCATCCCTCAAGAGTTGGTGACAGAAACGCTCGGCATCCCGGCGAGGCGGCAGCTCTCGGCGGACCCTACGCTCTCCTTTGTGGAGGGCGCGCACCCTGAGTTCGTCGGGACGTCCGGCGGCCGCCGCACGCTGTCGGTCGCAGATGACCTCCAGCGTGCGGTTAGCTCCGTCGTCCGCCCGAACACCACATCGGGCGGGCCGCCCGCGTTCCAGACGTACAGCACTCTCGGGGTCACTGCCAGGGTGTTGAGGCACGACGAGGTGGCGACGGAGGACCCCGGTAGCGTGTTCGTCCAGGTCACGCTCAAGCGAGTCGCGAACCACGAGGCGGGGCACTTTGCGGGCGTTCTCGCGGGCCCTGTGGTGCGCCAGGCGCTCATGAAGACGATCAACCAGACGGTGCCTTGGGTCCCCGAGCAGCGCCTCGTTCGCGTGACGGCGGCCGACGCCGACGCCGTCGAGGTGTTGCAGCGGGACTGCTCCGCGTCGCAGCTCGCGGCGGTCACGTCGGTCTACTTCGCGCACGCACCGGGCCCCTGGTCCGAGTGCAATGCCACCTGCGGCACCGCGCACCGTTCGCGCGGCACGACGTGCCGCACGTACCAGCAGGACAGCACGGGCGTCCACGTGCCCGTCGGGCCCGCACCGGCCGCCCTGTGCGACTCGATGCCGGTCACCTTCCCGCTCGTGGAGAAGTGCCCCGTGCCACCGTGTCTGACCTACTCCGTCCAGGTGCAGGCGAGCGGGCAGTGCAGCAGGCCGTGCGGCGGCGGAACACAGGTCCCGGTGGTCGCGTGCGTGAACAACCTCGGTCAGCACGTCCACCTGGAGAGCTGCAACAGCACCGAGGTCATGCAAGTCATGGCCCCGCAGCCCTGCAACACACAGAACTGCCCGCCGGGCGTCGCCGCGTCGACTTTCGCCGACCTCCCCGCCGCTCGGCTGTCGTTCGCCGTGGCAGCGTCCGCCGCGGAGAACACGGAGGTCGAGAGCGTGGGCGTGGACGTCATCGCTGGCAACCTCAAGCTGGGAGTCTGGGGGGCCTGCAACGCCACGTGCGGCGGTGGGGTGTCGACCAGGACCGCCCAGTGTCTCGCGGGGAGCGGACCGGAAGAGCTGCCGCTGGAGCGCTGCTCGCCCTTGTCGCGGGCGGAGCTGGAGGAGCGGGCGTGCAACGTGCACCCGTGCACCACGCACCGCTGGCGCGTCGGAGCCTGGGGACCCTGCTCGACGAATTGCACGACCATCACTCCGCGCGAGCTGGGCGTGTACGACTTCGACGAGGGCTTCAGGCACCGCGACATCAGTTGCGTTGAAGTCGTCGCGGAGGGCGCCGCGCGAGTGCGCGAGGTGCCGGTCGCCTCGACGCTGTGCCAGGGCCTCGTGCGGCCCACGGACCGCAAGCCTTGCAACAGGTTTGCGTGCGCGGGCAGCCGCCCGTGCGACAAGCCGGGCCTGTGCAAGAACGGCGCAACGTGCGCGGACGACGCGGCGAACCCGCGCGGCTTCGTGTGCAACTGCCCCGGGGCGCCCCACTACCACGGAACGTTCTGCGAGACCCCGACCTTCTGCACGGGCGCGATGGCCATGCTCTTCGAGACCGGGAAGGAGGGCTGCTGCACTACGGGCGTCGTGAACCGCTACGGATGGTGCTGCACGGGCAACGAGCCCGCGCTCGATAGCAGAGGGATCTGCTGCGAGCGGTCGAGGATCGACGGCTGCGGTATCTGCGGCGGCAGGGGCGGCGGGTTCGACGCGGCGGGCGAGTGCTGCGAGGGCACGATCGACGCGCTGGGCAACTGCTGCCCGGCGCCGCTGCACACCGACGAGTGCGGGAGGTGCGGAGGCAACAACTACGGCTGCGACATCCGCGTGCCGATCTCCTCCGACCTGCCCGGCCTCGTGGCGCGCACCGCGGCGAACCTCGCGATTCGCCGGGACAGGCTGCGCATCGAGATCATCCAGGGCATCGGGATCAACCTCGTGGTCGAGAACCCCGAGGACGGCGGGCGGGACAACGTCGTCACCGCGGCGGAGGTCACGCTGGCCAGCCAGATGGCCGTGTCCACCATCGTCGCCCAGCTCGAGGGCTCCGGGCGGCGTTCTGTGCTGCAGACGGACACCACTCTGCTAGGGTTCGCGGTCCCCGTCGGGACCTGCGGCAACGGCCTGTGCGAGCACGCGGGGGAGAGGCTCGTCGTCGGGAGCAACGGTCCCATCCAGGGCTGCCTTTGGAGCCCCTCTTGGACGACCCTGGAGCCCGACTGCGCGACGGTCAGCGTCGTGTGCCCGGACCCCGCGAACACGGGCTTCCAGTGCTCCGGCCGCGGCGCGTGCGTGGCGGCCAAGGACGTGGCGGCCTCGCAGTACCCCAGCAACTACCCCGACTTCATGCACCTGGTCTCCGAGTGCTCCTGTCTGGCGCCCTACGACGGGCCGGGGTGCGAGGAGTGCGCCGAGGGCTGGTCCGAGGTCCCGGGATCTCGCGCCGCGGGCCTCGTGCTGTGCACCGGCGGCGACGGTTGGCCGCCCTTCGCGATCGCTGGGTCGGACGCGGAGGACCCGGGCCTCCCAGATGAAGATGAACGCATTATCGTCGGAGTAACGCTGCTGCTCGTGCTGCTGGTCGGATCCGCGGCGCTGTCGCTGGCGCTCGTCTGGTGGGCGCTGTCTTTCCCGAGAGCGGCGCCTGCCGCCGGCGTCGACGACAAGAGCAGGCAGAAGCGCGACGGCGAGGAGACCCCGCAGGCGATCGCGTGGGCGAAGCTTCACCTCGACGATCGTGATCCGGCGCGCGAGGGATCCAACGGAGCATGGGGTGTCGTCGAGGCTGGGAAGCTCGGTCTTGTTGTCGGCCCAGCGAGCCTGACGTCGCGTCTCATGGAGTGCCTCGTGCACAAGAGAAAGACCGCCGACGACGACCGCGTCGCCTGCCGGTGCGCGGCCGTGGTCGACGTCGCTGCGGCATCCGTCGATGCCGCGCCGCCCGGTCTGTCGTTCCTGCGCGCCGTGCAGCGCCAGGCCGACCTGTGCATGGACATGCGCTACAACGCCAAGGAACGGGCCGTCCGCGCGAGGAGGGCCATCGAGTCCCTGGGGCTCGGCGACGTCGTGGATGCGCGCGTCCCTGTCGGTCCGGAGGGCGAGTGGATGCGGCGCGCCGTCGTCATCGCCGGCGCCATCCTCGCTGATCCATCCGAGGTGCTCCTTGCGTCACCGTTCGACGGCGCCCCGGCCAAGGCGGAGCCGAAGATCTCGGCGCTTCTCGCCGCAGCGACTGCGAACGGGTCCCGCACGGTTCTGGCCACGGCGGCGGAGGCCTCCGCGACGAGGACCGCTGACGTGGCCACCCTCGTCGTTGTGGGCGACGACGGGCAGACGAGGCTGTGCGGACCGGCCAAGAGCGCGCACGCTGAGGCGCTGAAGAGGCTGGCGGCGACCGCCCAGGATCCGGACGCCCGCGCCGAGCACCTCCTGCAGGCTGCTGCGTGGAGCTGCGTGGGGCTCGACGCACATGCAGGCGATGCCCGGGGAGGGATCAGCTTCGCGCGGTGCTACGAACTTGCCGCCGCGGGCCGGTCGACGACGCCCGTCGACGGCATGAGGCGCGTGCCGTTCTTCCGCCAGGTCGCCGTCCACCTGGCCACGTCGTTGCGCACAGGCTGGGTCGGACTGGTGCTGGCGCTCGCGGCGTGCCTCGGGGCCGGCATCGGCATCGGCCTCGTGCTGCTGGACTCCGCGGGCACCAGGCCCGAAGACGTCGCTGACCGTGTCCACGCCATCGTCATGTCTGCGCTCGTCGGTGCGCTGCTGGCCCACGCCGCCGTGTTCCGTAGCGCACAGCCGCGCGGAAGCGAACCGCCCTCGCGGCCGGACGCGGCGCGGCTCTTTGCGCGCTGGGCGACGGACGCCACGCTGTCTCTCGCCCCGGCGCTGATCCTAGCGATCACGGTGTACCTGATCGCGGGCTTCGTGGGGTCCTTCCCGCGCTGGAACCTGTGGCTGACGGGGCTCGCTCTCGGAGTGTTCGCGTCGTTTGGTTGCACGCGCGCCCTCGCGGCCGTCCTGCCGTCGTCCGCGGCCCAGCTGGCGTCGCTGGTGGTGATTCTCGCTGGCGTGACGCTGTCCGGGGCGGCAGGGCGCGACTTCAGCGCTATGCCCCGCGGCGTCCGGCTGCTGTCGCACGCGCTGCCGATCCCGTGGGCCGTGCGTGCGATGGCGACGGCTGAGCTGGCAGGGCGCGTCGCGGACCCCAACTGCGTCTCGGAGGCCACCTCCCCGCTGTCGGTCGGCCTCACGCTGCGGGCGTTCGTCCTCGGGACAAGCGACGCCCTCATCAGCGTGCCACGATGCGAGAGCGGCGACGATTCGCTGTCGCGTCTCGGCCTGCGCGCGACCACGGCACCGGAGGCCCTCGCGATCCTCGCAAGCATCGCCGTCGTCGCGCAGCTCTTCGCCATGTCTGTGGCCGTGCTGACGTACGTGATGCGCCGCCGGTTCTCCACGCCGCGCCGGGGCGTGGCAGTGCTGCCGAGCGACATGCTGAAGGAAGCCGCACGCATGTACAACGTCAACAAGGGTCCGAGCATCGTTGCGCCGCTGCCAGGGGCCAGGTCGTCGCTGCCCCTCGGGGGGTCCGGCACCGCCCCGTCGTCGGGCCGCCAAACCCCTCGGAGCGGGTCGCAACTTGCCCCGTCGTCTGGTCGGCGCACCCCTCGGGCCAGGACGAACCTGGCCGCGGAGCTGGCTTCCCTGGGCAGCGGCGGCCTGGCACCGCCGTCGCGGAAGCCCTCGACGATGAGGAGCGGGGCCTCGGACCTCCAGAGGGCGTCGAGTCTGGCCTCTGCGCTCTCGACGCACCAGGGCCACGGCGAGCTCACGGACCGCGGGCTGATGCTCGGCCTCACTGCGCCCGAGGGGCCGCGCAGCGCACGGGGCGAACCTGGCGCTCGGCAGGCATCGCGTCCGGCGAGCGCCGCGGGCGACGGGCAGCTGTGCGACCCAGTCGCAATGAAGGACTCCAGAGCCAGCAGCATGAACGAGCGAGGAGCCGCGCGACGCCCGCCCTCTGGCGACCCGGCCCGGGGCCACACGCACACCGAGGGCGCTCCTCTGGCTGCCAACGTCCAGGACGTGCCCGCCGAGGCGCCCAGTCAGCTGCGCCCTCCGATCCACAAGGGGCCAAGCAATGCCCAGCTCCAGGCCTCCGCGCGAGAGCCGCTCGAGGAGAACATCTCTACCATCGACGTGCCTGACGAGGAGCTGCCGCGTCCGCGCGCGGCGCCCTCCGCGGACGACGTCGTGCCTTTCGCCGAGGCGCAGCAGGAGAGGCCTGGGGACGCGACGAACTGACGGGTCGTCGACGCCGATGCATGCCAGCCCGTGGGTCACGGGTGCACGAACCCTCGACGTGAACGTCGCAGTCGGAAGGGGACTGTTGAATCATCGACGTGTCGAACAGCACCCGCACAACAACATATTGCATTAAATTTTTTCCGCTGATCCAATGCGCACTAATAGTTGTCTTGTTCCAGGATCTCGCGATTGCACATCTCGAACACGATCGTCAAGCTCTGGCTGCGAGCGCACGTGCGCGTTCTCAGCGAGTGACACCTTCGGGCAGTCTTCCAGAGAGGTCCGCAGCTGCACGAGACAAGACGGCGGGTGGCGTGCCACCTTTGCACGCCCTGCCTGCCTCAAGAGTGACGCTTGCGATGTGAACCCGCAAGGACACCCAACTCATGACTCGCGCGCCTCACTCGGTCATCTATGTACGCGCTCCCCTCCCCTCATGCGCGCAAAAACGGCGCCGAACGCACCCACTTCGTCGCGACGACCTTGTCGCCGGCCATGGGCGGACAGCCCGCGTGGCGTGCTCCAGGGTCCGGCACGGCCGGACCTTCCCCGCCAGGCACATAGGACCAGAACACGAGGGCGTCCCCGGCCTCCGGCTGCACGATCAGGGCGCCCGAGCCCGGTTCGCAGTAGCTGGGAGCTGTGCGAGCCACGGCGCGCGTTGGCAGGGTCGGCAGCGGAAACGGCGGCCCGTCCCGAGGTGCGTCCTCCTGCTGCGACGTGGACACCGCACGTGGTCGCGCCGGGGGTGGAGGGACGGGGCGGGGGCTCGCTGCGTTGCCGCGACCGAGCACTGCGAAGGGGAACGAGGTGCCCCCGCCCTCCGTCGCTGCCTGCAGGTAGACGATGACCGTCGCCACGCGGTCCCCACAGGCCGGACCGCCAGCACCCGGTCCGCACTCGGGTCCCCCGGCTCGCTGCAACGAGAAGAGAGCGATGGCGTGCCGCGCCGGCGTGAGGGCGCGGCGAGGTTCTCAGGCCGCGCGGATGCCGTGGCATGGCACTCATTGATGTCCCATATTGCTCTGGGCTCTCCTCACCTTGAGGAACTCGACGCACGCGCCCGACACCTCGTCGCCGGGATCCAGCGGACGGCAGCTGTCCATGTGCATCGCGTACTGCTCCCCCGGGCCGTACCGCAGGACGTGAAGACTCTCCCCGTGGTCGCGGGGCAGGCCAATCAGCTCGTGGACGCGCGCGTCGATGGCGTCGACGACCTCGTCCTTGCGACCCGACCTCCTGTTCAGAAACGCGCCCCTGCTCGTGCGTGCGGTCGACAGCGTGTCCGTCGCGACGACCTCGGACTGCTGCAGGATGTCGTCGGCCAGCGCCACGAGGTGGTCGCACTCGCGCGGGGACAGGAAGCCCCGCACGAGCACCAGGCGAGGAGACCTGGGACTCAGGACCTCTGCTCGCGGGTGCCGGAGCGCCGCCGCTTCGACGGCCTCCCACGACAGGGAGTCCCATGGCGCGCTTCCAGGGCCGGACTCCGGGGGCATCCGCGCTTGACCTTGCGCGGGAACCGTCGACGGGTGGCTGGAGAAGACGCGTGCGACTGTTGCGAAGCTGACTCGGGCCGCCCTCGACCCGCTGCCGTCTCTCTGGAACGCAGCGAAGCCCGAGGCGAGCAGGAGCATCGAGAGGACCGACACGAGGACGATCAGGACGATCAGTGCCAGAACGACACGGTCCCCCCACACCGCCGCGGGGTTGTGGCTGTTCGAGACGATCCGGCGGCGGCGCGTGCGCTGCTGCTGCTTGGCCATCTTGGGCGCGTCGACCCGCGCTCGTGCGGTGTTTTCGGGACGTTGCAAAGCAATGATTTCCAAACTCGATATCTGAGCGCCGATTTCCGGTGTCTACAGTCGCGTGCGCCCGAGCAGCAAGCTGGAAACGGCCCACTTGCCCTTCGACAGGCGTCCTCTCACGCTCTCAATCACCTGGTGCTCAACTCTGCTCTCACAGGACGCGGAATGCGCTGGACGTGATCCCGGACCATCGGACGTGTGGCCGAGATGCGTGCCAGTGCCCCGGCCGCGCACGGACCCCTCCAAGAACTCCTCCCCCCCTCCTTACTCAGCGCCAGCCCGCGTCCGACTCCAGGTAGTGGCTGTTCGCCCCCTTCTCCGCCAGGTCCTTCGTGACCGCAGCGCGCGCCTCCTGCACGTCGGGAGGCCCCGGGGACGCCCTCGGTCGACGCGGCACTTCCACCGTCGTCGCACGCCATGCCGGTCACGCGCCGCGCCGCACCTCTATCGACCGCGGGCACCGCATGCCAGCGATGCGCTCGCACGTGTCCGCCGGGAACGCCGCGTGGAAGGCCGCGTAGTGCTCCGGCAGGAACATGTGTGGCCACGTGTACTTGCCCGGGTTGCGGGACGTGGCGTGCCCCTCGGTCTGCGCGCCCCGCGTCACGTCGTAGTTGCCGAACGACTGGTCCGTCGTCTCGGGGTCGAGCTGCGAGGAGATGGGCGCGAGAGGTCGCAACGGAGGCGCACGGCGACGCAGGCCGGTGCGGGCGCGGGCGGAGCGGACGCCCACCTGCAGCCACGCGGCGATCCTCTCCGCCGCCGCGGACATGTCAGCGACCACGTCCTCCAGCTGCATCGTGACGAACCTGGGGTCGCCGTAGTTCCACCTGCGCCCACAACGGCGCGCGGGCGCCGCAACCGTCGCCTCCGGCTCTCGCGGCGGTTCTCGCGCACCCTGCGCCGGCGCACGTCTGGGACTCGCCTGTACATCTCCTGTATCGTGTCCCAGGCCGACCCCTCCTGCATCTCGAAGAGGAGGCCGGCCGGGGGCGACAGGGACTTCAAGTGGGCCTGGTAGGTCAGGTTGCCGAGCTCGGGGAGCGGGACGTGCACCCACGCCTCGTCCGTGACGAGGTGGTACCGGTAGCAGGAGCACACGACCTCGAACGGGTGCCGAACGGCGTGAATACCCCTGCGACGAGGACGTGTGTGGCTCGTGGGGCCCCAGAGGGGGGCGAGCACGGCGCGACGGGGGACCTGGGGGGCGAGATGTGCGGAGCCTTGCATCGAAGCACCTGACGTGGCTCAGCCCCGCGATCTTCCAGGCCTGGGAGTGGTCTTCGAACAGGAAATCCCCGGGGCAGGGCGCATCCTTCCCTTGCATGGCCGCGAGGCCCTCCGCTGCGGCGCGGTTCGGGGCGCGGAGCGATCGCTGCGGAACGACACGGCGACGATCTAGCGGCGACGGCGGGTTGCAGGTCCTCACCGGGGTCGGAGACGTTGTGAAAGCGCAGTCCAGCCACTCCTGCGATCTCTTCAAACACGTTGCGCAGGAGGACCGTGCCGGTCTTGTGGTGGCTCAGAACGACGCGGTACGGGTCGGCTCGTGACGCCCCGACGCAGTGCGCGGGCAGGTCGGGATCCGCGACGTCGCTGGAGGCTTGTTGATCGCTGCGCCCAACAGCGGATCGGCGGAAGGGCCGAGCCACGACCACGGCGTCGTCGACGGACCGCTCGCGAACCTGCTCCAGGGCAACGCCGAGCAGCAGGACTCCGATCAGAACGACTCCGACGCCCTCCTGCACGGAATCGCGGCCACCTTGACCGAAACATGACCGCGGGGAGCACGACGTTCGCGGGTTTCGAGGCAGGCGCGCGACAAGACGGGCTCCGTGATCCGTCCCGATCGCGTTCGCGGAACGCGCGGCCCTCGGATCGCGGTGGGGCGATGCGAGTCGCACAGGAACAGCCGGCATACCGCTGCAGCTTGGGGGGCGCGCAGCTGACCTGCAGCGTTCCGGCTCGAAGCCGGTACATGGCGTCAGTGTTTGTGCGATTCTGCCCTGGATCGCCGACACCCTGCCAGAAGATCCACGCCGGGCACGGAGCGAAACAAGACCCTGACTGACTGACAATTGCTGCAACACCCCCCCCCCGCAAGCTGCTGCACGGACTGACGTCGTTCGTGCTCGGCCGCTCCGGGGACACGGCCGTCGCGAGTGTACCTGCAGTACCCACTCAGCGGGTAGACGCTCGTTCCCAACGCAGACGCATGCAGCGCGCTCACACGCGGTGTGGCCTTTGGCACGCAGCTACCTCCCACGGGAGCACGTCAAGCGCGCATCAGGGCGTGCTGCGCGGCCGCTGTCACAGGTCGTGCGTGCACCACTTGCGCCCGTCTCGCGTGAGCTCGACGCTCCGTCCAATCATCCTCGACAGGATGACATGCGCCCACTTCGCATCGTCGCTGCGCTCCGTCATGTCGTACATGTCGCCCTCGAAGTCCATCGCACGCAGCAGGGGCATCGACACGACCTTGCTGCTCGCCGCCCACACAGCGTCGTCCTGCTGATTCGCTTTGCCCGAGTCAGTGTCGTACACCATGATGAGCTCGAGCGCCGGCATCGAACTCGGCAAAGTGAGCGGGCTGAGAGTGAGCTCTCGAAGGCGTGACACCGCCCCAGCCGGAACCTCCTCCAAGTCGCACGAAGGCACCACGAGCACCTCCAGCGCGGGCATGTGCTCCGGCAGCTTCGAAAAGTTGCTTGCGAGCGCGTTGAGCTTGACGAGCGCAAGGGCGCTCGACTGTGGCAGAGCGTTCTCGTGAAGGTTTCCGCAGCCGTTGATGTCGAGGTCCTGCAACCGATGCATGTGACCTGGAACGCTCCTCAGGTGCGAGTCTTCCGCCTTGAGGACCCGCACGTTCGCCGCGCTGCTCGCCGGCAGGAAGTCGTCGCGCGGGTCGCACAGTGTGACGTCGAGCTCCTCGAGGGCCGACATCCCCTCGGGCAGCTGCTCGAGCCAGCTGTCGGCCGCGTTGAGCTTGCGGAGCGCGCGGCGGCTCGACTCGGGGAGGAACTCCACTGCAAGGTTCTCGCAGCCCTCGATGTCGAGCACCTCGAGACGATGCATGTCCTCCGGGACCCTCCGCAGATCGGACTTCCCCGCCGCGAGGATGCGCACGTTCGCAGCGCTGCTCGCGGGAAGGAAGTCCTCGTGCAGCCATTCGCAGCGCTGCATGTCGAGCTCCTCGAGGGCCGACATCCCCTCGGGCAGCTGCGCCAGCGAGCTGTCGGCCGCGTTGAGCTTGCGGAGCGCGCGGCGGCTCGACTCGGGGAGGAACTCAACGGCAAGGTTCTCGCAGCCCTCGATGTCGAGCACTGCAAGCCGTGCCATGCCCTCGGGGATCGAGGAGATGTCCGGGCCATACAGGCTCAGCTCCTCGATGCGCGCTGCGACGCTCGGCGGCAGCCAGCCTGTCGTCGACAGCTGCCCAGTGTTCACCGTGCGCAGCTGGATGCACCGGAGGCCCGTCATGTCCGGCGTGATGAACGAGCCTCCGGGATACAGGAGGCCGGACAGCCGCGCGATCGACGACGCAAGCTCCACGTCCGAGCCCGCCCACCAGTGCGGGCACGGGTCATTGCGCCCGGGCTGCACGGGCTGCGTCCAGCCGATCAGGCCCCGAGCAGGCTTGCCGCAGCCCCCCAGAGAGCCTCCGGACACCCTCTCGAAGAGCTTGGACCCCATCCGCGTGCCGAGGTCGCGTCCCACCGCCGTCCAGCGCGCCGCCGAGCTGCTGTCCAGCACTGCCCACAGCATCGCGGACGACGTGGCGGCGAGGGCGACCTTGTCCGCGTCAGGCAGCCCGGCGACGGCCGGCCCGAGCAGCCCCAGCAGCGCGCACGTCTCGATCGCCGCGTCCTGCACCCTGCGCTCGCAACACATGCCACGCGCTGGTGACGGTGAGGCCCGCCAGTGTGTGTGGTGCGCAGCACCGAGGCCGGCGGTCGCGGTGCCGGCAGCGAGGTGTACCGCGCGCGGCTGCCCGGCCGTCGTGCGAGCTGCTCACCTGGCCTCGCCGTCGTCGGCGCGCGGCATCTTGTGCGGCCTCGTCGTTGGAGCCTCTCCAGCCGCCTGCGCAGACACCGCACGGGACGCGCACGTGTGACGTCCAGCACCGCACTCGACCACGCCAGCACCTCCCGGCCTGCACCAGCGTCGTCCCACAGCAACAAGCACTGCTACTCGATCGCTGCCAACCACCACAGCGCGCACCTGGTCGGTCGCGGTGCATCGCCGGCCCGCGCCCAGAGGGAGCGGCGCCAGTACCGCGACGCCGTGTGTCTCGTGCGCGTCAGCGCCTGGCTCCCCGCCGGCCCCAGCGCCCCCTCCGCGCCCGGCCGCGACCGCCTGCTCCAGCGCAGCGTCCAGCGCTCTCGACAGGTCCCGCACGACCGCGGGGAGGCGCGCGCGGCCCGCGACTGCGTGCTCCGCCGCCGCTGCCGCGTTGACGGCGGCCAGCACCGCACTCAGCTGCCGCTTCAGCGTCCCCTCCCACTCCTGCGGCGCACAGCACGCCCGCTCCGCGCTGAGACGAGCGCACGCGAATGGCGGCGGTGCGAGGAGGTGTGGTGGAGTGCGGGCGCACCTGGACGGCGCTCTGGGTAGCGAGCGACTCGCGGAGCGGCTCAGGCGTCCCGGTACGGGGCGGAGTGTCCTCGTGCGGCATTGCGCGCCTGTTCACGCTGCTGACCTATTACACGGCCCCGGGGCGGCTGTGCGGCGTGCTGTGTGGCCCGCGCGCGCGCGGACAGTGTGATCCGCGATGTCGACCTCCGTCGCCGATGTGCCAACGGACCACGCGCCCCCCCAACAGTGCGCGGCGGGAGGCCCCAGGGATGTCCACGGACGGGTTGTTTGCGGCGCAACCTGCGTGCTGCTCAGCGGCACGCGGGGGCGCGACTACCTCTGATGCGCTGTGACAGTCAGCACACAAGTCACCGGGGTGCTGCGACCCGGCTTGCGGACGCAGCCTCCATCGACAGCTGCCAAGTTGCGCTGTCGCGTCGCGACCTGACACGTGCCGGCGCGCTGCGCCGCCTGCCGCGTACTCGCGCCGTCCGGCAGCTGGCCGTCCTCCCCTGGAAGCCACATACGTGCCCCCGCTCCGCAGGTACACTGATGTTGCAGAGATGCAGGCGCACGCACAGTGGGCTTTGCGATCGGGACCTGGGATGCGGTGACGCGATCTGATGCATGCAGCGCTCACATGCAGTGTGGTCTCGGCCGCGCAGCTACGACGTGCGAGGCCACGCTAGGCGCGTGTCGGACGTCTGTTGCACGCCCCCTTGCTCACGTGCTATCGTCAGCCGCGCCCGTCGGTGCCAGGTCGACTGGCCGCCCGGTCATCCTAGAGAGCATGGCCTTCGCCCACTGCGCAGCGCGGCTGTCCTCCGTCATGTCGATCTTGTCGTTCACAAGATGAAAGACCCGCAGACGGGGCATCGAGACGACGCTGCCCTCGTCCCGCACAGCGTCGTCGTGGTCGTGGTCGTGGTCGTGGTCGTGGTCGTGGTCGTGGTCGTGGTCGTCGTCGTGGTCGTGGTCGTGGTCGTGGTCGTGGTCGTGGTCGTGGTCGTCGTCGTCGTGGTCGTCGTCATGCTCGGGCGCGGCCTGGACGTCTTCGTACGCGGCCTGGACGTCTTCGTACGCGGCCTGGACGTCTTCGAAGCTGTGGAAACGAACAACTTCGAGCGCCGGCAGCGATCCCGGCAGCCCTGACAGAATGCGCTCGTTTGCGGCGAGCTCTCGCAGGCGTGACACCGCCCCAGCCGGAACGACTGTCACGTCGCTGGCAGACACGTCGAGCACCTCCAGCGCAGGCATGTGCTCCGGCAGCTTCGAAAAGTTGCTTGCCAGGGCGTCGAGGTTGACGAGCGCCATGGCGCTCGACTGCGGTAGGGGGTCGTCGCGTGCCAGGTTCCCGCAGCAGTTGACGTCCAGGACTTCCAGGCGACCCATCCCCCCGGGCAGACGGGAGATGCTTGATTCCTCCGCCTTGACGACGCGAACGTTGGCTGCGCTGCTCGCCGGCAGGAAGCCGTCGTTCAGCCATTTGCAGCGCTCCACGTCGAGCTCCTCGAGGGCCGACATCCCCTCGGGCAGCTGACGGAGGGAGCTGTCAGCCGCCTTGAGCTTCCGCAGCGCGCGGCCGCTCGACGCGGGCAAGCAGACCCTGTCGAGGTAGCGGCAGCCCTCGATGTCGAACACGGCAAGGCTGCTCATGCCCTCGGGGACGGAAGATAAGCCGCACAGGATCAGCTCCTCGATGCGTGGCGCGACGCTCGGCGGCAGCCAGTTGGCGACGGCCAGGGGCTTAATCCCGCACGCACTCACGTCGATGCACCGGAGGCCCGTCATGTCCGGCGTGATGAACGAGCCTCCCAGCTCCAGGAAGCCGGACAGCCGCGCGATCGACGACGCCAGCTCCACGTCCGAGCCCGCCCACCAGTGCGGGCACGGGTCATTGCGCCCGGGCTGCACGTCCTGCGTCCAGCCGACCAGGCCCCGAGCAGGCTTGCCGCAGCCCCCCAGAGAGCCTCCGGACACCCTCTCGAAGAGCTTGGTCCCCACCCGCGTGCCCAGGTCGCGTCCCACCGCCGTCCAGCGCGCCGCCGAGCTGCTGTCCAGGACCGCCCACAGCATCGCCGACGACGTGGCGGCGAGGGCGACCTTGTCCGCGTCAGGCAGCCCGGCGACGGCCGGCCCGAGCAGCCCCAGCAGCGCGCACGTCTCGATCGCCGCGTCCTGCACCCTGCGCTCGCAACACATGCCACGCGCTGGTGACGGTGAGGCCCGCCTGTGTGTGTGGTGCGCAGCACCGAGGCCGGCGGTCGCGGTGCCGGCAGCGAGGCGTGACGCGCGCGGCCGCCCGCCCGTCGTGCGAGCTGCTCACCTGGCCTCGCCGTCGTCGGCGCGCGGCATCTTGTGCGGCCTCGTCGGTGGAGCCTCTCCAGCCGCCTGCGCAGACACCGCACGGGACGCGCACGTGTGACGTCCAGCACCGCACTCGACCACGCCAGCACCTCCCGGCCTGCATCAGCGTCGTCCCACAGCAACAAGCACTGCTACTCGATCGCTGCCAACCACAGCGCGCACCTGGTCGGTCGCAGTGCATCGCCGGCCCGCCCCCAGAGGGAGCGGCGCCAGTACCGCGACGCCGTGTGTCTCGTGCGCGTCAGCGCCTGGCTCCCCGCCGGCCCCAGCGCCCCCTCCGCGCCCGGCCGCGACCGCCTGCTCCAGCGCAGCGTCCAGCGCTCTCGACAGGTCCCGCACGACCGCGGGGAGGCGCGCGCGGCCCGCGACTGCGTGCTGCGCCGCCGCTGCCGCGTTGACGGCGGCCAGCACCGCACTCAGCTGCCGCTTCAGCGTCCCCTCCCACTCCTGCGGCGCACAGCACGCCCGCTCCGCGCTGAGACGAGCACACGCGAATGGCGGCGGTGCGAGGGCGTGTGGTGGAGTGCGGGCGCACCTGGACGGCGCTCTGGGTAGCGAGCGGCTCGCGGAGCGGCTCAGGCGTCCCGGTATGGGGCGGAGTGTCCTCGTGCGGCATTGCGCGCCTGTTCACGCTGCGGACCTATAACACGGCCTCGGGGCGGCTGTGCGGCGTGCGATGTGGCCCGCGCGCGCGCGGACAGTGTGATCCGCGATGTCGACCGCCGTCGCCGATGTGTCAACGGACCACGCGGCCCCCCACCAGTGCGCGGCGGGAGGCCCCAGGGATGTCCACGGACGGGTTGTTTGCGGCGCAACCTGCGTGCTGCTCAGCGGCACGCGGCGGCGCGACTACCTCTGATGTGCTGTGACAGTCAGCACACAAGTCGACGGGGTGCTGCGACCCGGCTTGCGGACGCAGCCTCCATCGACAGCTGCCAAGTTGCGCTGTCGCGTCGCGACCTGACACGTGCCGGCGCGCTGCGCCGCCTGCCGCGTACTCGCGCCGTCCGGCAGCTGGCTGTCCTCCCCTGGAAGCCACATACGTGCCCCCCGCTCCGCAGGTACACTGATGTTGCAGAGATGCAGGCGCACGCACAGTGGGCTTTGCGATCGGGACCTGGGATGCGGTGACGCGATCTGATGCATGCAGCGCTCACATGCAGTGCGGCCCCGGCCGCGCAGCTACGTCGCGCGTGGCCACGCCAGGCGCGTGTCGGGACGCGTGTTTCTGCAGTTGCGCAACCCCTGAGTCATGTGCGAGCGAGCTCCGTGCTCGTCGGCGCGAGTGTCGCTCCCCGAGGGCGAGTCGCCGGCCGCATCCGGCGCGATCCTCGCGCCGCCATCACCGCCGCATCCCAATCTCCGGCTTGGTCTGCCTCATCCTCTCTCTCATAGTACTGCACCCTGGGTACGGGGTGTTCGACGTCATCGACGATCCGTCGCTTGACACCCGTCACCAGATCGACGTCCGCGGACACCGGGTGAAGGTCGCCCTGCAATTGCAACCGCAGCTGGCGGCGGGCGCTCTTTCGCTCGGGACTTGGCAGAGATCTCTGTGCCATATGGCATGGGACAGCGCACACGGTGGGGGAGTGAGATCGTCGCGCGCACCTTGTCAGCGGTGCCGCAGGGCGCCATGCCGTTCGCAAGAGGGCCGCGGACGTCCAAGATCGCGGAGAGCGGGATCCCGACCTGCTCGCGAATCATGCCGGCAGACGTTGTCGCCCCGCGCACCTCGCGCGGCATCCGGTCGAGATCAACCAGGCCGCCTGTCAGGCGCTTGAGGTCCCGTGAGGCGAGGATCCTCGCGACGAGGATCCTGAAGCCCCCCGGGAGCGAAACGTCCTCGACTGCACCAACCACAATGCACCAGTGGTCAAGTAGGAACCCGTCTCGCAGCACGAACCGGACGCGCACGTAGGCGCCGCGCTCGATGACCCAAGGCTCCCCGCCGTCGACCGTGACCTCGATCGGCGGGAAGTCGCCGAACTCGTCGACGACGGCCTGCCAGGTCGTCGGCAGCGTCGTCGACGTGCCGAGACCGGCGTGCACGACGTCGCCGAGGTACACCCACATGCCGACCGGGGGCCGTGGCGCCGCCCCCGGGTCGCTCTGCGCAGGATCGACCGTGTGCACGATCGCCATTCCGTGAACTGGACGGAACAGACCAAACCAACCAGCGTCCGTGTTGCCGGTGCGTTTGCTGTCCAGCTCCCCCGCGTCGCCTGCGGAGGGCAGCGGCACGCGGCGCGAGGGGCTCGTCGCCGAAAGAAGTGGCGACGAGCACGTGCCCTCCGCCCGGAGCGCTGCGGCTTGGGCAGGCGGGACTGGCACGAGAGGCGGTGGCGGTGCAAAAACACCGCCGCTGGCCGGCAGTGGGGCCCCGACCTGCGCACCAGTGGTCGCACCGCGCCGCGCGATCGACGAAGCGGCCTGCGCGGCAGGCAGCGCCCGTACGACGCCCCGCCGCCGCGCGCAGTACGATGGCTCACCTGCGCGTGTGCCCCGAAACCATCTGTCAAGGGGCGATCCGGAGGACGTGTGCGGACGTCGCGTATCCCGGCCTTGGGCACACGGTCCACGACGAGAGGTCCGAGCGCCGACCTGTCTGCGGTCGTGCGCGACACAAACGCGCCGTGGCATGAGAACCAAGGCTGGAAATCGCTGCCGCCGCGCATGCGAGGGCGCAGGGCGCGTTTCCCGACCGCATGCGACTTTTTCAAGGTATATAGATGGCGTTTCGTCGGGCCTGGGCGAGAGAGGGGCTCTCGCCCCGACGCGGTGGACGCGAACGTACAAACGGCCATTGCGGTCACCTGCCGCTGCCCGCCAGGGCCCGCCTCGCACGTGCCGCATCCAGATTCCACTTGTGGGCGGCTTGCGTGGACCACGACCGATGCCCGGCTCGCCCGAAGCTGCGCGCACGCACCACTACGCGCGGGGGATGAGAGGCGTGATGACAGGGCAGCGCGCGCGCGTGGCGGGGTGCGACGGTGGAGCAGTGGTGCTGGTCACGGGGACGCGAACCTGGCAGCAGAGACCTCGCACGAGACCGCGGGTCACGAGCAGCGAGCAGGCCGCGAGCGCGCCCGAGGCGCTCGCATGGGGGAATGGCCAGCCTTGTCGCGGGAGCGCACGGCCCGCGCCAAGGCGACCACCCGCATGGCCATGAATGCAATGAAAGCGTCAGGGCGCGCCCAAGGACCGCGGCGAGGCTGGGGGTGTCTGGCCTGGAGGTGTGGCCGCAAGGGCCGGCGCGGGGACGCCGCCGCGCAGTCCCGGCGCTCTACAGCGCGGCCATCGCGGGCCGACGACCAAGTCTCCCATCCCGCGGACCCGAAAAGCCCCACACCGCGTGGAAGAGGACCTCGGGCCAACGGGGGAGGAGCCCGCAGGCAGCGCGGCGGAACAAGGAACCGCACTCGGAGCCCCTGCGGGACCGCGGCGATGCTCATGCGCAGCCTCGGGGGGAAACTGTCCCCGGTGCGCGGCGCAGCCCGCTCTTTGCCCCGCGGGACGCGAGCTCACGCCCCTGCACGCCCCGCGTGACTTGCGCCCGACTGGAGCTGGCGCCCCCGACCAGCCCCAGAGCGCGCACCGGCCCGCCGCAGACATCGCGGGAGCCCGCGAGCACGCCACCCGCGCGCGCCCGCCCCCGCCGCATCCCCCGCGTCATCTCGCAGCGCTGCAGCCTGGTGACTTGCGGTCGCGCGCGCCTCGCGAATGCGGTGCACGCGGCCGCTTGTGCGGACCCTCGCGGCCCTGGTAGCCCGCAGGCCGCGCGCGACTCGCGTGCGCGGCGTGACTGTTTGCGATCGGTGCCTGACAGCTCCAATTCGAGGTCGTGCAGAGCCCGTGCCGGCGCGTGCGCCCACGCAGCGCAGCAGGCGCGTCGCTCGACGCCGGAGGACCGCGCTGGGCCGTCAAAATGCAGGTGTCGCCCGGAACAGGAGGTGCGGGGGGACCGGGGGCACGCCAGCGGGCGCGGGCTTGGTCGCGCGCTCCTGCGGGCCGGTGGTGGAGCGAGCCGAGGGTTGAGTGACGTCCATGCGCTCAGTCTGTAGCAAGCGCGACCTCGGGGGCGAAAAATCGGGGTATTGACCCTCGCGGCCGCTGCTGCAGCGGAGGGGTACCCAGGGGTCACATCAGGGCCGTTGTTTCCCGTCGCGGTGGCTGCAGCGTTGACCTAGCCGCCCAGCTGATCGCCTTGTTGTCTCATCGCAACAATGTTCATTTGGCTTTCCAGAGAGATAATGTTCGATCTCGTCGGGGTGCGCTCGCCCCGAGCCATGGAACAGCACGTTTACAGACTTCATTGTAATATACAAATTCCGCGTGGAGTAGGCAATAAATCTGCACTTGACAGTGTTTGTGGCTACATGCCCCGCTGGTGTCTGCCCGACGCAGGGGGGGGTGTATATGCCACGTCAGGGGGGGTGTCGCGCCCATAGTTCAGTGGTAGAACACCACGTTGTGGCCGTGGAGACCGCGGCTCAATTCCGCGTGGGCGCATGGCGTTTTGGTCATCAATGCCGCTCCTTTGCTGGGCTCCACTCCGCACGAGCACCCACCCCGCACGCTGGCCCACATGGCCGCCCCCCTGCGCCCGCTCGCCGCCGCCGCCCTGCGCCGCCGTCGCACGCGCCCCGCCCGCGCTGCTCGGCATGCGACGCCTCTGCACAACGACCCAGCGCCGCGACGACAGCACACTCACACTCTCGCGTGCCGGGGAGCGCGCTGGCCGACCTCCGTCTAAAGCCGGCGGCGGCTGGGCCGCGCGTCGTTTTCGTGTGATGCACGACACCGCATGGGGTGTCCGAAGCGCACGGCAACGCTCCGAGACCAAACACCCCGCCATGGCCATGGAGGCGCTGCGCATGCCGGCACGCCGCCGTGCCGCCCGTTCCGAACGACGGAGAGGCTGGGCAGCGCTGCGCAGGGACGGAGTGCCGCCCCGCTTGCGTCGCCGTCCTCGTCGGCGGCGGATACAACGGGCCGAAGATTGCGGTGCTCGTCGCGGCGGGTCGCTGCTCAGGTGGCGCAACAACGCGAGGGACAGCGTGGAGCTGCGCGGCCGCGCACACTCGCTCCTCGAGCACGACGTGACGGCCAGGCGTCGCCGCGCAGAGGCTGCCCGCCTGGACAGGCACTGGGGCGTCGACACGCCCGCCAAAGGCTGCAACTCGCCTGCTGCGGAGTCCTCCTCGCACACGTCGCGTCGCGCCCGACCAAGGACCGTAGAGACGTCTCATCGACGCCCGGGCGCGGTGCGCGTCGCTCCTCTGCGCCCACGCAGCACGGGCGGGGGCGCTCAGTGTGCTGCTTCCTTCAGCCCGCCCCTGCCTCGCCAGCGCCCCCACCTGGCGGACCCGGCACCGCATCGGCACGTCCTGCGAAGGACCTGCTGGCAGCGCTGCAGCCAGACACCTGGCCCTCGCGTACGAGGCCATGCGGCAGGGCAACCACCAGCCAGGCATCAACGGCCCTCCGCTGCGGTGCGGGACCGTGTGCGTGACGACGAGCTGCCCTCGGCCCAACGTAGTCCAGCTGCGTCACAAGCGCCGAAAGCAGCGCGGCACGCCGTGCGTGGCCGCGGGCGCACACTGGCATGGGAAACTGCTGCGTCGCGAAAAAACGCGGTCGGAAGGCCTCGCGGTCCGTCGCCGGGGCGCATGTGCGCCTCTATCAAGGTCTCTGCGTGATGTGCTGCGTGCGTGCGGCACAGCCGAGCCCCCACCAGGCCCGGCGGAGGGGCCTACTGCTGCCCTCACACCGAACCATCGCGGGCGGGCAGAGAGCGCAGTCCAGGCTCTGCCGCGCGACGCACTGGCGACCGTGGCGAGGGCCGGCGCGCAACGTCGCGGCAGTCGCCGATCGGCCCCGGGCCGCCCGCGACCCCTGTCCGACACGACCACCTGTCGCCCGACGCAGCCGACACGGGGGGGGTGTTGACCTCGTGGCTGAGCTGGAATGTCGGGCGGACTCCGCCCCCGAGAGCGCGAAACGCTTGCCTCGCTCCGTCCCACCGCGCCGCATCACACTCCTCCTCTGATCTCTCCAGTCCGCGTGTGGGTGCGGACGGGTGCGCGGTCAGGTGTGCCGCGTCAGGCGACTGTTGCCAGCCCCGGACCTCACACGCGACGCCGTCGCCGGCCCCCGCCGAAGCCTGGGGCGAGGGTCCTGGACGTCGTCAAGGACCCAAGTCCAGGCCAGCATCCGCTTGCGCCACGAGCTGGCTACTGGGTCTTAGGTCCCATATCCAGCATCTTCAGCCCCACCCACCACCTGGGACGAGGGTCCTGGAGGTCGTCGACCACCAGTCGACGCACGCCAGCAGCGAGGTCGAAGGCGACCGTGATGGGCAGCTGCACGGTGGTTTGAAAAAAGAAAAAACAGCTGTCAGGGGGGTGCCCGCCACGAGCGACGGTGGGGCGGTCGGGCACGCGCGCAGCAGCGTGCGATCGGCGTGTATCTCGTACCCAGTCGTCGAAACCGACCACGGGCGCCATGCCGTCCGTCGGGGCGCGCACGTCGGTGACGTCGCTGAGGGCTGCGGGCACCCGCTCCTCGATGAGCGCGGCACCGAACCCCGGCGAGGGCCCGTGCGGCTTGTCCCAGCCGACCCTGTCCGGGTCCACCTGCCCGCCGGACAGGCGCCGGGCGTCGAACGCGTCCGGGGCGCGTGCCACGATCAGCTCGTAGCCGCCCGGTGCCCCTTCTTTCGCGACCAAGGCGAGCGCGAGGCACCACTTGCTCACCCGCACTCCGTAGCGAAGCATGAATTCGACCAAGACCCACGATCCAGGCTGGATCGTCCACGGGCCGCCCTCGCCCACGGAGAGCTGAAAGGCCGGGAACGCCGACGGCACCGACATCTCGTCCATGAGCGCCGCCCACGTCACCGGGGGGTGACTCTCATCGGAGAGCCCCGCGTGGGCGACGCACGACATGCTGGGCCGGTCGCATTCCACCACGCGCTGGCCATCCGCGTCCGTCGTTCTGTAGTACACGCGGGCATACCCGTCGTAACACAAGGCGACCTCCGCGGTAACCCCAACGGGCTCGCCGCAGACCAGTGGCGAATTCCTCGGCACCATCGCCAGGACCACGACGTCGGTCCCGACCGGCAGCGACTCCAGCACCGGGTACGGTGTTGTCCTTGCGCAGTCCATGGCCGATCGAACCGCCACCGCCAGGCTGAGGCCGGGCGGCGACACCACGGCCGCGGCGCTCTGCGGCGCCTGGGGAGGTGGCGTCGGCGGTTCCTCGCGGGCGGGACCTGCGGTGCACCGCGGGGCTCGAGCAGCCTCAGACAGCGGGCAGCCAGGAGATGCACGTACGTGCTCGCGCGCTCACGCGGGTCCGCCCGCTTGAAGCGCGAGCACGATATTACCAGATCGCAAGGCCCGCTGCCGTGCTTGAGAGCGTGCCGCTGGGAGGACGAGCGATGGAGTCGAACGCTTTCCATGCGAGATCGGAGCGGCCTGACAGCCGTGCCCCCGCTCAGACGACACCGCGGTCGTGTGTCACGCAACAGCGCGTCCGAACCGTGTCTCGCTGGCTCAGATCGCAATGCGACGCGGCGCGGGCGCGGAAAAGCAGAGCCTCCACACGAGACCGCGACTCGTGAGGCTGCCGAACAGGGGCCTGGCGCGGCGCACCTGGCCCGTCTCCTGGCTTGGTCATTTGATGTGTTTGGTCGCTGCGGAGAGGCTCCCAGACGCACGCCACGGCGCGCGTTCTCTTGTGGACGCGCCTCCTGCGTCTTTTCTCGCGCTACGTGGCGCTGAACGATAGATCCACGGACCGCCACGGTGTCACGTGCCCAGCTGGCCCGGCCCGCAAACAGCTCCGGGCGGACGGACGGATGCACGCGCCGTGTCGACGTGGTTGACCGACCATGGAACAAAGTACCCCCCCCCGCGCAGACGACACCGCGGATAGATCGGCGTTGGCTCGCACGCGCAGCGCCTGCTCTCGGCGTGCTCACACGCCGAGCATGGTGGCCCACGGCAGCTGAAACACCACGTCGAGAGCCACCACGACATCCTACGCGCGCCGCCTGCCGCGCCGCCCGCTCGCTCCGGCCGCCCCTCCGCCCCCGCTCGCGCCCTGCACCGCGTCGCCTCCCACCACGTACTCCACCAGCCACGGCACGGCCCGCGCGTGCCACCACGGCACCGAGGCCAGCGCGACCGCCACCGCGACGGCCCCGAGCGCGACGACCTCCGCGGCGTCCCACGGGATCGGGCCCGTCATGCGCGCGAGCACGACGTTGTAGTGCATCTCCCTCGGCAGCGGCTCGCCCGAGAAGTGCACCCCGTCGCGGTGCACCTGCACCAACAAAAAACAACAACACAACGGAGGCGCGCGGTCACGCGCCCGTGCCGCCCCCCGCGCTCGCAGCACGCACGCACGCATCGCCCACGCGCACCTCGATCAGCGCCCCGGCCTCCGTCCCGTGCAGCCCGCCCCGCTCGTCCGCGCGAAACACCGCCTTCTCGACGTCGAGCACGCGCCGCCGACCCGCGCCCGCGGCGGCGGTGCGGCCGTGCGCGCGGGCGCGTGGGCCCGCGGCGCGTCGACGTGCGCGCCGCCGGGGCCGACGAGGCGGTCCACGGCGCCGGCGCGCGTCCTGTGGATGCCGACGGGCGTCACGTGGACGCGCAGCTTGGACACGCCGGGGAAGGAGACGCGGACCTCGTACGACGCCGAGGGGACCATGCCGGCGAGCGCGTACCTGCACCGTCACGCGCGCGGCGGGGCACGCGCGCGTCGTCGGCGGCGGGGGGACGCAGGCGCTTCTTGTTGCACGAGTCGCTTCGTGCGAGGGGCGTCGCGCCAGCCATGCGACGACGGTCGATGCGGACGGAGCGTTTGCCATGCGAGGATGCGGGGGGGCGTACAGGACGGGGCCGTCATCGATGCGGTGGACCTGGGCGCGCCGTGGTTCCCCCGCAACCAGCACCGGCAGCGTCGCGCCGCCCTCCGCGCTCCACGCCGCCAGCAGCACCCTCAGCGTCAGCAGGAACGTCAAGAACGACCACGCGCCCCTCATGGCGGCGCACTCATGATGCCGTCGGCGCCACTCCACGCCCCCACGCCACCAGCCAACGCCTCTTATGTGCCTCTCGTCGACGCGTGTCCGCCGAAACAGAGAAATCAACCCGTTCGTGCGCCCTGACGGAGTGTGACATACCTGACGCGGCCAGCGAGCCATTCGGGCGCGCGCACGGAGCCTCTCCGTGCGCGCGCGGAGTCCCGGGGGGGACCGATGCACGACACCAAGGTCGCCCCCGCCGCGCCATCGCCCCGCACAGCGCACGCCCGCGCGCACACCTGCCGCGGTGCTCGCCGGGCAGACGCACGCGCGAACGGCCGCAGGTGGGCGCGCGGTGACGCGGGGGCGGTGACGTGCGCGCGTCCGGTGGTGGTCGCCCTCGCAGGGCGCGCGCGGGGGCGGGATGGCGGGGGAGAAGCGGCGACTAGATACACCACGTCGTCAAGGTGAGGATGAGCGCGGGACACGTGCGGAAGCGCGCTCGTGCCTGCGCTGGCGCGCCCCCTCACCGGCTCGTCCCTGCAACCGACTCGGCTGACTGCGTCGTCCTTGTGCGCGTTCCCCCGGGCCTGTCCGCGCAGATGGGGATAGAGCTCCGAAGCGTGTTCGCGTGCAGCTCGGCGAGCCCCCCGTCCCGGACCCATCGCGTGGGCGGGGCAGAGGGAGAGGTCGTGGACAGAGATCGTGGGCTGGTCCCGGTGCGAGTCCCGCGTGCGAGGCCGCCCGGACGCTCAGTCACTCTTTGCGCGCGCCGCGACCCCAGAACACCGGTCATTCTAGGCTCTCACGCGCAGGGCAAGCCCCCCCGTACCCCTCGGCCGCACCCGGGCGCGGCTGGGCGCCCCGGGGCCGCGGTCCCGCGGACGGGGGGCGCATGTACGGAGGTCGGGGTCGGCGGGGACCGCGCGAGACCGCCGAGGATCGCTTCAGGCGGCTGGGCGTCGAGGAGAAGACGGAGGTGTTCCGCATCCGCTCGCGCCTCGACCTGGGCGGCGCGGGCGAGGGGCGCGAGGCCGCGGCGATGGCCGCGATGGCGGAGCTCGCCGAGGTCTTCAAGGACTGGCGGAAGTGCGACGACTTCAAGTGCGGCGCGATCCAGTACCACGCGCGCGCCCACCCGCAGCACAACTGTCCCCACACACCGCACCGTGCGCCCCCCCACGCACGCCGCGCAGGCTGGTGATGTCGACGGACGAGGAGCGCATGCTCGGCGGCAGCTTCCTGCCCCGGCGCGACGTGATCGAGCTGTGGCGCCAGAAGACGCGGATGGACGTGGTGTTTGACCGCGGGAGGTCGAGCTACTACTACAGGGCGCGCGACGAGACGTTCCCGCAGGACCGCAAGGGCGGGAAGCGCAACTGGAACCGCGCGGGCGACAAGCTCCAGGAGGTGCACGAGGCCGTCGAGATCTACGCGCTCCTGCCGTGCAACGAGTTCGGGGCGCGGACGCGCGCGACGAAGACGCAGTTCCTGGACGTGTGCGGCGGGCCGGGCGCGTTCACACAGGTGCTGCTGCGGGAGGCGCCGGAGCCGACGTTCGGGTTCGGCATCACGCTCAAGTGGGAGGGCATGAAGAAGGACGACCAGTGGTACGAGACGCTGTTCGACCACCCGGCGTTCCAGCCGCTGTTCGGCGCGGACGGCACGGGCGACGTGCTGCGCGCGGACAACGTCGAGAGCTTCCGGAAGGCCGTCGGGGAGGCCACCTGCGACATCGTCGTGGCCGACGGAGGTGCGCCTGCGTGGCGGTCCGCTCTGACGGAGCCCGGCTCTCGCCGCCCGTGCCTCACCAATCCCGCGACCTCAAACTCCCGTTCGTGCAGGGTTCGAGATTGGTCGCGACGCCGAGGGGCAGCACATGGAGAACATCCAGGAGCTGCTGTCGTGCCCGGTGATCCTCGGGGAGGTGCTCATCATGCTGTCTGCGATCAAGGAGGGCGGGAACTTCGTGTGCAAGCTCTTCGACACGCTGTCGCCGCTGACCGTCTCCCTGCTCTACCTGAGCACGGGGCTCTTCCGCGAGACGCTCATCGTGAAGCCCTTCCGCTCGCGCATCGTCAACTCGGAGCGCTACCTCGTCTCCAAGGGCTTCCTCGGCCGCAGCAACCCGCTCTTCGCCCCCACGCGCGACATGCTGGCCGCCGTGCACGCCGCCATGGAGCCGCACAAGCTCGCCATGTCGCCCGGGTCGGTGGTGCCGCTGCGCTGGATGCTCGAGGACGCGGAGTTCACGGCGACCGTCAACGAGATGAACGCGCAGCTCGCGGGGAAGCAGACGCAGGGGCTGGTCCACGTGATGGACCTGACCTTCCAGCTGCTGTCCGCGGACAGGGTCGACCTGGGGCCGGAGACGGACGCGGTCGAGGCTAAGGACGGCGTGCTGCCGGAGTACAGCGCCGCGGCGCAGCGCATGATGAAGCTGATGCACCACGCGGAGGGCGAGGCGCTGGGACGCGACGCCAAGCGCGAGGTGCCGCACATCGGGGAGATGGTCGGGCGCGGGCAGACGCACCGCGGGGGGATCGGGCTGTACAGCGGGGCCGGGGCGGGCGCCGCGGCCGCGCGCCCGGGGCTCGGGGCCCGCCCGAAGCCGGAGCCCGGCGCCGCCGACGTCTACGGCGACGGCGGGCTGCCGCGGGCCGGGCTGGGGTTCCCGAAGGCGGACCCGGAGGCCGACGACGCGCACGCAGTGGGGGCCGCGCCGGCGCCGCTCAGGCCCGACGTGGCGGCGCTGTACGGACCGGACGAGGACGAGGCGGGGGGTGCGGGGGCGGCGGCGGCGCCCCCGGACCCGTTCCTGGAGAAGTACCGGATCCAGAAGGTGCTGGGTGAGGGCACGTACAGCAAGATCCTGCAGGCGCGGAGCCTCGAGGACGGGTCGGTGGTGGCGCTGAAGATGGTGTCGCTGGATCAGCCGGGGGGGTTCCCGATCACGGGCCTGCGGGAGCTGCGCGTGCTGCAGGAGCTCAACCACCCGAACGTGATGCGGGCGCGCGAGGTGCACGCGTCGACGGGCCACGCGCTCGCGGCCGCGCCGGAGGAGGACGGCGACGCCGGCGGCGGGGGGCACAAGGAGACGTTCACTGGGCGGGACGTGCTGTACCAGGTGCTCGACTTCATGGACAGCGACCTGGAGGGCTGGATCCGGCGGATGCAGCCGACGCTCCCCGAGGTGAAGTGCATCGTCGGGCAGACGCTGGCGGGGCTGGCGTACCTGCACAGCGTGGGGTGGATGCACCGCGACATCAAGCCGGCGAACGTGCTGATGGACCGGCACGGGCGCGTGTGCCACGCGGACTTCGGGCTGGCGCGGTTCGTCGGGCGCGACCCCAACGTCCTGCGGTGGATGACCCCGGGGCTGTTTTCCATGTGGTTCCGCCCGCCCGAGATCCTCCTCGGCGCGCCCAAGTACGGGTACGCCGCGGACGTGTGGGCGGTCGGGTGCATCCTCGGCTTCGCGCTGCGGGGCACCGTCGCGGAGCCCAAGCACCTCTTCCGCGGCGAGGACGAGCGCGACCAGCTCAGCAAGATCCTCGACCTGACCGGGGAGCTCAGCCTCGAGGACTGGCCCGGGGTCAAGAGCCTCAGGGGCGCGCAGATGGTGCGCCGCGCAGCCCCGCGCCCCGACGCGCGCCGCCGCCGCCCAGGACTCAAAACCCACGCACGCGCACAACAAACAACGCAACGCTTTCCCCCGCCCCCGTCCGTCGCAGATCGAGTCGCGCATCCAGGAGGCCGGGATCCCGGAGTACGCGAAGCTGCGCGCCGCCCTGCCCGCGGACACGGACGACGCGGGGTTCGACCTCCTGCGGCAGCTCCTGCAGCTCAACCCGGGGAAGCGCATCACGGCCGCGGCGGCGCTGTCGCACCCGTGGTTCCAGTCGGAGCCGCTGCCGTGCGCGTCGGGCGAGCTGCGGCAGCTGGCCGCGGGGATGGGCCTGGAGATGGCTGCGCGCGAGGGGGCGCAGCAGGTGGACCTGACCAGGGGGCGCGGGCCGAAGAAGGCGTTCAAGACGGCCTTCTCCGCGCAGCACTACAAGAAGCAGTACACGGGTGCGTCGCTGGACGGCGGCCCGGTGTGCGCGCGTGCGCGCGTGGTAGTTGTTGTTGTTGTGGCCGGGTATGATTGTTTGATGGTGTCTCCGCGGACGCTGTGCTCGCAGGGGCGGACCGCCTCAGCCATCTCAAGCTCAAGAAGGCGGACGTCGCCGCCGAAGAGGACGGCAACGACGCAGACGGCGACGCAGCTCCGGCTGCGGGGGACGGCAACGACGCTGTGCCAGCCCCGGACGGCGAAGTCGCCGTCAAAAGAGAACCGGAGCACGAGGACGGAGACGGTGACGCCGCGGCGGAGGAGAAACCTCCTGCCGAGGCGTCTCCTGCACCTGCGGAAGAGAAACCAGCGGTGTGAGCTCTGATGTGATGCCGCGGAAGGCCCGGACCCACGAGCAGCGTCGCGACCTGCCCGCCTGCAGCGCTGTGCGCGATCCGGGGCGCGGCGGGGTCGCTAGCTGCGCGGTGTCGGCCGCGGAGGCGTGCGCGCTGTCCGGGTGCGGAGGTCCTGACGATCGGACGCGGTCGCCGGGGACCGCCGGCCCACGGCGGGCGCCGGTCCTCGCGCGGCCCGGGCGATCCGTGCCGACCGTGGTTCCGGTCGCACCTGACGCAGGCAAGGAGCCAGCACACCGTGGCAGGCCCCGGGGCCGCCTCTGGGGCCTTGGCGGCCGGCGCCGCGTGCGCACGCACTAGTTCGAGCACGAGCTGGCCTTCGCGCTGCATTCCAAGGGCGAGCGAGCACGGAGAGAGCGGGCCTGCGCTGCCCGGGTGCGCCGGTCCTGGGCCCAGCGTCTCGTGTAGGCCGCACCACGACGTTGGAGGGCCGTGGAGTGGCACCCGCTGGACCGCTCCTAGATCAGGCGGGCTGCCGCGCCCTGGGTTTCGGAGCCGGAAACGATGGCATCCGACACGTTCAAGGTGAAGAAGCCGGTGGCAGCCCCGGGGCTGCAGAGCAGATGGGTGACGTGGATAGCGGTGGTGGCGGTGTTCTGGGCGCTACCGTTCGCGTTCATGCTCGGCCGGGGCGATATCGGGCTCGCGGGGCGGTACTCCCAGAGTGCGGTGACGCACGTCCATCGGCAAGCAATGCAGGTGCGCAAACCGTCGCCCATAGCCTCGCGACACGCGGTCCAAGATGCGCACCTGGTCGGTCTCTAGCCTGATGTGTCGCTGAGCTGGGAAGGCAGGGTCTGTTGCGTGCGCGCCGGGCGCCGCTCGCCCCCTCATTCCGAGTGCTCCGTCCCGATCGCGACGTGCTGCGAGCCGAGGCACGGAGCGACGCAACGACACCGCCCGCCGGACGTGATGCAGGGCGAGGAGGAGGCAACGGATCGCAAGAACGTCGCCCTGGAGGCGGTCAAGGACCCAGACGAGCCCCCCGAGAAGCAGGCGAGCGCCCGTGCCAGCGCGAGCGCGCCATGCCCGCGTGCGCAGAGCCCCGCGCCGGCGCGGGCTGATGCTGACCCACGCGCCCAGATATGCGTTCGCGCGGCGCCGTCCTCCAGCTGGTGCGCGTGCGGGGCTCACTGGCCGCGGCCAGCACGGGCTCCCGCTCTCCCGGGGTCGTCGAGACCGGCTCTGTGCCCGATTGCGACGCAGATGTGGCTGGGCCGGGAGGACCTGGACGACCAGATCGAGGAGCGCGCCAAGGAGATCATGGAGAAGGGAATCGAGGGATACTATCTTTCGGGTCAACGCAAGAACCCCTGCTGGTTCCTCCAGCTCGTCCTCGACGACATGAACCGCGACACCGGCGTCGTCGCCATGTCCTCGCCATTCGAGGACGCCTTCTACGACCGCGCCATGTGCACAGGCGCGCAACACCCCCCCCCCCCGCCTCGCACCCTCCCCCAGCGTCCTGCAATGTGCACGGCCGCGCACCGCAGCCCCGCGGCACGTCGCCGCCCGCGGCGCCCCCGCGCCCACCTCGCCTCTGCCCGCGCCGCGTCCGCAGGCTTCTGGTGGGAGCTCAAGAAGCGCGGCGTGATCATGATCGGCGTGTCATCCTACGAGGAGTGGCCGGGCGAGATCGTCAACCCCTACGACTCGCGGTTCGTGCGCGAGGACCTCTGGGAGGTCGCGTCCGCCATGGAGGGCTGGCTGCACATGTTCCGGTGAGCGCCGGCCCCGACGTCGCACCGCAACGCGTGTGGCCCGCTCCCCCTCTCGTGCTCGCGTGACCGGCCTGTAGGCGCGCGGCCGCGACGCCAGGGCGGGCGTCCGCGCGCCCCGTCGGTCCCCTCCTCCGCCCTCACCTCGCGCCCCGTGCGGTGTTCGGCGCGCGCAGGCCGGAGCTGAAGCCGTGGCTGCCGCAGGGTGTGCCGCGGATCCTGATGTCCGAGTCCGACTTCGTGCACTCGGAGTGGGACGGGCTGCGGCCCGGGGCCTTCAACGTGGAGTACGACATGGTGTACGTCAACCGCGTCGCGGGCGCGGACTGGAACGTTTGGAACCGCAACTGGACGCTGGCGCAGGAGTCGTTCGTGCGGCTCATCAACGAGGCGGACTTCAAGATCGCGTCGATCGACCGGCCGCTGGACCAGGAGCACATGGACCGGATCCGCGAGGACCGGCGCGACAACTACCACGTGATCGGGGACCTGGCGTGGGGGGACTGGCTGGGCTTCATCCAGAAGTGCCGCATGCTCTTCGTGCCCAACGTGCACGACGCGTCGCCGCGCGTGATCACCGAGGCCATGTCCGTCAACCGCCCCGTGCTCATGAACTGGTACATCGTCGGCGGGTGGAAGTACATCGAAGAGTCCACGGGGGAGTTCTTCTACGACGAAGACGACGTGGTCGCCGCGGCCACGCGCCTCAAGGAGCGCTTCGAGGCCGGGAAGACCAACCCGCGGAGGTACGTCGAGGAGAACATCGGGTACCGCCGCAGCGGCGCGCGCCTGCGCGCCTTCCTGGAGCTCGCCGTGGGGCCCGAGAGGCTCAAGAACGCGAAACGCGACGCCATCAAGCACGGCCTGCGACCCATGGGCACCGCCGACTAGGGACACGCGCGGCCGGAGCGCCGCCGGCGGGCTCTGCGGCACGGACGCCAGAAGCATGTGAGCAACTCACCTAATCACACCGCGCGCGCAGCAGGCATGCGCGTCTATCCCACCGCGCCCTCCTCGCGCGACACCCCCACCAGCCCGCGCAGCCGCGCCGCGGTTTTCGACCCCCGCTCCCTGCTCGACGACGACGACGCGCGGCCCGTGGCCGGGCTCCGCGGCGGCGATCGGCGGCCGGTGCCGGGCCTCCCCGGCGGCGCAGCGACCGCCGGGAGGGGTCCGGCCGCGCCGCCCGCCCTCCGCGCCCCGCCCCGCCCCTCGAGGAGGTCCTTTCGCTCCACCTCCTCCAACACCCCCCGCAACGCCCCCGAGTACTCCCGCATCTCCGCCTCCGTCGGCGGCTCCGCGTCCGCCCCCGCCACGCCCACGTCGTCCATCTCCCCCTCCAAGCACCCCGTCAGCCACTCCACGTCCTCCTGCAGCGCCTCCTGCTCCGCCGCAAACAACGCCGACAGCTGACGCGACACCCCCGGGTCCTGGAGCATGCTCGCGAACCGCAGCCGGTCCCCCATGGCCTGCACCGCCTCCTGCAGGCCCTGCGCGCCCGTCGACGCCGTCGACGGCCGGCTGCTGCCGTCCACCACCAGCACGTCGGCGCCGCTGCTCCCGCGCACCGCCCCCGCGGCCGCCCGCGTGCCGCTCCCGGCGGACCGCAGCCGCCCGTGCTCGTCCGGAAAGCACCCGGCCGACCCCGGCCGCGCCGCGGTGCTCGGGCGCCCCCCCGAGGACGCCCCAGTGCCCGGACGCACGCCGTCCGAGGTGGACGGGTGGCTGCCTGGCCGCGAGGTGACGTGGCGGTACACGTTGCGGTGCCGGGCGTTCTCCAGCGAGAGTGCACGGGCCAGCGCGGGGTCCGAGGCGACGGCGCCGGGCGGCGGGAGGCCGCCAGCACTGGCGCGGAGCGCGGTCGGTGGTGGGGGGCCGCGCGGGGGGAGTCCCGGCGGGGTCGCGGGCGGGACGGGCGCGAACGCCTGCGTGTTGGGCGGGGAGAGCGCCGCGCTGCCGCCGACGCGCGTCGCGACCGCCGCGATCAGCATGCGCAGTTCCGTCTCCACGAGGTCACGCGCGGGGCTGTGGAGGATGATGTTCTTGCGCGCCGCGGCGGTCTCGGTGCGCAGACGCACCTGTACGAGGGAGTCGGGGGCGGTCTGGGTGGGGGCGGGTGCGGAGGGAGCTCGAGGCAGCGGGGGTGGATGCGGGGCGCTCACCTCGCCGATGATCTCCGCGAGGGCGCTCGCTTCGTCGAAGAGCGACTTGTTGGCTTCAATGCGCGCAGTGCCGATCGCTCGCCGGACCTGCGCGTCGGGAACGCGGGCGTTGTCGACGTGAGTTGCAGGTGGCGCTCTGCACGCTGCGACGCGCGGCTGCGTGCCTGGCGGGACGGGCCCTCGGCGGCGCGGCGAGACGGCGACGGTTGTGGCCCGGTGCGCTCGTCGCGCCGGCGGCTGGTCGGTGGCGCGAGCACGAGCGGCATCAGCGCCAGTGCGCTGAGAGCAGAGGAGCCGCGTGCCCGCCCGGAGCCAGCGGAGGGCCGAGAGGGCGGTGGAGTCAGCGCTCGGGCGGAGATGGTTCGCGTGAGCGCGCTGGGAGGGCGCGGGAGCGTTCGCAAGCGTCTGGCCAGCCGCGGGCGGTCGCTTCTTCTCAACAAGGGGAGCTTCGGCGCGAGCGTCTCACCTCGTCGTGCTCAGCCTCCGGGATGCTCCTGGAGATGTAGTCCCACAGCAGAGAGCGCACAACACGCAGCTCGTTCGCTGGCTGCACCACTGCCGCGGGTGCGGCCATGGCTCACACCCCGCGCAGCAGCGCAGCCCCGCCGATCGCGCGCCACCGTCGTACGACCCAGAATCGCGGCCCGCGACGACGCCCGTGTGAAAGTCTATGCGAGGCTCTCCAGAACGTCGCGTTCGCGCGCCCGGACCGGCGTGCAGGGCTTCGAAAAGGTCAGATGCCTGTGCAGGCTGTTCGTCCGTGATTGTTGAGCAGGACGCCTGCCGTTGACGCGGTTGGTGGAGCGCTTGACAGCGCGGGCCCGCACGGGCGCTGGTCCAACGAGGCGCAGGTGACGGTCGGACGTCGGAACTGGTACGACGAGCGCGTCGCGCGGAGGACCGACCGACTGCGGCGAGTCTGTGCAGCTCGAGTCGTCTCCTGCGCAGCGACCGCGCCCATCGCGCTGTTCGGCACTGCGGAACAGAGCGCCGAGACGCTCGGCCGAGGAATTTCTGCCGCTGCAGCCCGGGACAGCGGCCAGCTGGGCGGCTAGCAGTGCGCCTCGCCGCGCACCGCGCTCCATTATGCGGCTGCGGTGCCGTGGTCCGAAGGGACAGACGAACCTGACGAATATCACAGCGGAAACCACGGGCGACGAGCTGCTGCGGGCCGTGATCGCTCAGTGTGGCCTCACGGACGCGAATCCCGCGCAGGTCGAGCTCGCAGCGGGATTCCCTCCGACCGCCATCGATCTCTCAGATGGCCAGAAGACGCTCGCGCAGCTCGGAGTGCAGGACGGAGACACCCTGGTGGCGAAAATAGCCGCAGTACGTCCCCGCGGCACCACGCGCCACCTCCGTCCGCTGCAGCGGCGGAGCCGCTCCCCCGCGCCGCTCGGCCCGCCGGCACGCCCCCACAGTCCCCAACCCCATGCCGTCCACGCCCGCCGCGCCCGTGCCGCCGCAGGAGGTCCGGAGACCCGTCGCCGGCGCCGCGCCTGCCTCTGGCGCACGCACGGCGTCGGAGGGCGGTCCGGCGGGGTCCGCGCTCGACTCCGTCCCGCTGAACGACGGCACGGCGGCGCGCCTGGTCCGGCGGCAGGTGCCGTCGGACAACAGCTGTCTGTTCCGCTCGATAGGGTACGTGCTGGAGAAGACCATGGACGCGGCGGGGAAGATGCGGGCGACGGCGGCGCAGGTGGTGAGCAGCGACGCCACGACGTACAACGGCGCGTTCCTCGGGCGCGAGAACGAGGAGTACGTCGCGTGGATCCTCGACGACATGTGCGGAACCCCCCCCCCCTGCCTGACAGTGTGAAAGTGCCTGCCCTGGGTGCTGCGCCGCGCCGCGGTGCGACGGGGACGAGGTGCACGGCCGTGGTGTGCAGAAACTGGGGCGGCGCGATCGAGCTGTCGATCTTTTCGCAAGTGTTTTTGACGGAGATCGCGGCGTTCGACGTTCAGACGCGGCGGGTCGACGTGTACGGCGAGGGGAGCGGGCACGAGCAGCGCGTCATGGTCGTCTACAACGGCATCCACTACGACCCGCTCGGTGCGCGCCGCGGCGCCCCCGCGCCGCCCGGCACGCGGTCTGCGTTGTTCGTTTGCGCACTCACGTCGGTCGCGCTCCGTGTGCGCGCAGTCGTCGTCGAGAAGCCCGGCGCGCCGCAGGAGGAGGACGTGGCGCTGCTGGAGGTCGGGTCCGCGCGGTGCGACGCGGCGATGGCGGCGGCCGCGGAGCTGGTGCGGTCCTGCAACGAGCAGCGGAAGTTCACCGACGTCGCGGGCTTCTCGCTGAGGTGCGGGGTGTGCGAGAAGGGCCTCAAGGGGCAGAAGGAGGCCACGGAGCACGCAGCGGCGACGGGACACGCGAATTTCGTCGAGTTCTGACGAGCTAGCGCGCCGGGTCGCTTCGTTGCGCGGCGGCTGTTGCGTTCGGCGCTGCTTCTGCCTGGGCGGTGCCGGCGGGGCGTCGTGTTTTGTGACTCGCTGTGAAGCGGCAGATCACGCCAGCCCGCTTTGCTCAGCTCGTCTCCGCAGCGCACCGCCAACGACAGCAAGTTTGCGCGCGACACAACAGGCAGAGACCGTGATGCCGCGCACGGGACGGGACGCTGTGGCACGACCGCATTTGTGAGGTCGTCGGGACCTGCGCGGGGGCCGTGTCGCTGAGGAAAGTGCACCGAGGGGAGTCTCGAATATGGGACCCCCCTGCTGAGCACGATCGGGAGCGGGGCGAGCCGAGAAGAACACCTGCGCCGGCAGTTCGCGGCCGGCATTGCTCCCCTGCTACGGCGTGCGACGACTGCTGGCAAGTCTGAGATCAGTTTCATTGGAGGCCGCTCACGCATACGCAGCGTGTAGGTTGCAGGCGCACCTGGCGAGCGAGGAGCGCGACTTCGTCGTTGTTTCCGTGGCATGTTTGTTCAGTAGGTCCCACCGCGCGAGGCCGCTTGCACGGGCCTTCATGGCACGGCCTATCCTAGGACAACGGGCTAGCTGTCCACTGCAGATGAGCGTCTGAGCGCTCCCCGGGCCCTCAGGCGGCGCCTCGAGGTCCTCCATGCCGCGCGACACTGTTCCTCCACACAAGCTCGTACCACACACCGACTTCGCCGTCGATGCCTTCCAGTACGCGGCAGCAGCAGCGACGAAGCACACTGGAGCTTCCCGCCCGGGCCGTGGAATTCGCGCCTGGTTCCTTTCGCACGCCCACAGCGACCACTACACGGGCCTGACGGAACGATGGGACGCTGGGCCGATATACTGCTCCTCGATTACGGCGGACCTGCTCCAGCACCTGCTAGGTGACGCCCTGAATGACCACACCGTGCTCTCGTGTCAGCAGATGCAGCTGCCGCCTGCCGTGCGCTTCAGTTCAAGTGCGTGCGTTCAGGCGGCTCCTTCCCACCGACTGAGCTGAACATGAAGTCATCACGTTGCACTGTGCCGTCGCAGGTGTTCCCGAGTCGCTCCTGCACCGGCTGCCGATGGACACCCCCACGGACGTCATGGGCGTCGAGGTCACCCTGATCGACGCGAACCACTGCCCCGGGGCCGCCATCCTCCTCTTCAAGCTCCCCAGCGGAGCGCGCTACGTCCACACCGGGGACTTTCGGTTCTCCCCCAGGATGATCGAAGACCCGCATCTGCAGCGCTTCGTCGGCTGCGACGTGCTGTACCTCGACACGACCTACGGAGCCTCCCAGAAGCACGCGTGAGCTTCACACCCCCCTGGACAGCATGCACAGTTGGTGTTGTTGCCGAGTTCAGCGGACCGCCAACAGCGCACGCCCCTCGATGCGAGTGCGCGCAGGTTCGGCCCCCAGGAGGAGAGCATCGAGTACATCGCGAGCACCGCCGCGAAGGTGCTGGAGGAGGGGCAGAAGGCCAACGTCACGGTCGCCGTTGCCATCGCGACGTACGGGGTGAGTCTTTCAGCGCCCGACCTGGCGTTCAACGTCGACGCTGTGCAGAATGTTGCCCACAGGCTCTCTGCCGCCCCCCACCTGCCCACATATCTCAAGAACCGACGTATATATGTTTTTGTATGTTTTCCCGGCCGCGTTGCGCAGGTCGGCAAGGAGAGGATTCTCACGGCCGTGCACCAAGCGACCGGGGTTCCGATCTGCGTCGACGACCGGCGCCTGGGCGTCCTCAGGCTCCTGCGCCTGACAGACGTTGACGTCGACAGTGCGTTCACCACGGACCGTGCCGCGACGTCCGTCCACGGCGTGCGGTGGAACGTCATCGGCGAGACGTGGCCGTTCTTCCGCCCAAACTTCCAGGCCATGGAGGAGCTGCGCGAGGACCTCGGCGTCGACCGTCTGGTAGGGTTCGTGCCCTCGGGGTGGGTGCACAGCGCCCGGGACCGCGTGCGGAAGAAAGGCCCCCTGGAGGTGCACGTCGCGCCGTACTCCGAGCACAGCAGCTTCCCGGAGCTCGTCGAGCTGCTGAAATTCATCAAGCCGGGCGAAATGGTGCCCACCGTGGTCGGGGGAGGGGGGGGAGTCAACGGGGGGCCCAAGGCGAGAGCGCGCGAAGAGCGCAAGCTGCTCAAGCTCTTCTCGCCGTACCTGCACGGGTCCATGGCGAAGGCGGCGTTCATCTCCTCGGCGTTCGGGGGCGGGGCGAAGCAACAACAAGAACCGAGCGGAGAACGGCCTGTGCAGGGGAACGCCGCGCCGGACGATGAGACGCGCGGAGATGCAGCGGAACAGAACGGTGATGACGCGGGTCCGGGTACTGTTCCGGCCTCGGGCGAGCACGACGCCAACGGCGAGCACGACGATGATGCCACGAATCAACCGCGGAGCGACGACGGGGACGGCTCCGACAGCGACGGCATCGTCATCGTGAGCAAGAACAATGTACAGCCTGGCGAGCGGAAAGGAAAGCGGAGAGAAGCTGACGGCGGGGCGCCGACGCGCGATCCAGACTGCGGCGACTCGCAGCTGTCGCCGGCGAAGGCAGCAGCGGTGGACGAGGTGCTCGCGGTGCTCGGAGAGGAGCTGCAGCGAGAGGAGGTGGTCGGCCTGCTGCGTGCGTCGCAGTGGCGGCCCCAGGACGCCATCAACAAGCACCTGGACGGTTCAAAGGCGGCGTCGCCGGCCAAGGGCACGACGGCGGGCGTAAAGCGGCCCCGACCTTCGCAGGACACGCCGAAGGGCTCGACGAAGCGGGGCAGCACGCCGCGCGCATCAGGACGACAAGCAGGGGGCGGCGCGAAAAGGGCGAAGACGGCGGGGGGCGGCGCAGCCCAGCGCAGCATCCTGTCGTTTTTTGCCCCCAAGCCGGGGGCAGCGAAGCAGGAAGCCGAGCCCGCCGCGGAGCCCGAGGTATTGGAAGACGGCAGGTCCACGCCTGCGGAGGCGAACGGGAAGACTGCGGTGAGAAAGGGCGCAAGTGGGGGGGCGCTCGCGCACGAGGGTGCGAATTCCGCGCCGCTGTCCGTCTCGGACGACGAGCGGCCTGCGTCGCCCGCGCAGGATTCGCGTACCACGCAGCCGGACCCGGCGTGGCACTCTGAGCGCCGGGAGCAGCAGCCAGAGCATGAGGTGGAGGTCAGCACTCAAGATGAGAAGAAGAACCCCGCTGCCTCGATATTCCAGGGTGCGAAAAGCGCATCCGTTCCAGCAGCTTCGATCGCAGCCGACATCACCGTGCCCCTCGCGGACTACGACCCCGAAAAGGCAGTTGCCTGGGGCTCCGAAGACGAGGTTCCCTATCTGCACGTCGCAAACACACTCGAGGTCCTGGCGTCCACGTCCGGCCGCAACGCCGGCTCCGATGCGCTGACCAACATGTTCAGGTCCGTGTTCGCGCTGCGTCGCTCCGAGATCACCGACGTCGTGTACGCGACGATCGGGAAGCTGGCGCCCGACTACGAGGGCGGCGCCGACATGGGCGTCGGAGGCAGCACCGTCATCCAGGCCATCTGCGAGGCGACGGGCACGCAGCGCGCCCGCATCTCGAAGCTTTACCGCGAGACCGGCGACCTCGGTGACGCGGCGGGGAAGCTGTCGGGCGGGCAGGCGCTGCTGCGCGCCCCCAAGCCCCTCACCGTCGCGAAAGTGATGGGCACGCTGCGGAAGATCGCCGCCGCGCAGGGGTCCGGCTCGCAGCTCCAGAAGCGCTCCGCGGCCGTCGGTCTCCTGCGCGCGTGCCGCGGATGCGAAATGCGCTTCCTGGTGCGCACGCTCTCGTCCAACCTGCGCGTCGGCGCGGGCTGGCGCACGGTTCTGGCCGCGCTGGGCCGCGCCGCGCTCCTCGACGAGGAGCGCCGGAACGGCAGCGCGCCGACGTCGGTGCCAAAGAAGCGCCTCGACGCTGCGGGGCAGCTGGTGCTGGACGCGTACCAGACGTGCCCGTCGGTGAACGAGGTCGTCGACGCGCTGCTGGCCGGGCCCGTCGAGGACCTGCCGGCGCGCAGCGGTGCGCGGCTGATGGCGCCCGTCCAGCCAATGCTTGCAATCCCCGTGTCGCCAGGTACGCACGCGACGCACGTTGCACCGCGATGTCCGCCACGGCGCCTTGCGTCACGGCGCCTTGCGCGGCTCCCGCGGCCCTGGTGTCTCGCTCATGTCGGGGGGCACTGCTGCTGTGCTCTCGTGCAGACGTCGAGGACCCCGCGGCGTGGGCCGTGACCAAGCTCGGCCTGCCTTTCCTCGCCGAGCACAAGTACGACGGCCAGCGCATCCAGGTGCATCTGTCCAGGGACGGCCGGGCGCGCGTCTTCTCCCGCAACTGCGAAGACCGCACCAAGGCCTTCCCGGACGTCGTCAAGGCCCTGGCAGCGGCCTCGCGACGCGACACGCTCATCGTCGATGCGGAGGTCGTCGGCATCGACTGGCTGCCCGGCGTCAGCCGCGAACAGTGGCGGCCGGACGGCACCGGAGGTGCGGCGCGGCCGTACCGCCTGCGAGCCTTCCAGGAGCTCGCCACGCGCCCGCGCGGGAGCAGCACCACGACGGAGCCGCCTCCCGCCACGCCGGACATCGAGGTCTGCGCCTTCTGCTTCGACTTGTTGCTCGAGGACGGAGAGAGCCTCCTGCCGCTGCCGCTGAGCGAGCGGCGCGCGCGGCTCGCGGCGGCGATCGCGCCCACGACCGGCGTCGTCGAGGTCGCGCAGGGCACGGTGATTTCCGCGGACGACGCGGCGGGCGCGGAGTCCGACAGCACGGCACCAGCGGCGGCGCAAATCATGCAGCACATGTCGGAGGCGTGGGCCGCGGGGGCCGAGGGGCTGGTGCTCAAGGCGCTGCCTGACAAGGGCCATCCCGTGCCAGCGCCGGAGCTTCCGCTCGCGCCCGTGCCGTCGCGGTACGAGCCGGGGAAACGTTCGCAGTACTGGATCAAGATGAAGCGGGACTATTTGAAGGAGCTCAGGGACTCGCTGGACGTGGTGGTGATCGGAGCGTGGTTCGGGACGGGGCGGAAGCACAAGTGGCTGTCGCCGTTCCTGCTCGCGGTGCGCGACCCCGACTCGGGCGACCTGCAGTCCCTGTGTCGCTGCATGTCCGGGTTCAGCGACGCGTTCTACCAGGAGGCGACGGCGCGGCTGCTCGCGAAGGCCGTGGAGGTGCCGCCGCCGTACTACCGCACGGGGGAGTCCCCCGCGGTGTGGTTCGGGGGGGAGTTGGAGGTGTGGGAGATCACGGGCGCGGACCTGAGCATCAGCCCGGTGCACCGCGCGGCGGAGGGCCGCGTCGCGGGCGCGGCGGGGGGCGTCGCGCTGCGCTTCCCGCGGTTCCTGCGCGTGCGGCCGGACAAGACCGCCGACGAGGCCACTGACGCCGCCAGGGTTGCGGACATGTACGCGGCGCAGACACGGCGGGCGCAGTGACGGCGGCCGGGCCCCGGGGAGACGCGCGTGTGTGCGTTGTAGTCTTCACATGCCGTAACGGGCGTTCGCGACGACGGCCTCAGGACGTCGCGTGCGTTGATGAATGGAGTACATGCCCATGTAATGCGGGCTCGGTGGAGCAGCACTGCGGGGCGCTCGACGGCGCACGGGGTCGCGATGGAGCAGTGGCTGGCGGCGCGCGGGTGCGCAGCCCAGAGGCGGGCAAAATCCAGCCTGAGCAGCAGGGGGGGGAGTGTCCCGACGCAGCGTGCGCCTAGGCCTCCTCGTGCTTGCGCGAGCGCGCGCCGAGCCGCACGTCGCGGCCCCGGCTCTTGCCGACGCCGACGAGCGCCATCTGCGACCGCACCCCGGCGCCCGTCGCCGCCCGCGCCCCGCGGAACGACGGGTCGGAGGCCCAGCGCTTGAAGTCGTCCGCGATGCGGTTCATGAACGGCTTCTGGATCAGCCCGACCGTGCTGCCCATCCCCGTCGCGATCGTCGACTCCAGCAGGCCCTTGGGGACCAGCTTGAACGGGCCCGGCGGCTCGCCGCCCAGCTGCAGCGGAACAGCACACGGCGCCGCGGGCGTCAGCAGGGGGCGCGAACCGCGGCGACACGGACGCGCGCGCGCGCGGGAAGCCGAGCAGAGGGCATCGGGCGCGCGCATTCGGGGCGCGGGTGCGTCGCGGGGTCGGCACCTCGAGGTTCGTGGAGCAGTACACGTGGGAATCCTTCCCCGCCGACTGCCAGGAGAACTTGGTGGAGCCGACGACGGTGACGGCCTCGTTGAGCGCGCGGATGATGGCCTGGGACCCCTGCGAGGGCGCGGGGCCGCGGGGAGCCCGGGTGTGCCTACCAGATAATGGCCGGTGCGGATGACGACGGGCGCGACGCGCCTGCCGCGGATGCCTATCGCGGCGGGGCTAGGGGTCGACGTGCATTCCGGGCGGCGCGGGAACGCGCGCGACTAGAGGCCGGGCGTCCCCTGCGCGTGAGCATTCCCCGAGGGCGGGCTCGCACGGCGCGGGGGCGACGCGGCGGCGCGCGTGGCGCGTGTGTCGGGCGCGAACCTGGAGCTCGAACTTCTCGACGTGCATGACGAGCGCCGGGTGGTCCCCTTCGATGCGTTCCGCGCGCAGGAGGACGTGGGGGCTGATTTTCAGGTCGAAGATCCTCATGTCCGGGACTACCAGCTCGAGGTGGTCGTTTCCGGCGAGGGTCATCTTCGCTCCTGCACGATACAGGGGCGGAGCAGCCGCAGGGATGGGTTTCGGGCGGTGCGTCCGCGGGCATAGGCTGCCCGAGCGCCGAGGCTAGCAACAGAGGCGACCTGGCCGGGCACTGCGGGCTGCCAGGTCCACGGAGGGGCCTAGGCCGCCAGCGCGGTGGCCGACATCGGAGAACGAATTACGAGGAGCGTGATGGTCCGTGCAGACCGAGCACGCGCTGCGCACGGGCGCCGCGCGGACGGTCACCGTCTCGTCCACAGGTCGTCCTGAGAAGCGCTGCGAGCCGGGCGCGCGCGCGGACGAGCCGTGCGTCCGGACGAGCACGAGCCACCGGGGGCGCGCGCGGCGACCGCCCGAGGCCCGCTCCGTTCCCCAGCGGCCCGCGCGGGTTCCATCTCTGCCCCAGAGCACGGGGACGGTCAAGCGGGCGCGCACCGAGCGGGAGCTGCAGCTGCGCGAACTCCTCGAGCGGCATCCGCATATACCGGTCCAGGGACAGCGAGGGGTCCGCGTTGTCGTGCACCTTCGCCGACGAAAACGCCTCCACCGGCACCTGCACCATCGACACGCAAGTCGCGCCGCGCGCGTCAGCTCCGCGCATCGCACAGCGTTCGAACGCCCGGGACACGCGCGTTGCGGCCAGTTCTACGCCGCTGGGCGCGGCAGCGGCGCAATGGCGCTCCCTGCCGCGCAGGAACGCGGGGCAAGTGTCCAGGCCAAGAGCTGCCCAGCTGCAGCTCTCGTGGGGCGACGCGCGCGGCGGGGCGCGGGCCGGGGAGACACGCGCGGGGCGGCGGGGGCGCTCACCCGCACGTAGCTCCCGCTCTCTCCTCGCCCGTTGCCCTGTCCGAAAACGCGCGCGGCCGCGCAGCGCGCGGGGCGCCGGTGGCTGTGTGCGAGTGGCGGTGGGGGCGCGCCCAGGGGCGTGCGCGCGGCCGGGGGCGCCCGCGGCGCGGCGCGCGGGACGGTCCTAGAGCTGCATGGCTGGCACGCGGCCAACGCCGACGGCATCGCCTCTGGCGTGCGGCGCGGCGGGCTCAGTCGAGAGGTAGTAGGCTATCTGGAATGCGAAATTCACGAATGCGGATGGCTCGTTCGCTTCCTGGGTGCTCCTGGTGCACGCGTCCGGTGGTCCGCGTCGCAATGCGCGGGCCGGCGCGGCCAGCAGCGCCTCGAGCACGCCGTGGAAGGAGGTGTGTCGCTCCCTGGTCCCCACTCCCCCCCCGGCCCGCACAGCCGTACGCCCGGCGGCGCGTCAACGCTGGCCCGGCGGGCAGGCGCGGGCGCGCTGGCAGCTCGCCGGCGGGCGTCGGAGGGGCCGCGCGCTGCCCACGTGTCCGGTCCCACCCGCGCAAAGGTCCCCTGCAACCACAGACGCAGTCAACTGCGGGTGGAGGTCGCGGGCCGCGGCGGCGTGAGCCAGCGCGCGGCGCGCCATGCAGCCCTGGGCCAGCGGTATCCAGGGCGGAGTCACGCGGCGCGGGTTCCGGCGTGGAGGGCGTGCGTCGGCCCGCATGTGAACACGGCGTTCACTGCTTCCCGGAATGCGTCGCCACGGACGGATCGGAGCGCGGGCTGCGGTTGACAGACCTCGCGTCTTTCGATGAAAGTGCCAAAGGAATCGTCGGGATGGTCCAGCGCGCCCCCGGCGGCCCCTGCAGCTCCGCGCTGGACCGGCGCCACGCCGGGGTGTGACCGCAGCCCTGGGGGGAATCCCGCGGTTCCCGGACCGCGAGAGGCCCGGCCGCGCGCGCATGGTATCGCGAGGGGCATCCCAGGAGGATGGCGGCCGGTCTGCGCCGCTCGCCTGGACGCACCGCCGCCCCAACCTCAATCCTCTCGCACGTTTCGCGAACGCGCGCCTTGTCCGCGGACTCCAGGGGCGATGCCGCCGTGGCCGGTGATTTTCATTGCATATCATCACGGCTTGCGCCCCGTCGGCCTCCGAATCCGGCCTTGCTCGACGCGCCGGCAATAGGGGAGTTTTATCGGATGGTGCGGAGGCGCCGCCCGGCTCTTCGGCGGCCCCGCGCGCGTGCGTGCCGCCATATTCACGCACCCCGCACATGAGGCTGCTCGTTTGATCGCAAGGCGAGCGCTTGCGAACCACATACAGTCGCGTCCGAGGATACGCAGTTGGAGGACGTGGGCTCGCACCGCGCCGACGAGCAGCGATGGCGCAGGCGTCTGCGCCCGTCCCGCCGATTGGCCAGCAAATAGGCGCCGGGCGCGGTCCGGGGCACCCGCAGGACGGCAACAAGGGCGGATTGAGCTCCCTCTTCATGGAGAGCGCGGCCCCCCCAGGCTCCGCGGCGCTCGCGGCCCCCTCGATGACGTTGCCGGTGCCCATCCCGGGCTCCGCGGGTCTCTCGTCCGCCCCGTCGGCCGCGTTCAGCCTGCCCACAACCATGCCGATGTGGGTGCCCGCTCAACCTGGTGTATTAATGCCGGGCTTCCTGCCGCCCCCGAGCGGCTCGAGCACGCCCATCTACATCGGCTCGGCCGCCAGGCACAGCGGCAAGCCGGACAGCGGGTCGACGCTGCAGACGGGCTGCTCTCCGACCGGCACGGAGCCGAGCGCTGCCCAGACCGTAGTGCAAGGCGCGCCAGCGCACCGCCGCTTGAACCGCACGTCGATGCAGGGCGCGACCCCGGGCTCGCTCAAGGCCAATGCACAGGTGCGAATGCGCGCGCGCGCGCGCCAAGGCTCGCTGCCGCGGCCAATCTGGCCGGGTCCAAATGAGCCCGTGCGGTTCGGCGGCCATCCGGGAAAACCTCCGACGCGGCGCCCCTCGCCCGCAGATCGCCAAGGCAGGCGGCGGCCCAATCAAGTACCGTGGAGTGCGGCAGCGCCCGTGGGGCAAGTTCGCCGCCGAGATCCGGGATCCGACCAAAGGCGCTCGACTTTGGTTGGGCACGTTCGACACCGCCGAGGAGGCCGCGCGCGCATACGACCGCGCCGCCCGATCCATTCGCGGCCCGAAAGCCGTCACCAACTTCCAGATCGAGGACGGGGACTTCGAGGAGCCCGTCAGCGCCAAGGTGAGCATCGTCGCGCTTCTGGTCCGTTTGCGTCGCCGCGGCCTCGGCCGCGCCTCCCGCGCGCGCGCACGCGCCCCCCACACTCTGCTCGGGCAAACCTACCGCGCCATCGCCGACGTTGTCCCCAACTGCGGCACCCAGCGGGCCTAGCCCCTCGTACCAATCGAGCCCGTCGTTACGCCTCGCGACACGCTTCCCCCGCCAGCTGGCCGGCAAACTGCCCTCCCCAGATTCTCACCTCCCGCCCACGCCGCCCGTCGGCGCCCCCCGCATCGCCTACAACGCGCTGTCGCCACCTCAAGGTCACGCCCGCTCTGTGCGCCTGCAGGACTTCCACTTGCTCGCGCAGTCCGCTCCGGTCCACACCGGCGACCTCGAGGCCCGCTTCGGCGGCTCCAGGGCACGCCCGACGCACTCGGAGGAGACGGACGAGAAAGTCGAGCCGCAGCCGACGCGGCGATCCTCCAGGAGGTGCGCGCCTGCCTCGCTGGGGACGCGCCGCCGCGCGCGCCGCTCCCGGACGCGCGTGGGCCCGCGCTCCCGCTCGCGGCGCACTTGTCGCGCGTGCGAAGCGCTCGGCGGGCCGGCGGAGCGTCGCGCGCGCCCTGTGTTGCCGCGGCTGAGCCGGGTGGTTGACTGGGACTTCAACTGCAGGCACGAAAACAAGGAGATGGAGGACCTGGCCGAGGCGCTGCTCATGCTGGGCGGCATGGACGCGTGAGCGACGTGCAGGACGGTCGATGTACATACGCGCGCGACGCCGGGAAGGAGCGCCACGCAGGCTCCCGCTACGGGGGCGGGCGCTCCGGGCTGGTGGCTGCAGGCGGGGGCCGCCAGACCGGCCCCCCCGGGCCTCGTCGCGCGCTGGGCTGTCCCCGGCAAGCACCTAGTTTCTTCTGCTCGCTCTCCAGGGCGACGCGCCTGCGCCAGTGTCGTGCGGCCAGACGCAGGCCTGCATTTTGCCCGCCTGCTCAACACACACGCACTTGCCGGGCGTGGCTCCGCGACACGGGCGCGCACCAGCGTCGATCGGAGAGCGAGACGGCGCGGCCCCCGGCGCCCCAACACCCGGCGTCGGGCACGCGCCCAGCTCGTCCACGGCACTCGGTGCAGCCGTCCGAGGTCGCAGCATCGTCGACAACCCCGCCCCCTCCCCTTTTGCTTCCTTCTCCCTCCCCGACCCTCAACGTGGTGCCCGCGTCATGTTCCCCCCCCCTCCCCGCCACTGTTCCCCTCCCCCCCCCTCATTCCCTGGATAATTTGGCAATGACGATCACGTCGCGTCGAGGTACCGTCCAGTGCTTCCGACAAAGCTATTTCCACTCCATCCACATCTGCCCTGCGCCACCGGCAGCGTAGCCGGACCCTCGCGCCAGGCGCAGCGCTTCTGCTCCCGCGCAGCCAGGCACCATGGCTGCCCGCAGACAGTTTGACACTCCGCCCCTCGGCACCCGCACCTCCACACAGCGGTGCGCTGCCACGCCACTGCCGCACAGCGCGCCAGGGCGGAAGGGAAGATCTGCTTGCATGAAGGCGGGCCGCGCAAACTCTGGCATGCCCGGGCGTGCTCGCCCCCATGCGCCGCGGCATGTGTCTCCAAGCTATCTACCGAAACACCCCTCCCTGGACTCTGCACATACGGGGACGGTCTCGGTGCGTTCCGATGCCTAGGCCGGCCCAGAGCTCCCCTCGCCCGCCCGCCCCTGCGCGTGGCTGTGCGCACAGGGGCGCTCCTGGGCCATACATTGGGGTGGCCGGGGCCACGCGAACGCGAACGCGAACTCAAGCAGAGCCGCTGGATCCCGATCGACGCGGCGCCCCGTCCCGCACGGGTCGTGCGCGCCCCCAGGCACGTGCCACCTGCACAAGCCCCTCCCTCGGCAGTGCTCGAGTGGAGCATGTGAGTCTGACAGATCGGGCCGCAAAGGACTGACTCAGTCGGTGACACCCCACAACAAGGGTGGAAGGGCGCTGGTGGGACGCCACATCGCGTTTGTCACTGCATGTTCAATACATCGCCCACCTGCGCTGGGGCGGCGATGCGCTGGCGTCCTGAACAGCAACGTATGCCACAGGGCCCGACACGCCGAGACAGCCGCGAGCCGCAGGGTGCGCCGACAAGCAGCTCTCACACGGCTCCGTGTGCCGCCCCGCGTGCCCCCAAAACACCCCCCGGGCGGTCCACGCTCAGCTCGACGCGGCCTCGGCAATCTCCTTCTGCTTCTCCCGCGCGCTGTCCCGGTCGGCCACGCGCGCCTCGCTGGCCTCCTCGAGCGTCCGGCGCTTCCGCACCAGCTCGTAGCACTCGATGACGTCCCCCTCCTGGAAGTCCTTGAAGCCCTCCAACCCCACGCCGCACTCCGTCCCCGCCTCCACCTCGTCCACCAGCTCCGTGAAGCGCCGGATCGACAGCACCGCGGCCTTCTCGACCGCGTAGTTCTTCCGCCCGCGCTTGACCGCCGCGAACGCCCCCTTGCGCAGCGCGCCGTCCACCACCTCCACGCCCGCCACCTTGCCGGCCTTGCCGCCGCCGAAGACCGCCTTCACCTCGGCCTTCCCGATGTCCATGCGCTCCATCACGGGCGCGAGGTGGCCCTCCATCATCCCGCGCACGTCGTCGATCAGGTCGTAGATGATGCGGTACGTCCGAATCTCCACGTTCTGCTGCTTGGCGCGCGACGTGACCGACTCGCTCGGGGTCACGTTGAACGCCACGACCAGGCCCTGCGACGCCGCCGCGAGGTCGATGTCCGACTCGGTCACCTCGCCCGCGCCCGCCAGCAGGTACCGCAGCGAGACGCGGTCCTGCGGGAGGTTGCCCAGCGCGCCCTTGATGGCCTCGACCGTCCCGGACGCGTCCGCCTTCAGGATGATGTTGATCCGCTGCAGCATGTCGTCCACGTCGATGCCGTCCACGGACACCAGCGTCGACGCCGTCACCATCGACTCGCCCATCTGCGACGCGAGGCGCTCCGTGCGCTCCGTCGCGCCGGCCTCGCCCGCCGCGGACCGCGCCGCCGACTCGTCCTCGTACACCTGGAACACCGTCCCCGCCGTCGGCACCGCGTTCAGCCCAAACATCTGCACCGCCGTCGACGGGCCCGCCTCCTCCACCGTCGCGCCGCGGTCGTTCACCATCGCGCGCACGCGGCCGAACGCCGACCCGCACACCACCACGTCGCCGACCTTGAGCGTCCCGGCCTGCACCAGAATGCTCGCCGCCGCGCCCCGCTTCTGGTCCATCTGCGCCTCGATCACCGTCCCGCTGGCGTTGCGCTTGGGGTTCGCCACCAGCTCCTGCACCTCCGCGACGAGCAGGAGCGTCTCGAGGAGCTCCGTCACGCCCGTGCCCTTCTTCGCGGACACGGGGATGACGGGCACGTCCCCGCCCCACTCCTCGCACAGCAGGCCGACCTCCGCGAGGCCCGCCTTGGTGCGCTCGACGTCCGCGCCGTCCTTGTCGATCTTGTTCACGGCCACCACGATCGGGACGCCCGCGGCCTGCGCGTGGCTGATCGCCTCGGTCGTCTGCGGCTTGATGCCGTCGTCGGCCGCCACGATGACGATGGCGATGTCCGTGACCTTGGCACCGCGCGCGCGCATCGCGCTGAACGCCTCGTGGCCCGGCGTGTCCAGGAAGCAGATCTCCCCCGCGGAGTCGTTGTCCCCCTCCACCCGCACGTTGTACGCGCCAATGCTCTGCACAAACACACACACACAAATGCGTGAGGCTCCGCACACGGGCGCGCGCGCAGCCCCCCGCACGGCCGCCCTCGCCCGCTCCTCACCTGCGTGATCCCGCCGGCCTCGCCGTCCGCCACGCGCGACTTCCGGATGTAGTCCAGCAGCGACGTCTTCCCGTGGTCGACGTGGCCCATCACGGTGACCACGGGCGGGCGCGCGACGAGGTTCTCCAGGTCCTCCTCGGACAGGAACTCCACGTCCTTCTTCGCGGACGCCGCGCTGTCCTCCGCCTCCAGCACGATCGCGTCGAAGTCCTCCGCCACCTCGCAGCACAGCTCCCGGTCCAGGACCTGGTTCACCTGCGCCATGATGCCCTTCATGAACAGCGACTTGACGATCTGCGCCGGCGTCACCGCCAGCTTCTCCGCCAGCTCCTCCACGGACATCCCCTTGTCCGACACCTCGATGATCTCCTGCTTCTCCGGCCGGTCCCCCTCCGCGGCCTCCTTCCGCTCCGCCTTGCGCTTCTCGCGCGCCGCGCGCTTCATCGCGGCCGTGACCTTCGCGGGGCCCTCGGCGCCCGCGGGCCGGTACCGCCCGCGCCCTCCCTGCCGCCGGGACGCGCCCGCCCACGGCTGCCGCGCGCCCGCCGCGCCCGCCCCGCCGCGCCCGCCGCTCGGGGCGCCCGCGCCGTGCTGTCGCCGTCGCCGGCCTTCGTCCGGCGGCCTCGCCGCCCGCGGCCGCCCGCCGGCGCCTCGCCCGGGCCGTCGGCGTTCGGCGGGGGCCCGCGCCCGCGCCCGCCGCCCTTCTTGTCGCCCCCGCTCCTGCTGCGCCGCGGCTTGCGAACCTTGTCGTCGTCGTCGCCCGTGGGCTTCGGCTTGCGCGCCCGCCCGCGACGCACCAGGTCCTCCGGAACCTGCTTCGGCCTGCGCGGCGCGGCACAAGGGGGAGCGTCGAGGCTTGAGACAGCGTGGCGCGGAGGGCCGGCGCACGGGTTCCAGCTGCTGTCCGCGCGCGTGTGGACGGAGGTGGCATCGCGGAGCGGGGTGCACATGTCGGGGGAGCGGCGTGCTGCGCAGGGCCGGGGCTGGGAGCGGTTGGGCGCCGGTGTCGGCGTGGAGCGGCGTGGCGGCCTGGAGACGCACCTGCTCTGCTTCTTCGGCCGCGAGGGCTTGACGTCTAGCGTGACATCGTCACCATCTGCCGCGGAAACGCACACGGAGCGCGCGGGCGCGCTGCAGCGGGCACATGAGGGAAGCAGGGGTGAGATGGGCCGGGGCGCGGCGAGCGTGGCCGACGTGTCAGGGTGGCGCGTTCTATAGGCCAGAGAGGCGCCGACACGTCGCCTGGACGCGTGCGCGTGGATCGAGCGCGGTCTCCGCCCGGTGCATCGCTGCCGCAGAGGCGTGCGGCGCAGGATGGAGGGCGCCGATTGCGACGCCCTGAGCCATCCCTGGCGAACGAAAGTCGCTTTGTTAGCGATCTCATGTATGTTTCCGGGTATGTGGGGCAAAGTTGAGGTCAGAGAGCCCGTCACCGGGCCGGTGCCGAGCTGGAGCTGCTGGCTCGGCAGCAGCAAGCGCCGGCACGCAGCACAGAAGCGAGCTTCCGGCCTACGGAGGCCGCGAGGTTCAGGAGACGGGAGTGATGACGACAGAACGGGCCAGGGACGCCCGGTGCGTCCAGTGGCCGGGCGTGCGACGGCAAGATGAGTGTGCAGGATGGAGCCACGAGTGACTTCCGGCGACCACGATCGGGCGCAGACCGGGGAGGGGGCGACGGCCGCCCGGGGTCGCACGTAGGCTAAATTGGGGCGCCTCATGGACGCATTTCCCACTTCGAACCCCGGGAAACGAGGCGGGGCCGGCTACGACGATGGGCCGGCTGCGAATGAGGCCGTCTGCCCGCGCAGGCGGCAGCTCCGCGCAAGGCAATGCCCGCAAGTCACGGGATATGATCTGCATCTTGACAGGGGACGCGCGCACCTGAGCTCGACTTTCGACAGCGGAGAAGGCCTAACGCTCCCAGCCTTGAGGCTCAGCGCTCCTGCTTGCGCGCGGGGGGGCACCCCGGGCACACGGGTGAGTGTGAAAGGAAGCATAATGTACACGCCTCGATCTGGCCGCGCACACCCGCTCCAATGCGCAACGTGACCGAGAGCCACAGAGGCAGTTTGGGGCGCTGTATAAAACAACAGGCCCCCACGCACAGGGCGCCGTGGTGTGTTCGCGGGAAGCCATGACGGTGACGTCCTGCATCGCCTCCGCCAGACGCGCACTCATTCTTTGAATATTCGTGCTTGATTCGTGCGCTGGAGTGCCCAGGAGGCTGTGAGGGAGTCATCGCTGCCGAGTGCATTCGAGCGGCACACAGCGCACTCGCTTGCCAATTGCGTCGATGCTTCTTATCGGGGTCATTCGAGGGGTATCTTCTTCGAGGCTCCAAACCCTCAGTACCTGGTGAGACTCGGCAAACCTATCCTGGACCTGGGTTCAGCGCTTGGGCGCGCCTCGCGGATGCGCTCCGTCGTTCAACGCCGCGGACGTCTTCGCTCTGCCTCTCAGAGACCGCGCGCTCGAGGAACAGCGCGGACGACTTCCCCGTGCGCGCTTCGCGGAGCAAGCTTCTGTGACTGATATGGCTCCTGTCGGCGCCAGGACGCGCCATCGCCCACGTCCTCACGGAACTCCACTCACTCTGTGTTCGAGACGTGCTCGCACGCGCAGGTCGCGCGCGTCGGCACGGATGGCATCTAGCTCAGCCGCTCAGCGCAGCGGCGCCCCGCCCACCTTCCGGTGCATCCGCCCGCCGCCTACGGCCAACCACGCCGGCGACAAGCCCAAGCTCAGCGGCGTCGTCTTCGACATGTGCGCCACGCGACCCCCCCACACCGCACTTTCACACACACTGACCTCCCGCGAAGCTGTCTCATTGCGCAGCCCGCCCGCGACCGCAGGGACGGCACGCTGACGGTGCCGGTGATAGACTTCGCGGAGATGCGTCGGCGCGTCGGCGTGGGTCCCACGGGCGACATCCTGGACATAATTGCCTCGTGGAGCCCCGCGGAGCAGGAGCGGGCGCGGCGGGTGCTGGCGGAGGTGGAGGACGAGGCGATGGAGCGGATGAAGGTCATGCCGGGGGTGCCGCGGGTGTGCGAGCTGCTGGACAGGGCGAAGGTCCCGCGGGGCCTCGTGACCCGCAACGTGATTCGCAGCGTCAACCACTTCCACGACAACCACCTGGAGCACCCGGTGAGAGACGCGCAGAGCGGGCGCTCCCGGCGTCGCCCCTCGCGTCGGCTCGGCCGAACCTGCCTCTGCTCCTGCCGCCGACAACGTGGAACGGTTGCCGACAACTGCCTGGTGTTCTCTGCGCTTCCGTGCGTGCGGCCGGTGACGCTGACGGAAGGCGCGGTGCCGTGCTCGCTGCAGCCGTTCTCGCCAGCGTTCGGGCGCGAGTGCGGGCTGCCGTACAAGCCCGACCCTGGGGCGCTGCTGCACGTGTGCGGGATCTGGGGAGTGGACCCGCGCTTCGCTGCCATGGTCGGGGACAGCGCCAAGGACGACATCGTCGCGGGGAACCGCGCCGGGATGACGACGATCCTCCTCGACACGCACGGCCGGTGCGCCCCACAACCGGCGCACCGCGTTGATCATCATGATGCATCGGCCATACGCTCCCGCGCTCGCTCCGGTGCGACCGCGTGCTCCGTGAGCCCCACACCTCCGCGCAGGTACGATCCAGACAACATGCCGGACCCCGAGCAGGTCCCCACGTACTATGTTACCACCATGGACGCCGTCGGAGACGTGTTCGAATCGGACTTCGACTTGTGCGCGCCCGAAGTCCGGCCAACCTGACCTGACCGCCTGCACTCTCAGCCTCGCATGCGCCGCGCATCCGCGCGCCCCTGTGACGTCAGACTCGGCCAGACACCCCCCGGTTACATGCGGCGGGCGCCACCGGCGCAGCGCAGCCCCTGCGCCGCCAGCGCGACCACGGGCCGCACCACGCGCCCGGCTCTGCCCCCCGCCATGCCCGCGAGGACCCCCACCGACCGCGCCCGTCGCGCCCACCGTGCCTCCCTCGGCACACCTGGAGGCACCCCCGGCACCCGTCTCCGCCGCTCCCCGCACGTCCCCGGTGCAGGCACGTGCGCCAACCGTGTCGTCAGCCCGCGCCACCGCCCCTGAGAGCCGCTGCTCCACCCAGAGCCCCCCACGCCACCCGCGCCTCCCTCCCCGGCGGCCTTGGTCCCTCGGCGCTTGGGCGGCACCGCCGCCGGCTCCTCCCAGATGTCCGCGGGGACGTTGTACAGCGGGTCCACGGGCGGCATCTCGAGCGTTCCGCCGTCGGGGTCGCGCACGCCCTCCCAGTCGCGCCCGTCCATCGCGACGTTCGACAGCGCGTCCGCGACGCCATTCTGTGCGCGAGGAATGTGCTCGATCGTGAACTCCGGAAACGCACCGCCCTTCTTGTAGTCGTCCTCGAGGCCTGCAAGTCAAGCGCGCACGGCACAACATTCAACGCAAAGCACAACATCCAACCCCCCCCCCCTCTTCAGTGCGTCTGCCACGTGGGATGCAGGCCCCACGGGGCTGGAGCGGCGGGCACCGCACCGTCCTGGCCACCCGTGCCGCCCGTGACGATGCGTTCGACGGCGAGTTTCATCGCCAGGAGGTGTTTCGCGCTGACTTTGTACTCGTTGCGAACCTGGCGGACCACGAGGTCAGAGTCCCCCTGCACGAGAAGCGGCTTGGACCCCACGAGCGCGGCGGCCATGCGGAGGCCCGCGAGGAGGCCGAGCCACTCCGCCTCGTTGTTGGTGCGAGTGCCAGGGAGGCGGTGGCACGCCTGGGCAATGATCCTGCCCGTGGGCTCGCGCAGGACCGCGCCGGACCCGGCGACGCCTGGGTTGCCGCGGGCGCCCCCGTCGAAGTGAAGGACGTACCCTGTCGCGTTGCGCGGGGCTGCGGACACCGGTGGCGGGCGATGTGATGCTGTGAGCCCCTTCGGTGCGCCATCTCGTTGCGTACGGTGCGCTTCTTCAAGGATCGCGGAAATTCTGGATGCCAGAATCACGAAGGATATCTGGCGCATCGCGGCGCTGGAGCACACCTTCGTACAAGTCCGCTCTCGGGCGTTTTGCCGCTGTGACTTGCACGCCGGAATCGCTCACCGCCAAACGCTTCTGACCCCCTGCTGCTTTCACGAACTCCTCGGCTTCTCGCTGGTTCATGAAACTCTTGAATTTGGCGCCCTTGAAGCCGTCGACCTGCTCTTTGCACTCATCCCAAGTCCTGCCGGGGGCAACGTGGCGCGGGAGGCGACTTGTGAGCCACGCAGCCCGGCCCTCGTGCGCACGCGTTCCTGACCATCGAACCCGCGATGTCGGATTGATCAGGTCGCCCCATGACGCACGACCTCGCAGCGCGACTCAGAGGAGGTGGTTTGTTCTGTTGCATACAGCGGGGCGTACCCATACACGCCCGGCCGACGGCCCAGGCGCACAGCGTAGAACAGGGGCTTCTTGCTCTTGCCCATGGCCCCGCTGTTGCGTGTGTCCTCCGGCCAAGACGCCCGGACCTGGATCAGTGCCAGCGGGGGCTTCTGCGCCCCGTTCTGTCGCACCAGAATCGGGCGCGACGGCAACCGTGGCGTGATCTCCAGATCGCACCTCGTCCAACAACTTGCAGTTCCTGTGCCGAGCGGGCGCACAATACGAGTTTTCGGGCAGCTGTCAGTAGGCACCCAACCCACCTTCTACCGCCGCGCAGCGCGCCCCTCGTCATCGTGAGCCGGGCATCATGGCCACGTCGGGCGCAGGGGCCACGACTACAACATCCAAGGGGTCCATGAACGGCCCTTGACAGGGCAAAGTGGCCGCCCCGCGTGCGACCTCGCAGCAGGATGGACAGGATCTCGAAGACGCTGCCGGTGCTCGCGTTGGCCATTTGGCTCGCGAAGCTCGGGAAGTCTCAATTGTCGAAGCCGCTGCGTCACCTGCGCGCCGGGCGCGGTCAAGGCACGCGCCACGAGGCAGCGGGCCGAGGGGCAACAACACCCGGACCGCACGGCTGCGGACCGCACGGCTCGCCAGAGGGCCAGGACCCGTTCGGAGACGACTTCGTTGACAACGTACTTGGCACTGAGAGGGAACACTCGAGGGCTGCAGCGTCCCACGCGTCGAGGATCGAGGGCTTGTCCACCGCACTCAGCCAGCTGTGCGCGGCGGCCTGCGCGGACTCCGAGATGGGAACGCCCATGTACGCCTTCAACCTCGCTGCCCGCTCGCCCCCGAACCCGCGGCGCTTGGCCCCTCCGCCCCCACGCACACCCCTGTGTGCCGGCTGCAGCCCCACCTGTTGCTGCCTCATTCGCGCCCGCGGCTGCCACGCCCGCGCCGCAGATCCGCGCGCCCGGCCTGGACCCCTGAGTCCCGTCTGTCGGAGGGAATGAGCTTCACGCCGCCCCCAGAGCCCCGCTCGCGCGCCCGCCGCGTCGCGACGGGGAACCCAGCGGCCGACCTCCTGGTCACCGAGGCGCAAACGCTGCTGACGCAACTGGCGGAGGAGGCCGTCAACCTAGCGCAGCTTGAGAAGAACCTCCACCAGGAGGCGCGCAACCTGCAGCACAGGTGCGCCACCGCCCTCTGCTGCGCGTCATGCATCCGTCCCGCGCCAGCCAGCCCGGCCCTCATCTGATGGCGGCCCCCGCCCCTTTCCCCGCAGAGAACGTCGCCTGAACGTCCGCGAGTTCGACATCCACCGCCGCGAGGACGAAGCCCTGCAGCGGATCCGCACAAAGCGGGACGACGTCCTCACGCGCCTCTCTGCAGAGCGCCGGAAGGTCCGCGCCGCAGCGCACGCCCTGCGCGACCGCGAGGCCGCACTCGTCGCGCGCGAGGCCGCCGTCAAGGCCTGCGAGGCCCGCGCGCGCGCCGCCGGCGGGGACGCGCTGCGCACGCCAACGTCTGCGGGATCCACGGGCGACAACGAGAGCATGGACTCGGCGTCGTTTGGCTCTGCGTGCCGCGAGACGACGCCTGGACCCGCCGCGAGCGCTGCACCGGGCGTGCGCGCGGACGCGGAGGCGGCGACGCTCCGCGGCGACCTTGCCGCTGCACAGTCGGAGCTGCGGCGGCTGCGTGGGGGCGCGCCGGAGCACCAGCGGCGCGAGGAGGACCTGAACGACCGCGAGGAGAAGCTGCTTGAGCGCGAGCTGGCCTTCGACCGCCGCGACGAGGACCTGACGCAGCTGCTGAGTCAGGCAGTCAAGCGCGAGCGCGCGGTGGCGGACGCGGAGGCCACGCTGGCGGAGCGCGAGGCGCGCCTGAAGGCGCGCGAAGCGGACGTGGAGGCGCGCGAGGCGGCCGTGGAGGCGCGCGAGAGGGCGCAGAAGGCGGGGGCAGCGAAACATGCGCGGGCCGTCAAGGCGCTGAAGGACGCGCGCGCGGAGGTGGAGGCACAGCGCGGCGTGGTGCGCGAGGCGGCGGGCAAGGTGCAGGCGAAGCTGTCGGAGGTGATGTCGCGCGAGCGGGCCGTGACGGAGGCGTCGGCGGCGATCGACGCGCGCAGGCAGGCGGTGGATCGCGCGGCGCGGCGGACGGCGTCGCAGGAGGGCGCGGCAGCGACGCGTGACGCCGAGCTCGAGCGGAAGCGCGCGAGCATCGCGGAGCGCGAGCGGCGGCTTGGCGCGCTGGAGGGCTCCCTGGCGGAGAAGGAGAGAGCGCTGCGGTCGCGCGAGAAGGACCTGGAGGAGCGCGAGGAGGTGCTGAGGGCGCGGGGACCCGCGGAGCAGCAGGGCGGCACGGGGCGCGTCGACCCTGTCGCGGAGGCCCGGGGGGAGCTGTCCAAAGCGCGGGACCTGCGCGCGGAGGCCGAGCGGCGCATGCACGACGTGGAGAGGTGCGGGGCCCTGACGCGGAACGCAGTGCTCGCTGTGTCCGTTCGCGCAGGAGCATGGTTCTCGCTCGGGTGTCTGGAATGCGCAACCTGTGCAATCGTTGCATTGAGTGCTCTGACTGTTCGCTGAGAGTACTCAAACGTTCTGTCGGTCCACCGCGACGTGCAGACGGAAGCGCGAGATCGACTCCCGCCAGCTCGACGTCTCCGCGCGTGAGAGCGAGGTGGCCGCGCGCGAGCGCGCCCTCGCGGACCGCGCGGAGCTTGCCGAGGCCCGCGAGCGCTCCGCGGCGGCGCGCGAGGCCGCGGCGGAGCGGCGGATGCGTGAGGCTACCGACCGCGAGCGCGACGCCCTGCGAGCGTCCTGGGAGGCCTTCGGCCGCCACGCTGCCTCTGCCACCTCCTCCGGGGTCAGCTCGCTGCGCTCCAGCCTCGTCGGGAGGCTCGGAGCCGTCGCGGCGGGCGCCACGGCGGGGACGGCCCACGCGGCGTCGCAGTCGACGTCGACGGAGACCGAGACGCCGCGGCTGGCGAGCCAGAGCGGCGCCGTCGCTGCAGAGACGCTCCGGGCCGCTCTGAAGCAGCGGCTGGCGTCCCACGACGTCAACGCCGCGGCGGCGAGCGATACGGATCGGCTGAGGGACCCCGAGGAGTGCGCGGACCCGAACCCGTCCGTCGAGCGCGGGCTGGCATCCGCGTCGCCAAAGAGCCTCTCCGGGAAATCCGTGCTGTCGCTCGGGGACACGTCGGCGACGGGGATGACGCCACGGACGCCGCTGGAGTGTGCGCGCTCGTCTCCCATGCGCTCCTCGCCCGGGGCCCCCGCCGTGTCCAGCAGTGTCGAGGACCTCATGCTGGCGGACCTGCGCGCGCTCGCTGCTGGCGGCGGGCCGCGCGAACGCAGCACGAGCAGGACACCGCCGCTGCCGCCGTCCGACCGCAGCCCGCTCATCTCGCTGGACTCCAACAGGCGCCAGGGCGCGACGCCCAAGTCTTCCATTGTGCGCTCAAGCGCGGGCACCAACATGACGGACCAGATAGAGAACCTCCTGCGCGAGCTGGGCGACACGGCCGCGTGCGGGCAGTGAGGGCGCCGCGGGCACGACGATGTGTGAAGTTGATCGGGCTTGCTAAGCGTTTTGTCAACCTGCGCGGGGGCGGCGGAATCGCGCGCGGCGCGTCGCTCTCCGGCGCGCGCGGGCGGTCGGCGTCGTCGCTGGCGGTCGGCGGCCGCCGGGGCGACGGCGGCGCGATCCCGGGCAGGGACGCGGGCTGCGACGTGTCTTTCGCGATTTCCTGAATCGCGTTTCGCCGTCTTCTGGCGCGCGGTGGAGTCGAGTGCTGCGAGGGCGGGCCGCGACGCGCTCCGCGTGCAGCGCCGCTGACCGACGCGCCCGCAGACGGCCGGGCGCCTCGTTCCGCGCCCGCACGCGCCGCCCACGTGGGTGGAGGTGTCGGTCATCATGACCAGTGGATCCGTCCCGGGCGCTCGGGGGCCCTTGGGGGCGCGTGGCCGCGCGCTGGAGGCACTCAGAGTAGCGTAGTGATCATGCAGAGGCTCGCCGCGAACACTGTTGCCGCGCCGCGGGCCGCCCGGCAGGCCACGGCCCCTGCTGCCCTGCCTGTGCGGGCGCCCGCCGCCAAGGCCGTGAAGAAGCTCCCGACGGGATTCGCCGCGGTGCGCCCGCTCGCCGTACCATGAACGTCGCAGCGCCGCGGCGGACTCGCGACCGCACGGCCCGGGTGTATCGCTGCCGGCGTTGCGGCTCTTTGTCCCGACTGAGCGGCCCCTGGCTCCGTGCGGCGTTGACGCGCCGTTCTGAGCGGCCCAGACTGGAATGCCCGTACTCGCACCAACTCCTTTTCGATCGCCATACCGCGTCTGCAGGCCCGTGACCTGTCGGTGGGAGGCGCCGGCTCGGTGCGAGCTGCCTCGGCCCGTAGCGTCGTCGCAGGTCCGTACCGTGCCCGTATTCGCCCTTGCCCGTCATCCCTGTAAAGTGAGGCTCGCAATTGTATCCACAGACACGCCAATGCGACTGCCCGCGGCCCGGGCAGCCCGAGCAGCTCCAGTTCACCTTGGACCGCCCGGAACCCTCCCTGCAGCGGCCGCCCCGGAGAAGCCGACCATCCTGGTTGCCGAGAAGCTCGGCGACGAAGGTGAGCGCGAACGCCCCGCCGCGATGACGCCCCCACGCGGACGTTTCCGGCCCCCCCTGTTTGGCGCCCGTGCTCCATGCCGCCCGCATTGCGGCTCACGCGCCGCTGCCCCGCCGTGCGGCACCGCCGCGCCCCCCCCGCGCCCTGTGCATGCTCGATCCCGCAGCCACCGCGTCGGCGGCCCGTCCCCGCGCCCGGCCGGGGCAAAACCCTTCCCGGGCCAGCCGGGACCGTGAACGCCGGCCCTCCGTGCCCGCTTCGGCTGGAACGCCCAGATCCGCAGCCGCGCGCGCGCCCCTACTCGCACCGCACGCACCACGCGCGAGTTCGGCCCGTCAGCCCCCCCGGCAGCCCCGTGCTGCGCCGCGCCCCTAACTGCCGCATGCTGCTCCGCGCGCCCCGGCCCGCGCGCGACCGCTCTCGCCCCGCGTGCCCCCGCCCCGCGCAGGTGTCGCGTACCTCGAGCAGTACGCGAACGTGGACTGCTCGTACGACCTCACCCCGGACGAGCTGAAGGCCAAGATCTCTCTGTGCGACGCCGTCATCATCCGCTCGGGCACCAAGATCACGCGCGAGGTCTTCGAGGCCGGCAAGGGCCGCCTGAAGGTCGTCGGCCGCGCGGGCGTCGGCGTCGACAACGTCGACCTCACCGCCGCCACCGAGCACGGCTGCCTGGTCGTCAACGCCCCCACCGCCAACACCGTCGCCGCCGCCGAGCACGGCATCGCGCTGCTCTGCGCCCTCTGCCGCAAGGTCCCCGGCGCCGACGCCTCCATGCGCCGCGGCGAGTGGAAGCGCGCCAAGTACACGGGCGTCTCGATCGTCGGCAAGACGATCTCCATCATCGGGTTCGGCAAGGTCGGCCTCGAGGTGGCGCGCCGGGCCAAGGGGCTGGGGATGAAGGTGCTGGCGTACGACCCGTACGCGGCGCGCGAGCGCGCGGAGGCGCTGGGCGTGCAGCTGGTGTCGTTCGACGAGGCGCTGGCGCAGTCGGACTTTTTGTCGCTGCACATGCCGCTGCTGGACTCGACGCGCGACATGTTCAACGACGAGACGTTCAAGAAGTGCAAGAAGGGCATCCGCATCGTGAACGTCGCGCGCGGCGGCGTGATCAACGAGCCGGCGCTCGCGCGCGCCCTCGACGAGGGCATCGTGGCGGGGGCGGCGCTCGACGTGTTCTCGTCGGAGCCCCCGGAGGCGGACAACGAGCTGCTGAAGCGCGAGGACGTGGTCCTGACGCCGCACCTGGGCGCGTCGACCGAGGAGGCGCAGGCGGCGGTGGCGATGGAGGTGGCCGAGGCGGTGGTCAACGCGCTCAACGGGGAGCTGGCGAGCACGGCGGTGAACGCGCCGATGGTGCCGCGGGAGGTCATGGAGGAGCTGCAGCCGTACGTGAGCCTCGCGGACTCGCTCGGCCGCGCGGTCGTGCAGTGCCTGGGCGGCACGGGTGTGTCGGACCTGACCATCACCTACGACACCCCGCGCGGCGACGAGCTCGACACGCGGCTCCTGCGCGCCATGGTCCTCAAGGGCGTCCTTGAGACCGTCACGGAGCAGAAGGTCAACCTCGTCAACGCGGACTACCTCGCCAAGCAGTACGGCATCCGCGTGACGGAGACCACGCGCATGGTCGACGGCAAGGACATCCTCTCCAACCTCACCGTCAGCATGGGCGGCAAGAGCAAGTTCTCCGGCGCGCTCGACGCCGCGGGCAAGCTCACCTTCGGCGGCGCCGTCGTCAAGGGCGCCCCCTTCATCACGTGCATCGGCGAGACGGACGTGGAGATCGCGTGCTACGGCGGCGTGATCCTGTGCAAGCAGCGCGACCAGCCGGGCGTGATCGGCGCCGTCGCGACGACCCTCGCGCAAGACGACATCAACGTGTCGTTCATGACGGTCGGCCGCGACAAGCCCCGCGGCGCGGCGGTCATGGCGGTCGGCGTGGACGAGGACCCCTCGCCGAAGACGCTCGCGACGCTCCGGGAGATCCCGTCGGTCGACGAGATCGCCTGGATCTCGTTCCACACGGCCTGAGCGGACGCCGCGTCGCGGCTGCAACGGCTGCCTGGGGGCCGCGAGGGACGCTGGCGACTTTCCGCGCCCCGCGAGATCGATCGCGACACGGGCTGAGGGGGCGAAGTCGCAGGTGCCTCCGCTGAACCACGTAGAGCCACGGGTCGCGGAGCTCGTCGCGCCGTGCGTCGGCTGCAGCGTTGCGTTAGCAAGACATCACTGTAGAGGTCGCCCTGCGCCCGGAGATCGCCGGCTGCCGGGGCCTGTAATGAATAGGCAATCAGCAGACGGCGCGCTTTCGCAGGGGGCGTTGTGAGCGGCCGTGCAGCCGTGCTGCAGGGCAGCGACGAATTCGCAGCACTGCGCTCGAGACCTGGTCTCGGGAGACTTGGCCGGCACAGCCTGAGTGTGGAAATGTCAACCAGCGCACCCGTGGGCCCACGACCTCGCGCACTCGCCCCTCGTGCTCGCCCTCACCAACGCTGTTTCACACCGCACCTCCCATCAGGCACTGCCCGGCGCCGCTACACGAACGCGCGCGCCGCGCGCACGGCGTGCCACCGCCGTCCGGAGCAGGGGGCGCCGGCGGGGGGCGGGCGTCCTAGACGGCGGCGGGTCCGCGCACGGGCTGAGCCTGCTGCATGGTGCCTCCGTTCTCCGTCTTCACGATGGTGAGGATGTTACTCACCATGCGGCGGCAGATCGGGCACTTGGCGCGCGTCGACGACGTGTTCGTCGGCGAGATCAGCGCCTGCGCGCACTCCTTGCACATGCACATGTGCCGGCAGGGCAGCACTGCTGTGTCGCGCGCCTGACTCATGCAAATGATGCACTCCGTCGACCCGTCGTCCGGGTCCTCCGCGATCGGCGTGCCCTCCGCCGTGCCGCCGTTCGCCGCCGCCGCCTGCAGCCCGTAGATCTCCTGCAGCTCGTACGGCGTCCCGTCAAACATGATCTTCTGCTTGATCACCTTCGCCACCCACTGCCCGGCCTCCGTGCGCGTGACCACCGCGTACGTCGTCTGCGACTGCACCCACGCCGGCTGCTCGGACCCTGCGGCGAGATCGCGAGCGGAGGGGGGGGGGTCTAGGCGCGGGCGTGTGTGCCATGGCGTGGGGTGCGGGGGCGTGGCGGGTGGGGCGCACCGATCGCGAGGTCGTCGAGCGTCTTGCCCTGGTCGCGCGCCGCCTGAGTCAGTGCTTCCAGGCGGATGACGAGGGGGTACAGGTCGCCCTCCGCAGACGCCATGACGTCGTGGTCGCACTTGCTCATGTCCACGAAGTGCTGGGCGCTCGCGAACTTGTGCCCGAGGCCCTCGGGGAAGGCGACGCGAGGCCCTGCGAGGGTGGCACCGGCCGGAGAGGGCAGCGCTGGTGAGCTGGGCCAACCCTCGTCGCTCGGACAGGCGGTCGCTGGCGCCGCGCTGGGAGCCGCTAGCGGAGCGCGGGTGTGAGAGCGCACCTGGCTTGCAGCCGCCCGGGTTGGCGTCGAGCAAGCCCTGCTTGTTGACCTCCCCAGCGAGCACCAGAGTGGTCACGGTGCACGGCGCGCTCGAATCGAACGTGAACTCCACTTTCAGCTTGTTCGGATCCTCCGCGAACGGCACCTGCAGCCACCGCGGCTCATCAACCGTGACGCGAAGGCCCGAGCGCGCGGAGAGCGCTCCACTCGCACCCAGCCAACTACCGTGGCTTCCCCGCGAAAAGCGACGGAACCTCGCCACGAAAACGGCCGCGCCGCGCGCACCGCGGCCGGGGCTAGTCGCGGCGGGCGCTCTGCAGGGAGCTCGGGGTCGCGGCGCACCAGTTTGAGGGAGCTCTTATGAAGGTTCACTAGGTTCTTGATCTTCTGCGTCTGCTGCATCCGAGGGGGCTCGGCCGCGGGTCCGCCGTTGCCGGACGCCGGCGTCTGCGACGCGTGCTGCACCGGCTGCATGTAGTACATGTAGAAGTTCGGGTACGGCCCACCGATCTGCTCCTGGCGCTGGGAGCCTGGAGCGCCTGGCTGCCCGTAGTACTGCGGAGCGGGGACGGCGGACGGGCGAGGTGCGGTCAGGAGACGAGAAGGGTCGAGACAGCGCAGGGGAGGGACGCTGGCGAGGCGGGCCGCGGCGTGACGCGGAGCCGCTGCCCCGCGGAGCCTAGGCAGCGCTCGAGGCTCAGCGCCCGCGCAGGGACGCTCGTGGTCTGGGCTGTGGGAAGGTGGCGGCGTGTCTCGGTGCGGGCGTGGCGGCCGGGGGGCGCGAGCGAGGCGCGGGGCGCGGGGGACGCGTGCTTCGTGTGCGCGCCCGGGAGGAACGAACTCTGCCTGCTGGGGCGCCTGCGCGCGTGAGGTGGTGCCTCCGCACGCGCAGCTGCTTGGAACAGGGCGAGGCTGCGGACGCGCGGCTCGATCTGCGGGAGCGGGGCGCTGCGGCGCACCTGCTGGGCATGAGGAGCAACTTGCTGTGTGTATGGGCTCCGGTATTGGCCTTGCGGCTGCTGCTGCTCCTGCCGCCTGGACGGGCGACTAGAGCTGCTGCCCATCGCGGAAACGCGCGCTCACGCCGGGGATCCCGGGCCCGGCCGCGGTAGCGAGACGCGCGACCTCAGGTGAGGAAGCGTGAGAGCCTGGAGCGCCCGGGGTCTCCTGGCGCTGTCGGGGCTGTGGCCGCCGTCAATCAATTCCTGCTCGGGGAATTTCGGCGGAGATCGGCGTTCGTTGCCTGTGTTCGCGGCCCGGCCTCGCACGATACTGAAGTCCCTTGGAGCGACAATGCTGCCCACAGCGACGCTTCCAGTGCGTTTACAGCACGGACGGACACTCCCTGCGACTCCTGCTGCGAACCTCGGCCGCGAGACCCAGTGAAGCCCGCGCCGGCCACGCTCGGTGGGACTCCACCACTCCTCCGCTCCGCGCCTCGCACGGCCACGCATGACTCCGGACTGATCGGGGCCCCGCGGGACGAGCAGCGGTACCGCTTACGGCGCACCAGAAGCCGAGGACGCACCACAACACGGAACCATGACAAGAAGCGGCACGGCGCACTACCAAGTCACCTGGCCATCTGCCCGCCGGCGCGCGACGAAAGGACGCTCGGCGCACCGCCTCCGTCTGCACGCACCCAGCGCGGACATTGCCGACTTTCTTCGGCAGGTCCACCGCGCCAGGCACGCGGGGGGGGGTGGCGAACCTCGACGATGTCAAACTTTGGTGCAGGCGTGTGCCCGGATCGATCCACGGCCGCGCTCCCGCTGCGCTGGCGGCGGTGAGACGGACCAGGCAGCGTCGCTGCGGCGTCGTGCGTGGAATTACAGGAAGGCGCAAGATGCAGGTAGTGGGTGCGCGTTGTCAGTAGCGGGCAGGGTGGGTGAGGGATGCAGCCTCCCGCCGGGCGCGGTGCTGCTCCGCGGTCGGCCTGAATTGCCGCACCGCGTCGCGCCGGGTCTCGTCCGCCGCCGGCAGCAGAAACGGTAGGGGGCACGCACGCACACGTGCGAGTGTGGTTGTGAGAGGACAGCTCGACCGCGCTGCGAGTGGTCGCTTTCGCGGACTGTTGGAGGGCCCGCGTCGTTCGTCGGGCGGTCGGCGCCTACGGTAAGGAGCCATCGGCGCAGCCCAGCTGCAGCCATGTGTGCTGAGCGCGGGGGAAAATCGGTGGCCTGAGCGGCGCTGCCGCCCGGTTGTTCCTCGTGACGGTGAATATAAATGCATGTTTGTTTGAACGGGCGCACGGTAGCGCATGGACCTCGGGGGGGCGGTTAGAAAGGAAGCAGCAGGTCAAGGGGTAATTGGGTGGTCGGGAGGGGAGTCTGGTCGAGGAGACCTCGCTGTTTCGCATCTTCCTTCATGCAGCCTGGCCGGCGGAGCGTCGTCGGCGGTCCGTCGCGCCCCTGCAAGCCCCGGGAGGGCTTGCCGCACTGCTGCCACGCTGGCCATGCGTTCCGGCGCACCATCCGCCGTCCGCGCAGGGGCCGATCCGCAGGCTCAAATGTACATCCTCCGAGGCAGCGCCGGCCTAGAAGTCCTCCGGCAGCCCCAGCTCGTTGTCCTCCCGCAGCGTCGCCAGCGCCAGCTGGAACGCGTCCGTGTCGTCCTCCACGGCCGACCCCCACTGGTTGTGCTGTGACATCATCGCCAGGTTCCCGTCCGAGAACGACCGCGGCATCGCGGCCCGGCCGGCGCTGCTGCGCTGCGCCACGCCCTGCTTGGGCGGAGTGGGCGCCTGCGCTGGCGCCGCGGCACCGCCCGTGCGCGCGCCCGGCCCCGCCGGCTGCTCCGGCACGTCCTCGCCCGTGAAATCGAGCCAGTCCTCGTCCTCCAGGTCGTCGCCCTGCGCCCCCAGGTCCGCCAAGTTGAACTCCGACATCACCTTGCGCATCAGCCCGCTGTCGTCGTCCCCGCCAAACATGTCCCCGGGGCCGCCGAGGCCAGCGAACACTCCTCCGAGCTCGAGCTGCGTGCCCTGCTCCGCCGCCTTGGCGCGCACGGCGCCGGCCATGGCCTGCTTCTGCAGCGACGCACCCGCGCCTGCGCCGCTGCCGCCGCTGCCGCCGCTGCCGCCGCCGTCGGAGCCAGGGCCCTGCCACTCGCCGGGCGCGCCGGGCGGGGCATTGACCTTCGCGAACCTCCCCTTGACGCGCGGCCGCGCGTCCGCCAGCGTCTTCCGGCACTGGTAGCGGATCTTCTTCGCACCCTGCGACCACGTCACGGGCACAACGCCCCCCGTCACGCAACGCGCACCGCGCTAGGACAAGCGGGCAGGTATGGCACAGGGTGCCGCGGCGAGCGCGTCGCTCGCTGGACGGCTGCGGCATGCGCAGCGGCGTGTTGGACTCGCCTTTTGGCGCAGCATGCGCTTGTAGCGGTACCGCTGGAGCTGCGCTGCGCGCAGCGGCGCGACGCCCGTGCGCGTCCAGTTCTCGTGCATCATCTGCGGCGTCAGCCCGTGGCGCAGCGCCGGCGACACGTGCACGCCGCCCGACCCCTGCCGGCCCGGCGGCATCCCCGGGCGCCCCGCGCCGTAGCCCAGGAAGTGCAGGTTCAGCGCCTGCATGTGCGGCATCATGTGCGCCATCGGCATGGCTCCACCCGCGGGCATCATCCCGGGATGGATGGCCCCCACCCCTTGCATCGTCGGGCCGCCCTTGAACTGCTGCTGCGCCCCCGGGCCCGCGCGGCCGACGTCCGGCATCATGAAGTGCATGGCCGGCGCGTGCGGGTACCCGACCGGGCCGGCGTGCGCGAACGCGCCCGGCATGAGGCCCGGCGCCGTGGCACCAGCGCGAGCGTGCGGCGGGGCGCCGGGGAAGTGCGTGGGGAGGTGTCCGGCGGACGAGGGCATCGACATGGCGTGGAGGACGGGCACGTTGGGGCCCGGAGCGGCCGGGCAGGGCGCGACCGCGGCCACATTCGCGACGGGGACGGTGTGGGAGGGTTGAGCGGCGGGGCCCGCAGCGGGCATGGGCGCCCCGGCCGAGGTGACGGGGGCGTGTTGCTGGGAGTGCTCCGAGGGCTGGACGTGCTCCGGAGACGCGGAGGTGGTCGAGGGTTCCGGGCTGGCGCGCTTGTTGCCATTGGCCGGGCCGCTGGCTGTGCCGCTGCCAGAGAACCTCGGGCTGCCTCCTTCGTCGTGCTGGGGCTCGGAGGCACGTTTCTGCTGCTCGTGGGTCGAACGCGTGCCGGTCGAGCCCGAGTGCGCGCACACTGCCGCGCCGGAGCCGGGGGTGGGCCCGCGGCTGATGTCCATGGGAATTGTGGGGCCATGCACGCCCTGCAGGGAACGTCAGCGGCGGCGCTGCACTGAGCATTGCTCCGAGAAGCAGGCACGAAAGTCGAAGCTCGATTTCGCGAAGCACCGTGTCCGTGCGCGTTGAGATCAAGTGCTAGGCCCAGACGTGCTGCGACGAGCTGCCTCGCCGCGGCGACCGGCGCGCACCTGCATCCTCAACGTGCTTGCCATATTTTCTTCCATGGCAACCTGCATTGCGGGGCCGCGGCGCTCGCGCGTGTCGGGGCCTATGTATCTGGTCTGATAGGCGGGGAACTGGGGGCGCTGAAACGTCGCCCTCGCGCAGAGCGGCCTCCCGGGGGACCGTATTAGACGAACGGGTCGCTGGACGGTCGGGCGAGAGGCTGAATTCTTCGTCGCCGCTGCAGGGGAGCCTCCGTCGGGGACCGTCCCACGCACCTCGAACGGCCGCTGGTCGCCGTCGCCGGTCACCCGGTGAACTACTTCACGTGCAGGCTCCGCGCGTCGGCGCGAGAGATTCCGCGGAAACACTTCTGCGGGCCCAGCAGCGTCAGAGGCTTGCTTCGCAGCGGCCCGAGGGGGTGCGGGACACGTTCGGCGCGTATCCAAATCGCGATTCTGAGCACGGGCAGCCGGAGCTTCCGCGCATTCTGCGCGCTCGCGTCGGGGCGCGTCCCGCAGCAGACCCCCCGATCTACAGTCGTCTCACTGCCACGTACGTACGTTGCCACGCCGCGCCCGGGCAGGTCGACCGCCGCGAACGGGCGCACGGCGCACAGGCTCGCGAGGTGACACATTCGGCGTCCGTCCCGCGACGTCTGGCTGGCGCTCATTCCCTGATGCCCCTGCCGCTGTGAGGGAGCGCGGCACACGCAGGGTGAGAAGGACAGCGGGCCGGTCTCGGGGGTCGCGTGACGGGGCCGCGATGGTGGACGACGGCCTCGTGGTCGCGGTGACCGGGTGCGGCCACGGCGAGCTGGAGGCGATGTTTGACGTGGTGAGGGAGATTGAGCAGGCGCGCGGCGTACAGGTGGACCTGCTGATCAACTGCGGGGACTTCCAGGCCGTGCGCAACGAGGCTGACCTCGAGTGCATGGCCTGCCCGAGAAAGTACCGCCAAATGGGGTGCGTGGACACCAACGACCACAGGCAGTGCTCCGCACGCCTCGCACGCGCCCTGGGGGGGTCGCCGCGCGCGACGAACCACGCCCGACGCATGACCATGTCGAATCGAGACCACGTGGGCCGCGAACGCACGCAGGACCTTCTACCGGTACTACACGGGGGAGCTGAAACCTCCCTGCCCGGTGCTCTTCATCGGCGGCAACCACGAGGCCTCAAACCACCTGCACGAGCTGTTCTACGGCGGATGGGCCGCCCCCGACGTCTTCTACCTCGGACAGGTCCGACGCGGCGGCCCCAGGACCGCGCACGCCCCCTGCTCGCCCGCCGTTGCTCCGCCAGTGCCGCCGCTCTCTCCGCGCGCACCCACGCCTTCGACGGCCCGGGCCGGCGACGCCAGCGCAGGCAGGATGTGTGCGTTTCGGGGGGCTGCGTATCGCGGGGCTGTCGGGCATATTCAAGCCGCGGGACTACGTGAGAGGTCATCATGAGAAGCCGCCCTACACAGACAGCTCCATGCGCTCGGCATACCACGTGCGCGAGCTCGAAGTGCACCGCCTCGGCCTCCTCACGGGCCAGGTGGACGTAATGCTCAGCCACGACTGGCCCGCGGGCGTGACAGCCTACGGCGACCGCGCACACCTCCTGAAAAAGAAACCGTACTTCCGACAGGTGCGCTGGACGCGGACCGGCACGGACGCATCACGCGGTGCCCGCGCGCGTCAGGTCCCGCGCAGACGCGTGTCTGACGGGCAGACACTCTGCCGCTGCCCTGGGTGGGCACTAGGCCCGTCGTGACGGGTCGGCCTGCGCCGGTGCTGCTGCAGGACGACGAGAGGGGGGAGCTGGGGAACCCGCACACGATGGATCTGATGCGCAGGCTCAAGCCCAAGTACTGGTTCAGCGCGCACCTTCACTGCAAGTTCTCCGCACTCGTGCCGCACGCCGGGGACGCCTGCGCGCCCACGCGCTTCCTGGCCCTCGACAAGCCCATTCCGGGCCGTGACTTCATCCAGATAGTGCACTTCCCCGGCGTCAAGGTCCGCGGACTCGCATGGCCGCGCCCAGCTCCCCTCACCACCACGCCGCGGACTCGCCGAGGCTCTCCGGTCCCCTGGACGACCCCACGGGCTTCCCTGCCTTGCCGTGCAGGGTCCGCGGCAGTTCTCGTTCGATCCGGAGTGGCTCGCGATCCTTCGGTCCACGTCGCACCTGATGCGCACCACTGCGGCGCCCAGGCCGTTGTCCGCGCAGCTGTCCGGACACGACTGCGCACCGACGCAGGAGGACCGTACCGCCGTAGCCAAGGGGCTCGCGGACCACAACGGCGGCGAGGAGAGGGTGCCGAACAATTTTGTACCCACGGTGCCCGCGTACGACCCCGCTCGGCCCGACCCGCGCCCTCAGATGCCATCCGCGCCGGTCAGATCGGAGCAGACGGTCTTGCTTGGGCGGATCATAGGGCGGGAGCTCCCGCTTCCTGGCGTGGGCGGCGCGCGATGGCAGGGCCAGGGGGGGGCGGTTGCAGCCCCCACGTCAGCTGGAGAGAACCCAGAGGAGATCGATTTGGACGCCGTGGAGGACAACCCCGAGGAAATCGAGCTCGACGACGACGACGACGACGGGGCGCACGAACTAGGATGCTGCGGCGACCGATGACACTGTGAACGTCGTAGCGTCAGCCGTGCGGCGCAGATGCGCGCTGCCGTGCTTACAATTCCATGCACACGCCAACCATCAAAAGCACTCCAACCTCGGCCGCACGTCTGCCCCGCGCATCCCAGGAATACGCCCCCAACGCCCCCCCTTGCATCACCGGCGCCCCCTGCGGTCCTGGTCGCCCCACTGCGTGCTGTCCGGGGCGGGGCGCGCCCGTCGTCGCCGTCTGCGCCCGTCCGCCTCGCGCCGCGCCTCGAACCACGCGATCACGTCCTGGCGGGGCACCTTGTGCAGGTCCCACAGGCTGCGCAGAATCTCGTCCGACGGACGCGACGTCTTCTCGTACACCGTCTCCAGCGTCCGCTCGATCGTCGGATTGATGCGCTTGCGCCCGATCAACCCCTCGTCCCTGCGCGGGGAGCCGCCCGAAGCAACGCACGCGTGTCGGACCACGCCACAAGGATGCATGCGCTGGCGTATATATATATGTGTGTATGTTTGGCTCGGAGTGGCTGCGCGGCGGCCTCACCGCAGCTCGAAGAACGTCTTCTTGCCAGCGTCCTTCTCGTGCTCCACCTGCTTCTGGCGCCTCGTCTCCGCGAGGATCGCCTTGCGCTCCTGCAGACACAGCCGCACACGCTGGCTCGCAACATCAGATGCGCCCCGAAACGGTCCCACGGGCCAAGCGACGGCGCGGGGCGCGTCCTCACCTTGACGGCCTGCTCCTCGGCCTCCAGCGCGTGCTTGTCCGAGGCGTGCACGGCCTCGGGCAACTCCCCGTAGTCCTTCAGCCAACTAATCACGTCGTCGCGGTGCAGCCCGAGGTCCCCCGACAGACGCTTGATGCTCACGTTGCGCTTTCCGGCGAAAAAGGCCTTCTTGAGCTGGCGCACCTGCCACGGCTGCAGCATGCCGTAGTTGAAGCTGTCCTTCTCTCGGGCGGCGGCCATGCAGCAGGCGCGCCGCGCGGGCGCGCTGACGACGCTCGGGGCGCGCGGGGCGCGGACGGCGCGCTGGCAGAGAGCCGCGGGAACGCGACATTTGGGACGCAGCATGTTGACCCGCGCCTGACGGCCCAGGAGACGCCCTTGCTTGCTAGTGGCACTACAGTCGGTGTCTCGCGATCTGCCGTCGAACGATCAGCGCATCTGAGCAGGGCGCCACGGCACGCGATTCTGCAAGTCGGACTCGAGCGGTCGCCGTGAAAATTTTGTCGCGGCACCGCGCCCCAGAGGCAAGTGAAATCGCTCAAGACAACACGTCTGCCGTGCAGCCACCTCAGGCCTCCGGGGCGTCACATGCAAGGCCGAGCGCGGCAGCAGCTGTGAGCCCCGCGTGCCCCGAGCCCCGACCATTCCTGGACCGGCACCGCCGCTGCAGTGGGCGACGCGCGCAGGCGCTGCGTCGCGATGGCTCCAACAGACCACGACGGGGTGGTGAGTACGTGCGAGAAGGAGTTCGTGAAGACCGCCATCGAGGCCGGCGTCAGACTCGACGGCAGGAAGCCGTACGATTTCCGCGACATCCACATCGAGTTCGGGCTGGACGACTGCAGCGCAGGTCGGTCGCCGGACGCACGCAAATGTGGCTCATCCTCGCTCTGTGCCGGCCTCTCCGCGGTCGCGAGCGCGCGCCCACGTCGAATCTGAGCATCTCGTGATGTCGCGCATCCGCATGGGCGCCCGATGCCGCGGATCTGAGCGGTTTTGCGGGTCATTCGTGGGCTGCAGAAGTTTCGCTCGGCGACACAAGGGCGCTCGCAGTCGTGCGCGGCGAAATAGAGCAGCCGTTCCCAGACCGGCAGTCCGAGGGCAGCGTGCAGTTTTTCGTCGACCTCACGGCCCTGGCCGCCCCTGCTGTCGACTACAGCACCACCAGCGAACTCACCGCACAGGCACGCCCTTCCGCCCCGGCTCCCTACGTCCCCCGCGCCGAGGGTCGCCCCTCGCCGCCCACACTGCCGCTCTACCAGCCCTGACCCCCCCGTTCGGCACGCGGTGCTTCTGCAGCTTGTTCGCACAGTCGAGCGCTCGCTGAAGAACTCGCGCGCGATCGACCTCGAATCCCTGTGCATCGTCACGGGGCGGCGATGCTGGGCCCTGCGCGTCGATATCCGCGTGCTCGACCACAACGGCAACCTAGTTGACGTGTGCATTCTGTCTGCGCTGGCCGCCCTGCGGTGCTTCCGACGTCCGGAAGTGACGCTCGGCGGGGAGACCGGGCAGGAGGTCGTCATTCACTCTACCGACGTGCGCGAGTCGGTCCCGCTCAGCATCCACCACCTCCCGATCCCCACGACACTCGCCGTGGCACACAAGGGGCAGCATCTCGTCGTGGACCCGACGCTGCTGGAGGAGAACGCGATGGAGGGGACCGTGACTGTTGTGTGCAACGTGTTCCGCGAGGTCTGCGCGATGCACGCAGCGGGGGGCGTCGCGCTGACTCAGGACCAGGTCCAGGAGTGCTTGGAGGTGCGTGTCGGATGACACCCCGGGGGGGGGGGCTGGAACCTCCTGCCCCGCCGCGTCGGCACTGACGCGCTGTTTCTGAGCGCGAAAGCGCCTCGACTGCTTCTTGAGTGCGTGTCGACGTGTTGCCGTTTGTGGAGTGTTGTGTGCAGGTGGCGTGCGTGAAGGCGGGGGAGGTGACGGCGTTGCTGAAGAAGGCGATCGAGAAGCACGAGGCCGAGCGTGTGCAGATGCGCGTGCGGCGCAGGGGGCAGGGACAGGACGTCGACCTGGAGGGTGCAGCGCGGCCCGGGCCCGTGGGCAACGCCCCGCGGGTGGAGAGCATGTCGGAGGACTCGGGGACGACGGACGACGAGGCCGCGAAGCCGTCGCATCCGCTCCATCCGCCTTCGAAGAGGAAGAGCGCGGGGAAGGCGGGGAAAAGGAAGAAGCGGTAGTTGCACAGCGGAGTCCCCCAGGTGGCTTGATTGGGGGTGTGAGGCGCAGGCAAAGAGCCGTACGACTCGATGGACTCAGTCGAGTTACATGGCGTCCTGTATGTCCTCCGCACTTGAGTCGGACAAATTGCTATTCAAAGATCTGCTTTCTGTGCTGCATCGATGCTGGCAGGCTCCGTCCCAGCGCAGCTGCCTTCTCCGGCCCCATCATGCACCGCTAGTGCATCCTCCTCGTCCTCGCCGCGTTTTTCGCCCCCGTCGGTGTCCCCCGGGACCTCGATAGCCACCTCCCCCAGTGCCACCTCTGCGTCGCTGTCACCTCGACCCTGCGCCAGACTCCCGTGCCAGGACAGACCCATGGAAATGTCCGAGGTCCCAGCCTCGAGCCTGCTGACGTCCGCCGCCGCGGGCTCCTGTTCGTCCTCCATGATCGCACCCAGCGTCCGCTGCACCACATTCCACGTGTCGTGGAGCGACGCTGCGGGCGTACCGCCGAGCGAACGGGCAGCTCGCGCACCGACCGACCCCGTGAGCTCGCGAACCCCGTGTGGGAAGCGAGCGCTCTCCACGTCAGCTGCGCTGTTGTACCTCCGCCGCCTCTTGAGGGCTCGGGCACGCTCCCGGCTGGCCCGCGACAGACGAGCCTTCAACACGACAGCGCCGACGGCGACTACGCCGCCAGCGATGATGCAGCTCACGACGATGATCGCGACCATGGCCGGGTTGTTCGTCATCGCACCGGCGTCCTCATCGTCCCCACCGACGTCGTCTGCACCTTCGGAGCGATCCGCCGCAACGTTCCCGCCCGAGTCCTGCCGATTCGCAACCTCCGCGGCGGCAGGAGTGGTAGCGGCCATCTCCGAGGTCGGAGGCGGCGTGCCCTCCGATGCTGGCTGTTCCGCATTGCCCGCTGTGTTGGAAGAGGTGGGAACAGGCGGGGTGGTGGCGGGCAGCCCTTGCACGCTCGGGGCCGTCGCAAGGGCCACGCGGATCTGGTCTGCCCCCGTAGCGAGCCTGATGGCGTCCGCGATGCTCTGGAGCGCGGCAGCGCTGCTCATGGCCGATCCAGCTGCGACGGCAAGGAAATCCGCCTCCTGGGGGTTCCTGGCCAGAAACACGACCCCCAAAGCAAGCGAGACCGTATCGTCTACCTGCTGGACCTGGCGCCGGCTGCGTCGACCAACGCCGGTGATGTACGCCTCTGTGCGGGCGTCCGAGGGTCCGCCGGCGTCGACCATAGCAGCGCTAGCCGCCTGCGCCACTGACTGCGTCGTAAGGTCTTGCATGAGCGAGTCCGTCGCGATCGCAGACGGAACGCCCGACGCGGCGAGGGCGACGCTGACCCGAGGGCCCGGTGGTGCCGTCCGCAGCGGCACGCCGTCTGGCAGCTGCGTCGGGAGGGGAAGTGACGCTGGGGCGGCGGCACCGCCGTTCGCGGGCGCGCTCGAGTTCGACGGAGGTGCGGTACCAACCATCAGGGCTGGCGCAGTGGCGTTCTCGGCCGGGTCCGCCGCTGCTGTTGCGCCCTGTGTCGCAGCTGCCGTCGCGAGGGGTGTTGATGATGCCGCAGGCGCGTTGCTTGCGGGCTCGGATCCGGTTGAGGGGGTTGCCGGCGGTCCAGCCGTGCTCCTTGCCGCCGCGGTCGTGCTTGACGTGCCGGCAGATCCAGTACCCGCCGCAAGGACCGTTGTTGACACAGGTGTAGTCATCGGAGCTGAAGTTGTGGGTGACTGGGCTCCGGACGTCGGATTGGCCGGGCTGGTGCCGGACGGCGCCCCAGTACCTGTCGGCGACGCTGCTCCCTGAGCGCCCGCGGTCGCTGCTCCCTGGGCAGCTGTGGTCGCGACTGCCGTCAGCAGAGGAGCGGCAGCTGCACCCGCAGGGTCATCAAACGCCGTGACGTTCAGGATGAGCTGCCCGAGCTTGCTGCTGGACGTGCCCGCGACGTGCACCAGGTACTCTTGCCCGGGTACCATCTGTGCTGTCGCCCAACTCGACGACTGGGTGCACGTGGAAGCGGAGACTCCATCTGGGGCGTTGCACTGGCCCAGCACCGCCCCGCCCCCGGCCTCCCGCACCTCCACGCCCGCGCAGAAGCCCGACCCCTCCCCCGACACCCTCACCACACACGCCCCCGTGCCCCCCGCCCCGCACCCGCCCGCCAGCCGCACCGCCACCCACACGTCACCGCCGCCGCTCCACACCCCCGCGCCGCCGCAGTCCACGCCCGCCGAGCTCGTCACGCGCCACGTCAGCGCCGCCCCCCCCACGCTCCCCGCCGCCAGCGCCGCCTCGTCGCCCACGCCCAGGAAGTCGTCCGCGCTCCACACCACCACTGCCGTCTCGCCAGGCGCCACCGCGCCGCCGTCCAGCGGGTCGCCCGCCACGTCGCCGCGCACCGCCCCGCCCTGCCGCACCGCCACCGCGTGCACCGCGCCCCGCAGCGCCTCGTCGCCCGCCGCCCCCGCCTCGCTCACCTCCACGTCCACAAACGCCACCGCCGCCACCGCGCTCCCCACCGCCCGCACGCGCACCTCCGCCCACGCCGACCAGTTCCCCGGCCCGTACCACACCTCCCCCGGCTCCGCCGCCACCTGCCCGCCGCCGCTCGCACGCACCGCCACCCGCACAGCCCCCACAGGGGCCACGCGCAGCCGCACCGCCACGCCCGCCTCTGCGCCCGCGCCCGCCAGCTCCAGCCGCGTCACGTTGCTCTCCAGCGCCCGCCCGCCGCGCTCCACGTACACCGCCCGCGCCAGCCGGTCCGTGTAGTTGCGCCCCAGCGCCGCGTGCCCCGGCACCGCGCCCGCCAGCGCCCCCGCCCACACCACGCGCCTCACCGCGTCCGCGTCCATCGCCCGCTCCGCCTCCAGCCGCCGCGCCGCCAGCCCCGCCACCAGCCCCGCCGCCATCGACGTCCCCGTCGACCCCGTCGCAAACTGCTTAAACTCCGACGTCTCGCTCGCGCCGCCCACGTCCGTCCCCGGCGCAAACACGTCCACGCACCGCCCGTGGTTCGAGTACGCCGCGTCCATGTCCACCCGCCGCCAGTCAAACACCGCCGCACCCAGCGCCGGCCCGTCGCCCACGCTGTACCCCGTGTACCGCGCCCCGCCCACGCGCAGCGCCCGCGACGTCGTCATCGTGTCGTACCCGCACGCGTCCGCCGCCGCGTCGCCCGCCGGCGCCACCACCACCAGCCCCCCCGCCGCCGCGTGGTTCACCGCTGCCGCCACCGCCCGCGACCGCCCCGCGCTGCCCTCCGGCAGCACCAGCACGCCCGTCTCCGCCGAGTGCTTCGCGTGCGCCGCGCGGTGCTCCAGCGCCGCCGCCACCGCCCGCAGCAGGTCCCGCTCCGTCGCCGCCCCGCCCCCGCACGCCACGCGCAGGTCGTACATCGACGGCGGCACGCCCCCCGCCGGCAGCACCGCCGCGCCGCCCACGCCCGCCGCCACGTTCGCCCCCGCGTACACCGACCCGCACGACGCGTCCTCGCCCTCGTACACCCGCACCGGCACCGGCGCCGCCCAGTGCGACAGCGACGAGTACGACGCCGGCGCCAGGATGCCGCCGTCCGCCACGTACACGGCGACGCCGGCGCCGGTGCGGAGGAAGTGGGCGGTGTTGTTCTTGCAGGAGGTGTCGAGGAGGTCGGAGCCCCAGAGGTAGAACGCGCGCGGAGAGCCGTTTCCGGCGACCGAGGCTTCGGGAACACCTGCACGCATGATTGGGTCTTGTTTGAGATTCACGCTGTCCGTTCAGAACAACGTGACCCTCTCGATCCACACGGACAGTCCTGCACGTCGCTCACCTGGGTAGGGGGGAGTGCAAGGCGACCCCGACGCTGCTGGAGTCGTCGGCGGGGCCGTCGTGGCTAGCGTAGTCGCCTGTGCCGTGGTGGGCGAGACCGTCGTGGTGGGAGCCACTGTAGCGTTGCTAGTCATGCTGGTTGCCGGTGTGGCTGTCGCAGCTGGTGATGGCGGACCAGTCGACCCTGCAGGGGCTGGCGTGGATGTCCCAGGAACTGTCGTCGCCGGTGCCGCTGAAGAAAGACCCGGGGTGGTCGCTGCAGCGGTCGGCGACGTCGTCGTGGGAGCGGCACCGGACGTTGCTGTTGGCGACGTCGTGGCAGCAGGTCCGGGCGTTGTGGGTGAGGGAGCGGAACTCGTCGCTTCAGGCATCGTCCCTGCCGCCGTGGTGGTTGCTGCAGAGCCGGCGGTGGTTGGCTGAGCAGTCGTCGCCGCCGGTGTCGTTGTCGGCGCCACCGTTGTGCCCACGGTGGCCTGAGGCGCTGTCGTCGACGCACTCGTAGCGGCCGGGAGCGTCGTCGCAGCGGCGGTTGTCGCGCCCGCGGTGGTCGTCGTCGGCGCAGTCGTAGCAGGGAGAGTCGTGGGCGCCGGTGTCGCAGGACTGGTTTCCGTGGCCGTTGCCTCGATGGTCAGGTTCAGTAAGCCGAGCTGGCTGTCCGGCGTGCCCGCGACGTGCACCAGGTACTCCGTGCCAGGGGCCATTCCGAAGGTCGTGCTGCCGCTGGAAGTGCAGTTGCTCGAGACAGCGTGGTTGAACATGCACTGTCCGAGCACCGCCCCGCCCCCGGCCTCCCGCACCTCCACGCCCGCGCAGAAGCCCGACCCCTCCCCCGACACCCTCACCACACACGCCCCCGTGCCCCCCGCCCCGCACCCGCCCGCCAGCCGCACCGCCACCCACACGTCACCGCCGCCGCTCCACACCCCCGCGCCGCCGCAGTCCACGCCCGCCGAGCTCGTCACGCGCCACGTCAGCGCCGCCTCCCCCACGCTCCCCGCCGCCAGCGCCGCCTCGTCGCCCACGCCCAGGAAGTCGTCCGCGCTCCACACCACCACTGCTGTCTCGCCAGGCGCCACCGCGCCGCCGTCCAGCGGGTCGCCCGCCACGTCGCCGCGCACCGCCCCGCCCTGCCGCACCGCCACCGCGTGCACCGCGCCCCGCAGCGCCTCGTCGCCCGCCGCCCCCGCCTCGCTCACCTCCACGTCCACAAACGCCACCGCCGCCACCGCGCTCCCCACCGCCCGCACGCGCACCTCCGCCCACGCCGACCAGTTCCCCGGCCCGTACCACACCTCCCCCGGCTCCGCCGCCACCTGCCCGCCGCCGCTCGCACGCACCGCCACCCGCACAGCCCCCACAGGGGCCACGCGCAGCCGCACCGCCACGCCCGCCTCTGCGCCCGCGCCCGCCAGCTCCAGCCGCGTCACGTTGCTCTCCAGCGCCCGCCCGCCGCGCTCCACGTACACCGCCCGCGCCAGCCGGTCCGTGTAGTTGCGCCCCAGCGCCGCGTGCCCCAGCACCGCGCCCGCCAGCGCCCCCGCCCACACCACGCGCCTCACCGCGTCCGCGTCCATCGCCCGCTCCGCCTCCAGCCGCCGCGCCGCCAGCCCCGCCACCAGCCCCGCCGCCATCGACGTCCCCGTCGACCCCGTCGCAAACTGCTTAAACTCCGACGTCTCGCTCGCGCCGCCCACGTCCGTCCCCGGCGCAAACACGTCCACGCACCGCCCGTGGTTCGAGTACGCCGCGTCCATGTCCCCCCCCCGCCAGTCAAACACCGCCGCACCCAGCGCCGGCCCGTCGCCCACGCTGTACCCCGTGTACCGCACACCGCCCACGCGCAGCGCCCGCGACGTCGTCATCGTGTCGTACCCGCACGCGTCCGCCGCCGCGTCGCCCGCCGGCGCCACCACCACCAGCCCCGCCGCCGCCGCGTGGTTCACCGCCGCCGCCACCGCCCGCGACCGCCCCGCGCTGCCCTCCGGCAGCACCAGCACGCCCGTCTCCGCCGAGTGCTTCGCGTGCGCCGCGCGGTGCTCCAGCGCCGCCGCCACCGCCCGCAGCAGGTCCCGCTCCGTCGCCGCCCCGCCCCCGCACGCCACGCGCAGGTCGTACATCGACGGCGGCACGCCCCCCGCCGGCAGCACCGCCGCGCCGCCCACGCCCGCCGCCACGTTCGACCCCGCGTACACCGACCCGCACGACGCGTCCTCGCCCTCGTACACCCGCACCGGCACCGGCGCCGCCCAGTGCGACAGCGACGAGTACGACGCCGGCGCCAGGATGCCGCCGTCCGCCACGTACACGGCGACGCCGGCGCCGGTGCGGAGGAAGTGGGCGGTGTTGTTCTTGCAGGAGGTGTCGAGGAGGTCGGAGCCCCAGAGGTAGAACGCGCGCGGAGAGCCGTCGCCGCTCACCGTCGCGCCGGGTGCGTAGTCCTCAGACAGGCAGGTGGCGTTCGCGTCGAGAAGGCCGCGTCTCGAGACCAGTCGGCGGTAGTCCGCCGCGCCCTCATCGAAACGCCAGTCCAGCGGGGAGTTCCGCGCGGTCAGTCCGGGCACGAACAGCGCGGAAACGAGGAGGAAGCCAAAGAGACAGAGCGCGAGGGGTGCGCCTGGCGTTCGGGGGCCACAGCGGTGGGTTCGGCCAGCAGTCATCGCTGGTAAGAATAAGCCTTGATACGAGCAGCACATCCCAGGGCAGGACGAGCGATCAAAGTGGATCCAAGGGTGCCGAACCGGAGGTCGACTGTTAAGTTGCTGCCTGTCACGTTTCTGCTCAGATGCGAAGAAAGACCGCGAGTCCTCGCAGCCTCGAGGTCGCAACGTCGTACTTGAGTGATGAACTGCAACGAACCGCGGTTTTCCCCGCGGATGTCGCCGGAGCGGCCACACGCGCGAGCATGGGACCCCCCCCGGAGTGTGTCGATTAAGATTCCCGCTCCACGATGGCGGGCAGAGGCTCCATCGACCATCACGGAGTATCCGCAAGCGTGATCGGGCCTTGCGACGCGTCCGACCAGGGTCCCAGGTGGCAGAGGCGCTCCGATACCGCACTCCTCTCCCCTCACTTGTCCTTGGAGCGACGTTCGCGGCCCTTCGAGGTCGCGCCGATCCACCAAGACGCCCTCACGACGACACCTCTCGCTTCTCGATTCGCTTGACCACGTATTCCCGCGTGCTCGCCCCGAACCGCAGCACCATGCCCTCCCGGAGCACCTTGGGAGCGTGCGCCCGCACCCACGCGCCGTCGACGTTCGTCCCGTGGCTCGACCCGAGGTCCGTGACGTACACGACGCCCTTCGCGTCCGAAGTCAGCTGCGCGTGCGCCCGCGAGATCGAGAGATGCTCCATCACGTGCTCGCAGCTGCCCTGCTCGCGCCCCAGGACATAGCGGTCGCCCGGCTGAATGCCGGGCTCGATCACGAGCTTCCCGACGCGCTCCTCGCCCTTCATGATGTGCATCTCCACGACGCACTCGTACCGCCGCACACCGGACCCAGCCAGGGCAGCCACCTGCAGTTGACACAACCGGGAAGAACATCAACATGAACTCGTGGCTCATCTCTGCGCCTGCGGGTCGACGAGAAACCGCAGGAGCACGGTGTTATGGTTGAGCGCGAGGAGAGGCACCTCATTGAACGACGGCCCAGCAGCCGGCGCTTTCGCGGCCTCTTCGGCAGCCGCCGTTTCCGCAGCGGCGTTCTTGCTCTTGATCGCGTTCGGATCGCTCCGTCCGTGCACGCCCAGGTCGATCTCGTACTCGCAAAGCTGCCGCCAGAACCCGGCGTTGGGCTCCGCGATGGTGCGGCGCCGCAGGACACGCTCCCTGGCGGACGCGGCGGTGCACTTGTCACGGTACATCAAGTACGCCATCGCCAGCGCGGCGCTCCTGCTGACACCTGCAGAACAGCAAGACTTCCCGCGCACGCGTCGAGTCAGACACGCCACAGCAGCGCCCCAGGCCAGCACGAATCTTACTTTCCCGCAGCAGCCCTTCCGCACCTGCGCCGCAGTGGATCAGCACCGCGCCCCGGCGCTTCCCCTTCCCCACCACCCGGTTGACCTCATCGTGCACCCGCTCATTGACCACGTCGAACAGCGGACGGATGCGCTCGGTCTCAAGGTCGGCGAGCACGAACGGAAGGTGCGCGACGTCCTTCGGGAGGCCCCGCAGGTTCTTCGGGTCGTTGTGCACGGTCACCACGAGCGTGATGTTGAGGTCCCGCAGGACGCGCTCGTCCGCCGCGTGCTCCCAGTCGCCCAGGTAGACGGCGTCTTGCACGATGGCCGCGGGGTAGCTGGGCGCCGCGGCCTTCGTCGAGGTGGTGAACAGGAACGGCAGCGCGTCCCGGAGAGCGCCCGCGCCCTCGCGGTACACCCCGAGGGAGCGCGTGCGGCCGTCCTTGGACAGGAAAGTGACTACGGGATGGTCCTTCTTCAGGTTCTCGGGTCCGTACACGATGACCTGCGCACGCGCGGCGGACGGGGGCGGGGGCGCGGGTCGGACGAGGGGCGTGCGGTGTCTTCGGGTCGGAAGGCCGGGTATCATGCAGCATGGAATGTTGCACGGGCCAGTGGGCGGCTGTGGGCGTGCTGCAGCTGCGGGTGTCGTACCGGTTTGTCCCACCAGACGCCTTCCGACCACTTGAAGTTGTACTGCGGTGCATGGAACGGAGCGGACGTTGGGCGTCGCTGGCGGCGAGCGAGCAAGCGGCCGTCTGCTGTTGCGCACGCTCCTTGGGCGCGCAAGCGACAGCAAACCGCACGAAGGTGGGCTGATCTGCGTGAGGCTTACGTGGGCTTTGCTGTAGTCTAGCAGCGCTCGCCCGTTGTTCGTCACACGGACGCAGAAGGCATTGTACAAGTGGCCGTGGCCTCCCGCGTATTTCTTGACGTCCCTGACGTCCAGGATGAGGCTCTCAGGATCGTAGCGAGATCTCGCGAAAGCCTGATACACCTCCTCCTCTCCGATGTACTTCGCCATGCTGAATCACCACCACGGCCGCGACCGCGAGCCCTTCAGGAAGCAACAACACCAACCTATCCCTTCGACGGCCGGGGGCAGGCCTGGCGTGACAAGTACGCGGCGCGTGTCAGCAGTGCAGAGGCATGCGTCTCCACGCGGCCCAAACGCCGCGGGGCTGCCAAATGGTATGACACCACTGCTCAGGACCTGAGTCCGACCGCACGCGTCCCGATGACTGCGCGTGCTCCCTTCCGCACCACTCAGAATCCGTGACGACGTCCAACTGCTGCACCGGCGCGCCTCCATGATCTCCCAGGTCTCTCTCCGGAGGCCTGCCGCGGTGCCGGCACCTGTGGCGCGGTACGCACCTCGCTTCGCACCGCCCGCGCGAGGAAATCCCGGCGGCTCGCGGAAGGAGTGCTCCAGCGATGCAGTCTGCTTCATTCGAGGAAGCGCTTGGCCCAGCACGAACATGTCTCCCTCGCTGTCTGCAACGTTCTTGCGGGATACCTGCAATGGATGCCGCAAGTGCCTCCGCACGACCCACGCAGCGTTGCCACAGCCGCCCTCCCGCATCACCACTCTAGCGCGAACGCAAGCAGCTCTGCTCGTCGTCCGCCGACACGTCGAGCCCCCGTGATCCCTCGCGGCGACCAGCTGAAGTCGTGCACGCTCGCATCCTCCCTGTCCCTCGTTCGACGCCCCACCAGCACGCTCTTCGCTCGAACCTGTCTGTCTCTTCTTTCACACACTCGCAGGCCCCGATGCGCCTCGGTTCGGCCGGTGCGCGCGGAGCCCCCGAGCACGCCGGCGCCCCCGACCCCGGACGCCTCGGAGGCCCAGGGGGAGGCCACGCCGTCGAACGTGTGCGCGGCGTGCGGCGTGAACCTGGCGGACGCGCCCTCGGGGTGCGACAACGAGACGGGCCGGATCGTGGGCGGCGTCGGGGCCCTCCCGGGGATGGGCTGGTTCCCCATCAAGGCGTACCGCCCCTGCCCGAAGCTGGGGGAGTCCGGGCGGAGGTACAAGCGGCAGGGACAGATCACGGACGAGATGCTGTTCGGGCGTGGGAAGAAGTGACGGCGCTCGCGTCGCCACCGGGCGTCGCCAGGGGCCTGTTCCCATGACACGATTTCGCACCCGCGACGCCACGCGCGGCGTCCGGTGGACACGCGGACCGGTGTGACGCGCGAATCCACGCTCCCACCCCCTCTCGCGCGCGTTCAGTGGTCAGCGATGTCACAGGCGTGCACAGAGCAGGCGCCTCGCGCCGCGCGCTGCGTCAGAAGCGGAACTCCGGGTCGACGTCCATGGCCCAGTTGAACTTGGCCGTGAGCGTCTTCGCGAAGACCTTTTCGATCGGCAGCTCGGCGCGCTTGCAGAACGCGACGGTGATGCGCGGGTCCATGTAGTTGATCTTGGAGGTGCCCAGCGCGACCGTCTTGAGGTCCTCCTTCACGAGCATGTTGATCCGCAGCTTCTCCAGGCTCGCCTTCTTCCGCTTGATCTGCCCCGCCACCGTGTCCGGGTTCAGCGTCCGCGTCACCTTCTTCCCGTCCTTGCCCTCGCGCTCCACCTCCTTGCCCGCCTTCGCCGCCGCCAGGTCCTCCTCCAGCGCCTTGAGCTCGTCCTCCATCTGCTTGCGCTTCGCCTGGAGCTTCTCCATCTGCGACTGGTGCGCCTTGGGCACCGTCCGCTGGTGGTTGCACAGAATGGCCACCTCCTTGTTCGCGCGGTCGTACTCGGCCTTCTTCTCGTCGACCAGCTTGTCCATCAGGCCCGGCTGCGCGGCCTCGTACTCCCGCAGCAGCCGGTCCAGCGTGATCGACGCGTTGTACGTGCGGAACACCTTGGCGCTCAGCCCCGGCATGAGCGTCTTCAGGTGCTCGTTCAGGTCCTGGGCGATGAACGTGTCGAACAGCTGGTCGCCGGGCTTCTTCTTCTTCCCCGCCTCGTCCTTCTGCGACAACGGCGACGCCGAGCGAGCGCGCGATCAGCACCGGGGGACCACGTAAAAGCAACGACGCACGCACGCACCCCTGGGCAGCGGCGCGCGCTCGCACGCGGGGGGCGCGTCGCACCTCGCGCCAGCACCCGATGAGCTCGTACACCGCGGGTTCGACCTCGACGACGTTCTCGTACTTCATCGAGTCCTTGCCCAGGAAGTCGAACTTGATGCTCTGCGGGGGCACCTGCTCCACGTTCTCCACCTTGAGCGTGCAGCAGCCGACGGTGTCCGCCTCGTCCTCCTCCTTCTCGTGCCCCGCACGCAGCGCGAGCACGTCGATCCAGTACGTCGCGACCGCCATCTGCTGGTCCCGCCGCGACTTGCTGCCCCACTTCGCGGTGTAGTCCTTCCGGATGTCCCCGATGAAGTCCTTGAGCTTGCGCGCCTTCTCGTACTTGAGCAGGTCGGACTCCCCCTTCCAGCGCGAGTCCGCCGCCAGGAACACGTACTTGTACTCGCGGGGGTTGATGGGGTCCTTCCAGTACGCCAGCCACGTGACCGTGTTGTCGTGCCGCACGCCCGCCCAGGGCACGTCCTGGTACATGTTGGGCACCGGCACGGGCGCGTCCTTGGACATGTTGAGCGTGATGTCGCTCGGCTTGATGCGCTTCTTGAGCTTGCCCATCTTCGGGTGCTCCCCGCGGCCCCGGAACAGCCCCGGCGGCTCCACGCGGAAGTTGCCCAGCTTCTCCTTGTGCCCGTCGACCAGCGCGAACTTGTACGGCTCCTCGAGCTCCTCCTTCTTGCGCTTGATCTCCGCCTTCTGCTCCTTGGTCAGGTTCTTCTTCTTCTCCTTCTCCGCGAGGTGCCACTCCCAGATCGGCGTGAAGTCGCACTTCTCCAGGCTCTGGATCTTGTGCCGCGGGCCCAGGATCTCCTTGAAGTCCTCCCAGAAGTTGTTGATGAAGGTCGGCTTGTTCATATACTCCGTCTCGCGCATCATCGCGAACATCGTCGCCACCTCCTCCTCCTCCGGCGTCAGCGCCAGCGGCTCGTTGTCGTACAGGATCTTCACGCCGTGCGGCTCGTACTCCGGCGGGAACAACACCCCCTGGTGGTGGAGGGTGTCCCACTTCTTACTACCCCCCTGCCCGTCCGCCTCGGGGTTGCCCGCCGTGGACCGGCGCGCGCGCTTCGACGCCCGGCTCCCCGACGACCGCCGCCCGCCCTTCGCGGCCTTGCGCTTCTTCGGCGTCGCCGCCTTCCGTGCACTGATCGGCCGGTCGTCGTCGCTCGAGGCCTCCGCGCCGTCCTCGTCGTCCTCGTCGTCCTCGTCCTCGTCCGAACTCGTCGCCTCGCGGTACACCTTCCGCGCCGCGCCGCGCCGCGGCATCACGCGGGATGGCGTCGCGGGGGTCCCATTCGCCGCTGCAGGCCACGACACGCACCCAACCATGTTTCGTACGGGCCCGAGTGCGCCGGATTCGCGCAGCCTGAGCCGCGCAGGGCCACGTGCCGCGCGGTTGTGGCGGAGCGAGCGCGGGGTCCGCGCACCTTTGGTCTTGGGCTGCACCCGCTTGGCGATGGGCTCCTCGTCCTCGCTGGAGCTCGCCTCCTCCTTCGGATCTTGCGTCTGCGAGCATGCGCGGCCCTCAGCAGGAATGTGTCGCGACGTGGGCGGGTCCTCGCGCCGAAGCGCGCCCGTGTCGACGCACGGGCGCGCCGCGGTGGCCTCCCGCCATGGGGCAGTCAATCACGCGCCCGCAACTGCGTGGCGGGATCGCAGGTCGACCGAAACGCAACCACGGCTGTCGCCTATAAGTGTCGCATGTCCGTGGACGCAGGCGCAGGGATCGAGGAGCGCTGTGGAGCGCGGATCCGCGCATGCTGTCATTGGGCGGCCAGCCGAGTGCCCGGGGCCGGTGCGGCCCGGGAGGAGGCCGGGTGCCGGGCATTGTGGGACCGCACAGACGGGTGGGCGAGGGGCGGCGCCCGGGCGAGGGAGCGGTGCGAGGCGCTGCACTGGGGCCGCAACGCCACTACCAGCTTCGCCGGGGATCAGGGAAGGCGGGACGCAGCCTGGGCCCCGCGAACAAGCTGCCATGCCACACGAGCGCGTCGATTATATCGCGTCCGTGCAGGGCGGGGACGCCGCGGCGGCAGAACCGCGGTGCCCTGCCGCGACGGGCCCATGGCTCGCTCCGGGAGCACTGCCAGGGGTTGCGCACCTTGGAAGGCTCGCTCGCCGACATTCTGCCGCCTATGCCTCAGCCGTATGCCAGAGCTCCGCTGCTAGACTGCCCTGGCGGCAGGACTTCCCGACGTTCGGCCAGGATCGGCGGGGCGCGCAACCGCTCAGCTCTCAGGACTTGACGAGCGCGCTTGTTCCGCTGTGGGGACGCGCCGCAGGGGTTCACGAGCCGCAGGTTCGGTCGCCAGGACCCGTGGGAACTCGCAGGGCGTCCGCGGGACCGCGGCACTCGATGGCGTGTGCGCGTTTCCGCTGACAGTCGGTGACTCGAGTCATCGGTCACGCTCCCGGTGTCCTGCCCGACCGTCGGCGTTGAGGGCCGTTTCAAGGGCGCGCGGCGACGCCCCCGTGAAGGTAGATCACGGAGGCTCCCGTCCAATGCATGTTCAGCGTCGTGGTCGGGACGGTGGGTGCGAGAACCGGCGGCGCCGACGATGGTGCTGTCACGTCCTGGGCGGGGTCGTGTGAGGCGCGGTCGGGCTGACGATGGGGCGAAGGTGGAGGACACGGGGTGAGGTCGTCGCGCAGCTGTGCCCCGTGCTCGCCGCCCTGCGGCACATCGCGTGGGGCGCGCTCGGGCCCCGCGGCCATGTTCATCTGCTGGGCAACGACGACGAACCCGACATGCTGAAAGCGAGCAAAGCGTCCAGCGACGTGTTACATCATCTGAGTGTCGAGAATCGACTCGCGAACCTCGTGCTGGACGGCTCCGGGCTGTCGCAGGCGCGCTCGAGGAGGTGAGATATGCCCGCGGCGCGGCCCCGCGCGACTCTTGTGCGGCGGTTCGCCGCCCAGATCGTCCCCTGGTACAGCTGGCCGGGTCGCTGCTTGCTCCGGGCCACCACCGGCCACTCGTGAACGTGCGGGATGGCGGCAACGTCTGTGTTGCTGTCCGACGTGCCGCTCCCGGCCTCGCGACGCGATGCGCCCACGCCTGTCTCGCTGCAGGGACGGTGGCCTGTTCTCGCTGGCGCTGGCCTGCGACGTCGCCCTCCTGCTGCTGCAGGACGGCGCGCTAGGCGTACACTGCCCTCCAGGCCACATCGCCCGCGCGGCATCGGGGCTGCACGACGCGCTGGCCGTGTGTCTCTCTGCCCTCTCGCCAAGCAACGGCCGGCCGACATCACACCAGGGCGCGACCTGCACACAGTGCCAGGGTTGCGCCTGTCGCGTCCACGACCCGCCCGCGGCAAGCGACGCCTCAGGCCAAGGCGGCTCACCGCCCTTGGCGTACGAGCTGGACTGGGAAGACGCAGCGGGCGCCGTGGCCCTCGTCCGCGGCGTGCTCGCGCCGAAGCTCCTGGGACAATGCCGCGAGCAGGACAACGAATTGGTGTGCCTGGACGTCGTGGAGGGGTTCGTGCGCACGGCCGCGACCGCCGAGCACACGCCGGGGCTCGTGGCCATCGCGGTGCCGGGGCGGCTGCAGTCGGAAACGCGGACGCTCCCGGGGCTCTTTCTGCCCACGACAGCGCCGCTGGAACTCGAGGTGCCGCTGCGCGCCCTGACGTCAGGTGAGCCGGGCGCTCCCTCCCGCGCCAGACCTGTCAGGGGCAGCCGAGCTGAGGGAACGCCGCGCCGTGGGCGCAACATCATCATGAAACGGAGAGAGAGATATGTTGTGGTGATTCAATGCTGGTTTCTCGTCTTTCGTGGTGCAGAGCTGGCACGTAGCCCGAAGCTCCGCGCGCTTGGGGTAGGCGTGGTGGTCTTCACGTGCGCTCTGGAGCCAGATCCGCCCGCGGCGTCCCCCCAGGACCCGAGCGTCGACCTCACGCACGAAGCGCGACCAGCGGGGGACTGGACTCGCGCGCCGCGGTCCCTGCAGGACATCAAAATCGACCTCATGTGCCGGGGCATCTCCGAGCTGCGGCGTGCGGGCGTGCGCGTCGTCGCGTCGCAGCGCGTCATCCACCCGCGCGTGATGGAGCACTGCCGCCGCGCAGGCGTGGTGCCCTTGCATCGCCTGGGAGCCAAGCACATCACGCCCTTCGCCGAACTGTGCGGCGCCACGCCGTCCGCGTCGCTGCCCTCGGACGGTCAGACCGGCGGCCTCGATCCGCGGCTCTTCGGGAGACTTGGTTGGATATCTCTTCGTCGCTTCCACGGAAAGGAGCACGTCGAGCTGCTGCCGCGCGGCTGGGATCCCGTGCGGACGGGCGCAGGACCGAGCGCGCCGTGCCCGATCATGACCGTCCTGTGCTGTGCGAGCACCGAGCCCGTGGCACGGTCCATGGTGTCTGTCATAGAGTCCGCACAGTCCGTCCTGCGTCAGGCCTCCGTCCAGCCGCTCGTCGTTCCCGGGGCAGGATACTGCGAGCACCACCTGAGCAGGCTCCTCGATCGCGCCGTTGACGCGAGGACAGGGACGCACGGCGCGCTCTGGCGCGTGTCGCCAGAAGGCTTGGCGTGGAGAGCGCTGAGCAGGGGGCTGGAGCGATGCGCACGGGTGGCTGCGTTCGGCATCGCTGGGGCGCAGGGGGCGGAGGCCGAGGAGGCCGCATGGAGGTGCGAGCGGGGGCGCGAGGGGAGTGCGGCGTTCTGGTCTCCTTGTGGAGTGCACAGTGTGGGGGAGTGCGTGGTGAGCGCGGAGAGGGCTGGCGATGGCGGCTGGCGGATGGCGAGGGCGCGGATCGTGGACCTTGCAGCGGTCAAGGCGGACGCGATCGCGCGCGCCGTCGAGGTCGCGGCGAGCGTCGTGCGGGTTGCGGGGGAGATGGTGCGGGACTTACATGGCAGCTGAGTCTGACTGAGTGCGAATATAGGAGCATAGAGCGGCGATATATGTAGGATGTCGTCGAGGATAGCGCACCGAGCATTGTGCCCGTTGTAAGCGCGGGCAGGCACGCACGCTGTGTTGTTTGCATGGTGCACGAGAGAGGGATCCTTTCCGGATACGATTGATTGACTGCCGCGAGGCAGACGGTCTCGGCAATCCGTCGTTCAGTTCGGCGCGCGGCGAGCAGTTCTCGGCGGTCCGCCACCTACTTGCGCGATGCAAAGAAGCTCCGCAGGCCGACCATCACGTCCCCGAAGCCGCGCCGCGCGACCCTCAGGCTCGGCTTCATCCAGTCCGGCAGCTTCGTCAGCGGCGCGCGCAGGCCGCCCCCGCCGCACAGCCCCTCCGCGGCCCGCTCGTACCTGACGTCAGCAAGAATGATTGCGGCAAAGTCTCCCGCGTGCCGCGCCGCCCGGCCGATCGACTGGTTCAGCGCGCGCATGCACAGGTTCTCGTAGTGCTCCGCCGACGTCAGGGCCGGCTCCGGGCCCGACGTCTTGACCTGGACCTTCGCGGCGCAGCGATCGATGAATCTCAATCGCTCTTGCAGCTCAGGGTCTCCGCGGTTCGGATACGGCATGCCCGCGACCACGACGCAGCGGCCCAGGTCGTCGCCGAAGTTGATGCCCTCAGAGAGCTTGCCGCCGACGACCGCGACCAGCAGGGCCCCCGTGGCAGGCGCGTTCGGGCTGCGTACAGCGCTAGCGTACTTCGCGAGCACGCCCTCCAGCTCCGCGGCCGCCGTGGGTTCGAAGAACGGCTGCTTCTTCTTCGCGAGCCCGTCCAGCGCGCCCGACGCCTGCCAGCGCCTCCGCACGACGTCCAGGGTCCCGAACGACGGTAGGAACAAAACCACCCCCCCGGGGACAATTGCCGACACGTTCGCCACGAGGCGCCCGAGCTCGTCGACCATGGCGTCCGACGAGCGCGTGGCCGCGCGGAAGTCGAGCACCTGCGACGTCGGCCCTCGCCCGGCCGCCATGAGCAGCAGGCTGGACGGGGGTATGACGTGACCGCACGAGTAGTGCAAAATGCGGTCTCCAGGGACCTCCGGGAACAGCTGCTGCGCGATGGACGCCACGGGCGACAGCGTGCCGCTCGCGAGGATCACGGACCGCGCCTCCGACACGATGCGGCCGAACTGCGAGGCCGCGTTGAGCAGGATGAAGCGGAGACCCCCCCCGCCCGACGCAGCGCTGCCGGCGGCGCCGTCGCTGGGCCCCTGGAGCCGCACCAGCCGGCCGTCGTCGTCCGCGGTCGTGAGAGCCTCCACCATGCCGGCGAACGCGTGCAGAGCCGCCATACGCTCCCCGGAAGGAACCTGCGCGCTTGCGCTGCCGCTTCCGACCACAGCCGCCACGGCCTCGCTCTCCGCCTCCCAGTAGCTGCTCAGCTTCACGAGCACCTTGCTCTCGCGCATGTAGCGCATCAGCTTGAACATGTTGACGTTGTCGAGGCCGCTCGCGAACAGAAACGCATTGATGGTCTGCGCTGCCTCGCTCCCGCGGGCTGTGGCGTCCGAGCGGCCCGCGTCGGGCGCGCGCGCGGGCTTGCCGCCGTTGGCGGCGTCGAGGAGCTTGCCGGCGACGAGCTCCATGGTTCGCAGGTACTTGAGATTGGACGGTGAGAGGCGTGAAGAGAACTTGGACAGATATCCGGCCAGGTGTGCCATGGTGGCCGCGAGCTGCTTGGCTGTCACGGTCGCCGAGTACGCGCCGTTGACCGCGTCGACGATGTTGTGAGCTTCGTCGAGGATCACCACGCTGCCCGCCACGCGCAACCCCAAAGCCTCCCGCGCGGACCGACTCAGGACAGACGAGTACGGCACGCACACGACGTCCGCGTGAGGCAGCGCGTCCCTGCACCGCAGCAAACGATCGCGGGGACCGCCGTGGGATGATGATACAGAACGCAACGATCGGCGCCGGTCAGACAGGCGCGTGGTGAGCAGGGGGGGCGTATTGCGCGTTGCAACGTGTCGCAGGGAATCTGACCTCGCTGCGTAGTACGGGCAGACGCGTCGCGACGACCCCAGCTTCGCCAGGTCCTCGATGTCCATCGGCGCCGCGAGGATCGCGTCCCGCATCCTGGCACGGTCCCGCTCGCGCCCCTGCAACACTCAGCACTGCTGCCGGTTGCCGCAAGTGGCCCGCCCCTCCAGGCCGCTACGCAAGGCTCGCATACCATGCGGGATCCGCTGTTCGGGGCCGCTGAGCGGCACGTGGCGCACCTTGCACAGGAATTCGCACCCCTTTGCCATCGCTGTCGCTTTCCCGTCCTCCCGCGCGCCCCTGGCTTTCTTCGTGCCGGAGCTCTTCGTCCTCTGTAGATCCAGACATGCCTCGTTGATGCGCGCCGCGCTGCCCAGCTTGCGCACCGCGGGGTTGATGCACAGCTGTTGCCGCGACGCGAGCGCTACAGAGTGCATCTCCTGCGCGAACGGCGTCCGCCGCAGCTCCCCGACGAGCTGCGTGATCTGCGAGTGCGCGCGGCTGCATATGATGACCTGCGGGCCCGAAGCTGCCCCCCCGGCGTCGTCGGGATCGTCGTCGCTGCCACTTGTTGCGTCCGACTCGGAGCTCACGCCCCCGCCGGCCCTGCGGCGCTTCGGTGCCCCGCTGCCGCCGTCATCGCTGTCCCAGTCATCAACGACAAACCGGGCGTCGTCATCGACCTTGCTCTGCGCAGCAACCGCAGACATTGCACATTGTTCTTGTTGTTCCAAACGAGACACCGATGCCGCGCAGTTGTTGCTGAGACGCTCGCACGTGCGGCGGTGTGTGCCTGACCTTTGCGTCGGTCTCGCGCCGCTCGACTGCCCTGCGCGTGCTCGCGCCACCGCCCTGCAGAAGCGCCGACGGTCCTGTAGCGCTCCGTGCCCGCTCGGCCTCGAGCTCCCGACGGGCTCGCTCCGTGCGCCTTGCGCGTCGCTCTGCGCGGTCGCGCTCCCGCTGGGCTTGCAGGTCGTCCGCTTGCGTCGTCAGCCACCCGGGAAGGGCCTCTGTTGCAGGAGAGGCTGCCATGCCCGCGCCGTCGCCGGGCGCGGCGGAGAGAAATCCCAAGGAACCCATAGATCGAGCTCTGCGCCGCGGACCGACACGATGGTGGAACGAGTCGGTCGCTTGCGACGCGGGGCGCCGTCGGTGGGCTTTTCGTAGCGGCATGATGGCGCGCCTGCCTCGCCCCGTCAAGAGCTGCGTCGGCGAGGCCGCGTCGCTGTTCTCGCGGCCTGACTACGAGTAAGAGCGACCTGTGTGCATTGCAGATAGGCACGGAATCGCGTGGTGAGCGCGACGGGCGCCTTGCCTGTCATCAGAGAGCCAGTGCAGCGCGCCGCAGAGCAGACTCAGCGTTTTCCCGGTGCCGGTCGGGGACTCGAACATGCCGATCTTGCCGTGTTCGATGGCTCGATACAGGTGCTCCATGAAGCCCTGCTGGATCGCGTAGGGCTCGAATGGAAAGGCGGGGAACTCCGCCCGCCCTCCCTCGCCCTCCCCAGACGCTTTCGCACACATATTTCTGTCTGTTCAGCACAAACTAGTCGCCTTGACCCACGTTTTGTTGGGATACCTGGCCCAGTCCCCGGAACGCCGGCGTTTCGCTGAAATACCTCTGACAGCCAAGTTATGCCGAAGAGCCGGCTCAGAGACCATATGCGCACGTGTGTCACGCGGATTGCGGGTACATACTGCCAGGCCGAGCCCCGCGGGGAGCTGCCGGCCCCCTCGCAGGCTCGACACAGCCCGGCGAGCGTGGCACGAGTGGTGCGGCGCTCCAGCGGGGACCGATGGCTGCAACCTCGATCGGCCGCTGCCACGCGCTTGAAATGCTTCCGGCCGCAGCGCTCGTGCGGGCCGCGGGGCGGCGGCGTCCCCTTGACGCCCTCGCGGTGCACGACACAGCATCCACCAGGAGTCGGGACTGTCATGGCCCTGTGCGAAATGGGCCGCGACACCGCGCATCGTGGGGCCCGCCGAGCGCCTGGATGCGTGTATTCTGCGAAGTACATGCATCATTTCTGCTGATACCTCCGCAACGACCTCCACGTCCGCACCGCGCAAGCCAATTCCTGGCTGGTGCACGCAGGCAGCGTCACAGAATGCACCGGCGCGCACAACACCGTTTCACGCGCCTGTTTGGCAAGTAGAAGTCCATACATAGCAATGCGGGTGAAACACGTCCAGTTTGCGATCGACAGATGCCTCGGTCGACGATCCATCAGCTGCATTGCCACGGCGCCCCCGCGCTTCCCTCGGCCGGCGATCAGCGCGCCCGGCTCGTGGCGCGATCACAGATGTCCGGGCTCTGACGCGATCCTACAGCGGAGCGTCAGGAGCGTCGTCCCGCGCGCAGCTGCGAGCGACCCCCCAGCCACCCCTCCAGCACTGCCTCTCTGCGAGCGTGCGGCGACCGCGCAGTGCAAACTCGTCGACCTGGTCAAGCTGTACAGGTGCAGAACCGATCGCGACACCGCAGATGCCAGTCACCGCCCCCGCCGCGCCAGGGCCCCAGCTCCCACACCATCCAGCGCAGCTCCCTCCCGTCCCCTCGAAACGCGCTCACGACGCGAGTCAGGCTACCGTGCAGCCTGAGACGCGCAGTGGAACCAGTACCGACTGCAGGACGTGTCAGGACACCATCCAGGCGGTGGGGTCGAGTTGGGAGCAGGCGGACGATGGGCCGGGGTTTGCCGAGCTCGCGCTGGAGCTCGAGTGGCTCTTCGAGGACGCCGTGGCCGAGGTCGTGGCGGACAACAGCACCTCCGAGCGCTTCCAGCGCATCGCGCGCCTCGGACAGGGCTGGAAGGCCATTCGGCAGGCGATCGACGGCGTCGACGACGACAGCCTGCTTCCGAGCACCAAGCTGCGCCTGCGGATGGGCATCGACGAGGTGCGCCGGCGCAGACCGATGGCAATGCGTCAGCGCAGCTCGTCAAGCCCAGAGACGTCGCTCGTTCCGCCGTTCACGCGTTTGAACCGCGCGATGTTCTCTGACGCATGAACGTGCCGTTGCCGTGCCGGAACCGGTCGCAGATCGCTGCGCTGTGGCGCCGGCGCGTGGAGACGCGCGAGCCCTTCCAGTACCTCACGTCCAGCGCCTTCTGGCGCGACGTCGTCCTCGCCGTCGGCCCCGGCGTCCTCATCCCGCGCCCAGAAACCGAACTGATGATTGATTACGCGACCGAGGCAGTATCTGAGAACCCAGGGCTGACGTCGCTGCCCTGGGCGGACCTCGGCACGGGCAGTGGCGCCCTCGCCATCGCGCTCGCCCGCCTCCTCGGCACCGGCAGCGTCGTCCACGCCGTCGACGTCAGCACCGCCGCGGTCGAGTACACGACGCTCAACGCCTCGCGCCTGCTGGGCCCGCGGACGGGGACGGTGTCCGCCGTGCAGGCTCCGTGGTTCGAGGGCCTGGCAGAGCTGCGCGGCCAGCTGGGGGGGGTGTTGAGCAACCCCCCCTACATACCACGGAAGAACCTCGCGGGGCTGCAGGCCGAGGTGCGGGACTTCGAGCCGCGGCTGGCGCTGGACGGCGGGGACGGCGCCGGGATGGACTCGCTCGAGGTGATCTGTCGCGGCGCTGCGGAGTACTTGGCGCCTGGCGGGTTCCTTGCGCTGGAGACGGACGGGGACGCGCAGGCGGCGATGGTGGCGGAGCTGCTCCGGGAGCTGCGGGACGACACCGGGGCGCCGGCGTTCGTGGCCGTGGAGATCCGCCGGGACTACCGCGACGTCGGACGCTTCGTCACTGCCTCCAGAGCTTCCAAGCGGGCGTCGTGACATCCCGGGAGGGGGGTCAACGAGCGCCACGGTCCGTGACGCCGGGCTGCTTGGAGGTACCGAGGGGCGCTGCATGGGCACGGATTGTCTTTTTCAAAGCGCAGGTTCGGCCAGCTGCGCGTGTACCTGGCCGGGAGCACCTGCGGGAGGTTGAATTCCGCTTTTCCGTGCCCTCTCCGCCGGCACGATGACTCCTGAGTCAGGAAGGTCCCTCTGGAGGATGATCCTGGCTACGATCGTTGCGTTCAGCGGCATCCTGGGATCCGCGACCGCGTCGCGGTTCCGCGGCGGGGTCATCACCTACGCTCTCGACGACAACACTCTCGTCGCCGAGCTCAGGCATTCCTGGCGCGCAGGGGCGCGCCTCCCGGCCATCGAGCTCGATGTCACGAGTTTGGGGAGCCCCGGCGTCGTTGCGACCGTCCCCGCGTCGAGCACGATCTCGATTGGCAACAGCACCGATGCAGTTGGTGTGGGCGTCGCAACGTTCCTGTCAACCTTCGAGACTCAGACGGCCGGATTGGACCGAGATGTCCACGAGCTATCCTTCTCGGGCTGCTGCCGCATTCTGTTCCTGGCAGGTAGGCAGCTCCCAAGTGAATCTCGCTGCCAGGTTTGCTGCAATGGGGGCGCGTCGGACCGTCCTGTGCTGCACCGCTCCTGACAGATCGCAGTCGCAACCTTGACAGCCGAGCCTTGTCGGCCTGCGCGGGTCGGCCACACGTTCATTTTTTCCCCTTCTACACGGATGTGCGCAGGAGGCAAGGGCGGTCGCCGCTGGAATGTAGCAACCACGGTCGACCTGTCCGACGCGGCAGATCCCGGGCAAGCGCTGTCCCTGCAGCCCGCCGCGCCCCCGCTGATCGGTGTGTTCCCCGCAGCACTGGGTCAGGCTGCGGAGGCGTACGTTCCAGTGGCGGGGGGTTCGAGCAGCTTCACGTGCTCACGATCCACAGGTACGCTCCGCGCAGCGCGCTATTCCACCGCAGTGAATCGGAGACGTACGGCCCTGCGGCTGCGAGGGATGAGAGGGAGAAACGAATTTCCTTAATCGAACGGTGACTTGCAGGGAACGACGGCATGACAGGCACGTGGCAGCAGCTCGAGGTCGTCGACTCTCCTGATTCGGAGCGTCCCGGGTGCCTGATCAGGTGGGCGAACGCGGCCACGCCTCCCGGCACACGTGCAGCAGTGCAGGTTGTGGTTGCTGACGTGGAGAACCCAGCTCACCGCGTCGCCGTGGATCTCGTCGTTCAGGTGCGGACGCCCCGCACGGACAGCTGGCGCAGCTGCCGGACCCGGTGAGCCTCAGCGAGCGAGCGCTTGCACGTCTGAGACCCCAACATCCCCCTCGGACGCCCCCGGGTGACTTGCAGACCGTGGCACCTCCGCCGGCGGACGCGCCTCGTCTCCGCTGCTCATCCACTGAAGCGACGGCGCCGATCAAGGGAGGCGAGAGCGTGACCTTCGCCTTCTCTGCGACGCTCGAGCCACCTCAGGCTGACAACAACGGACGCGCTGAGGACCGTGCACGCACCGTCGACGGAACGGCGCCAGCGAGCATCGACGCCACGGTCGTAGCGACGCCGTCTTTTCTCTCAACGCGGCTGGCCTCCGCGGGGCCGGGGTCGCTGCTTCTGCTCGAGGGGGCTCAGTCGGGACCGTACGTGCCGCAGGAGGGCTCCTCCGCCTGCTTGGACGACGGGGCCGGCCCGCCGCAGTTGATGGCGGTGCAGTTCTCGGTAAGGGGAGGACCGTCGCCCTCAGCGACACCTCCGGTGCTGTGTCAGTCGGTGTTGCGCGTGGCCTGTACGCCGAGAAACGCAACCGAGGTCCTCGTTGTTGTTCCCACGATCGAAACGACGCCCGTGGTTCGCAAGCAGGCCCAGGGAGTGTGAGCGCGTTGCTGGCGTGACACCATCGGGTCGCGTTCCGGGCAGCGCTGCGGCTCATCTCGCTCCATGACGCAAGCATGCCATGCATCACTCTCTCCGGTATGCCTTGCACTGTCGTTCGAGCGACTTACAAGCAGATGCGACGCAGCCTGGAGACCCATATCCGCGCGCCGTGGACAATCATCGTTCCCATTTCCAGCCCCCCGGGGGGGGTGTCACCACTTGCCGCCGGGCGTCAGGGGAACGGCGGGACGCCGGCAAAGTCTCCGCCCGCGAACTGCCGGGGAAGGATCGGGGCCACGAACAGCGCGCCCTTGGGCACGAACTTGTCGTCGTTCCTCGCAAAGGCGTTGGAAGCCGTCTGCAGTGTGGACGAGAGACATGCGCGGAGGACGTTGCTTGGTGCATCGAGGGCTCGGTGCACGACACGTGAGAGTGCGTGTCTGGGGCGTTCGAAAGGCAGGACGTGCGGTGTTCGTACATCTGCGAATCCGCCAGCGCCGCCCGTGTTCGTCAAGTCAAAGGTTGCGGCGGCAGCGACGTTAGGGATAGCAAAACCAGACGCGTCAGATGCCGCATTCGCCTGACCCCAGAAATCAGGCCTAGCTACCGCGTATGTACCGGCCTGCAAGCCAATCAGGGCGCAGATGGACATTTCCACTTAAAGCCAGCAACTTCATTCTTGAGTGCAAGACAGATTCGTCGCTGCACGCGCGAGAATCTGTCCACCACCGGCGCTCACCGCCGTCTGCGAGGTGCCGGTGTTGTACGAGTCCACTGCGCTGAACGTTTCCGCTGCGCTGTTTGCATCCGACGGTAACCCCCAGGAAGACTCGAGGGTGCCCCTGCCGGAGGTAGAGCCCCCCGTCTCGACGCCGATGTTCCCGCCGACGTCGGTAGTGCGCGACGTCGCGCTAGCCGTCGCATAGGCGTCGGTCAGGGTGGACCGGTCCGGGATGCTCAGCGTCATGCCGTTGTCGTAGTATCCGCGCGCGCCCAAGAACTCGCCCTCGGGACTCTCGACGCCGGCGACGTACGAGTTGCTCAGGGCAGACGACGCCTCGATTTCGGGGGCCTGGAAGAAGATGCCGTTCGTGGGCGTGAGGCCCGCAGATGCCTTTTGGAAGGCGTCCCGCTCGTCGCTCCGTGCAGTACTCCGCGCAGTACTCAGGCCGAAGCCATTGATGAGGTGCCAGCCGTTGCCGATTGGGAAGCGAACGATGGTTGCCCGAGAGGCAGCCCCGCCGGTGGCATCGGCCTCGCCTGCAGCGGGGTAACATCGCAGGACAAGTGTGAGACATGCCCATGAGACACATGCTCACTACACATTAGACGAGCAGAGCGCGACAACTGCTGCGCGGCGTGCGCACTGATCATTTCGTCCGGGAAAAGCCCGTTTCTGCGGGAGGCGGCCGATCGATTTGCGCGAGCAAGGCGTGATTCGGCTGCGATGTGCGGTTGCAGGTGAGACGCCACGCGCGTGCGAAGCCCGTCGAAGCTTGCCTGCAACGTCCTGTGCAGAGACCGAGCGGAGCAGCAGCACAGCGAGGGCGGCCGCCAGCCACCTCATGGCGCGCTGTCGCAGCATCGTGCACTCCTGCAGCGGGAGGAGTTGCGTGGTGCGGCCGAACCGGTACTGAAATCGACTGGCTTGCCCCGCGCGTTCCTGATACGAGTTGAAATCTGCAGCCGCGGCCTCTAGCAGCGCACCGATACGGCCTCTAGCCGCGCACCGATACATGACACGTGTACAGTGTCATGGTGTGCACATGGCGCTCGAACTCCACCATGCCACCGTCTCATGGTCCGGAAACGAGCTTGCGCGCCGCCCGCGCACCACAATCGACGGCGGTCGCGATTTCAGCACTGCCACGCAAACCTCGGTGCCAGCCTACGGCGCCCAGCCTAGCCACACATCAACACCCATGGGTACAGGTGCCCAGGTCTGACGTTGATTGTTCCCTCGAAGGCGAGGCTCTGCAGGATCGAGGATCACATCACACGTGCGCTCGGCTCCCCGAACGCCGTCGCGGGGTGGAGAAGCACCGTCCCCGAGCCCGTAGAGTGCTGCGTAGCTGACACGTGCGCTGTCAGCCCAGCTGCGATCGTTTTCCACGTCCCGTCACCCCCCGTCCGCGTCCCCTCGCTTGATGAGGTCCCAGCGGTTGACCTCGTCGGCGGGACCCTCCCCGACGACCGTCTCCTGCGCGCCGTTCAGCACCATCACCTTGCGCTTGACGACCACCTGGTCGTGCTCCGCCCAGGGGTGGTTGCAGTTGCACACCCAGGGCGAGTCGAAGCCGCCCTCGGGGCAGGTCTTGCACCCGGCCTTCGTGCACTTGCGCGTCACGGGGTCGTGCTCGATGTGCTTGTGCTTGCACCGGCACCGCAGCACCCACGAACCCTCCGCGACGATGTAGAAAAACTTCTTGCACTTGCAGCGGGTGTTCTTGCACGACAACGCCCCGGACGACCCAAGAGGAGCGTGCTCCTTCATCCTGCAGCCACCCACGAGGCAGAGGCTGCGCACGTCTGCGGCCCAATGAGCCGCGCGAGCAGTCGTGCGTGTCCGGTTCTCCCCCCGCGCGGTGTGACCACCGTGGGCGGGGCGGGGCCGGGCGGGGGCTGAGAGGGGCCGGGCGGGGCGGAGAGGGGCTGGGAGGGGTGGAGTGAAGTACGCAGGCTGACGGGAGCAAGAGGGGTGTGATCGCGCACCTGTGTCCGCAGAGGCAGCGAGACTCCGTGCGGATCGGGATGCACTCCTTCTTGCACCCGCGGCACATCCACGCAAGGAACTCCTTCTCTTTATACTGCACGTCAACACCCCCCCCCTCCTCTGCTTGCGGCGCCGGTGCGCCCCCCAGCATCTGCCCGATGACGCCCGCCATCTCGCGCGCGACGCCCGGCAGCATCTCGTCCGGGATCTTCGCGCCCATCGGCGGCACGAGCACCTGCCCGGACGGGGGCACCTCCCGCAGCGCAACGCTGCCGTCGGGCGGGGCGCCGGTGTCCGAGGGGGCCGAGCTGCCCTGGCCAGCGGGACCGGAGCCGCCCGCGCGGGCAGAGCGACGTCCTCGCAGCCGCGCGAGCGCGTCGGCGCGGGAGTCCGCGCCATCATCGTTGGCGCCCATGGTGCGGTGCTAGCGGCGCGCGTCCGCTCGGGCCTCTCGAGGAGCTGTCCGCGCGCTACGTTGACTTCTTCAAGTCGAGTCCCTTGAGCGCCTCCTGTTTCTCAAGCTCGGCCTGGGCTGAGCGAATGTTCCAGTGCAAGAGCCCGGCCCATGCACACAGCGCGATTCCGAGCACTGCCTGCCTCTTTGACTGCGTTCCATCATCGAAACAAGGTGCCAAGGAACAGGTGAGTCCCTCGGCACCCCCCTGCGGCGAGCAGAGCCTCCCGCCGGACTCAAACGGCACGGCACGCGGCTCTCAGCGCATTTTCGCTCAGGCAGCGCGCGCACGGCATGCGTCCCGCGAAAAGCTCACCCTCGCGCGGAACTCAGGAGTCTGACTCTTCCACCTTCCCACGGGATCGAACTTGGCCATCGAGGGGGCCTGCTCTGCTGGTGCTCCTCCAGCGCGTCCCCTACAGCTCCTGTCCTCGCGCACCTCTCGCTGCCCAAGAACGGCCAGTTCCCATCCGCGCTCCAGCAGAGTGCGTCGAGTGCACGGGCGTCCTGTGCGGCCCCGGCAACGGCCAGCAGGGCGGCGGGCGAGAGCCTCTACGAGTACAACACCCAGAGTCTGTCCGCGCCCGTGTCTGACTGTCTGGAAGTCCTCGCCCCCCGCCAGCCAACTGCTCGCGGCGCCCCCACGACGGTGCTCTCCAGGCACGACGTCGGCGGCGCTGCAGCGCTTCTTCGCATACACTGTGGGGCGTTGCGTCAATGTCACACAGCGTGCGCGTCGACGTCACCGCCGCCCCAGGGTCATGAAGTCCGTGATCTTCGCGATGTTGAACCGCCGCCGCTGCTCCCTCATGATCTTGTATATCTGCAACAGACAGACACCAGCGAAATACCATCGACGCAGGTCGGGAAACCATTGGTTCCCGCAGCGGGCTCAGACGCCCGTGTCTCCGCGGCTGCTCCACCGGTTCCGCACTGAATCTGGCTGACCAGGGCGCGGCGGCTCTGTTGCCGCCCCACGGTTGGGCTGGCGAACAAGCGCGCGTGTCACTGTCTGGGGCCGCGCAACTCACCGCGCGAGCGCCCAGGACGAAGCTCAGCACGTGCCACGCGATGAAGAATGCCGCGATCGCCTCGTCGAGCGGCGTCCTCGTCTTCTGCGCACGCGACCACGCACAGGAGCAACGCGTGCGATGTTTCCAGCCGCGTGTCATCAGCGCGCGGGCTGCGGCGCGTGCGGCGGGCGCGCTCACCTGCGCGATGTACATGAAGATCCAGAACGGGAAGCACGGCGCGATGCAGAACACCTGGAACACGAGCAGCGTGGGCACGTCCTCCCGCAGGTTGCCGCTGTAGCCCAGCCAGAGCCGGCCGGGCTCCACGGCGGAGTACAGCGACAACAGAATGGTTCTGGCGATGTCCGGGTCCTCCAGCACCACGCCGCTGCCGTACTGCGCGGGGGTGCGGCGGAAGAGGTGTACGGCTGTGTCGGTGCGGCTCGAAATGGGAAACGGCGTTTTTTGTGTTGCCTGGCCGGCGGGGCTGGCGTCGGGATACGCGGGCGAGGAGTGGCTCGCTGGCGCAGCTCGGCGTCGGTGGTGCAGGGCTTGCATGGCCTTGTGCGTGGCGTGGTGGTTGGGCGGCGTTCGTGGGCCGCGCGTACCTTCTGGTAAAGAATGATTATCTGAGCAATAATGAAGGTCACGAAGAGCGATATGTTGTAGTACAGAACCTGCTGGAGTATCACTGAAGAGGCGACGCGCGTCGTGGGAAGCTCTAGCGATGCCAAGTCCGACTGCGGCGCGCCCTGTGCTGCGCCCTGCGCGTTTACGCGCTGCCGCGGTTGCGTGGCCATCTCGGTTCAGCTGCCAGCGGCACCCCGCGGGGCGCCCCGAAGGCGCGCAGCGCCGCGCGCGGTGCTGAGACTCAAGCACTCGGCGCGGGCTTCCCCGTTCTCCGCGTGACTTCCGAGTCAGTGGATCTACTGGCGCCCAACTATATCTTTGATCGTCAGAGAGCCGTGCTGGGTGGTTTCCGACCCAAGCGGTCCTCTGTCCACGTGACAGCGTCCTCGTGAGAGCTCAGGCTTGCTGCGCTGATTCCCACGCGCTGCGGTGCTAACATATGCTGCTTCGTCAGGCGAAATGACGCGGTGCATCAGCGACACCGCCGTCCGTCCGGCTCGCGCGGCAAGTATCTCCCCGCCATAGAGCTGGGGGAGTCCCAAGACGCAACTTGCATCAGCGGAGCACGGGGGGTGAGGCGGCGGCAGCAGGGGCGCATTGGGGAGCTCCCGCGCCGCGCGCACTGTGTCTGAGAAAAAACCAGAAAAAACCCCTCCGGATACCCTCCTCCAAGAGCGGGCGTACGCAATGTGCGCCCCCCCCTCTCTTCCCTGCCCTGCCTCTTGCGGCCCGCCCCGCGGCGCCACCAAGCGGGAATTCCCCCCGCTGCCCGAGAACGCCCCCTGGGCGTCCTCGTGGCGAACTGGGTCCCCCAAAACACCAAAACCCTCAAAACCGCGGGCCACGGTCCCACACACATGCCCGCTGCAACCCAGTCCCGGCGGCCCACTGCGCCCCCTGCCCAACGCACCTCCCACCCTCCCACCGGCTCACCCCGCTTACAGATGGGCAGACGGACCAGGCTCCATCGCGCTCCCCGCCCGGCAGGCATCGCAAACCCCAAAACAACGGGCTCCGGCCCTCCTCCCCCTGCCCCTCAACAACGCCCCGCGTCCCCACGCCCGCCTTCACCAACAGACCTCCGACGCCCACACCGGCTCACCCCGCATACAGATACGCAAACGGACCAAGCTCGGGTCGCGCTCCCCCACGGGCGTGCGTCACGGCAGCCGTCTCCCCTTGGGGACCCAACCGATGGTGTGGGGCACGAGGCGACAGCCCCCCTGCCCCTCCCGCAACTCCATCCTCCGCTTCACGAAGCGCTTCAGCCTCACAACGGGTACATCTTCTCGCTCGCCGACGACGACCACCTCACATGGACGCACCCGTCCCTGCTCTCTCAGAAATGTCCTCTACCAGCGCGCTCCGGGCCACCGTCCCGCGCTGGGCCATCGCTCCCCCCCTGCAAACCTCCCCTGCTCCACCCTAACCCCCGTTACCGCACCCCATTCTATGTCCGAATCATACGTTTCGCTGTTATGGTGAGCAAGGCTTGGGGCGAAGGCCCCTGCCCGTACGGGCGGGCTGGCTTCTGGCTGGTCTTCCCCTCCGTCAGCATAGCGGTGTCGCGGGATGAGGAACGGAAATGTCTGGCCCTCATCCAACAAAACGCGGCGCCTGGGCTGTGTGCGACTGGTGGGGAGGGGGTCCCAGTCCCCTGTCTTCCGTGTGATTCCCTGTCATCATTGGGGAGCTCCCGCGCCGCGCGCCGTCAAGCTTCAGACCGTTCTGCACCCGAGGGCTGGACGAGTCATCCGTGAACGGGAAACGCGTGGACGTGAGCGGCTGTGTGGGTGTCAGGACTGCGGCAAGGAGCACGCCTGCGATTCATGACGCACGAGGTTGTGAACCTGCGCGTGTGAGCTCGTGCCTTGCTTCTAGAAGGGAGCCGGGGGGTCCCGGTGGCCCGCGGCCGCCCCTGGGCGTGCCAAACACGGCAGGAGGCTGCTCCCGAGAGTGCCAGCGACGTGATGAGCGAGGCCGAGGAACTCGAGCGCGCGTACCGCGATAGCCTCGTCGACCTGACGGTCGCCAAGGCGCACATTAGCAGCATGACGATGATCGCTGAGGAGAACAAGCCCTATGCTGGTGTCCTGGTGGCGGCCATTGCCGACCACATGATGCGATGCCCGCCCACGCAGCGGCTGGCAGTCATATACTTGATCGACTCCATCCTCAAGAACGCAGGACCGCCCTACATCGCCCTGTTCTCGCGGCACGTTTACCCGTGCTTCATGCAGGTAGGCCACTCACGGCCGCGCGTGCGCCTGCACCGCGTCCTCACCCGCACGAGCGCACCGCCCTCCCCAGCGAGCATGATGCCGCCCACTGGGCCACTACAGCCGCCCTGCGATCAACGCTCCGCCGCCTAGTCGCCCATCTCCTGCACTCGCCTCCTCTCGCAGCGCTAGCTCCCCGGCAACCGGGCCCGCCCCCGCGCCCCTCCTTCGCAGGCCTGGGAAACCGCGGACTCGCGCAGCCGCGAGCGTCTGCAGCGCCTCCTCAACACGTGGGGCCCTATTTTCGGCGAGCCTGCACTCGCACCGATACGCAACGGGATCGCCGCCGGACCCTCGCGCCGGCCAGCGCCGCCAAGCGGGCCCAGCTGGCCGCCCGGCCAGCCGCCCGCGCTCGACCCGCGCCGCGCCCCGCGGCCACCGCCGGGCGGGGTCCCTTCCGGGGGTGGTTGGGACAACGCCCCCCCACCCAGCTACGGCCCGCGGCACCCGCCGCCCGCGCACGGTGGAGATGGCTACGGCTACGAGCGGGGCTACGGCGGCTACGGCGCGGGGGGATACGACGGCGGCGGCTACGAGCGCGGCTACGGTGGGTACGATGACGGCTGGGGAGGTTACGCGGGAGGGGGGGGGTACGGCGGGGATGCGGGGTACGGGCAGGCTGGAGGCGACTGGGGCGGTGGGTACCAGGACGGCGGTGCGCAGGGGTACGGCTACGACGGTCAGGGGTGCTATCAGGATCAGGGGGGAGGTCAAGGGGGGGGTTGGGCGCCGCCGCAACGCGAGGCGCCGCCGCCGCAGGGCGCACCTGGAGGCGTGGATGCGTCGGCGCTGATGGACCAGCTCGTCGCGGCGGGCGTGATCGGCGGGGACGCGAACGCCGGCACCGACGTCGCGGGCGCCGACGGCGACTGGACGCCGGCGGCCGAGGATCTGCAGTTCGACCACGACGCGCTGAAGCACGGCGCGAAGACCGACGCCCTGCGGCGGCTCGAGGGGGCGTCCGCGAAGCACCGCGGGGGCATCCTGGACAGGCTCTTCCTGCGGCGTGGGTCCCGGGAGCCGCATCGGATCTGGTTCGCCACGGTCGACACGTGGATCCAGGCGACGAGCATGGACGTGCCGGCGCGCAAGGTCGAAGACCGCGGGCCGGAGCCGCCGGACCCGGCCACGTGCAGCGTGCCCGTGGAGAACGCAGAGGGCCAGACTCACTGCGCGCTGAGCGGGGAGGAGCTGGAGGCGACGTGGGACGACGGGGAGCAGAAGTGGGTGTACCGCGGGGCGCTGCGGCTGTACGGGGAGGACGCGGAGCGCGAGGGAGTCCCCGCGGGGAGTGTTGTGCTGGCGACGTGCATGACGATGGGGCGCAAGTTCACGTCGCTGATGAACTCGCCCGCGCGGTCGCCGTCGCCGCCAGGGATCGCGTCGCCAGCGATGTCGCCGCGGCGGACGGAGGAGGCCGACGAGCCGCCGGAGAAGCGACGCAAGGTTGAGTGAAGGGGGGGTGTAAGTGCGAGTGCGAGGCGAGGCGGACTGCGCGCGCTGTCTCAATACCCGGCATCACACGCTGGTCGCGCACCCGGCGAAGCGGTTCCACGCGAGGCGGGGGGGGGGGGGCAGAATCTGATGCTGTTTCTATGCTGACGTCACTCCTTCTCGGCCGCCCTCTTGGTCATTTCCTACGGCTCTACGCAAGCTACGCCGCTGCGCCGAAAGCGCTTCACTTCTTCTTCGCGTCCGTCGTCGAGTCGGAGAGGTACTGCCAGGCCAGGAAGACGGCGCCGAGGGCCACGCCGAGGACCGCCGCGACCCGCACGAGCGCGAACGAGGCCTGCACGAGCAGCTCCTCCGCGGCCACCAGGCTGACCACCAGCGTGCGCTCGACGCCCACCAGGAGCAGGAGCAGTGCGCGCGGGAGCACCAGCAGCGCGGCGAGCGCGACCAGCGCGAGGATCGCTGCAGGGGAGCGGGGCAGCCGACGGAACGCTGAGCCGCACGAATTGAGATGCAGGGGCGGGGGGAACAAGGACGGTGTCTGACATATAGATACAAATACAGATGTTTAGTTACGTTCGATGTATTTGTGACTGTGCCAGTGGGAGGGGCGAACGGACCGGCGCGCTTCGGCGTGAGCGTTGTCAGGTTCTTGAAGGCATCGACGACGGGGTTGTCGGCGTCCTCGTCTCCGCCCGGCCCAGACGATGCGCGCACCCACACCAAGCGACGAATCTGATTGCTGCGCGCCGTGCGCGACCTCAATGACGACATGGGGCGCCGCGATGCCAGGATACAGTGCCCTCGTGGATGCACATCCGGCGCGTTGCGGCCCAGACCCCCGGGGCTCGTGGAACAGCGCCGTTGAGCCTTCGCTGGGAACAGGACGGGACAGGCGGCGGACATCGCGCAGGATGCCATGGAATTCGGTACTACGGGAGCGCCAAAGATCTATTGATTCGTCTGATGATCGGATCACGGCGCTTGCACCGCGCCAGTGGATGCCGCGCCCTGCTGTTGTTGTTGTTGGCCCGTTGCGCACACAAGCGGCATCTGCGTTCAGGCGGGACGCCAGGCCGAGTTCGACGGCGGTGCGATCTCGTCCCGGTGGCCGCGGCGACACGCGAAGTGCGCCCGGGCCCGCGCGCACGACGTCCTTGGGGCGGGAGGCGTCTCGCGAGAGCTCCCCAGCGCAGTGCGACAGCCGTTGCCGGCAGCCCGCGGCAACGTTGCCCCCGCGCCAGCGGACGTCGCGCACCTTTCCCTGCGTAACCACGTCGCGCACTGTGGCACGGGGCACCATGAGTGCTCACGCCGCCGCGGCCTGCGGCTGTGGTAGCTTCGCCACTCCTGGTCCCGCTGCTGCCGGCGCGCGGCGCCGCATTGGCCCGCAGCAGGTGACGGGCAGCCGCGCTCATGTCGCCGCGGCCCCGCTGTTCGCCGTGCACGCGCCGAGCCACCAGGCGCGGCGCAGCTGCGTGGTGCGGGCAGCCTCAGCCACTACCGACGAGGAGCGCGAGAAGGAGCGCCGGGAGCGACAAATTGAGATCAACAGCTTCATTCTACAATGCAAAAATCCCATGGAGGTCCTCACCGTCTGCGACGACCACCTCGAGGACCTCAGCGTCGTCAACCTCGCTACAGCTCTGGGACGAGTCGGTGCGTGCCTCGCCTGAGACCCCCCCCCTGTCTACGCGACCCCCTCCGGTGCCCTGCGACCCATGCGGACCTCAGAACCGCGGTCACTCCCGCCTCCCGAACCCTCGCCGCCAAGCGTGCATGCCAGCCCCTGCGGCCAGGGCCGCTCGTGCGAGCCGCCGCCCCCGCCACGCACCGCCCCAGACGGCCACTGGCGCTCGCGGCGACCCTCCCTGACTGCGTAGCTCCGCACTCGGCCCGCCAGTCCGCGGAGATGGCGTGCCGGCGCCGCAACCTGCCCTCTCCCCACCTCGTGGCTGCAGCCAAGCTCCTGCGGAAAGGAACGTACGGCGGGGCGCCGCGCGCCGTCCGTCAGAGCATCGTGAACTCGCAGGCCCTGAAGGACGTCGTGTACGCGCTCGCGGACGACGCGGAGAACCTGGACGGCCGGTCGCTGTCGAGCACGTTGTGGGCGCTGGCCATCATGCGCGTGCGGCCGCTCAAGGCGGTGCAGCAGATGATGGAGGCGTGCGACAAGGACCTCCTCACCAGGTCCGCGTCCCCGGGTGCTCCGCGCGCCGCGTCGCCGCTCCGGCTCGTTCCCGGGCCGGCGTGTATTGCACATGCAGCGCCAGCGCTCGGCCGATGACGATCAAACTAGATGACGAGTCCGAGGGGTTCCCGACAATCCATTCCCGGGGCCCCAGCTCCATGAGCGACAATCGAGGCATTTGTCTGACGGCCGAGCTGCTGTTCACGCACACCAACCACCGCACAACACCAACCCCCCCCCCGCCGCGGCCGACGAGCCCTCACGCGCGCCACACATCCCCGGCGCCGCCACCCGAACAACCCCCGCGCCCCCCCCCCGCGCCCCTCGCAGTGCCTCGGCGCGCGACCTCTCCTCGATCATCTGGGGCCTGGGGTCCCTGTACGCCCACCCGGGCCCCCAGCTCGACGACGTCGCCTCCGAGCTCGCCGCGCGCGCCCAGGCGGACCCGCACAGCATCGCGCCGCAGGCCTGCTCCATGGCACTGTGGGGCCTCGGGCGGCTGGAGCACGACCCCGGACCGGCGCTCGACGTCCTCATCGACCACGCCGTCGAGCACGCGGCGCGGTACAAGCCCCAGGCGCTCACCAACATCGGGCACTGCCTCGCGCTGCTCAAGCGGCCGCACGCCGCGTTCTTCGCGGCAGCGCAGCAGCAGCTGGTCGAGCGGGCGCCGGAGTTCGCCGGGCGCGACGCGTCGAACCTGCTGGCGTCGATGCAGCGGCTGGGGCTGCGGCCGGACGGCGCGGCGGTGGCGGCGGCGCTGGGCGTCGTGGGGCCTGGGATGTCGGCGCGGGACGTGGGCGTGACGATGCAGGCGCTGGCGGAGGTCGGCGAGAACGTGCACTCGGAGGACCTGTACCCGATGCTGCAGGCGCTGGAGAGCTGTTTGCGGCCGGGCGGCGCCGGGGCCAACGTGATCGACTTGGCCATGGTGGTGTGGTCGGTGGCGGTGATGGGCCTGGACGACGCCAAGCTGCTGGGGATGTGCAGGAAGCTGATCGGGCGCATCATGCGCGCCGTCGAGCGCGGGACGGAGCCCTCGGAGCAGTCGCTGCGGTGTCTCGTACAGGTGCGCTGCAACGACGCGCCGTCGATCGACGACCGGCACCGCTGGGGCCGCTGTGGCCCGTGCGCGCGACGCCGGCGAGGCACTGATGATACCAACATTGGCATAGTTCATCTGAGTCAGTGTCGGAGCTGCCTGATGATTCTCTGCTTTGAAATTAGTCTTTCGCTCCTATCTGAGCCTCGCCAGCCGCCGGCCACCGCCCCCCGCGCACCAGCACCGTCCCCTCTCGTGGCCCCGCTTCCGACGCCCGGCGCCGCGTCCGACCCGTCGCGCGCCCCTCGCCACCGTGTCGCGCAGGCCCAGACGCTCTTCCGCGCCGACGGCCGGGAGGACCTGGACCTGCCGTCGCCGCTCCGGGAGCAGGCGATCGGCGCGTGGATGACTGCGCTGGAGCGCGACGTGCGGCCGCTGGAGCGGCAGGTGGCGGACATTCTCGCGGAGGAGGCGCTGGCGTGCGAGACGCGCGCGTCGACGCTCGACGGGCTGCTGGTGGTCGACGTGGCGATCCCGCGGGACGTGCTCGGGGCGGAGGAAGGGAACGTCGGCGAGCGGGGCATCGCGATCGAGGTGGTGCCGGAGGCTGGGGTCGACGCAGAGGGCGCGCTCGTCGGGTCCGTGCGGGCGAAGCTGCGGGTGATGGAGTACGCGGGGTGGTCGCCAGCGACGCTGCTGGCGTCGGATTGGGCCGCAGCGGCCGGGGACGACGCGGCGCGAGCGCAGCTGCTGGCGGATGCGCTGGCGCCGTTCGGGGTTGAGATCGACGTTGAGGCGTTCGCTGAGGGGGACGAGGATGAGGAGGACGAGGGAGAGGACAGCGAGTCTGACGTGGACACGACGGACATCGAGGTGTAGACGCGGCTCTAGGCGAGCGCAGGTAGTTTGAATTCTTCGCCGCTGATGTGACGCGCAGGCAGCGATCGGTGGCGAGGCTCGGGTGCTGGTTCTTGAGGCATCTGCAGGGCCTGCGCCTCTTTGCAGATCCACAAGCCACTCCTTGGAGTGTTCGCTGACCTCACCGTTGGCTTCAGTTATTCGCTGAAGCTACCTATAGGCACCCTCGCCGCGAGGACGCTTGAGCGACCGAAATGGTGCGTGAGACGAGCCTTTGATGCCAGGCGCATCATTACAACATCGGCAGCGCGTCCCCACCGGTCCCGTGCGCCCCGTCCCCACGCCAGTCTCTTCATACCGCATGCAACTACCAGCACGGCGGGCGGTCTCGGCCTGCCGTGCCGATCCCACACCCCTCACCCGCACGCCGCCCTGCGCTCCCTCCGCGCCGCAGGCAGCACCTCAATGACCCCGCGCGACCTGTCCGGCACCATGACCCCGCGCCCGCCCAGCGCACGCCACTCCCGCTCCAGCGTCGCCTCGATGTACCGCCACGCCGCGTCGTCCGGCGCCTTCAGACTGAGCTGCCGCACCATGGTCGGGTATACCGCAATGCGCAGCACCGCGTTGCCGCCCGGCCCCCCCGCGCGGACGTCCACCGCGTACGCCGCGCCCACGTCGTCGCGCATCGGGCGCCCGGCCTTGTCCTCGTGCCCGCCCGGCTGAATCCCCTCGTAATCGTTCAAGAGGTCCCCGCAGCCAAATAACACAAGACCCTGGTTGTAGAACTCCAGCCCCTTGACGTGGTGGCTGCTGTGGCCCCACACGACGTCGACGCCCGCGTCGATCAGCTCGTGCGCGAACCGGCGCTGCTCCTGCGGCACGCTGAAGTCCCAGTTGCCCCCCCAGTGGATGCTGACGATGGCGATGTCGCCGGGGCTGCGTCGGGCCGCGGCGAGCGCGGCAGCCGCGGCGGAGACGTCGCGGTCCGAGAGGTCGGTGCGCCACACGCCGGGGCGCTGCGCGGTGGCCGCCCAGCTGTGCGGAACGCCACTCGAGCCGTGCGCCATGGAGACGAGCAGGACTGAGGGGCCGTCGAAGCCCGTGGAGGGGTCGGGCGGGGACAGGGGGATGCGCTGCGCGGCCTGCGCTTCCTCGAGGGAGCGGCCCGCGCCGGCGGCGCCGACGCCGGCCTTGCTGAGGCAGTCCAGGGTGTCCGTGAGGCCGCGCGTCGTCCAGTCCATGACGTGGTTGTTCGCGAGGGAGACGGCGTCGATGTGGGCGACCTGCAGGAGCGAGCGGAGCGCGGTCGACGCGACGTGATCTCGCTGCAGTTGTGCGGAGGGTTGTCGTTGATGCCAACGTGCCGCACAGCGAGTATTCCTGTGTCGCTAGACCAGCGTCAAGATCGCCACCGCAGTGGTTGAAGCGGGATCGCAGCGCGTGGCAGGCGCGGCGTGGAGGTGCCGTTCGGAGGAGGATCAACTGCCGCGTGTGAGGCACGTTGCTGGGCGTCGCTGGGCGGGGCAGGGCGAGGCGAGTGGTCCCGGGGAACTCACCTTGAGTATGTCGATGTTGTCGGGGTGCATCCTGCACGTGCGCGGCGGCGTGTCGAAGTTGTCGCGTGTTGGTCGACATGGCAAAGAATCGAGGTGGTGTTTCGCGACCGTCGCACCTGTAGTTGATGCCTTTCGGTTCGTGTCGCGGGCACGCCGTCACGCTCGTCTCGAGGTTGACCAGCGTCGCGTCGGGCCTCGCCAACTCCCTGACATCCTTCAAGTATCCGATTACTCGGCTATAGGCGTCCGCGCCGTCGCATTTCTCCACGCGCCCGTTCGCATCTTCCGCGAGCTTCACGTACATTCTCGCGTCGCTGATGAAGCTCTCGTACAGCGTCGGCTCTGAGGGCGTGGGGAGCAGCTGATCGAGCCCGCGGCATATGGCAGCGTCCCCTGCTAGAAGGATCCGAAAGACGCCGTCCTCTCCAGGTGGTGCGAGTCTCTCGAAGCCGCTCTTCGGGCCGAGCGACCCCTTGCCCGGATCAGGGATCATTGGCTCCAAGCGCGGCATTGCGGCAAAACCGCTTGCCTGCGATAGCAGTCGCAACTGTGACGTCAGCACGAGGCGTCTGCTGACGTGCAAAGCCGTTCGGAAGGCCATGCGCGACGTTTTTCTTGAAACCAACTGGCCAACAAAGGTGGGGCCGCCGACGCCCGACGCGGGTAGGTCCGTCACCCGCGGCGTGATCGACGTCTTGGACAGCAAACAGCGGCGCGGTCGATGAGACCAGTGACTGCGGCGCGAGCCCAGCGCGCCGACCCCTTGATGGCCCTCGCCCCGACTCAGCCACAGCCCGTCCTCCGCGGGGTCAACACCCCACCGACGCCAACCAGCGGGCGCCCACGCCCGCGCATCGCAGACGTCCCGCCAGCACGTCGCGTCAACACTTTCCCTCTTCCGAAACACTCGCATTATTATAATGCGTTGCTATGTAGTAGCAAAAATAGTCGTTCGCGACGGAAACAGCGCGGCAGACGAAGCCCACACAGCGGCGACACCAGCCACACGGTCAGACCGAGCGCGTCTCGCCACGCGCTTCCCCCGCGGGCGCAACCGACACGCATGACGCAGGCGCCACCGTCACACTGCTAGCTGCTGCTACTGCTTCGCCCCGCCCGCCGGAGCGGCCGCGGGGCCCGCGCCCGCCGGCGGAGGCCCGGCCGGACGCGGCCCGGGCGCGCCTGGCGGCCGGTACGCGCCGTACATCCCGGGCGGCGGCATCGCGCCTGGTGGCCGCATCCACGGCGCGGGCATGCCGTACATGCCCGGTGGCGGCATCGGACGGCCTGGGACCCCCGCGGGCGGTCCGTGCGCGCGCACGGGCGCCGATCCCATCGCCGATGGGTCCATCGACGGGTACGCCGCCGGCGCGGGCGCGCCCTGGGCGTATCCGCCGTACGCGCCGCCTGGGCCCGGGGGGGGTCCGCCCTGCGGCGCGGCGCCGGCGGGCTTGGCCTTGGCCCAGTTGATGACGACTTTCTCGCCCTTGACGTACACTTTCCCGGCGAGCGCCTTCGCGGCGGACTCGGCGGCAGTGCGCATGGTGTATGTGACGAACGCGCACCGCTTCGCGCGCAGGATGTGCACGTTCTCGACCTCGCCGTACCCGTAGAACTGGTCGCGGATGTCGCCCTCGTTCGCGTCCTCCGGCACGCCGCCGACCCAGAGCGTGCGGATGGTGGGGTCCGCGGGGGGCTCCAGCGACGGCATCTGCGACGCGCGGCCGAGGATCTTCTCCGCGACGGGGTCGTTGACGCCGTAGTACCGGTCCTTCATGTTCTGCTTCGACAGCGGGCCGGTCCGCGGCATCTCGTGCTTGTACGGGCACTCCGCGCCGCGCGTGCACTTCCCCTTGACCCAGAACGTGCACGTGCGCGCCTCGTTGCGCTTGTAGTACGGCTCGCGGTTGCGCCGGAGCCGCGCGAGCATCTCGTTCGACGCCGCCGCCTTGCCTGCGAGCACCAGCACCGCCGCGTCGCGTGTCTGCGCCGTGCTGTGCGTCGTCACGTGCGGCGCGTGGCGGCGAGGCTCAGCGGGGCAGGACGGGGCTGCAGAAGGTCGCGAAAGCAGCGCACCGTAGTTCTCCTGCCGTTCGTCCAGTTCGCCGCTCTTCTCCATTTGTTTCAGCTGAAACTCCCTCCCCACGTCAGACTGGGGGATGTCCGCCTCCACGCCCAGCGCCTGGTCGCGCACCTGCACGCAAGGAAGAGGCAGCGATGCGCGGCGTTGCGCGTGAGGGCGCGGGCGGCGGACGCGGGGCGCGCGCACTGCGTGGTGCGCATCGGGCGCGCGTGGCGGGGACGCGGCAGGGCGAGGGAGGGCGGCGGCGGGCTCTGCGCACACGCTGCGATGTGGAGCGCTGCGGGAGCAGCTGAGATGGGCAGGCGCGCGTGCGGCGGCGGCGGCGCGGGCCAGTGCGGCACGACCTCGCTTGGACGGGGCGCGGCGTGGCAAGCATGCCGCTCTCGGGACGGAGCGGCGCCTCGCATGCTTCTTCAAGGTGAAACCTGCTGCGTGCGGCGGGTAGTCGTCCGCGACGCGGCTAGTGCACGCCAGGGAAGCCTGCCGCGCTGCCGCAGGAAGGAGCCCCGCGGTGGCTCGCGCACAGCGGCGCGCCGTGCTACAAGCCGCTAGAATTGCAAGCTGGCGGCACAGCGTCCATGCGGAAGACGCAGGTTCGCGTCGCAGCGCGCACCTGCACGGGGAGCGACGTCTCCAAGTCGAGCAAGCAGCATTGGCACACGTTCTTCGCCTTGGCGACCTCCTGGCAGACGACCGTCTTCTTGAACCGAGCCTTGGGCCCCGGCTGCCACCTGAAGACGGTGTAGGGACGCCCGGAGATGTGGCACGCCCCGCCAAACTCCATCCGTTGCATGCGCACGTAGGGGTTCGGGCCCAAGCACGTCTCGCACAGGATGGGGAAGTCCGACCGCTCCCATCCCTCCTCCTTCGGATCCCGATAGCGGTCCGTCATGATCTACGCCGCGCCCGGCGCGGGCCCGCACCCGGCAGGCTGCGCACGCACGCACGTCACGCCAGGAGCAGACCGCCGCTCTGTGACGCCTGTGGTGGCCACGCGAAGACAAATCGCGGCGCGGCAGATACAACGTGGACGTGAGTGCACGAGCCGGGGCCGCGCGCGCCCCTTTGTCCGCGGTGCACGCGGTTCTCGCGGGTATGAGCTGCTACGGCGTCGACCAGGCAACACTGACTCTGGCCGACGGAACGGCGCCGGGAGCGGCCGCGCTCGATGCGCCGCAGGGTAGGCACTGCCCTGTAGATTCCATCTTTGCGCGATTCCCCCTCTTGCTACGTCTCGAGCGGCCGTAGAGCTGGTGGAGCAGAGGTTTCTCGGCCGTGGCGGCCGTCCCGTGCCTAGCAGGTCTCCCGCATCGAGCAGGAGCTAGCTGTCGGAGGGTTCGAGGCGGGCGCGGGCAAGATGGAGGAGGGCGGTGGACCGTCGGGCCCGAAAAAGCCCGCGAAGCAGCGGCGTGTTGGGGAGGCGCTCAGCCTGGAGCAGTTCGCCGCGGCGCGGAAGAGCGGGTACGACAAGAGGCACGAGATACAGAAGAAGAAGAACCTGAGCGCGAAGCGGGTCAACAAGCTGCGGAAACTCATGCGGCAGATGGCCGAGAAGGGGGAGCTAGCGCCTGTGTTGCCGGGCGCCCCCGCGGACGAGGAGGCGACGGAGGGCGGCGGCGGGCCCGGCCGGGAGGCGGAGGAACAGCAGCGGCGCGCAACGCCACGGGAAAAGCGCCGAGGGCCCCAGGCAAGACGCACAGGCCGCGAACCCACGCCGCCTGCGACACTGAGAGCACGAGGGCTGCGTTCGCGGCAACAGCGGCCCCACCTGCGCCGTCCTGCTCCGCTCTCCGCAGGAGGAGGACGAGCCCGTCGCGCCGGAGGGCGGCAAGGAGCGCCGCGCGGGCAAGAAACGGAGGCACTTTGACACTTTGAAGAAGTACTCGGGGCAACAGCGGACGAAGCGGGCGGAGGCGGAGGCGGCGCGGGCGGAGGTACGCGAGCCGCTTGACGCCTGCGCGGGCACCTGAGGTGACGGGCGGTGCGGGCAGCCTCTCGGCGCATGCTGTGCGACGCAACGCACCGTCGTCTGTCCCGCGCTCACCGCAGGCGCACAGGGCGGCGGAGGAGCGGCAGCGGAAGGCGGAGGAGACGCAGAAGCGGCGGAAGGAGAAGACGGCGGTGCTGCGGAAGCGGACGCGGCGCGGGCAGCCGGTGATGAAGCACCGCCTGGACGACATCCTCGGCAAGCTGACGGGGGGGGTGTGTAGCCGACGCGCCCGGGCGTCCACGCATGTGACCGACACGGCCGTTGCGGAGCGCGTCGACGTCACTTGCCACGCGAGGGGGGTGTAGGGCACGCGGCAACACAGGGAGGGGGTGTTTCGCGGCGCATGGCGGGCGAGGGCGCGGGTGGCGCGAGACATCGGCCGTCACACGCGCGGCGTGCGCGCAGTCGCGTCCTGGGAGGAGTTATGGGGGGGGTATTACGCCCGCGAGGCCTGCGAGGCGCGCTTGGCCCGCTTCTCCGCGAGCGACTTGGAGCGACGCTCCTGCTGCTCCTTCACGCGCTGCACGATCAGCTTGTGGTACTCGGCGGCCTCCTTCATCGACTTCTCCTGCGCGATCTTCTTCTTGGCCGCCCGGCTGCGCTTGCGCTGGAGCGTCTGCGGCGTCACCAGGCGCTGGATCTTCGGCGCCTTCGAGTGCTTCTTGCCGTTCTTGTCCTCGAACGTCCGCCGGTACGTGTTGACGTACCTGCACGCGCGCGGGCGCGGCCAACGCGCCGCAGTCAGTCACCCAGCCCAAGACCAAAACACGCGGGGGGGGGGTTGCGGGGGGGCGGGCGCGCCGGTGCGCGCGGGGGCGGCACTCACTTGCGCACGTCGTCGTCCTTGCCGAGGTTGAAGAGCTTGCGGATGTTGGAGGCGCGCTTGGGGCCGCGCATGCGCGGGAGCTCGCGGTCGGTGAGGCCGGGGATCTCGCCCTCGCCCTGCTTCACGATGACGAGGTTGAGGACCGAGAGGTCGCTCGAGACGATGCAGCCGCGGACCGACTTCCGGCGGCGCTCGCCGTTGCGGCGCCCGTACCCGCGGAAGCACTGGTCGCCCGGCGTCATGAGCAGGCGCACGCGCTGGCTGACCAGCACACCCTGCCTCATCGAGAAGCCCTGCTTGTCCATGCCGCCGGCGATCTTGAAGATGTAGCCCTTGAACTCCTGCGGGAGCGAGGGGCGGCGCGGGGTGGGCATGAGCGCGGGGTGGGCATGAGCGCGGGGCGGGGCGGGGGCGCTGGGCATGGTCGGCGCGGGTGCCTGGGATGCAGGGCCGGCGTGGCTGCGCTGCGGGGTCGCCGCTGTCCGCGTGGGGGGTCGGGTGGTGCCGCGGCAGTGGCGGGCAGCACAGTGGGGGGCCGAGGAGGGGCGTGGAGGCCTCGGCGGGCGCGCACGGCGCCGCGCGGCGTGCGCGGTGGGATACTGAAAATACGAGGCTTGTTTTCGCGGCGCGGTCCGGCGGCCAGGGGGACCGCGGACGGCGATGTGGGAGCAGCATCGCCGCAGGCAGGCACGCAAGCAGCTCCGGGCCCTGCTGCGGCGGCCGGGCGCCGGCACGCCATGAGGGCAGAAATACGGACAGCGCTCCAAGCTCTGCAACGGCGGGGCGGGCCCACTCACGTCGCCAAGGCACTCCCCATCGACCTCCTGGGCAATGCGCTTGTCGTAGAAGGCACGGCTGCAGGAACGAAACAGCGGAACGAGGACGTGAGGGCGTGTTTGCGCGAGGATTGCCGCCGCGGCATCGGGGCGGGGCCCGCCAGCGCGTCTCGCGGGACTGCACAGACGGCAGCCCGCTCGCGCACGCTGGCGAGGCGTCGCCACCCGCAGCGACGCAGTCCCAGGGCCGTCGCGAATATGCATGCGCGCCTCGGCGGCGCCGGACCGCCGCGGGAGTCGCGCGTCTGCGCGCAGGGCGAGCGTCGCGGGTTCACTTACAGCTTGCCCTCATCCTCAATCTCCAGCTTCTTCTGCGCACCCGTCGAGGGGTTTGCGATGTTGATCTGCAAAAAGGGGGCGGCGGCAGCGGCGTCGCACGCGGGCGCATCGTCGAACAACCGGCACTTCACTCGAGGTGCTGGTCTGGAGCAGCGCGCCGCAGCCACCATGGGGCGCACCTTCATGCTGACAGTACCCGCGCTATCAGCAGGAATCAACCCACCCCCAGGTCACTGAAAAGGGCGATCACGGCCCGCGCCCGGGCCCCAAGACGCCCAAGCCGCCTTGCCATAGCTCCCGCAGTCAGTGCGACCCGCCGGGACGCCCTCCCCCGCGGCCGCGGGCTCCAGGGCGGCGGCGCCCGCCCTCCCCCGGCATCGAGCAATGCGCGTGAAATGTCAAGACCCGCTGTTTCTCCTCTAGGCCCGTCAGCCCGCCCCATAAGCCCAGAGAGCAAGGCGAGGATGCCCCGCCCCCCTCTGCAGCGCGCGAGACGGCGCGCCAGCGCGGCCCTGCGCGTGTCCGGCGCGGCGCCAGGCGTGGGCGCGCCGGGCGGTGTCGGCCGCTGGCGTGCTGCGAGCTCCGCGCAAACGCTCTGTGGGCGGGCCCGCTGGAGATCGCGCGCCGGGCGCACGCTCCACGCGCGGCTGCTGGGGCCGCGCGCGCCGCCGCGGCAAAGGTGGCGCAATCGTCGCGGCGTGGCAGGCCCGCGCGAGGGCCCGGCGCGCTCTGTGGCGTAGCAGCTGTGGTCCACACTGGGCGTGGATCGGGACCGCGAGTGGCGCTCATGCGGCATGAAGACCACGCTCCTGCCGCATTTAATGCACTCGACGTCCCGGCTACGTCGCACGCGTCACTTACCGCGTGCACGCGCGCGCCCGCGACGTGTTTTGCAGGTCGTATCTCCGGCCTCATTCCCGCTGCCATCTCTGGGCGATGGCGGAGCTCGTGGGGCGTTCCGGGCTACACAAGGTCGAGGGCGTGTGCGACCTCTGCGGGAAGGAGTGCGACACTAACGTAGAGCACTGCAATGCCCTCGACTGCACATTCCAAGGCTGCCCCCCGCTCGTCTACCACCAGGAGTGCCTCGAGAAGTTCCTCAAGTCCGTCAAGCTCGACAAGTGCGCCCCTTGCCCACCCCCACCCCGCGTCCATGGCGAAACCGCCAAGAATCCGGCCAGCACGCCCGCACACGTAGCCAGCCTAGGGCCCTCGGTCGCGCGCTGCCCGGCAGGCGGCCAGACGCCCCGCGCGCGGCCGTCGGCGGGTCCGTCTCCCGCGTCCGTCCGCGCTCGAACGCCCGCCGCCCGCCCACCGCGCGCCGCAGGAATAGAAAGACGGGCTTTCGCTGCCCGCGTGGCTGTGGGAAGGGAACGTCGTTCTCCGCGCCGTGCCCGGGAAAGGTGCGGACCGCGCGCGCCCCTGTCGTATTCACACCGTGGCTCGGCGCGCGTGCCGTCGAAGCGCCCCGCGCCCGCCCGCACGGCCCGCGGGAGCACCTCGACCCCCGGGCTTGCTCCTCGCGGCGCGCCCCGCTCACCACCTCCCTCTCGCTGCTGCTCCACGGCTCCGCGCAGATCGACAAGTCCCATCCCATCGTCTCGCGCGGCGATGATAGCAAGAAACGGAAGAAGGTGCGCGCACGGCCCCCACCCGCGTCAACACGGCAGCACCACGCAACGCCCCCGCGCCTCGCCGCCGCACACACCCTCGCACCGCCTCGCGCACCGCCTCGCGCACCACGTCACGCCCGCGCCCTTCCCTTGACTCCCCCCGCAGCAACAGGCGCAGCCCCCCTCGCCGCACAACGCACCCGACGCCCAGGCAGCCGCGAAGCGCACCGAGGAGCGGCCCAAGTCGCGGTCCGCCGCGTCCCCGGCCGGCACGCCCCCGGCGCCCTCCGCCATCAGCATTCAAATCAAAAACGTGGCCGCCCAAAAGCTGCTCAACATCCCCGCGCCCAAGCCCAAGCCGGAGGCGCCGAAGCCGCCCTCGGAGCGCGACCAGCTCGCGAACGCGCTCGCGGCCGCGCGGCGGGAGCTCGGGCTCGGGAACGACGCCGGCGGGAGCGGCAGCGGCAGCGGCGCCGGCAGCGGGCGCGTGAGCGGGTCGCTCCCGCGCGCCACGTCCGAGGAGATCCACTCCCCCGTCCCGAACGCGTGGTCGCGCGGGACGTCGTCGCTGATCCCGCAGGGCACGCCGCCGCCGCCGCCGCCGCCCCCGCGCGCCAGCTCTGGACGCGCCGCCATGCCGCCGCCGCCGCCGCCGCGGCGGGCGGGGACTCCGGAAGCGCAGCGGCGCGGGCGACGACGCGGGGCCGAAGCCCGGCGCCGCGGCGCCGGCGCCGCTGCAGGGCGTGTGGGGCGCGCGCGCCAAGGGCTCGAACGGCCCCGGGGACTCGACGTCGCAGGGGGGGTCCCCGCCGCGCGGCAACAGCATGTCCGTGCTGGGCTTCTCCGGGCGGCAGAACTCGGGCACGGCCGGGCACGGCGACTCCGACGGCACCGCGGCGCGCCTCGGGCGCTTGTGGGTGGGGAGCGAGGACGGCGACGGCTCGGGGAGCGAGGGGGGGTCCAGCCGGCCCGGGCGCGCGCACGCGCGGGGCTTCGAGAGCGTCGGCAAGCGGCAGTCGTCCGTCGCGGCCAGCGGCACGGGCACCCCGACGGTCCCCGGCAACGACGCGGGCAGCGAGGCCGGGCACAGCCAGGAGCCCGGGCACGGCACGCCGGAGGTGCGGCTGACGAAGGCGCAGAAGAAGAACCTGAAGCGCGCGGAGAAGAAGGCGAACAAGCGCGCCGCGGAGCTGGCGGCGCGCGCCAGCACCGCGGGCGAGCCCTCGGAGGGGGGCGACGACGACGGCGGCGCCTCGGACGACGGCGGCTCGCAGCCCGGCGGCCGCGCACGCTCGCAGGCCGGCATGACGCACGCAGAGGCGATGGCCGCGGCGGTCGCCGCCTCCGAGGATGCTCCCGACCAGCCCCCCGCGCCGCCACCTGCCGCCGCGCAGCAACCCCCTCCGGCACAAACACAGACGCAGGCGCCGGCGCCGGCGCCGGCGCCGCAGCAGCAGCCCGCGGACGTCTTCAACGAGGCGGTGGCGTGCCTCGTCGCCGCGAAGATGCAGCAGCACGTCGCGGACCTCACGCTGCTGTCGTTCCCCGCGTGGCGCGCGTCGGTCGCCGTGCAAAAGTTCGGGTCCGACGTGCGCAGCGCGCTCGCGTGGCTGCTCGAGGGTAACGCGACGACCGAGGCCGAGGCCCGCGCGATCGCCGAGGGCCTCGCCGCGTCGGACTCGGCCCCGGAGGTGACGTTTGACATAGACGGGGAGCTGGCGATGCTGCACGCTGTCGAGTCCGCGGTGCCCGCGGGGGGGCCGTCGCCGTGGTCGGCGGTCGTCGCGAGCCAGGGGAACGTCCGGCGGACGCTCGACATGCTCGTGCGCGCCGGGGCGCTCATGACGGAGCAAGCGGTGGCGTGTGCGGCGCGGCTGGCCGTGCAGATGTACGGCGGCCCGCCCGCGGCGCAGGCGGCGCGGCGGCCCGCTGAGCAGCAGAGGGAGCAGGCGCCGCCGGCGTCGCTCGGGCTGCAGAGCCCCGTGGCGGCGCAGGAGCAGCCTCCTGGCATGTTGCACCTGCAGCAACAACAGCCAGCGCTGTCCGCGGAGCACCAGCAGCAGCAGGCGCCGCAGCAGGGCGGTTCGGGCATGTTTCCGTCGTTCCAGTGGCCGCCGTCGAGCTCGGCGGCCACGTCGCAGCCCCTGTCAGGGGCCGGGCTGCAAAGCTTGCTGACCGCAATGGGCGGCGGGCAGGCGCGGAGCCCCGGGCTGTCGACGAGCGGCCCGGGGAGCGCGTTCCAGGACCCGGCGATCGCAGGAATGGGCCAGAGACTGCCGCTGTCGTCGCCGGACCCGCCGCACGGGGCGCGACCGCCCGGCATGGGCGCGCGCCCGCCGCCGCCGGGGCTGGGAGGGGGCTCCGGGACGACCGAGCAGCGGGCGTCGCTCCTGCGCGCGCTCGGGCTCGGCGGCGCGTCGGCGGGCGAGCAGGCCGGGGCCGGGCTGACGCCAGGGGGGGCCGCGCCGATGAACGGGGGCCTCTCGCAGGGCTTTGGCACGTCGGCGTACGACCCGTTCCTCTTCGCGCGGCCCGCCGGTGCGAAGTGAGGCGCGCCTGCGCGCCGGGCGGTGGCGTCCGGGGACTTCAGGGAGGGTATTTTGTCGGTGCACGGCGGGGCCGTGCGCGTCTGGCACCCGGTGCATGCTGCCCCGAAGCACAAGTGCTTCAGGGGGTGCATTGCACTGTGCCGGCGCGCACGGCTCTTGGGCCGCGCTGCGTCTAGCTCCTGCGCACAGCGGGATGTGATGACGGCTTCTCTGCGCATGTGCAACGCAGCTTGGACGTTTTCGCGCAAGAGTGGCGTGTTGTTGTTGGTCAACACAGCCCTAGCACGCGGCCTGAGAACGCTCGTCTTGTCTGTCCTGACTCGCTGCTCGAGCTCCATCTGCCTGATTGTTCCGGGATGGCGCGCTCCCCGCTATAAGGCGTTTGAGGCGCGGGTGATTCATTCTTCTTGCGTGTGCCACGCTCAGCTAGCACCAAAGGGCGATCGCACCGCGCACACAACGTCGTGCATCACAGCTTCCGCGCACGAGGGTCGCCGCGTCACGACAGCATCGGCGCCAGTTCGTCCCTGGCGAACTTGGGCAGCACGAAGGCCGCGCGGTGCACGTCGTGCGAGTAGTACCGCACGGGCTGGATGCCGTCCGGCGTGCTCGGCTCGCCGCGCTTCGGCTCCTTGAAGTTGATGTCCTTGTCCTTGGAGCACATCATGAACCCGATCTGCCCGGACGGGTACGTGGGGATGGTGGTGAACCCGTAGCTCACCGCGCCGCCCTTGTACACCTCCGCACACATGCTCGCGAGCGCCTTGATGATGCCCATGTGCAGCCAGAGCGACTCGGCCTGCGTGCACACCACGCCGCCGGGCGCCAGCGCGCGGTACATGGACTCGTAGAACGGCTTCTCGTACAGAACCTCCGCGGGGCCCACCGGGTCGGAGCTGTCCACGATGATCGCGTCGTACGTGTCCGGGGCCGCGGCCGCGACGAACTGCAGACCGTCGCCGATCGTCACCTGCGAGCGCCCCCGCGTTGTGCGCGAAACCGCCGTAAGGATGTTGCGGGGACCGGTGCACGTCTTTACGAGTGTTGCGCGGCGCGCGGGGGGGCGGCGCGGGGCACCTTGACGCGCGGGTCCTCGAACCCGATTGCCATCGAGGGGAAGTGTTCCTTGGCAGTCTTGATAACGCCTTCATCGATCTCCGCGATGTGGATCTCTTCGATCGAAGGGTACCGGCGGAGCTCCCGCAGCACGCCGCCGTCGCCGCCGCCCACGACGAGCACCTTCTTCGGCTCGTGCCGCAGCGCCTGGAGCGGGAGGTGCGTGATCATCTCCTGGTACGAGAACTCGTCCTTTTCGGTGCACTGGATGACGCCGTCCAGCAACAACACCTTGCCGAACGCCTCGGACTGGAACACGCAGATGTCCTGGAACTGCGAGCGCCCGCGGTACAGGACCTCGCCGACCTGGATCGACAGCCCCTGCGGGCGGAGCGAGGGGCGGCGGCGACGGTGTGAGCGCGGGAGGAGGAGGCGCGCGATGCTTCTGCATAGAGGGAACGACTTGGCGGACATTGTGGCATTTCGTGGCTTGAATAGCTCTTGTGCGCTGAGTCAGGTGGTGGGAGAGCGTGCGCCTGGCCAGGCTGCGTCGCGTGCGGTGTGGTCTGCAGTGCCGGCTCTGCCGCCTGCCGCCCACGCCAGGGCCGCAATCCTTCGAATGCGCGGTCGGGCCACATAGCACGAAGAACAGGGGCTCGCTCTCGCAGGAAGGCGCCAGCGTCAGCGCGAGCGGTCCGCGACGGCGAGGCGCCACTTGCCTGACCGGGCCACATCACCGAGAGCTCCGTGAACCAGCCTCCCTTGGCCACGTCCATGCCGGCTTCCGTAGTCCCTGGCGTGTTCGATGCCATCGTGGCGCCGCGATGCCTCTGAGGATCGGGGACTAGGTGGCCGACGCGAGATGAAGGCAGCAGCCTGCGGAAGACGCGAGCCCGCAGAATCTTCGCAGCAGTTCGCGCACTATGTCTCGCGCGTCTAGGTGCAGCACTGGCTGGACATGCAGTGTGCGCGAGAAGACGTCGGTGGGATCACAAATGCCGCGGGTGCGGCCGCCGGCGGGCGGTGCCTGATGCAAGGCCGACACATCCCCCCCCTGACCGCGCCGCGAGGCACGCACGCGCACCTCGCGCGCCCGACCGCCTTCCCGTCGCGTAGCTGCTTCCAAGCCGAGCATCTCCCTCGTCTCCGCGCCAAGTCGCCAACCCTGGCGGGCTGCAGTGGGTGCACACCGCACGTGGGCCATCCGCTGCCGCACGGGAGCCGAACGAGACCGCCGACACCCCGGCAGCGAGAGCAGAAAGCAAGGTACCGCGGCGATGATCGTGCTACGTCTCACACGCCGCACTAAGCCGCATGCCGCAGCTTCGAAGGGTTGTGCACACTAAGTTGGATCGCGATTCGTCCGCAGCCGCGAATGCATGTTCAGGGCGCGTGCGTGGCTCCCGGCGTCTCCGGGAGCTGCGCGGGGGCGGACGGTGTTGCAAGCACGTGGCGCGCGGCGCAACGCAGCGTCTGTCTCTGTTCACGCGTCGCGCGGTCGGCAGAGCAGCCAGGTGCACGCCGAGGTCGGAGGTGAAGAAAAATGAATGCAGGCGGTCCGTGCCGCAGCGTGTGTGCGCGTCGCGCCGCACAAGCACGCACCGACATCGCCGTGCGCCGACCGCCATCACCCCTGCGTGCGCGGCATCGACGCGGCGTCGCGCGTCGCGCGCGCCGGCGGCACCGCAGTGGCCTCCTCCGCGTGCGACCGCCTCCGCCCCTGCGCACACCCCTCTCCGCCGCCCTCGGACACCCCTCCAGAACTCCCCGCGCCCTCGTTGCTCCGCAGCCGCGGCGTCCCCGCCGACTCGTCCGTCATGGCGCGCGTCCCGCACTTCCCGTCCTCCGCCGCCTCGCTGTCCCGCGCCGCGCCCTCGAGCCGCGAGCTCCGCGCCGTGCTGCTCGCGCCGTCCCACAGGCCCTCCATGTGGTCCTGGTAGCTCGCCACGCGTTCCCTGACGCCCCGGAACTCGCGGTCAGGGCTCAGCAGGCGCGCGGCGGCCGCGGCCGCGGCGGGCTGCGCGGGGCTGGCGGGGGAGTCGGCGACGTCCAGGGCGGGGGGGTCCCCGGCGCTGGACGGCGGCGCGGAGTGGACGTGCTTGAGCCAGGCCAGGCACCGCTGGAGGTCTTGCGCGCTCACGGCGACGCGGAAGTCCAGCCGCGCGAGCACGTCGCGCTCCAGCTCGTTGACCTCCGCCGGAGTCAGGCCCCCGACCTTGGCGTAATAGGCGTTCGGGAAGTACCGGTCGTCCAGGAACTTGGTTGCGATGATGACGCCTGCGAGCGCGGGGGCGGGCGTTCGCGGGGTCGGGGGCGCGCGCCGGCGTGCGGGCGCAGGCAGCGGGCCGCCGGCGCGGCGTGCGGGGCGGCGGCGGGGCTCGTGTCGCACCGACGAGGAGGAGGCGGTGTATGGTGCGGGAGTTGGCGACGAGGTGGGGGTCCCGCGCGGCCATGCGCTGGATGTACACGGCGGCGCTGACGCAAGACGCCGGGCTGCACTGGCAGTACCGCAGGATCCGCTCCAAGTAGTCGCGCAGAGAGAGCGACGGCTTCGTCCTGCGAGGGCGCGGTCCGGGTGATGTTGGTCGCGGGGCTGCGGCGAGCGGTTGGCGTGCGTCTGCCGCGTGGATCGAAACCCGCCGCCGCTGCTTCTCGAGGAACCGCGGTCGCGCGCGCTGCTCCTCCGCCGTCCGCATGACGCGTAGTCGCGCAGATCCTGGTGGAAGTACCTCCACGTCAGCGCAGCGTCGTGCATTGATCACGAAATGGACGACGTCGAGCATTTCGTGGTCGATGGACGGCGTCGAGCTGACGTGGAAGTACTACGTCGACGTGACCCAGGAGCTGCGCGACTACGCCTCGCGTCATGCGTCGAGAATGGGGGCGGCTTCGCGGCGTTTCCGTGGCGCGGTGACGTCCCAGTGGGGCGTGGTCGTCGCGAATTGATGAAGCAGGCAGCCTTCTGGGCGCAAATGCACGCGAGGGCGGCCGGGAAGGCGGCGCCGCGGCCGTTGCAGGCTGAGCTGTCGGCAGGTGGCTGGAACCCGCGGCGCGGCGGGGGGCGCGGAGACCGCGCGTGGGCGGGAGGAGCGACGCACCGGCACATCCATATCGATGGGGAGCGGAAGCCGGCTTCGTCGTCGCCGTCCTCCACCGGTTCGAGTCGGTCGTTCAGAGCAACCAGCTTCCCCAATGCCCCCAGAAGCAGCTCTTTCCACGTCTCGGGCTCCCTTTGCCTGTCCACCTGCACGAGAGAGGGCGAGGGCGGCCGAAGGTCGCACGGGGGTCGCTGAAGCAGCCACCGCCCCGTGCACGCGCCGGGGCAAGAGGGAGAGAGATTCTGGTCCGGCGCGACGGGCGAGGACGCCGAGCCGCGCCGCCCTGCCGAATCTGGAGCCCCGAAGTGGTGGCGTGCGCGCAGCGGCGGGGAAAGCCAGTCAGTCCCGCCAGGTGTGCGGCGAGCCAGCGCTGTACGCACCCGTGCTTCTATCAGGCTGCTTCCCGTCCCCGGCTCTGGTTGCGAGGCCCCGCTTTCATCACGAAGCTCTCGCCTCAATGCCATCTTGTGTGTTAAATGCGCCGCATGCGGCCGGAAAAGCCTGCCTGGGCCTGACGAACGCGCGCAACTACCACGAGAGCTGCACCGAGCCGGGCGGGGCCAACGAGCGACAAATAACGATCGGTCACGTGTGAGAGGTCAAACTCGACAGCCCGAGCGATGCGCCAGCACTGCCGATGCCCGTATGTCCGAGCGGCACCACAACTCCGCTCGGTGCTCGGTCGTGCGCTCGCAGCCGTGCCCCGTGCTATGCAAAACGCCGTCGCCACACAGAGTCCTCGCGGTTTCTGACGTGCCGCGCCACGCGCGGGCCCTACAGCCCCGCCGCAAGCGCCGTCACGCCGCGCTCCTACCGAGGGGTACCTCTAGCTGTCGTACTTGCGCCCCAGGTTCAGCGCTTCCGACGCACCGAATGCCTCGCAGCGACTGCAGCGGTCACAGTCACGTCGTGCGCGTACCCGGCGGGGCCTGGCGACGTCCGCACCGCGCTGCTTCGCACTTGTAACCGCACATCGTGACAGGGCGCCGCCTGGCGGGCGTTTGGCACGTCTAGAGTGCGCCGTCCGCCTTGATGGTGACTTCGGGGGGCTCTGGCGCTCGGTTCTTCGCGCACCTGCTGACACGCCCGCACCCGCGGTCGCCGTTTCGTGGCGTCCCACCTCCCGGGCCCGCGCCGCGCGTAGCCGCCCCGAGAGGGCCGTGGTGTCTGTCCGGCGGGATGGCCCACTCGCCAGCCCGGATGTCGCCCAGTTCAACCGCGGCAGCGAGGGGCGCATCGCCGCCCTCGTCGCCCGTGGCTGTGCAGGCACGCTCGCCGCGCCTGGGGGCAGCGCAGGCCGTCGCTGGCGACGCACCTGCGGCGCCGAAGATCCTCAGACTTGCCGCCGTCGGGGACGTGCACGGACAGTGGGATGACGCGGACGAGACGGCGCTGGCGAGCCTGGGCGCGGACCTGGCGCTGTTTGTCGGCGATTTCGGCGAAGAGAACGTGCCGCTCGTGCAGAAGATCGCAGCCGTGGATCACAGGTGAGCAGAGACGCCCGTTACGCGTGAGGAACGTCGCGTGAGGTCCACACTCTGGCGCACTGACCCGCACGTCCCCCGCCCACCACGAGCGCGGCGATCCCCGGGCGCAGGAAGGCCGTCATCTTGGGCAACCACGACGCGTGGTACACCGCGACCACCGGCGGCGTGGCCAGGCGCGAGCGCAGGCGCGCGCAGGGCGTCGCCGCGTTCGCGGATCCGTCTGGCGGCAAGGACAGCGTCAAGCGACAGCTCGACGCGCTGGGCCGGTCGCACGTCGGGTACGGCGCGATGCAGTGCAAGGACCTGGGGCTGACCGTGCTGGGCGGCCGGCCGTTCAGCCGCGGCGGCGGCCCCGCGGGCGGGCGGTGGGAGCAGGAGCGCGACTTCCTGGAGGCGACCTACGGGGTCCGGGACCACGACGCGTCCGCGAAGAAGATGCTCACGACGTACCTCGAGCAGCCCCTCGACGCGCCCGTCGTGCTGCTCGCGCACAACGGGCCCTCGGGTGCGGCGCCCTCGGCCACGAACCTTCCCTGCGTCGCGTCAACAGCGGAGTCGCTTGCGGGCGGTGCATTGCCGCCAGGGGCCGCGACGCCCCCGACCGTGCTCGCGCGTCTTCCGCGCGCAACCGCTGACCAACCGGTTTGGACCGCACACGTCGTTGCGGCGTTCCGCGCGGTTTATGACTGCAACGGTGGGAAGCTGTCGCTGCGCGTGCAGGCATGGGGACGATGCACCACTCGATATGCGGGAAGGACTTCGATCCGGACGGCGGGGACTGGGGCGACCCGGATGCGGAGATGCTGCTGGACAGGTTGGGGGAGTCGCCTGACCTCGGTCGCCGGTGGTGTCCGTTGATGGTGTTCGGCCACATGCACGGGACGCTGCAGAAGGGCCGCGGGGAGCGGCGGATGGTCGAGATCCACCGTGCGTCAGGTGCGACGCCAGCTCATCGAATCGCGCAGACGAGAACTGAACAAGGAGCCAGCAATTGAGAAACGCCCTTCTGGGAGTCGCGCATTCCTATGTGCTCAGGCCCCGGCGTCCCAGCGCGGCGTGCTCTGCAGGCACAGTCCTGCTCAACACGGCGGTGGTCCCGCGGCACCGGAAGCCGCAGGACGTGTCGGAGTCGGCAGCCGCGGCAGTGGAGGCCACGGGCCGGGCGGAGGCGCTCGCGGGGTCCGTCCTCCGCAACTTCACGGTCGTCGAACTGCGCGACAGCGTCGTGACGAAGATCGAGCAGGTATGGGTCGCCGTGTGGGAGGCGCGGAGCGACGACGGCAACGGAGGCAGCGGCGGCGACGCGGGCGCCTCGGTGGTGGCGCGCGTGCCGCTGCTGAGCCTGCAAGGGGTGTCGCCGGGGCAGGCCACTGGCGAGCCGGCCAGGGGGCTACAGGCGGGGCCACGTGGGACGGCGGACTATCACGTATGGTGCTGCAACAACAGCGAGTGGGAGGTCACCACGGGGTCGGTTCCCGCGCACGTGGCGGCGCGAGCACCGCAGACCGCGTGAGGGCTCGGACACTGGCTCCGATGTGTGACGCCGTGGCGCGCGAGGTGGGCCGGGGATCGCGTGCCCATGCAAAGACGCTGGAAAAGTGCTCACGGCGGATTTGTCGCGCATGCGGGCTTTGTGTCCTGGCGGAGGCCGCAGTCGCCGCAGCTGCGAGGCACGGCGGACGTGCCTGCGGCCGCTCCTGGCCGTGTCGCGACGCGGTCACGTGGGGGGGGTCTGGAGCCGCGCATAGCGACCACGTGACGATGCGTCAGGCGCGGCTGCGGCCGGGCGACGTTAGGCACAGGCGTGCGCGGCGTGTCCCAGACATAGGCCGGCCGTTTAGGGGTGGCGGATTCGAACGCGCGGGGTGATCACGACCGGCGAGGCGTCGCGCGAGGCGTTGCGCGCAGTGTTGGTCTGGTCGCGCACCGACTCGTTCGGGCACTTGCCGCACCTCCATGCGCCCTTCACGCACGACCGCTATCTAAGGAGACTGCCCGCCGGGCGCGTCGCGCCTCCCCGCGCCCCTGCGCGGAGCCGCTGTTAGTCTTGGCGGTCCATGAGCAATCAGGTGCGCCACACGGGCGACAACCGGTCCTGGTTTCCTCTAAACGCAACGTTTTCGTAGAATCGACACACCAACGTAGACGTTCCGTATGACGGCTCGCTACGTGGGACCCCGTGTGCGGCGCGCAGGGCCGCAGCTCCCCGATGTGGCATCTCTCGGCATCTGTCGTCCTTTGCGCGCTCGGCGGGGCCTGAGCGCACCATCCGTCGCCCCGTGCGGCATCATACCGCCCCACACTCGTCGCAACGCAGAGGTCGGGGGCGTTGAAGGTCATGACGGGAGACAACGCGTCCATGCAGAGCATGGACAAGAGTCCGCTGGCGAGGCAGGAGCAGCAGGCGACCCAAGCGGCTGGCCGGCCCCCCAAGAAGCCGATGGTGCGTTCTCGAGGCCACACGCCGCCGCCCTCGTCCCCTGGCCCCTCCCAGCGAGCGTAGCGCGACCCGCACGACATGCTCCAGCATGCCTGCAGCGCCCCTGCGGTGTGCGGCGCGCGAGGCTGCCCGCGCGGCCAACCGACGGCCTTTGCTTGACTGTGCGTGTCCTTGCCGCGACGTCGAGCTGGTGTGCGTGCGAGCACGCGCGCGACGGGGGCGCTGTACACCGTCGTGCTTGCGCAGGACTCTGTGGACCCGGAGCTGCGGAGGCAGGTCGATGAGAGGCTCCAGAAGCGCTTCGACGCCAAGAAGAAGCGGCTGATGCAGTATGAGGCCTCGCAGCACTCTGCATCCCTTCGTCCGCGCGACCCCGAGGTGCGCGCCACCAACCACCACGCCCAAAGCGCCGCCGTGGTCGCTCATCGTCAGCGCGCGACCATCTCGGCATCCGACTCGCCCCTCTGCGCCAGGAACGCACAGATTCGCGTTCGATCCCGCGTTCTGTCCGTCGCGACCGCCAACTTTCCGTGCCAGGCCTCCATGCGACGCCGCAGGTCGTCGAGGTCGACGGACGCGAGTTCACGCAGGCGGCGTTCACGCTCACGCGGCCGATCAACCCGTCCGCGACGAACCGCGACTGGCGCGACGACCCCACGCACGTCGGCGAGGACCCCGTGACCTTCAACAACACCGTGCGGCAGCGCGCCGTGAAACACATCCGCTCCTCGCAGTCCGCCTTCGCGGAGCGCCTCGCGTCCGAGTTCGAGGAGCGCGTCGGCCGCGAGCGCGAGATCCTCCTCCGGCGCCTCTGGGGCGACCGCCCCGGCCCCGCGGCCACCTCCACCTTTGCGCAGAACCTCGACCGGCGCGTGTCGCAGCTCGCGCGGCAGTCCGTGCGGCGCCAGATGGCGCTGGAGCTCGAGTTCCTCTCCGTGCGGTCCCTGGACACGCGGCAGTCGATCAACCGCGAGGCCGCCCAGTACCGCAGGGAGCTCAAGGAGCAAAAGCAGGAGCTGGAGGAGCAGGAGCTGCTCGCGATGCTGCGGGAGCTCGAGGCCGCGGAACCGGACCCGTACGAGACGCTGCCGTTCCAGAGGGAGGCCGAGGCGGCGCACGCGGCGGCCGAGTCGCCGACGAAAGGTGAGGGGGCATCGCGCGACAGGCGGGCGTCGGCGCCCGCGGCCCGCCGGCCTCGCGGCGCGGGTCGCCTCGCGCGGCCGCGACGCTGCTCCTCGCGCTGACCGGCCGCCGCCTACGCATCGTTGGCGCATGTGTTGCAATCGCGTGCTCGCATTTCTCGCCGCGCTGCGCAGCGGGTACGGAGATGGCGCGATCTCCGTCACAGGTCGAGATGGAGCGCCGTCTGCTGCGGATGGTACAGCAGGAGCACGACTCCACGGACCGCTCCGGCCGCCTGATGAAGACCGTCGTCGACGCCGCCAAGGTCGAGTCGCAGCGGCAGGCGCTCTCCGACGACGAGAAGAGCGACGAGCTGGACGAGGACGACGCTGCGGAGGCCGCCGAGGGAGCCGACCGCGCGCAGGCGATGCGTGCGCGCCCACCCAGCTTCGATCATCTCGGGAGTTACTCTGAGCGCAAGGAGAGCGAGCGGTCGCGCGCGGTCAACATGGTGGGATCGTGGCTGCGGACGCGGCTGACGGGCGAGGGCGAGCACTTCGCGAAGATGCCCAAGTGCGCGCCCGCGCCGACGGACGTGTGCGCCCCGCGTTGTTGTCTCCGCGCAGGTCCTGACTCGCGCCCGGTGCTGCTCGCGCCCGTTCGTGCAGGATCCGTCTGCCGGATATCGGCGAGATCGATCAGCGCGCCGCGGAGCGCTACCTGAGGGAGTGCCAGCGGGAGGGCGCGGTGCCGGTCGCGACGTGCATGCAGGAGCTGTCTCGGAACCCGTCGCAGCTGCACGTCGCGGGCGTCCTGATCAACGAGGGCAACGCGAAGGCGCTCTCCGCCGTCCTCCCCGAGCTCGAACGCCTCACCTCGGTGCGGATGAGCTCGTGCGATCTCTTCGACGACAGTGCAGTGTACCTCCTGCGCGCCCTGACCACGTGCCCCGTCGGCTCGCTGGACCTCTCGGACAACCGCCTGTCGCATCTGACGTGCCAGTGGATCGCCCGTGCGATCGCGGACGGGATCGGGCCGATCCCGGCCTCGACGCGGCCAGGGACGGCCCCCGCGCAGACTCCGCGCCACGGCCACGGGGGGCGCCTCGCGATGTCCGCGGCGAACGTGCGCGGATGGACGACCTTCGACGCGCCCGCGGACGTCGCGCCAGGCACGCCGTCGCAGTTCCTGCCCCCCGCAACGCCGCGCTCCGCTGCGCCTCCCGAGGGCAGCATGCACGGGTTCGCCACCATGCGGCCGGGCACGGCGCCGGTGCGGCGGTGGGGGCAGCCCACGCTTGGCAAGAGCGGCCGCGGGTACAATCCGTGGGCGGAGATGCGCGGCGCCGCGGTGCAGGCGGCCCACGAGTCGGTGGCGGTGATGGCGACGGGAACGATGACGTCGTCGAACTTCGCGACGTGGGCGTCGGCGCGCGGCGCGATGCTGTCGCGTCCGACGAGCTCCCGGCACACGAGCGTCGCGAAGCGCATCGCCGAGCAGGCGGGCGTGCGTCCCCAGACGGCGCGGCCAGCGCATCCCGTGCAAGGGCTGGACGCGGGGGAGGACAGCGTGGTCCTCGAGGGCGACGCGGCGCAGCGGCGGCGCGTGATGAGCCGCACGCTCATGCGGCTCGACTTGAGCAACAACCCCCTGATCCGCGACGCCGGCGCCGTGGCGCTCCTCAACGCCATGACCGCGGCCGTGCAGCCCGCGGCACGGTCGAAGAGGCACCGCGGGCAGCCGATGGTCGAGCTGGCGATGTCCGGGTGCGGCCTCGGCGACGCGACGTCGCACGCCGCGGCCGAGCTGCTCGCCAAGAGCCGCACGCTGCTGGCGCTGGACATCTCCCGCAACCACCTCCGCGGGCCTTCCGGGGCAGCGCTGGGCGAGGCGCTGCGCGAGAACCGCGCCCTGCGCGTGCTCGACCTGTCCTCGAACGGCCTCGGCGACGCGGCGGTGGCGGCGGTCGTGCAGTCGCTGCGCGTGCAGTGGCAGGAGTACGCGGTCGAGGGCGTCGGGACGTTCCCGCTGCGGCGGCTCGGGCTCGTGGACACGTGCATGGGCCCAGAGGCGACGATGCAGCTCGCGGCGCTCCTGCGGAGCATGGCGCGGGCGCTGGAGCCCCTGACGCAGGGGAGGACTCCGGAGTTCATGAAGGCCGACCCTGACGTGTCGCTCGAGGTGGACATCTCGCACAACAAGGTCGGCGGGGTCGCGGCGGCGTGCCTCGCGCGGCAGATCGAGCAGGTGGAGGCCCTGCGGCGCACGCCGTGCGGCCAGGACCCGATGGGGGGGGAGGCCGAGGCGGAGGCGTCCGAGCGGCCCGTGGAGGCGCAGAAGTCGACTGCGAGCGCGGCGGCGGAGAAGTCTGGGCCGGTGAAGGGGAGCGCTGGGACGATGGCGCACGAGATGGGCCTGCAGGACGACCGCGAGCTGCTGCACGGGCTGCAGAGCGCGACGCGGTGGGGGCCGGGCGCGGACGACGGGGACTGGGTTGTGCGGATCGTGCGGCACGGCCTGAACGTGGCGTGCTTGCGGCCGCAGGCGCTGCTCCCGGGGCAGGTGCCGAAGGGGCACGAGCAGGCGGTGGCGGCCCTGGACGGCGTGTACGTGCTGCCGCCTCTGCCGCAGCCGCCCGGCGCGGCGGCCGGCAAGGGGAAGAAGGGCGGGAAGAAGAAGGCGAGCTCCAAGGGGAAGAAGGGCAAGAAGGGCCCGACGGGCCCGGCGCCGGTCGACTTGGGCGAGACATGGGAGTTTGACATGTCCAAGATCGGCGACCGGATGCCAATTTTGGAGCTGCTCCTGGAGCACGAGGAGGCCGCGGACTTCAAGGGCATCCTGCACTGCGTGCACACGCACGCGCAGCCACCCGTCATCTACCGCTGGCTCGGCACGGACGTTCCCGCGGGCAAGCGCAAGGCCTTCAACTGGCGCGCGATGGACTGGCCCGACCGCATGCCCACGCGCGGCACGCTCCGGCTGACCATGCTGCTGACGGACGGCGGCGCGTCGACCGTGCGCCGCGTCCTCGCGCCGGGCGGCCAGGGCGCCTTCGTGGACATGGCATCGCGCCCTCCCGTGGTCGTTGGGCTCGACCGGTCGCTGCCCGGGCCGCTGTCGCCGTCGCGGCCGCGGTCGTCGCGGCCGCTGTACACCACGATGGACGTCCGGAGCGTCGTCGCGGAGATGGGCGAGCTCAAGGCGCAGCGGGCGCGGGAGCAGGCGGCAATCGTTGCGACTGCGATGGGGGCGGTCGGCGGGGCGGAGAGCGACGAGTCGGACGACGGGGAGGTCGAGGAGGAGCCGGCGCTGCCGCAGAAGACGGCGTCGAAGCCGAGGGGGCTGCTGTCGGCGTTGCGAAGAGAGATGCACGCCCAGGCATAGCAGACTGTTGCGCTGTGAACGAACGCCGACGAGAGCGGCCCCGCGGGGCGTATCAGGGCCCGAGCGATCGCGTGGCGTGCGGGGTGCGCGGATTCTGCGCCGCTGCGGCCGATTCTGCGCGCAGTCCAACATGGCACAACCGCGGGCAGACCAGCCCCCGAGCAGGCGCGACAGCGTCTACGTGGCGCCGGTGCGTGCGCTGGCCGCGAGGTGAACGACGACGTGGAGCGCGAGGCAGGGATGCGTGGTGTGTTCCGTGTGGGTGGTGTTGAGTAAACACCAGTGGATTTTTTTGTTTTTTTGCGACGCCCGAAGGCGCGCTGCGGTCTAGCGGGCTCGCGCGCGAGCTGCTTAGGCCGAGGTGAACTTGGTCACGGCCTTGGTGCCCTCGGACACGGCGTGCTTGGCGAGCTCACCGGGGAGGATGAGGCGGACGGCCGTCTGGATCTCGCGCGACGTGATGGTCGGCTTCTTGTTGTAGCGCGCCAGGCGCGAGGCCTCGGTGGCGATGCGGTCGAACACGTCGTTGATGAACGAGTTCATGATCGACATGGCCTTGGAGGAGATACCCGTGTCGGGGTGCACCTGCTTCAGGACCTTGTAGATGTAGATCTTGTAGGTCTCGGCCTTGGTCCTCTTGCGGGACTTCTTGGCCTCGACCTTCTTGGTCGTCTTCTTGGCGGGCGTCTGCGGAGGCAACAGCGCGGGCAAGACAGAGGTGGGCCGCCGCGCGTCGAGGCGGCGTCGAGGCCGGCGGAAACGCGCCGGAACGGAGCGGTCGCGGTGCGAGGGACGCGGGGAGGCGCGCGGGGCGCGCTGTGCGGGGTGCTGGGGGCCGGGAGCGCCCGGGGTGGTTGAGCGAGAGCGGGGCGGTGCGCGCGGTGCGCTCGCGGTGTGTACCTTGTCGGCCTTGGCGGGCATTTTGTCTGATTCCGTCGGTGAGTGATGGAGTGTCGCTGTGGGGCGCTGCGGGGCGCCCATGAGCGCCTGGCGGGGCCGGGCCCGGGATGTCGTCGCTTTTCCCTGCCCTGCCGAAGACCGACGACGTCCCGGGCTATGGCCGAGCTATGGCCGCGCGCGCGCGCCCCCGCCGGACACTTCCTGTCAAGATCGAACAAGGAACGCATCACAATGTCCGGTGCGTCCCTGGCCCGTCCGGCGCCCCTCGCCGCGCCCCCTGCTGCGCCGTGTGTGCACCCACGCTGCGCCCAGCACGACCGCCTCGCCCGCCCCGCCTCGCCCGCCTCCCCGCCTCCCCACACGAAGAATGTGACACCTCACCTCACGCCAACCACGCTCACGCCACACCGCGCCCCCTCTCCACCGCTCAGCAGGCAAGGGTAAGGGTCGCGCCTCCACGAAGGCCAAGTCTCAGACCAGGTCCTCCAAGGCCGGTCTCCAGTTCCCGGTGGGCCGCATCGCCCGCTACCTGAAGAAGGGCAAGTACGCCGACCGCATCGGTGCCGGCGCCCCCGTGTACCTGGCCTCGGTGCTCGAGTACCTCTGCGCCGAGGTCCTCGAGCTGTCCGGCAACGCCGCGCGCGACAACAAGAAGACGCGCATCGTGCCGCGCCACATCCAGCTCGCCGTCCGCAACGACGAGGAGCTCTCCAAGCTGCTCGGCGGCGTGACCATCGCCTCGGGCGGTGTCCTGCCCAACATCCACTCGGTGCTCCTGCCCAAGAAGGGCAAGGGCGACAAGGACTCGCAGGAGTAAGCACCTCGCTCCGACGCGAGCCGCGCTCCCGTCCTCATCCCGACCTGCTCCGGCAGTCAACCCTGCGAGTCCCCGTGACTCGCACCAAAAAAAATACTGGCGTTTTTTCAACGCCCTCCGAACGGAACACCTCCTCTGCGCCGCGGGACGCCGCGATGCGTGCGCCCCGAGCCACCTGCAAACACTCGCACACTTTTGCGCGTGCCACGGTGTCCGACTCGTCACGTTGCATCGGCAGCCGCTCAGCTCGCGTCACACGTGCGCCGGCCCTCGCATCGCGCGTCCGTCACATAAACTCGATCGCCTTGGGCCGCGGGGCGTGCGCGGGGCTCTTGGGCTTGCGCATGGCGCCGCCAGGTGTCGACCCCGCCTGCAGCGCGTTCGCGTGGCCCTCCTCGCCCCGCTCCGGCCTGCTCGCCGGCGGCGTCTTGTACGGCCGGATCTTCATCTTGCGGATCTTCCCCGACGGCGTGTACATTGACGGAGGCCCGATCTTGGGCGGCGCGCTCCCGGGCGTGCCGCCAACGGACGACATGATCCCGCGGGCCACGCTGCGGATGTCGTCGCCGCTCACGTCGCGCACGTGCCCGAACCGCGACGTGCGCTTCAGCGCGGACCCCCGCGGGGCGGCCCGGGGGGGCGTCCGCACGTGCGCAGGCGGCGGCGGGCCCTCGGGGTTGAAGATCAGATTCTGCTTCATGCTGAACCGCACGCGCTTCTTCGGCGGAGGCGTCACGTCCCCGCCGCCACCGTCCCGCGCGCCCGCCTCGTCGCGCGCCGCCTGCACGACCCCACGCGCCGCCGCACCGCCCTTCTCCACGTGCGCGCCGCTGTGGTCCTTCGCCCCGCCGTGCTTCTTCGCCCTCCCCGCGTCTCCGCGCTCCGCCGCCACCCCGCCGCCGTCCTTGGCAAGTTTCCGCTTCTTCTGCTCCGCCTCCGCCGCAACTCTCCCCCCCCCACCTCGAGCCTGCCCCACCTGCCCCTCCGCCTCCCGCTCCTCCAGCTCGGCCTCCTCCGCAGCGACCGCCTCCTTGAGCGCCTCCGCCCGCTCCGCCTGCTTCAGCAGCTTCCTCTCCTTGCGCCGCTGTTTGCCCGTCTTCCGGAGCTCGGGGTCCACGGGATGCGCCTCCTCCGCGGCCTCGTCCAGCGCCGCCGCCTCCATGCCGTCCAGCCGCTCCAGCTGACCGGACATGCGCCCCGCCTGCAGAGCGCCGACGCACAAATGAGACGCTCGCGCGCAGCGTCAGCCGGGAAGCGGCGTGCTCGACGGCTGCGGCCCGGAGCACGGCCCGCGAAACGCGCCGCTCGCTCGCACTCGTCGGTGCAGGCGAGCTGCGCCGCAACGTGCCGCCGACGGGCGGGGCTCGGCAGGCGGGACCTTTCCAGTGTGCAGAGCGGGCGCTCACCGTCTCCGCGCGCTTGATCGCCGCACGGATGCGCGCGTGGAGGTCGTACAGCGCGTCACGCGACGACTGCCGCGTGTTCTCGTCCGCGGCGGCCCGGAACACGTCCGCCGCGAGGTGTGCGATGTCGAGGTGCGCCAACGGCCGGCTCTCCTTCGGGTCGTCGAACTCCTCCAGCACCGGGCCGAACACGCCGTCGAGCGCGCGCCGGATCAGGACGCGCTGCAGCAGGGCGCGGGGCCGGGCCGGGTATGCGTGAGTCGGCGGCGAAGCGACGGATGTGTGTGAGGGGGGGGGTGTGCTGGGGGCGCATACCTCGCCGTCGAACTTGTGGGGGCCTCCGTCTGCGACGGCCGCGACGAACGGCCGCAGGAGGATCGCGTGGGTGTGTGCGGAGGGGTGTTTTCTGGCGGCTGACAGCGCGGACAGCATCTCCTTGCCGTACACGTCGCACGCGTGGTACGAGAGCCCGACGGGGTGCAGCGGGTCCTTCGGAAGAAGGATGTCCTCCGTGAGGAACGCCGAGAGCTCCTGCGGCGGGCAGCGCGGACCGCAGCATGCAACACAGCGTCAGCACACACGCCGCGGCGGCTGTTTCCGGTGTGACGAGCTACTTCTGTGGCCTCCGCGATGCACGACGGTAGCCTGGCCGCTGCTGACGCGTTGGGCGGGCCGGCACGCGCGAGCTCCCCCGCGTGCGGGGCGAGACGCACCTGAGCGGCGTGTTTGTCCCACTTGAGCGATTCCAGCAGCGTGAACGATCCCCGCAGGAGCTTCCTGACCAGGAGCAGGAACTTGTCCATGCGCAGGCCGTCGATTCCGGCCCACTCCCGCTTCAGCGTCCAGAACCCCGCGCGGTAGTAGCCCTTGGCAACCGCAGGCGGAATCCTCACCATCACGTGGGCGAGCTTCTCGGCCAGGTCCTCCTGCGCCGCGGGCCGGGTTCCTCCAGGGTAGGCTGAGAGCATTGCGTTGGGCTAGCGGGCGCGCCGCTATTTGCCGTCAGCTGGCCAGCACCGTGCGGCGGCCAGCAGCGGCAGAGGTTTCACAGGCCTGGTCATCACGCGAGAGAATGATAACACATGAGAATGCCAGCACGTCCATCTGCTGGCGCACAACGTGCAGTATGGCCGCGTTGCGGCGCTGGCGGGGGCTCGCGCGGGCGTCTGGGCGCCCATCAGTGCTGGAGGGGTGCAGCGGGCGCCGTGGCTGCGTACCTGGACCTTTGCCTTGTCCGAGTGCCAGAAGCAATAGAAGAGCCCCTTCCAGATCTTTAGGAGGTCGAACTCGTCCACATTCTCCCTCACCGCGAGCCACCGCGCCAGCGCCTCGACGCCCTGGTCCCGCGTCTCCTTGTCGACGGACCCCAGCGCGCGGGCGAAGCGGCAGTCGCCCTGCTCGGCCGGAATGTCAACCACCGGCTCGAGCTGCAGCCGCCTGCCGCGCTCGTCGCGGCTGCGCTTCCCCATGACGCTGCCTGCGATGCACTGGGCTGCCGCAGGGCCCTGCCCGCGAGCGCAGTGGAGTGATGCACGCTCGGCGCAGACGGCAACGCAAAGCTGTGCGGCTCGCTGCCGCGGCCCGCACAGTTGTGCCCGCGGCCGTGCAGGCCCACGGGACGGTATGTCGTACGGTCCCCTGCTGTCAGGTGCGCGCGCTGCGGCCTTCCTGCGGGCTCGTACGGGGCGGTCGGTCCGGCGCGAGGTCACGCGCCGAGCGCTGCGATCGCGTAGTGCGCGGGGAGCGGGCGAGGCGCCGGGCGCGGGGACAGGCATTCGAAAGAGCTCGTGAACAGCTGCGAGAGCACCCGTGCTGTTGTGGGGCGGAGGTTGGGCGGCGGGGGGCGGATGAGGGGGCCGTAGACATGAAGGAGAGGCTGGCGACGGTGCTCCAGCTGGAGGCGATCGCGACGTACAAGACGAAGCAGGAGGCAAGCGAAGCTCGCGCGAGTCACTCGCCCAGCGCACACGGGGCGTGGTGCGCGAATGCGGCGGAGCGGACGCGCTCATCCGACTGTGTAGTGCCTGCGCGACTGCTTGCAGGTAGAAACTGCGAAGCAGGGCCTCGAGGCGGCCGCGGGAGCCAGTCCAGCTCCGGGGTCGCCCAGCAGCACCGCGGGCGTCGCGGGCGAGGTCCTGGACATGCTCCTCGCGGCCTCGACTGCCGAGGACGCCGCGAGGTACGCCCAGAAGGCGATGTGGAACCGCAAGGAGGGCGAGTGGACCCGGGACAAGATCGCACGGCGCATGGCGCGCGCGAAAGAGCGACCGCGCGCGCGAGGTGACGGCCACGCGGGCCCCGACAAGTTCGCGATCCCCCCGGACCTGCGGCAACCGCACCCCCTGGCGTACACCCCGCTCCACGGCCCCGACGCGGAGCGGGTCGCTGCAGAGCGGACGGCGCGTGCAGCGGAGATCCGCGCGATGCTCGAGGCGCTGGGCCCAGGGGCGGAGAAGCGGCGGAGGAACCCTGGATACGTCGCGCTGGGGGCGGTGGGGCCGCGGGGGGGCGCGGACGTGGCGGCGTGGGGCGCACGTGGGGACGGAACACCCCCGCGAGGGTTGCGGGCGGGGGGGTGGCCGGTGCTGGCGCCTGGGGCGGGGAAGCGCGGCACGCCCAAGGGGCTGCGGCCGCCGAAGCCGGAGGACCTGGCCGCGGCGATGGAGGAGCTGCGGAGGCTCGAGGGGCACGTACGGCAAGAGAGCAGGGCGCCGTCGCCGCCGCCGACGCCACGGCAGCCACGGCGACGCACGACGGACACGGACTTGACGATGTCGTCGACGTCGAGCAGGTACGTGCGCCGGGTCGTCGACATGGGTGTCGTTTGCGACTCTGTGCGCCTGGCTGCGCGATGATGACGGATGGGCGCGTGCGATGGTGCTTGCAGCGACGCGGCCGAGGGCGAGGGTCTGCAGCAGATGACCACGATGTTCAAGGACGCGCTGCGCTGGCTCGACAGGCTAGCGACGCGGCGTCAGGAGCGCATGGCGGACTTGAGCGAGACAGACAGCCAGACCCTCGTGTAACAACTCTCTCCAACCCGGATCCACGACTCCCGATGCATCCGCGAGTCTCGAGTCCTCGACGTCCGCACGCGCGTCTCACGCGCCGCGCAGCCGCAGGCACGGCATGGCCAGGACGATGGTGATCCAGGGAAGAGAGGCGCCGATGCCTCCAATCCAGACCCAGAAGCACCAACCGATCCAGATGACGGGCCGGGCGAGGCCGCTCGCGCCGCTGCCGGCGTCCTCGTAGATCGACACCCACAGGCCCAGCGTCGCCACGGCGCACAGCACTGCAGGAACTTGCAAGAAGTACCTTTTTCTATTTAGAAGATGTTTTATATTTTTATACTGGGAAGCAACGACCTACAAGCAGGCGCGGTGGTGCGGGGTGCGCGGTCCTCGGGACGGACCATACGTCAGCAGGAACATGGTTCCCGCGAACCACGCGTTCCTGAACGTCGCCATGCTCCGAGGCCGCCCAAAGGCAAACGCAGGCTTGCCGTGGGAGGACGCCGCAGTCGTGGCCAACGCAGCTCCGGCAGGATTGGCCGCCTGGCTGCCCGGCGGCATCATCGCCGCCGCCTCGGAGGTGGACGTTAGCGCCTGGCCCTCCACGTCAGGCTCCGGTGCGACTTGGCCCTCCTTCGTGGCAACACTCCCCCCCCACGCCTGGAGGGCGGCGCGGTCGGCGGCGACGGCGCTGATGCAGAGCACGAGCGTCGCGAGCGCCGCGCAGCCCGTGGCGACGGCCGCGAGCACGCGCGCAGCCTGCACGCGCGCCCAGACATCGTCCCCGTCCGGAAGCAGCTCGTACGCCGTGCCAACGTTGCTCGAGCACCAGCGCGGGGCGTCCTCGAGGATCCGGCGGAGCTCGTCTCCTGCGTGCGATCCGGCCAGCCCGCGATGGTATCCCTTCGACGTGCGGAACGCATCACCTAGCACACGTGGGGGCGGGGGGGGGAGGGCCTGTTCGGACCTACGGTGACGAGGCGCTCGATTTCCTGCTCGGAGACGCCGCTGACGGGGCTCGAGTCCCCGCGTGCGGTGGCCGCGTCCTCGTCGGCCTGCGCAACCACCACGCGCAGCTCGTCGCTCGGGTTGCGGTAGCAGGCCCACCACAGCCCCGCGTTGTCGATTCTCGCGGGTCCAGATATGATACCGGGGGACAGCATGGCCCCGGCGAGGTCCGGCGATAGCCAGTGAGAGCCTGCGCGCGAACCAACAGCAGTGTACTCAGACGGCAGATTCGCCGCATCAAAAACAGCGATCGTCTCAGTCTTGCTGTACCCTGACAGTTCAATATGTGATCGACGTGTTGGCAGCGCTGGACGAGTCGTTATGCGCCGAACAAGCCCCCGAGGACAACCAACAACCATGGTCTAATCGTCTGCTAGTGCGCCTGTCCCAGCCTGGTTCGGTACGACTTGCACCAGCCAACCGCGAGACAACGTCTACCGGCGGTTCAACACCCGGAAAAACGCACGCGCAGCGTCCGGGAACGTCGAACACCCGCCATGTGCCCCGCTCATAGTAGCGACAAAAACAACGTGTCTTATTCGCGGATTTCCCGGGCGTACCGGCGAGCGCGACGGCGCTGAGGACGATGACGACGAGGCCCTTGAGTCCCAGAATGATGGCGAGCACGGGGGCCCCGCACCCACCGCTCATCGTCTCCTGGCCCGGCTGCGCCACCGGGGCGGCCCTGGGAGCACCCTCGTGGCGCGAGTACCGCACGCCCGCGGACACCGACGAGGGGGACGCCTCCTGGGGCGGCTGCCTGGGCGAGTCCATGGTGTCTTGCCTGCCTGCTGATGTGCGCCCGCGACGAGGGAGCGAGAGTTGATGTTGTGGGGTGGTTGGGGGACTGGCACCAGCTGGATCACCCCTCCCCGCGCCTGACGCGCACAAGGCGCCCCCCGGCGCGCCCGCCGGCGCAGGCTGCGTGAAGCTCGAGCTTCTGAGGAACGTTCCGACCGCGGAGACGAGCCCAGGAGGCGTTGCTCGCCGCGGGTGTTGCTGGAGACAAGCAGGTGCCGCTCTGCGGCGTCTCGCTGCGCGGCTTGCCCTGGAAGCCCCAGAAATCGTGAGATCGCGGTGCCGATATGGCGGGAGTCACGGACAGGATGCTGGACTTCTTCGCGGGGGCGCCGGCGGAGCGTCTGAAGGGAACCACCAAGGTGCTGCCCGCTCTGACGCCGTCGACCGGTGGACGGCCAGAGGGCCGCGCTCGGCGCGTGATGTCGAGGGGGCTGGAGCGCCCCTGACACCCTTCTTCGTCTTCATCCGCAACGCAGGGTCTGTTCGCAGTCGGAGTGCTCACCAACATCTGGATCCCCACCGCGGACCCGGTGATTGCTCTCCTGGGACTTGTGTGCGTGTTCCTCGCGTCCATAGAGCTCCTGAACCTGGTGAGCGAGGCGCCCATCGCTGCGAACGTCCCTCGCCCCCCCCCGACTCCGTGCGCCCAAGTCCTCCTGAAAGGAAACGAACGGCTCTTCCACACGCTGCTTGCTTCGAAGCCGTCACAACTACGTCGCTTTCGCATGACATCACATCAGTCCACCGGCGGCTCGCACGCGTCTCGGATATCACGGCGCGCAGGCCCAGCCAGCGTCAGTTGTACTTTCCGTCGTTCCGCACAGCGCGCCCCGGCGACGGTCGGCCGCCGCCCTGTCGACGCACGCCACTCACGCACACAGAGCCACGCCCTCATCACGCAAGCACCACACCCCCCCATGCAGTTCCTCATCATCACACCAGCAAGCATCCTTATGGACATCATTCGTCTGGTGCGCCCTGACGCCCCCCCCTTCGGCCCGCCTCCGCCCTCACGTTCCCCAGCGACACGATCGTCAAGCCAGGCAGCGCATCGACACGCGACCTCGCCGCGCCGCGTGCTCGCAGGCAGTTGTTTCGCGCCCCAAGGGTTTCGCTCTGGCGGTGCTCCTGGAGGTGGTCCTCATGGCGATCAAGGGCTGCGCGACGTACTTCGCAATATCGCTGAAGAGGTCCCTGGAGGACGGGTACGACAGCGGCGGCGGACAGTACCAGTCGCAGCCGACGTTTGACCAGGGCCCACCATCTGCGGACCCCTACCCGTACCAGGCGCCCTCCGCGCCGGGCGGCGGCGGCGGCGGGCAGTAGACGGAGCGCGCAGCGCGCCAGTCGCCGCTGCGAGGCATGTAACCCATGATGCGCGTGGAGGCGGTCACACAACATGCAGCATGCACCGCGCCTGACCAGCGGTGGCGGTCCACCGGAGCGAGACGTCTGGCGCGAAGGAGCCGCGCAAGGGCCGTGTCGATGAGCGGGCCGGGCGTGTGGAGTTTGCCGCAACACAAGAGGTGCGCAATTCGGCAGAGGCGGGCTGCCGAATACACAAGGGACGTAGCGTCGGCGTCACAGCGGTGTTATCCTACCGGCAGGCCCCGTGGTGGCGCACTCACTCCGGCGGAGGCGTGCGTGGCGCCGAACGCACCGAGCCTGGCCCTTGCCGCGACGACGCCTTGGACGGCGGCGGCGACGGCCGCGCCGACGGCACGTTGGACGGAGGCGGCGTCGGCCGCGCTGACGGCACGTTGGACGGAGGCGGCGTCGGCCGCGCGGACGACGCCTTTGACGGCGGCGGCGTGGCCGCGCGGACGGCACGTTGGACGGCGGCGGCGTCGGCCGCGCGGACGGCACGTTGGACGGCGGCGGCGTCGGCCGCGCGGACGATACCTGACGGCGGCGGCGACGGCCGCGCGGACGGCACGTTGGACGGCGGCGGCGTTGGCAGCGGACGACGCTTTGGAGGGCGCGGCCGACCGTTCGCTGAGCGTCGGCGCGGCGGTCACGTGGCGGGAGGCGCGGGTGGTCGGCGGCCCGGGCACGCGGAAGTTGTCCGCGACGCTCGCGTCCTTGATGGTCGCCGTCAGCCCCTCCTTCAGCATGATCTCTCGCCGCATGATCGTGCGCGCCTCGGCCGACGCGACCTTCGACGGACTCGGGCGGCCAATCATCTCCGAGCCCTGCACCGGCTTGACGCTCGGCCGCCGGTGCTGCCACCCGTTGGTGCTCTCCTGCCACCCCGCCTGCCCCAACTCCCAGCCCGTCACGGGGTTGAACCTGCGAGGACGCAAAACCCGAGGACGCGACGTTTCGTGACACCGAGCAGGCAATGCGCCGAGAAACTCAGCGCGTCGCGCGCGTGTGGGGCCGCGGCCGCCCGGACATGCACACGCGCTGATCAGGGCCCGCCGCAGGCCGGGGGCGCCCGCAGCGCATCGTCATGCGGTCGCCCTCGCACAGCGTCCCGAGCGACGGAGACCCGCGCAGCACGGGGCGCGGAAGCCGCGCGATCCGTCGCGGCGGGTGGCAGACAGCACTGGCGCGGCGACGAGGCCCCTGCAGCGCCGTTCGCAGCGGCCGGGGGTGGACGCACCTATTATACGCGTGCCACTCTGTCAGCCGGCTGGACCTCATGGCCTGGCACTGCGTGTTGCGCATCTCCGCGGCCTTGGTCCGCTCCTCGCGCACCTGCTCCGGCTCAATCGTCTTGTGCGGGCGCTTCGTGTTCCATCCCGGCTTGAACGACGCCGGCTTGCCGAGCGCTGGGTCCGCTGCCTGCGTGCGCCGCGGAGGCGTGGCGGGGAGATGCATGTGCCGTCCGGAATCCCACGCGGTTGCGATGTTGCTCGCGCACGTTGCTGCCCCCCCGGCCGGGCACGTGCGGGGAAACGCACGGACGCGCTCCCGCGCAAGCTGTGTCGGGGCCCAGCGCCGCTACAGTGCGGGCCCGGGGCGACGTCGGCGGGGGCACAGCGGGGCGGCACGGCATGCACATGGCAGGTTGGCGTCTGTGCCGTGGGGCGCAGCGGTGCGCCTGAACGCGGGATCAACGACGCCACAGGGGAGACAAAGGACGGAGGGGGCGTGGCGCGTACCGGAGCGTGCGGTCCGAGCCCCGTGAGCACGTTTGTGATAACGTCATTGGGCGGGGGGAAGTGCTTGCGGCCCTTCGGCCTCACGAAGGCGTCGTCCCGCCCCGCATCCGTCACGATACTGAGATGATGCGCCTCCGCCATTCCCCTCGACGAACCCCTCCGCGCTGTCCTCGGCGCCGCGCTCCAGAGCCCCCCAACCTGCCCCACCACAACTGCGCCCTCGCGGCAGCAAGTGAGGGCTTCCGAAGATCGTTGCACTAGCGAAAGCTGCAGCCTGTCACAGGGTCGCACTGGCGGGGCGCGCGCGGCGCGAGGCCCTCGACACCGTGCCTGGGGGAGGGACAAAACAGACCTGCGGGGGGGGCTATGGGTTTGCCTAAGGGCTGTCTGGCGCCACGAAGCCAAACTCGCGCCCGCCGGCTGTGCGTCCACCATCGGGCCTTGCAGCCGAGGCGAGCGCACGGTGTCGCTGCGGCACGCCCCGCCGCCGTGACATACAGACTGGCCACGGCGACCAGCCGCGCTGCTTCGAGATAGCGTGTCACCGACTCTGGGACGGGCGCGGGGAGAAGATGCCCTTGGTCCTCTGCGTCAGCGGACAACGCGTCGCTCGAGATCGCGCCGCGCCGATCGCGGCGTCAGCGTCAACAACAAGGACTGTGTCACTGTGCACGGCTGCAGCCCTGCACTTCTCGCGGTCCAGGCATCGGCGCTCCAAACTCCTCTCGCCGATTGGGGGATAGAGCTCGTCGTCACTGAGCAGCACGTCGCCAGGACGGCCCCTGAAATGACACGGATCACACAATCATGGCGCCGGTTCCGCCTCTGAGGCAGAATCAACCCACGGTGCTGCCCGTCGCCGTGCTGTCCTGACCATGCAAGGCTGGAGCGCGTATCCACGGTGGCCCTGCGCCCGTGCTCACGCCCCATATCTCGCGCAGGCTGGTCTGCGAGGCGCCTGTGCTGTGCGACTGCTGCTGCATGGCACCAAAGCCGCCCGGGAGCGCGGACAGCACCTCCGTGGCGTCAGCTTGCGCCGCGGCGAGAGTGATGCGCTCGGAGGCGTCAGTGAGCAGCGTGACCGTCACGTCGACGAGGACCCTCGCCGCATCCGACGCGCTCAGCACGCGGCACACCCCTCCCAGCACCGCCGCGTCGTGGGGGGGGAGTGCCCCCGCGTAGCCCGACGACACGAGCATCAGGTGGATCTGCAGAGCGATCGAGCACGCGGGGAGGGGTCCTTCGTTGAAAAAGGACGAGTAGGAGTGTGGTGAATGTTCGTCGCCATTCAACAGGTCTCACCTGGAGCGCCGTCAGCCCGTGCATCTCCGCTGCCGCGCACGCACGCGGACACGCTGTCCGCGCCCGCGCCTCCAGCTCAGCCGCGCCCGCCCCCCGTGCACACAGCACCAGATCCCGCCAACCCTCCTGGCTCGTCTCAACCCCCCCACAAGCCTCCGCGGCCTCCTCGCGCGTCAGCGGTGCCGCGTCCTCGCGCTCCAGCACCGCCCACATCCGCTGCAGCGCTGCTTCGTCGACCCTCGCGTCCGAATCCGCCCGAGACCCCGTTTTCATATCTGCCGCACTGACTGCGCCAGTGGACTCAACCGGCGCCTCGGACGGCCCGAGCGCGCTCGAGCGCGCGCGCTGCAGCGCCCCCGCGTAGGACTCGCGCGAGACTGCTCCGAGCAGCGCCCGCACGGGCGTCCCCGTGCTGCCCGGCTCGTCCGCTGCTCTCTGAAGAAACGACAGCAGCGAGAACGTTTGCGAACTTGAACGCTGCAGCGCGGGACCCTGCTCCTGCGCCCCGAGGAGGACCTCGCTGAGCTGCGCGCTGTGCAGGGTGCGCGCGTGCACGGCCGCCGCGAGCCCCGTCAGGAGCGCCACGGCGCACACGTGCTCCGAGTGCTTGCTGGTGGGGTCGAAGGGTTGCTTCATCGCGCTATGAGCCGCGCGCGTGAAGAGCGCTCGCAGCCGCGGCCGGGCGAAGGCGTCGGTGAGGAAGTCCGGGCACGGCAGGAGCACGGCGAGCAGCTCCGTCGCCGGGTGCGCGTCGGACGAGCCCTCAGAGTCCCCCCCTGAGTCGAGTGGGGACAAGAGACACTCGAGGAGGCCGGCGTCGAGCAGCGCTGCGGCGCCCCGGCGCCCCGACGACGCCAGCCGCCCAGCGCACAGCGCAGCGGCGCGGTGCGCGCCGCGTTTGAGCCGCGCCGCCGCCCGATGCGCGCACCCCGACAGCACGATCTCTGACGATGCCACCACCGCCGCCCCCTCAGGGCTGCCCGCGAGCGCGACGGCCCAGTCCCACGCCTCGTACGGCTCCTTCTCCACGCTCCGGACCGACTCGCTCGCCGCCGCGAGCTCCCCGACGTCGAGTCCCCCCAGTAACACCCCCCTTTCCGCGCCAAAATTGGTGTGCATCCGCAGGCCGACCAGCGCCGCAGTCGTCGCGAGCAGCGCCGCCATCGCCGCCGTCGCGTCGTCGTGCGTCATCACGAGCGTCCTCAGCTTGGCCATCGCCGCCGCCAGCGGCGGCGTTAACGCGCTCTGCAGGTTCTCCTGCGCGCTTGCGCTGGAACCCATCGCAGCGCGCGTCCAGCTCCGCGCGGCGTCCGCGAACACGCGCACCTTGACGATCGCCGCCTGCTCGTCCCCGCTGAGCGCCACCAGCGGCGCCAGCACCAGCGCGGCAGCCTCGGGCTCCGCCACCGCCAGGCTCCGCCAGGCGTCGCGCAGGGCGCGCGTCGCGACGGCCTCCCGCGCGACGCGCTCCGCGGGCGGCCGGGCGTCGTTGGTCGGCGTCGCGTCGAACGCGTGGTTGACCCACCGCGCGGTCCGCTGCAGCACGCTCAGAGCCACGTCAGCGTCGAGGTGGTCTTTGGTGGAGTAATACAAGGAGGCCACCACCCACTCCTCCATGCTCTCGTCCGCCCGACTGTCCAGCTCGGCGACGACATCCGACGCCGCGATCGCCTCGCGCGTCGCCGGAGCCAGGGGGGGTGTTTCGAGCCAGCGGCGGAACCACGTGAAGCCCACGTCAGAGAGCGCCAGTAATCGCAGCCCGGCGGGGCTGCCGAGGAGGGCGACCACCGCGGCGGCGGCCGGCGCGAGCATGTCGCCGGGGACGCTGTGCGCGACGGGCGGGAGCGCGGCCGCCAGCGCGCAGCACACGTTGACCGCGCGGGCGAGGGGCGTCTCTGGGGCGTCGACGGCGTGGGCGTCGGCGACGGCGTGGGCGTCGGACGTGGAGAGGGAGGCGACGCGGCGCGCGGCGAAGGTCAGCATGCGGATGACGTGCTCCGCGCTGACGTCGAGGAAACCCCGGGACAGCCCGTGCCGCCCGACCATGAGGGCCTCGATCAGGGTGATCGCCCCTTGAGCTGCCGCTTCGTCCTGCTGCGTGGCCGGCAGCGCAACCGACGTGATTTCCTGCGGCGCGGGTGGTGCATGGTATGGGCCTCTGGACGCAGGAGAGGGGGCGGGTGTTCGGGGTCGGAAATTCGGTGCAGGAGCCGGGAGCTGTCTTGGTGTCTGGAGCGTTTCGTTCGCAGTTGTGGATCCTCGAGTGCCCCTCTTACCTCACAGAACTCATCCCACGCAAGGCCAGATGGCACGAAGTCGACTAGGTCCGGCTGATGCTCGAGCTTCTGCACGGTTGAGGCGAGAGCGGAGCCGACGTCCTCCGCGGCCTCCCCGAGACGGGCGGCCCGGAGGAGCTCCGTGAGGGGCTGGAACGGGTCCACGAATGACTGGCCGGACGAAAACGACGCACGGCTGTTGTTTTCGTCCCCGAAACCAACGAATAGAACGCCAGACATGACGACACAGCGGCCCAGCAACTTTGCCTTGCAATTCCGCTCCGCCCAAGCTGTGCTGACCGTTCGATATCACTTTCGCTTGGCACCCATCGACACCTCATGCACGAGACAACGAGCAGCGCACGGGAGTGGCCGTACGCGCGATCCTGGGGCGCAGAGAGGCCGCCGCTGCACCTGGAACTCCCCACCCAACACACTCGTGCTGTCAGGGGGGGAGGTTCCGCGGGACGTACTCAAGCGCACCACCCGCCACGGCGCATGCAGGTCGCGCGCATCCGCAAGCTCGCTCGACGCCGACCGCCCCACCCGGCCGCGCCCAACATGAAGGTCGTCGCACCACCTCTCACACCGGCCCAGGATCGCCGAACCCACGCCCCCTACACCCCTAGCTCCCGCTGCGTGAGCGCCAGCTTGTCGTCCAGCGCCGCCCACGGCGTGCTCGTGCGTCCCTCCGACACCACGATCTGCCCACGCTTCAACGTCATCACCCGGCCCATGCCGTACCGTCCCTCGCCCTCCCCGCGCCGGCAGAGGGCGTCCACGAGCCACGGCATCCCCCTTAGCGCCTCCTTCTCCAAGAACAGCCCCTCCTTCCTCGTCTCCGCCCCCTCTTGAACGTGCGCGGTGACGCCAACGCCTGCGTCGCCCTGGAGCAGCAGCGGCGGCTCCTCCCCGCTCCCGCGCTCGATCTCGGACGTGTGCAGCGCTGCCACCCTCGCTCGCCCGACCACGTCCCGCGTCACGACGTGCACGTCGCCACTCTCCATGTCCAGCGTCATCCTGCGATGCTTCCACCGCAACGACCGCACCGACCCGTCAGGCACGGCAGCGGGGCCGCGCTGCGCATGGAGCACGTCCCTGTCGCGATCGGGGCGCGGCGCGTGCGCGGCTGTCCCGTGGCACTGACCTGTAAATGTATCCTCTGAACAGTTGGTGAACGAGGAGGGTCGCCGCGACCGAGAGCGAGCACACGGTGGGAATGACCGCCTCGACGGCCGCGAACTGCCACGTCCCGGGCGCGGACAGCGCGGCCGCCGTGGTCGCGCCGGCGCCCGACGCAAGCAGCGCGGCCGACCCCGCCAAGCACCCCGCCGTGCACGTGGCGCTGCCGACCTTGAGCGCGGTCATGACGGGGCCCCAGGTCCTCGCTGTGCCCGGGTACACCAGGACGCGGCCGCGCTCGCGCGGTGCAGCGCTGGCATCGGCGTCTGAGGGCTGTTGCGGCGACACGGCCTGGGTCGGCTGGCGTGGCGCTGCGGGCGAAGGTTCTTGGTCCTGAGTTGAGAACGCGCTCGCGAGGGTGATGCCGCGCGCCGCGGGAGCGGTGCGTGATCGCAGGGCGGCTGCGCGCACTACGGAGGACGTGCTGGCCATTGGGGCCGCGTGGGGTCGAAAGCGAGGTTGCGTTCAGCCCAGTATGATTTCAGCGGTAGCCTGCCTACACCGGCATTGAGCCGCGCGGCTGCAGCGCGCTGCGGCAACCTGCGCGAGCCACAAGGGGGGCCTGAAGGGTGGAGTGAGACTGGTCCAGTTTGGCCGCGGCGTCGATTGCGCGCGCACCGCGCACGGCTGGACACGTTTCGTAGTGCGTGATTTCTCGTGCCGCACCGCCGAAGCCAGCGTTGCGGCCCGGTCGACGCGGTTCGGCCGCTCGGAGTCTCCCGACGAGCGTCTCAGCGCCCGCGGCGCCCCCCAGCGATCACACCGCCGCGCCTGGCCGGCGCGCACGACGCTCCTCAGGATGTGCGACACAGCGGCACCCGCGGCCCCGCCCGTCGCCCCTCTCCCTTCCCACATGACGTCCTCAGTGTCCCTGGCGCGCTCCAGGCTGGGCGAGCTGTGGACAGGCGCGCGGGGGCTGGTGTCCCGCGTCCCAGCCATGGACCTGTCGAAGTCGATTGCGTCCTGGTACGATCCGCCCGCGGCCCGCGCGCCGCCCGAGCCAGCGCGGGACCTCGCACAGCCATGCTCCTCGGACGCCCACCCCGCGGGCGCTGCGGCCGAAGCGCACTCGCGGACCTACGTCGAGTCGCTGTACGGGTACCTCCCGAGCTGGAAGAGCTACGCCTCGCTGCAAAGCAAGGTCATCAAGGTGCGGGCCACGGCCCTGAGTAGCGATCACCCATCTGCGCGCACGCCCGCGCGCGGCAGCGCCAGGCCACGTGCGCCGCGCGTGCACCGCACGGCCGTATTGAGCGTCGTCCCGGGGGCCGGAACTCGGCCGCGGTCCGCTGTGCCGGGCCTCGACACTGCGTTGGTGCACTGAGAGTGCTGTGCGCGGGACAGCGTCCCGCTCGGGCCGTAAACGGGCGTCGACGGGCCGCTACCGTTGCGTCGCAGTATCCGAGCGTGGCGTGGAACCTGTTTCGGTCCGTCGTCGGGGACCGGTCGTACATTTCCGTTATCGACTCGACTGTGCTTCTGGGGGCCGTGCCGCTCGCGGGGCACCTCGACGAGCTGCGCGAAGCGGGCGTGCGCGGCATCCTCACGCTCGTTGAGGACGCGGAAGTGATGGTCGACAGCAAACAAATCGAAGCGGGCGGGTTCCGACAGGTGCGACTTCCCACACACGTTGCGTGCGGTGATCCGGCCCACGCACGCCCGCGCACGGCAATCGGCCAGCAAGTCTGCCCATTTGCGAGGCCACTGTCCTGGGAACCTGCGACGCTCTGCAATCCTGTTTAACTCCCCCCTTGACTTTTACTGCTCGTTGCAGATGCACATGCCGATCGTCGACATGCACTCCCCGGCCCAGGACGAGCTCGTCGAGGCCGTGCGCTTCCTCCAATCCTTCGCGGAGCGCGGCGAGCGCGCGCTCGTGCACTGCCGCGCCGGCAAGGGCCGGAGCGCCACTGTTGCCGTCTGTTACGTCGCCGCCCAGTACGAGATGGACGCAGCGCAGGTGCGCACCTGCCGCCGAGCTCACCGCCGCGCGGATGACGCACGAAGCTCACACAGACAGAGCGCGGCCAGACAGCACCTCGCTCACGTTGCCTGCCCGGCGTTGAGCGCACCAACGGCCACCCCCACGTGCTTTTGCCGAGAACCTCTGTATCCGCACATCTGCGGCCCTCTGCGCGTGCTCAAGCTCGTGACACACCGGCACGGCGAGCACTCCTCAGTCCCACGTGCCCGATTGAGAGCCCACCATGCTCCCAGGCTGCTTGTTGTTGTTTTTCGTACCCGTGACGTTCGCGCGCAACCGCCCCCGTCCCCGCAGGCGCTGCGGCACGTCAAGCACTGTAGGCCGCAGGTGTCGCTCACGCCGCCGCAGAAGAAGGCCGTCGCCCAGTTCGTCCGCGAGGGTCGTGTGGCGCGCGTGGTGGCCGTGGCGCCGTCCGTCCGCGCGGTGCCGCTGGGACTCCCGGGCCACTCGCGATCTTTCAAACGCGAAGGGGGCTCCACCGGCATGGCCAGCAGCGTCGCGCTGCCGGTGTCGCACGCGCCGGCGGCGCCGCCAACGCCACCGCTCCCGCAGAGGCCCGGCGGAGAGGAGCTCGCCGAAGTGACCGCCGCCGGCGGGTAGCAGCTGCAGCGCTGCGCCCTCGCACGCCTTGCACGAACGACGGCATTCACAACGAGGAGATATTCACGTCACTCTCGCGACGCCATGGCACACGATCGCAGCCGCGCAACGGCCAGCGTCGCGCGCCGGTCATCGGAGTTGAAATTGATGCGGCCGCCAGTTGGGCCCAAGCGCGCGTGGTTGAGGCCGCGCAGAGCCTGTGAGCCCGTGATCTGACCCTGACATCTCGTACTTGTTCGTGCAAATTCTGTTTTTATACGACACCCCGACGTGTCAAAACCATGGACCGTCCGGGACGGGGCCGCCGTGCTCCGTGGTCCTCGAGCCCTCGGTCGGGTTCGGGTCGAACGTGAGCGACAGCACCGCCCGCGCCGGCAGCCCCTGTCCGCCCTCGACCAGCGCGCGGCAGGGGGGGCACCCGGAAAACTCCCCCTCCAGCTCACGCGACAGGAAGTGGCCCATCATCGCGTGCCGAGCCTGCGAGCACACCACGTCAGGCGCACGGACCGGTCCTTTCCACGACACGCACGGCTCATGATCGTCCTGGCTCACCCTCGATCGTGATCTTTCGCTCTTTTGTTCTATCGCGCACCTCGCCGTCCAAGACGCCGCGGAACTTGCACGGCTCCATCCCCGCGGCCTCGATGGCGCCGGCGAGCGCCGTCGCCGCCACCGTTGCCGCCGCGGACGCCACCTCCACGGGCCCCGCCAGCAGCGCGCCATCCGAGCACTGCACCGCCATCGACAGGTCGCTCCTGGCGATCTGCGACAGCTGCGAGGCCATCTCCGCCTCCACGCCGCCCTCCCCGCCGCCGAGCACCACGACTGACTCGGCGCCCGCGTCGAAGTCAGGTCCCCGACGGAAGATGGCCAAAACGTCGTCCTCCACGCTGCCCGCGAAGGCGAGCGCCGTCCAGGACTTGCAAAGCGGGTGCACGACCCTACGCACCGCCTGCACGCCATCGCACACAGCAGCAGGGGCTCGGAGCGGGGCGTCGACGGTGTCGTGCGGTGCACGTGCGCGTCAGGGTTGGTGCTGCGTGTCGAGCGCGGGCGGGGTGTCGCGCACGTCCTGGAAGCGCTTGTCGCTCAGGAAGGCCTCCATCTTCGCCTCGTCGCCGAACCGCATGTGCACTGCGTGCGTGAACGCCCCTTCGCTGACCGCCGTGCCCTCGCACCGCGTCAGGGCGCCGGCGGACGCGCACAGCGCGTACGGGACCATGTACTGCAGCGACCACACGTGGTCGATGACCTCCTCGCCGATGACCGCCGCCCCCGTCGCGGGGGGGTCCGCCGTGGCATCTCCCGACGCAGTAGTTGCAACTGGAAGGGACTCCCGGGCCTCGAACAGCAACAACAGCTCGCACACGCGCGCGAGCTTCGCCGGCGCCCCAGGCCCTGCGAGCCGCGAGAAGCCGGGAGAGGGCCCAGTGTCGGGCCGCACGCAAGCGATGCGACGCGGGGGGCGCCGAGGAGCCGTGTTCCAGCGGCGAACTCCGTCGCGGCGCGGTGCGATGGAAAGTCAGTGAGCGTATGATGCGAGAGGAGCCGTTTTCGTCGACCTTGAGTCCGTGTGCAGTGCTCGCGGGCCGGAGTCGTTGTCTGCGGCACAGTTGCGAGGGGCGTCCTCACCGGCCGAGGCGCGGAAGCGTCGCCGTGCGCGGGCGCATGAGGGCCTGGAAGTGAACGGTCGGTCGCAGATCGGCAGAGGCGTCCTCCGCGCGGCGCCCGAGCGGCATCGCGCTGCGCGGGAGAGCAGGCTGCGACAGTGCTTCGTGCGGACGCCGCGCAGCGGCGACGACGTGGCCGCAGCCGTGCTGGTCATCGGCGCCCGGACTTGACCGCGGGGGGGGCCCGGGCCAGGTTTTCGGACGTGCTGCGCGCGGTGCAGCGCCGTGCGACGCGTCGCGGAGCTGGACGAGAACTCCTCGCGTCGCTCCGCGCACAGTGATTACAGCGATGCGGATTTCGGTTGCATGGGATGTCCACGTATGTGGCGAGCGACGAAGGCGAAGAGGTCCTCGTTGGAGTTATACTCGCGCACTGAGGGAACACTCCACTGGGATCTCCAGGCAGGGCACCACGAGTCCAGGCGGGCCGCACTCCCCCGCGCCATGGCCGCGCGTCGGGCAGCAGGCGTGCAAGTGCATGTCTGCGGCGCTGTAGCAGACGTCTCGGAGTGTCAGGGTAGGGCCAGCGCTGCTTGTTCCGTTGGCGGTTGTTTCAGACCTTCACGATGCTGGCGCCGCCGAGTGCCGCGCCCCTGGCGCGTGCCTCTGGACGGAATGTCACAGGACGTGCCACGAGGCCACGTGCGCCCGTGCGCGCGGTGGGTTTCGCCCACGGATTCGGCGCGGCACGCGCCCAGAGGGAGGCGGTAGGGACGCGCGCCGCTCTGAAGCGGAGGAGGCTCGACCGGGCCGTGGCCGCCGCGGCGGACAGGGACGTCTCGCTGCGTGCGTCGACGACGGACGACACAGCGGCGGGCCCTGTGTCGTACACGGGCGTGGCCCGGGGCTCACCGGAGCCTCTGGGGCCGTCAAAGACGACCGACGGCGTGAACTTCGCGATTTACTCGCGCCACGCGACGCACCTGAAGCTGTGCCTGTACGACGACGAAGGGAACGGCCCGGTCGAGCTCGACATGCCGCGTGACGGGCACCGGACGGACGACGTCTGGCACATTGAGGTGCAGGGGCTCGCGGACAGCGGCGTGGCCTACGCGTTCAGGTGGGTCGCGGCGCACCCGGCCCTGGACCGGCCGCGTGCTCGCGCGGCAATGCGCGGGCGGGAGGCCGCGCGCAGGCGGGAGGCCGGCGCTGCGACCTGATTGGCACGCGCTCACACGTGGATGCGCCTGAGCGACTTGACGCGCCGTTTCGCTGCGTGTCGCCGCCTGGCGCGAATCGCTTACATCGGGTTCTACAGCCATGCGACAGGGCGACGCTCCACGAGCCTGGTCTGGCGCTCCCGCGCCGATGACCTAACTGCTGTAGCTCTCCCGTCCGCGGCATGGCGCTCACGGCGCGTCCCGGCCCACCGCTCCGCCCCGACGAACCCGCAGGGTGTACGGTGACGGGGGCTGGGAGACGGTCTTCCGTTGGGACCCGAAGACGCCTGTCCTGGACCCCTACGCGCCCCTCGTGTGGAGCCGCGCCGAGTTCGGGAAGCGCGACAAGCGCGAGGCCTTCAAGGAGGGCGTCGGTAAGCCCCGGACCCGCCCTTTCGCGCCCACTCAGGCGCGAAACCGACCCAACACCCGCCTCTCCGTGCCAGGCGCCCCCGCGCAGTGCCCACACGCCCGCACGCGGCTTCCCGACGCGCAGGCTCGGTGTTCCGCGGGACGTACGACTTTGCTGAGGAGCCTTTCGACTGGGGCGCGGACTACAAGCGTCCGAACGTCGCGTGGCGGGACCTGATCATCTATGAGATGCCTGTGCGCTCCTTCACCGCCAGCGCCACGTCAGGCCTCCCCGAGGGCGAGCGCGGCACCTTCACGGGCCTGGCCAAGAAGGTCGACCACCTCAAGGTTCGCGCCCCCACCCCGCGCCGCGCCCCCACCCCGCGCAACCCCCGACATGACGCTGCGGCACCAGCACACCACAGGCGTCAAGCCCGGCGCTGTTCGCTCGTGTTTCGCGCGCAGGAGCTCGGGATCACGGCGGTGGAGCTGCTCCCGGTGTTCGAGTACGACGAGCTGGAGTTCCAGCGCGAGCCCAACCCCCGCAGCCACATGACCAACATCTGGGGCTACTCCCACATCTCCTTCATGGCGCCCATGTCGCGGTTCGCGGCGAACGGGGGCGGCGCCGCGGCGGCGCGGCGCGAGTTCAAGGAGATGGTCAAGACGCTGCACGCGAACGGGATCGAGGTCATTCTGGACGTGGTGTACAACCACACCGCGGAGCTGGACGACGAGAACTTCTACCAGCTGTCGTTCCGCGGCATCGACTGCCCCGTGTACTACATGATGGACGCGGAGGCGTACACGAAGCTGCTGAACTTCTCCGGCTGCGGCAACACCGTCAGCGCCAACCACCCCGTGGTCCAGGAGCTCATCCTGGCCTCCCTGCGTCAGTGGGTGGAGGAGTACCACGTCGACGGGTTCCGGTTCGACCTCGCGTCTTGCCTCTGCCGGTGAGCGACGACGCCGCCCCCGCGCTGCCCCCGCTCCACGTCCACACCCCCAACACTGCCTCGAAACACTCCCCCCCCGTCACGCGAGCGCAGGGACCCGAAGGGCCACCCGCTGCCCGCGCCCCCCGTCATCCGCGCGATCGCGAAGGACCCGGTGCTCTCGAAGGTCAAGCTCATCGCGGAGCCGTGGGACATTGGCATGTACCAGGTGGGGAGCTTCCCGAACTGGGACGTGTGGGCGGAGTGGAACGGCAAGTACCGCGACGACATGCGCAAGTTCTTCCGCGGGGACCCGGGCTTGAAGTCCGCGCTGGCGACGCGGCTCGCCGGCAGCACGGACCTGTTCCAGACCAACAACCGCAAGCCCTACCACGGGGTCAACTTCATGGTGGCGCACGACGGGTTCAGCCTGTACGACCTGGTCGCGTACAACGGCAAGCACAACGAGGCGAACGGCGAGGGCGGGAACGACGGCACGAACGACAACTTCTCGTGGAATTGCGGGCACGAGGGCGCCACGGGCGACGAGGGGATCGAGCGGCTCCGGAGACGGCAGATGAAGAACTTCATGGTCGCGCTCATGATCTCCGTCGGCACGCCGATGATCGTGATGGGCGACGAGTACCGCATGACGCACCACGGGAACAACAACTGGTACGGCCACGACACCGAGTGGACGCAGTTCGACTGGGACGCCCTGGAGCGCGCGCGCGACGACGGCTTCCTCAGGTTCTACCAGGAGGTGATCAAGTTCCGCCGGGAGCACCACATCCTCGGCCGCGACGACTTCCCGAGCCACGTGAGCCCCCACACCCCCCCCCGAACACACACACCGCGCGGTTCGCGACGCCAAGGCTTGCTCCGTACTGCCTCGGCTGCTCGCGGGCGGGTCCGAGCGGCGTGGTTCGTGCCGTGCGCTGCATGTCGCAGGGAGACATCACCTGGCACGAGGACAATTGGGAAAACCCCGACTCCAAGTTCCTGGCCATGTCCTTCCACGGCGGGGGCCCGGGCGACCTGTACGCGGCGTTCAATGCGCACTCGCGGCCGTGCGCGGCGCACCTCCCGCCCCCGCCCCAGGGCACGCGCTGGTGCCGTGTCATCGACACCAACCTGCCGTCGCCCAAGGATTACACCCCCGGGGGCAACAAGGGCGTCGAGCCGGTCTACACGGTCGAGGGCCGCTCCGCCATCGTGCTCATCGCCAAGGCGAACGACGCGGAGTGAGCTGCGTGGGCGGGGCGCGCCCGTGGGCCGCGGGAAGGTTGCGCCCCGCGTGTGAAGTGAGCGGTGCCGGCAGGCGGCGACGCGCGTGCTGCGTGCGCGGCGTCGCGGCGGTGGTCGGGCGCGCGCGGTCGGGATGGGCTCGCGGCGACCTGAGTCCCGGGGGGGGGTCTTGGCCGAAGTCCGACTCGGGCGGCGCGCCTCGCGCTTTGATTGCCGCGCTGGCTCTTGGTGCGCGCGAAGTTGTAGTGCGCGGCGTAGAGCATCGCGTCTTCCAATTGCGTGAGGCCGTGATTGCGGGCGCTAGAGCAGACAGAGGCCCCGTGGTTGCCGGTCGCGCGAGCGGGCTGGCCTCGCGAGCGTGAACGCCTGACCAACGGCTCGAACACACTGCACGTGATCATATCCCGGGCGGGTCGAGCCGTGAAATCCGACCCACAGGCCGCCAGCGGCACGTCTCGAGGCCGTGCGAGCCCGGGGGCGGGTGCCCCGGGCGTGTGGGGAAGGCATCGTGAGGCCGTGGTGGCGGGATGACGCAGCACTCTCACGCCAACAAGCAGATGGCGTTTCGCGTCGAGGCGCCCGTTGACGCGGAGGAGGAGCTGTTCAAGGGTTGCGAGCTGGTCGAGGACCACTATGAACGCATGGACCAGATCGGACAGGGAACTTTCGGGCAGGTGCGGCAGCAGCACGGCCAGTTCGGACAATGAACTCGCACCTCGGGGCGCGTCAGGCCGCAGCGCCGGCGCAGCCGCGGCGTCTGCGCACCTCCAGCGTCCTGCCGCTTCGCATCGACGCGGGCGCGCAGAAGCGGCGGTTCCGGGGCGACACTCGGCATGAAAACACCCCCAAGGAGAAACCGGGCCTGTTTCGCCGCTTTTCGTGCACTCACGCCCGCTGGCGAGACGCTCGGCCGTCGCGCAACCCCCCTTCCCTCGGCGTGCACGGACACAGGTCTACTTGGGCCGTAGTCGCAAGGACGGCAAGCAGCTGGTGGCCCTGAAGAAGGTCAAGATGGACAACGAGAAGGAGGGCTTCCCCATCACGGCGATCCGCGAGATCCGCATCCTGCAGAAGCTCCGCCACGACAACGTCATCAGCCTCAAGGCCATCATGCGGTCCAAGCTGCACGTCACCAACGGACACCGGGGCTCCATCTACATGGTCTTCGAGTACATGGACGCCGACCTCGCCGCCCTCATCCAGCGCCGGCGAACCGACCCTCTGCCCCCGAGCCATGTGCGCCCCCGCCGCGCTTGCCTCCCGCACGCGGTCGCGCGCGTGTGCGTCCGTTGCACCAGTCGATTGCCTGCGCTCCTGCGACGCGCGGCCACTCTCCACGCGCCACCGGCTGTAGGAGGAAACCTCGCAACACATTCTCATTTATTTATCTACTCACTTGTGTTCGTTTTCCCTATCGTTGCAGCTGAAGAACCTCATGCGGCAGCTGCTGCGCGCGCTCAAGTACTGCCACGGCCAGAACGTCCTCCACCGCGACCTCAAGGCCTCGAACATCCTCCTGTCCTCGTCCGGCATCCTCAAGCTCGCCGACTTCGGCCTGGCGCGCGCCCGCGAGCGCGGCAAGCAGACCAACCGCGTGATCACGCTCTGGTACCGCCCGCCCGAGCTGCTCCTGGGCGCGGAGAACTACGGCTTCGAGATCGACACGTGGTCCGCGGGGTGCATCTTTGCGGAGATGCTCACCGGACGCCCGCTCTTCCCCGGCCAGGAAGAAACGCACCAGCTCCGGCTGATCGTCGAGCTGCTCGGCGCGCCGACGGAGGCCTCGTGGCCGGGCGTCGAGCGGCTCCCGCACTACCACTTCGTGCCGCAGACCGGCGCCAAGAGCTCCCTGCGGGCCAGGCTGGCCAACCGCGGCGTCACCGACGCAGCCTTCGATCTCCTCGAGGTAGGCGGACGCCCGCGCCCTCCTCTGACGTGCGCTAGTGTGCACTCGGAGGTCCGGGTCTGCATCTTCGCGCCCGCGCCCCCGACGCGTGGCCGACACGAGCAACGCGCCCCGCACGCGGTCTACGCGGGCTCCGCTGACACCGTGCGCGTGCTCCATGCGTTCCGCGTGCGCAGGGTCTGCTGCAGCTCAACCCGCGGCGGCGCCTGACGGCGGCGCAGGCGCTGGACATGCCGTATTTCAAGGAGCACCCCACGGCATGCAGAGATGACGAGCTGGACATCGCCTCCGGGTGCCACGAGTTCCGGGTGAGTGGCGTGTGCTCGCCGCGCGTCGTGGCGGTCGGCGCCGCCGTCTCGGCGGCCTTGCCACGTCCGCGCTGATTGCCTGATATGGTGCTGGTTGCCGTGGTTGGTTGCAGTCTCGGAAGCAGCACAAGGAGAAGAAGAGGCAGCCCGAGGAGCTGCACAGGGGGCCGAGCAAGCGGTGACGCGGCGTTCGTGCAGGGCGTGCACGGCGTTGTTTGGTTTCAGGTGCACCACTGTGAGCAGCAACACGCGCCAGGGCGCCCGAAATGAACAGCGCGCGATCGAGGTTCGGCCGCCGCGCGGAGGGGGGCGTGAGCTCGGCCGTGGATCGGCTCGCGGCCGCCGGGCGTCGGGACCCAGTGGAGCGCCTGGGGTGCCGTGCCGGGGGTCTCAGAGCAGCTGCAGAGCTCCGGGTGCAAAACGCGGCTGGCAGCACTTTGGCTTGAACCGCGACCTCCGCTCGCAATCCTCGCTCAGACCCCGCGCACGAGGCGCCCACACCTGCATGAGGCAGTCGCGACAACGACGACGTGTCCAACAACCGCCCAGTGAGTCACCTCGGACCATCGCGCGCCGCCGGGAGCGCCCCGGAGACGTTGCGGCCTGGACAGGCGTCGCGATCGTCGACGTATCTCTCTCGATCACGCAGGATGACCGTGGAAGACGACAAGCGGCGGACGGCCGAGCTCCCGGCCTGTGGCAGCGCTGGCCACGTCGCATCGCGGTCGCGTGTGCTGCACCCGGTGCAGTCCGTCAACTACGCGCATGTGCTCGGAAAGGATGGGGAGCCCCTCCGCGCTGCACTGGCGCTGTTCGACACGTGAGTCGCGGCGTGCTGGCCACCGGATGGGTGCCAAAGCGGTTGGCGCGCCACCGGCGCGCATCGACTGCCTGCGTTGCGCGCGTGCAAATGTCACACGGCTGACGATGATGCGTCTGAGCGCGCTGGAACCGCTGCGTGCGCGGCCGACTCGTCGCATTGCGGCGCACGTGCGAGCCCCACCTGGCCTGCTGCTTTGGGCGGTGTTTCGCGCAGGGACGGGGACGGGGAGGTCTGTCCGGCCGAGCTCATCGCGGCCTACCAGGCGTACGAGCGCATGAAGGCGGAGAAGGTGCTGTTCCGCAAGCTGCTGATCGCGGCGGTGGTGCTGTGCTTCGTGATGGTTGGCGCCACGGTCGGGTTGACGGCTGCGGTGGTCATCACGACGAAGGAGTCGAGGGTGTCGTCGAGCGGGCTGCTGCGCGCGAACGACGGCTCCGAGACGCCCGTGCGCACCGCCGACCGTCGCGGGACCGTCACAGTGACGCCGGGCGCAAGCGGGGCGAGGCTTGCGAGCCGCTCCCTGCTCCAGGGCGCCAGCCAGTACCCGGTGGTCGCCACCACGGAGTGCGCGACGGCGTCGTCGTGGTTCGAGGTGCGGCCGTCGCGTCGCCAGCTGTCAGCACGTCGACCTCCCAGTGTCGCGTCGCAACACGCGTGCTTCGTTCCGGCCGACACGTGCGTGGTATGCTGCTTGCAGGACATCGCGAACGAGGGCTTCTCCGTCGACATCGTCATTCTTGGAGCGGGGAGCGAGGCCTTGGAGTCGATCTCGTGCCGTGCGACGGCGGCCTCGCCGCCACACACGATCGACGCGTACGACCAGGCCAGGCCCTCGGAGACGTACCGGATCGACTGCTCCGGCGTGGATCTGAGCGCTGGCGGCGCCGGGTGCACGTGTCCCATCTACTTGACCGGGACCGCGACGGTCGTCGACTCTACGACCGACACGCGCCGCAAGCTGGCGGAGCGCAGCGACGGCAGCGGCGTGTCGGCGGGCGAGGTGCTGGCCGCTGCGGCGCGGCACTTGGGCGTCGAGGACGAGCTGTCCGTGGTGGGCAGCGTGCTGCGCGAGCAGGGCGTGGCGATGGCGCGCAGCGCGAGGCTGGGGGTGTCGACGCGGCACCTGGTGCAGGTGCGCACCACGGCGGGGAGGTCCGTGGCGGCGCAGACGACGGTGAGCGGCGGCGTGCGGACGGACGACGGCTGGCACCTGGCGGAGTGGAGCGCGCACGGCTCGCGCGGGGCGCTGGTGTGTCCGCCCGCCGTGGGTGACGCGCACGAGGAGGCGGGGGACTGCCACGTGCTGCAGAGGGGCGCGCTGAGACGCTCGCTGCTGGGGACAGCGAGCGGCGAAGGGACGCGACACCTGCCCCGAGATCTAGGAGGCTCTCAATGCAAACGCATTGATTCTTGGCACATTTGCGACGAAGATCCCGACTGCACCTGGTACGGGGGCCGGGATTCGGGCCGATGTGCCATACGATGCTTCGCGGCGACGCCACACTCACCACCGTCGGCGGCGACGACCTCCGCATCGGAGACGCCCGCGTCGGGCAGCGCGTGGCCGTCCTGTCCCCGGACGGCGGCGTGGCGTTCTCGCGGGTGATCGCCGTCTCGCACAACGAGCCGGCCGCCGTGCGGGCGATGGTGACCGTGCACACGGCCTCGGGCAAGGCGCTGAGCGCGACCCCGAGCCACTACATCTTCGTGCGACGCGAGGGCGGGCGCGAGCGCGTGCGCATCGACGCGGTGCGCGCCGGCGATCACGAGGTGGCGGCGGTGTCTGGCGGGAAGGCGGCGTGGGACGCCGTGACGGACGTGGTCGTGGAGGACAGGGTCGGGCTGCACGTGGTGCACACGGCGTCCGGGTGGCCGCTGGTGGTGAGCGGCGTTGCCGCGAGCGAGTACAGCGACAACGGGCTGGAGCCGCTGGGCAAACTGCTGCTGCCGGTGTTTGCGGTGCTGGCGCGCGTGTGGCCGAGCGGCACGCAGGCGCTGTGCGACGTCCTGATGGCGCTGGCGCACGCGGCGAGCGGTGAGACGCCCGGGTGGGAGGGCACGGTGGTGAACAAGGTGCTGTGGCGGGTGTTGCGGGCGTCGTCGCGCGCGCTCGGCGGGGCGACCGCCGCGGCGTGAGGCGACGGTAGGAATTATAAAGCATCTACTCTTTGTTTTTTGTCTGTTTGTTTCTTCTTTGACCATGGAAGTGTTGCAGACCGTGCGCGACGCACCGTCCGTCCACGTCGCCCGTCGCGGGGCGTGCGCGTCCGACGGACCGCCGCGTCGACGCCGGCCCTCGCGGATTGACGCTAGGGATGGCGTCTCGTGTGATCCACGTGGTCGGGCAATCGAAGCGACAGTGCTGCTAGGGTCTTAGGTCTTAGACAGTGCTGCTGCCTGGGTGCTGAGTGCTGATCTGGGCCTCGGCCGGGCCGCGTCCGCGACACACAGGCGGGGAGGGGGGGTTGCGCCGACGGACTGTCAGGGTCGCACCGCGCGGCTGGCACGGTCGAGACGTTGCCGGAAGGCGTGGCGGAAAGGCTGCACTCGTCACATGCGCGAGGCTCCGACCGTCCAGCCTGTCGGACGCCATGTGCCTGGCCAGCGCGGTCTGAGTTGCTGGCTCCCGCAGCCGAGGTCGGTGTGTGGACGCGGGTGCGTCGGAAATGCAGGTTCCGCAGGGCTGCCATCCCATTGGATGGCTCGAGCTCCTGGCGGAAGCACGAGACAGCGCCGAGGTCCACGTGGGGATGCGCTGCGAGGTCGAGAGGACCCGCAGAGGTGGGTGCCTGGAACGGACGCATGCGGCGCGCCGTCGGATCTTCGCCCCCTGACGCGTTCATGAATATCACGGTGATCGACGGGATGCTGAAGCTTGTGTCGTTGGGGTGTTCGTTGGCAGGAGAAGGGGCTCTTCCCCCTGCGATCTCACCGGACCCGGCCCCTGCGGATCTGCAGGCGGAAACGACCGCTTGCTGGCATGCGCGGCTTCCTATGATGACGAACCGTCGTCAGGAGCGGTCCTGCTGTCGCCTTTGTGCCCGCCGCTCGCGGTTGCCGGCCTGGCAGAGGGCCGCCCCCTCCAGAGCGTGCTAGGAGCCGCAGAGGCAGCCCTGGGGCTCGATCTCGTGATGGACATCGTAGATGTGGAGGCGAAGGACGGATTTCCGCCGAAGGCGCGCGTCAGGGTGAGAGTTCGCGGCGCCAGCCGCAATACGCACTGCCTGCCGCACCTGCTGCCTTTCCGTTCCGTCCCGCGCGGCCGCGTCTCCCCGCGCACAGCCTCCCGCGACTTTGTGCATGTGTCCGCAGGTTCTCGTCTGCGTGCACGACGCAGTTCTGGCCACGGCGGGCTGCGCGTGGAACGACCGGGCGCGGCGCAACCGCAGCAGCGTGGCGGCCCTCGCCCTCCTGCTGCGCGACCTTGAGCGCGACCCCCCGCCGTGGGTCGCGGACGTGACCTTCGCGGACGGCGCGCTCGACCTCCCACACCTCGCGGGCGGCCCGAATCCGATCCCGAGTTCCTCCCAGCGACGGGACACGTGGCCCGAGTCCCCCCCGCTGCTGACGCTCGTGGGCGTGTCGCGCGCCGTCCCTGCGGTCGACGCCCTGATGGGCCGCGTGGAGAGCGACCGCGACGACCCGTCGCGCTCGGAGCACGCGGCAAGCCCCGGACGCGGGGCGTTCTCGCTCGAGGCGTGCATCTCGTCCCTCCCGTCGCACATGATCGCGATGCAGGACGACGGCGGCGCGCTGACCGGGCTCGGCGGCGCGGCCCCCGCGCGCACACGACGCACCGGCCCCTCCCTGCTGGACATGCCCCCCGACGTGATCCGACGGATCTTCGAGCTGCTGGCCACCGCAGGCGACGCCCACCGGCTCGGCGCTACCTGCAAGGCGCTGCTGCACGGCGAGGCCGACGCGGTTCCGGGCCTGACGCGCACGGTGCTGTACCGGCACCAGCGCGCCGCGCTGCGGTGGATGCAGGCGCGCGAGCACCGCGCCGGAGAGCGGCTGCCCCACCCGACGGTCCGGCGCCTCGCCGTCTGGAGCGGCGGCGGCGGCGACGGCGACGCCTCGGCCACGGAACTCGAGCACAGCTACATGTACATCAACACATCTACCTGCGAAGTCGAGTCTGTGGTGGCGTCGAAGGACGAGGCCGCGGCGTGGGAGCGCGCGCACGCCGCGCGCGACTTCGGCGGCGGCCTGTTCTGCGACGACCCGGGCCTCGGGAAGACCGTGACGGCCGTGGCGCTCGTGCTGAAGACGCTGGGCGCCCTGCCCGGCTCGCTCCCGCGCGCGACCATGCGGGACACGGAGACGCTCTTCTGGCACCCCTCGGACCCCGACCGTCTGTGTGGGTACTACGAGGAGGAGGATCACGCGCACCTCGCCGCGCACCGGTCCCCTGCGCGGACCCTCCTGGGTCGCAGCCCGCCGGTCCGTTCCCCGCCGCGCGGGTCCCGGCGGCGCAGCGCGCGCTTGACGCTCGTTGCGGACCCTGCGGCGGGCCGCGACCCGGACCGCCGGGTGCGGTCCGCCCCGCTCCCGCCGCGGGTTCCGGCGCCGCCGTGCGACGACGCACGCGCGCAGAAGATGTCGGGGCGCTGCGCGGAGTGCGAGGGCTGCGGGACGTGGCGCGACCTGCCCGCGGGCCTCGCGGAGCGGGTCGCGGGGCCGGACGCGCCCGAGAACGCCCCGTTCTGGTGCATGCTGCTCGGCGACGGGGCGTGCTGCGAGTCGCGGTTCGGCGGGGGCGCGGCGCGGGACGGGGACCTCGGCCGCTACTGGGACGACGTGCCCGGCTTCTTCGCGCCCGACGGCGGTCCGGAGGAGCTGGAGGAGCGGTTCGAGGCCAACGTGACGCACTTTCGGCGCATGTGGGGGCAGTTTGCGGCGCGGGGGCTGCAGGAGGTGGCGCGGTGCCTCCTCGCGGCGATCGCCCTCGGGGTGCCGTGGATCGAGGACGATCGTTCGTCGCGGAGGGCGGCGCCGCGCGAGCTGAACGTCAGGCTCCTCCTGGACCGCGTGGCGCGCGAGCACGGCACCAGCGTGCGCCAGCAGTGCGAGGGCGCGGTCGCGGAGTTCCTGACCAGCGTGCTGCACGCCGAGCGCCTGCGCGCCAAGCCCGTCCGCCGCGCGACCGCCGGCGCGGCGGGCGACGCATCCGGGAGCGACGCGCCGGCGACGACGCAGCTGCAGGGGGGGGGGGCCGCTGCGTCGGGTCCGACGGCGGAAGACGGGGACGACGACGGCGAGGCGGCCGCCCCTGCTTCTCCTCGGACGCCGACGCGTCGGCTGCCGCGGCTCGGCGTGCCGCACGGCATCGCGGCGATCCTGGCCGTCGACGTCGGGGCGGCGCGCGAGGCCGTGGCGCGCGGCCCCGCGGTGCCCCCGCGGCGCGTGCACCTGTCGCGCGCGACGCTCGTGATGGTCCCGGACGACCTGCTCGCGCTGCAGTGGCGGGAGCAGATCGAGCGGCACGTCGAGCCGGGGCGGCTGCGCGTGCTCCTGTACGACCACGCGGTGGTGCTGCGGACGCCGGCGCACGAGGTGGCGTGGGACTACGACGTCGTCGTCGCGACGCTGCGTCGCGCGAGCACGGAGGACCCGCGGAGCTCGGTGCTCCAGCGGATCCACTGGCGGCGCGTGCTCGTGGACGAGGGCCACGTGTTCAACAAGTCCTGCGCGACGAACATGCACCAGTTCACGGCCGGGCTGCGCGCGGACCTGCGGTGGATCATGACGGGCACCCCCGCCCCGCACACCGCGCAGGACGTCCGCAGCCTGGCGCCCCTGTTCCGCTTCGCGGACCCCCCGGGCCCCGACGGCGCGGGCGGCCACGTGGCCGCGCTGGTCGAGGCGTCGGCGCGCCCGATGGCGGCGGGCTGCTGGGCGGCGCGCGAGCGCTTCGTGCGCGCGCTCGAGCGCTGCGTGATCCGCGGCAGCAAGCGCGAGATCGTGCAGCTCGCCGTGCGGCGGCGCGAGGTGGTCCTGGCGTTCGGGCGCGACCACGCGAGGTCGTTCAACCAGCTGGCCGAGGTCATCATGCGCAACATGGTGCTGACGGACTTCTTCGACCCGGACCACCGCGAGTCCCTGCTCAACCCGGGCAACGGCGCGCTGGCGCGGCAGATGTTCGAGAACCTCGCCAAGGCCTGCGTGATGGCCGGGGGGTTCGAGTTCGTGGCCCCGGAGCGCCACATCGGCGAGACGCTCGACCTCATCGCGCGGCGGCTGCACCGCCTCGGCCGGGCCACCCCGGGGGAGTGCCCCGAGGTCGGCGCCCTGGACGACGGGGCCGCCGAGGCGCGGCACACGGTGCCGAGCCCGTCCGGGGACGCGAGCGAGCGGCTGTGCACGTGGACGAGCGCGCAGCACCCGCTCCACGGCGTCGAGCTCGCGCTGCGGTGCGGGGGGCGGTGCGGCTGCTGCGGGGCCGCGGCGCGCTTCCCGCTCGTCACGCCCTGCGCGCACGTGCTGTGCGTGGAGTGCGCGGGCGGCCGCGACGCCGCGAAGCGGCAGCGGGGCGGGCGCGCCGCCGTGCCGCCCCGCGACGCCGCGAGGGTCCGGTGCGGCGCGTGCGGCGAGCCGTACGCCATGCAGCCCGTGTCGGACCCGGAGCGGAGGCGCGCGAACCCGCGGCCGAAGTGGGAGGTGCCCCTCGAGCTCATCGAGTGGCAGCCCGGGTACGCCCAGCGCGGCGCCAGGGGCATCGACGGCGGCGCGTGGCAGGCGCGGTGGGAGGCCACGCGCTCCTCCAAGGCCACCTACCTCCACCGGCGCCTCAGGGAGGTCGGGGCGCTGCGGCGCGGCGGGCCCAAGGCGGTGGTGTTCACGCAGCACTGGGGCCACCTGCAGGTCCTGGAGCGCCACCTGGCGGAGCGGTGCGGCGTGCACCTGCAGGTGCTGTCGAGCAAGAGGGAGAAGGCCGACCGGGAGCAGGCGGTGCGGCTGTTCCGGACGCGCCCGGTGTACAACGTGCTGCTGATGGACGCCGTGGGCGCCGTGGGGCTGGACCTGCACTTCGCGCGGCACGTCTTCCTGATGGAGCCGATCGTGGACGGCGCGCTGGAGTCCCAGGTGGTCGCGCGGGCGTACCGCATGGGCGAGGGGCGCGGGCACGGCGGCACGGTGCACGTCGAGGTGCTGGCGATGCGCGGGAGCTCGGAGGAGGTGCTGCTCGCGGCGCGGCGGCAGGTGGGCGTGTCGCGCGCGACGGAGGAGGCGGGGTTCGGGGAGGGCGCGAGGTGCGGGGCGGAGGAGGACGCGCGGCAGGCGCGGCGGCTGTTCGTCATGGAGCGGCTCGGGCTCGTGCCGGAGGACGCGTGCGACGACGACGACGGGGACGGGGGAGCGGAGCGGGAGGACGAGGCGCGCGTCGGGCCGGAGCGGGCGCCGTCGGGCGTGGAGGAGCCGCACGCCGTCGAGCTCGAGCGCCGCCCAAGGGTGATGTTTGACGTGTGAGCGTCGCAGTCGCGGGGGACGCGGACAAGGACACGGCGCTCGTCCGCGGCCCCGACGCAGGGCGGGGACCGGCGCCGCGATCGACGGCCCGCGATCACTGTCATCACAGGTCCCGCACTGTTCTGTCGGGGGGGAAGGGTGGGGCTGTTTGAAGCGAGCCAGAGAGGCTGTGCACACGTGTGAGCCTGGCTGGTGACATTTGCGTGAGCATTAGGCTCCGAGTGTGGGTGTGGTGCTGGAAACACGACGAAGTGCTTACAGCCGCTGCTGTCGAGATCGCGCGGAGAGCCCGCGCTCACGGCCGCACCACCGGTGGTGCCCAGTACCGGGTCGATCCCGTCGGGTCGATGACGACCCCCCTGCGTGCATTGCACGTCGTGGTCGACTACCTGACACGTCCCCAACCGCTGCGTCCGCCGCCACGTCCACGTCCGCCGCGTCCGCCGCGTCCGCCGCGTCCGCCGCGTCCGCCGCCACGTCCGCCACGTCCGCCCCGTCCGCCCCGTCCGCCGGCGTTTCGACGGATGTCGCAGCATCTTGCGCACCGGTTGGTCCACCTCCGCCAACCCCCGTGCTCGTCGTCGAAGCACTGCACGGCCGGGGTGCGGCAGTCCGCGCAGCACAAGTCGCCGAGCACCTCGGCGCGCAGTGCGGCCATGTCCGCGTCGCACCGCGGGTCTTCGCACCCCTGCGTCCAGCACCTGCTGGCGTAGTGGTAGCCCTCCGGCGCCCAAAGCTGGCAGGTGGCCTTCTTGATGCACCCGTTGTTGAAGCCGGGCCGCTCGTCGTGCGGGCCCAGCTGCGCCAGGATCTCCGCAGCCTTATTCTGCCTGCCATTTGCCAGCAGCCCCGCGACCTCGGCCTTGGCGTCCCGGTGTTTGTCGTACCATTCGCCGCAGGGCGTGCACCTCACCACCTTCATCTCGATCTCGCGGCCGTCGATGATGACCGTGCGTGGCGGGTAGCCGCCCTGCCAGTACCCGTTGGTGCCGACACGGCGCCCGTCCGGGTAGGCCTCGTCGTAGCAATGCAGCCGGCACGTCGGGTTGGCGCAGCAGACCTCCTGCCGCTTCAGCTGGAATTCCTGCGGCGGGGCCAGGTCCTCCCAGTGCAAGCGGCACTTGGTGTGCTTGACATGCGCGGGCAGGGTGCAGGCCGCGGACCGCCGGCACCCGCGCCATTGCGGCACCTCCTGGCAGGGAGACATGCCGTGCTTCGGTGCCGACCCGGCGATGACGACGCCGCGCATCTCCCAGACGAGCATCCGCTGGTAACAAAGACGGCACCGGTTGAACGCACCGCGCCACTTGTTGAGGCCCGTCACCTTCTCCCGCTTGTCGCGGCACTCGATGCACCGGGCCTGGCGCAGCACGACCGCGTGGACGTCGGCTGGCTCGCATGGCGTCGTCGACACCGGCAGGCACCTCCGCGACCCGTGCGCGACGGCGACGACGCAGCGCACGTTGTGTCCGCAGTTGCAGGGCCTGGCGGCCACGTACTTGCTCAGGCGGGCGAAGATCTCGTCCCAGCGGAACTTGACGACGCGGAACATGTCGCCCCACAGCACGTCCGGGTCCACGCGCGCGTCCATGCTGTCGCACGTGCCGGCCGTCTCCTTGAGGAGGGTGCGGCGCACGCTGCCCCCCTCGGGCCACAGCTTCCGACGGAGCTGGTCGTCGATGAACCCGGACTGGCCCTCCGCCGCGCTCAGGCGCGCCACGAAGCATCGGGCGTGCTCCGCGACGCTGTCCACCCCCTCTTGCATGCTGAGCGACCCCTTGAGCAGGTTGCCCGCCACGCACGTGAGTTGAATGTTCCCGCTGACGTGCGGCCGCCGAGGGTCGATCGCGTCCACCGACATCATGTGCCAGTACCCCGGGCCCATGTCGCCCACCGTGCCGAGGGCGCCCGACCGCATGAGCACCATCGGGACGTTGTGGCCCGTCACCGGGCACAGCCAGCCCTTGGGCGACATGAGCTGCTTGTACAGCTCGTCGACTTCTTCCCACGTAGGTTCCGAGAGCGTGGCGTTCGGGCCCATCGCCCTGCGTAGCCTGCTGTTGGGGTTCTTCAGCTTCCATTTGTCGCGCTGGTGGGCCGCCCTGAGGTGCCCGAGCAGGGCCACCCTGCGGCGAGCGGCGGCGAGCGGCGGCGAGCGGCGGTGAGCGGTGCACAATCGCGATCGCAAGCGGTGCACAAGCGGACAGCGGGCATGTCAGAGGCGACTTCCACACCGCACGCTCTGGGCGTCGGGATCGGCGCGGACCTGATGCAGTTCTCCATCATGTCCCGCTTCTCGTCCGTCTCGCAGTCCTCCAGCAGCTGAACGTACGGGTTCTTCATCGAGTCGGACATGCCGCCGGCCTTCATCAGCTCCATCAACACAAAAAATTCCGCGAGCTCCCCCAGGTCGTCGATCGTGGCCCTGGCGCGCCCGAGAAGTCCGTTCAAATGATAGTCGCAGAAAGTGAAGGTCCGACCGCCGTCCGTCCGCTTGTGCATCCGCATTGCCGCGAGATGCGCCTCAACGATGAGGCGGTCCACCGAGGCCCTCGGGCCGCGCTGCACCTCGCGGGGCAAGGGCACGTGCAGGCTCCGGTTCGTGTGCCCGTCCGTGCACACCACCTCGAACTCGGCATGCTCCTCGGCGTGCTCCTCCTCTGCGCCCTCCCTGCCCGCGCTGGCGGCGAGGCGGCGGCGGACGCGCGTCACGGAGTGTAGCTCGTCCGCGAGGGTCGACAGGTGCTCCGACGGGTGCTCGGGAAGCAGCGGATCGGGACGGCCCAGGTCGCTCACGGTGCTCCAGGCGAAGGTGGTGGCGGACTTGGACGCACAGGCAGCGACGCGCATCTCCTCGACCTCGTCGCCCGGTTGAACCGCTCGACCGTCAGCCCATACACGCGCCTCCGCGGTCGCCGGCCCGATCGCCGCGCTGAACATCTCCATGGCCGTCATCGCAGCGGGCGTCCTCTCTCCCTCAATTGCGGCCTGCAGCGCGTCGGTCGCGGCCTGGCAGTCGGCGAACAGGCCGTCGATGGCCTTCAGCGCCTCGTCCTGGTCCTTCTTAACCTCGTCGGGCAGTCCGCAGGCGTCGCCCTCGCCGTCCAGCAGTTGCGCGAGGCGTGCGCACTCCTCCTCGGTGAGGTCCCCCAGCGCGACGTCCACCTCGAACGGCGGCGTGGCGGCCGCCGCGCAGCCATGCCTGCACGCGGTGCCGCACGAGCTGGCGGGGTCCTGCTCGACGAGGCCCTCCTGCGAGCGATTGGGGCGGGCGCAAAGACGCCGATCGGGGTTTGAACAGAGCGGGTAGCGCGGCGGTGGAATCAGAAGCAGCGCGAAGAGGCGGTCGGGGCGCGACGCAACGCACCTGGGCTGTGCCTGCGACCACCGTCCTGCGCTTGCGCGGCGGGGATTCCGGCCGCGGGTCGCCCCAGTTGATGCCCGGGCCCCGGTCGGTGTTGCCGCGGCCCCGTTTGTGCGCCCCGCGGGCCTTGCCAGCAGGCAGCGGCAGCCGGGGGGGTGGATCTTCGGACGGCTCCTCCGCGGCCCGCCTCGAGGACGTGCCGTCGAACGGAGACACGCCAGCATCGTCTGAGGATGCCTGTGAGTCTGTCATCCCTTGCAACTCTCGGAAGCCGCGACGCGACGCCGCCGTGATCTCCGCGCTGCGGCGCGGCCGCGTGCCCCTGCTCGGCCTGCTGCCGGAGGAGGAGGAGGAGCTCGAGGAGGCCTCGATTGACCGCTTCATCGTCGAGGCTCACGGGCGGCGGCTGACTTTCAGAACCTGCGTCGACGGGGAGCGGGGGCCGTTGGTCGGTCGCCGGTCGGTCGTCGGCACGCGCGCGATATCTGTCGACCGATCGCGCGCCCGGGCGCGACGGCGGCGGCGCCGCGGAGGGCGCGTCTCGCGTTGCGGGTCACCTCGGCAAGATCGCGGGGCGCGGCGGCGCCGTCTTCCGCGCACTGGGGAAACGGCCGCAGGCGGGACAGACGTCGCAATGCAAGGAGCGGGAACACGCGGGCTCAGGGCCGCGGGCGGGCGCCTCGGGAAGCGCGAGCGTGGAGTCCATGGGGCAGAGCACGACGGCGGCGCGGGGGCGCAGTGCGCGCTGGTGGTCCCGCACGCGCGCGCATGGACGCCGCACAATTATCTTCGGCGGTTGGCGGGCCGGGTGGCGCGATGCTGCTGCCTCGCGGGCTGCTGCGCGGGTCGCTCACCTGGGGCTGTGGTGGGTCCTCGTTCAACGGACGGAGAGTACGAAGATTGGCCCGATCGGTCCCAGGAAAGACGAAACGCAGTTTACCCGGCCGCTTGCGCGCCGTGCCGCAACGTCGCGCGCGATCCTCGAGCGTCGGGGGGGGGTCTCGCTGGCGTTTGAGGCCGACACCGGGCGATGTGACCCGGCAGGCCGCGGGGACTGTGCGGCCGCGGCGGGCCTGTGGCGATGGACCGGAGTCGACCGCTCGATCCGGTCGGCGGGCCGTCCGCCGCGACGCAAGCCGAGGAGGCGGTTCGATCCCCATGTTCGTGTTGTCATTGTTGTTGTTGAATCGCGGGGTGCTCGTTTCGGCGCGGGGGACGCCTCGCGCCCACCCGACGTGCGCCAGCGAAGAGCGTTCGGCGTCCCCGCGGTGGTCCGCGGGCCTCGGGCTGCCGCCCGAAGCGCGCACGTCGAGGGACGATCGTCCTCGCAGGGCGGCGGCCTCGTTGCTGACGCGCGCACCGACGCGGCGCGCGCACCGACGCGGCGCATCGCCGGGACATCGTGCAGCATGCCCCCGCGCAGCGCTCCCGTCGCCCCCCTGCGCGCAACGCTCAAGTCCCCCCCGCCGTGTCGTGGGAGGGCAATGCGACCGTGCCGCGGTGGCAGAGGGGAGCTTCAGCTCCGCGGCCGCCACAGCTCCGCCCTCGACGGCGACGGCGCCCACCACCACGTCAGCGAAGGGGCGCAGCCGTTGCCGCACGTGCGTTTGCATCTGCTGCACCTGCCCCGCGTCGCCTGCGGAGAGCAGCGGCACGAGGCATGAGGAGCGCAGCGTGTCGCTCGAGAAAGCGGCGACGAGCGCGTGCGCGCCGCCCGGAGCGCTGGGAACGGGCGGGGATGGCGCGAGGCGTGGCGTCGCGGCAACGCAACTCACCACCGTGTGCCAGCAGCGCGGCCTCCGCCTGCCCGGCAGCGCCCGCACGATCAGCAGGGCACGGTCGGCGAGGCGGCGCGCGCGGCAGGCATCGCCCGGACGACCCCGCCGCGCGCAGCACGTGGGCTCACCTGCGCGTGGGCCTCCCCGACGCACATCGGCCCAGAGATGACCTCTGGAGACGCGCGCGGTCGCGGATCTCGCTCTCGCTCACATCCTGCGCAGCAAGAGGCTCTGTTCGCGATCGTGCGGGGGCGGGGACGCGCCGGGGGGGCCGAAAGTCGTAACAGGGGCTGTAAGTCGCCGCTGCGGGGCGTTCGTGGGCGCGCGGCGCGTTTCCGGCCCTCGTGCAAGTTACGAACAGTCCAGAGATGACGTTTCGGCACGAAACCGCGCGGTCGGGGCTCTTGTCCAGCCGCGGTGGACGCAAACGAACACGCGGCCAATGCGGTCACCTGCTGCAGCTCGCCAGGAGGCAGCGTGCGGCACGCGACCGGCCGCGGCGACTCGGAGCATGGGACCACACCGCTGCTCGAAGCTGCGCGCACGCACCACCACCACCCGGGGTCGAGGTGTGTGCAAGAATCTTGAGGTGTGTGAGGGCAACACGGCGGCGCGTGGGCGCGGCGGGGTGCGACGGCAGAGCGCTGGCGTGGACAACGAACCTGGCAGCAGTTCATGCCCGCGCGGGGCCGGGGTGACGCGCGGCGTGCAGGCCCTGCGCGCGCCCAAGGCGCCTGTCGGGGACTGGCCAGCCCCCGTCGCGAGGGCGCGACGCCCGCCAAGCGGACCGCTCCCACGGCCATGAGTGCAACAGCAGTGCCGGGGCGGTATCTCCGCGCCGCCCTTGGCGCCGCCCGCTGACTGTTCGGGGGCGTCCGTACGGTACTTGGGGTCTGCCTGCCCGCGGCGACACATCCTGTCCCCGAAGGCTCTGCGGAGCTGGATGCGTGCGATCGGGGCCAGCTACCGCGCGCGCCGCTCTCGCTGCAATCACCTCCCACCGTGCGGCGCCGCGGGAAATGCCCAGCTGGTGCATCTGCGGCGCCGTCCAGACGCCTCCGCAGCTTCCGTGCGCGCATTCCCGCGGATGTTCACACAACTGGGCGCCGGCTGGCGCAGCCGCCGGACCACATAACCCACAGCAGGCCCGCCACAGCCTGTAACCCCCTACATCTCCCCCCGGCTTGATGCAGGCCGCCAGTTGACTGACAGCACCCACATGGACCCGCGCCGTAGACATCTGACTTGTGAGGCCGCATCAAGGGCAAAGCGGTCCCGTCCGACGGCAGGCTGCTCCGAAATTCCGCTTGCTTGGTTGACGCAGTTGCATGATCGGACCCGCGCCCTCCGCGCGACGACCGGGCCCCCGCCGACGACGTTCTGACTACCGACGCACGGCTCGCTTTCTGCTCTCACACGCCCTGTCTGCTGCCGCGGTGTCGGCCTGGCCCGTCAATCATGCACGGGGCAACATGCGCACGCGCCACACAGGACGCAGCGGGTGCGCGCGGGGGCCGGGGCGCGTGTGAGGTGCGCGGTGAGCACGGACGTCGCGCGGCGCGGGCAGGGGGCGCGGCGAAGGGCGGGGCGCGCGCCGCAGGGGCGCCCGCGGGGCCCACGGTGGCCAAAATGACCTCCCAGGACTTCCCTCGACGCGCAATCGTCCCCCGGACCCGCTGGGATGGTCAAAAATGCATTCCAAGTCGTGTATCGGAGTCGAACCAATGCGCTTTCGATGCTCCGCAGCAGCACGGACGGCGGCGGCGCGCACGTGCAGGTGGTCCCCCACACGTCCGTCCGCGGCACGATCCGTCGAATGTCTGCAGTCGAACGCTCTACCACTGAGCTAACACGACTTTCGAACCGTGGTGAGGGGGAATTTTTTGCATTCTAGATGAAAATTTGTTGTTTGATACGCAAAGCAAAGTCATCCGCGCACCACACAGCCCGTCCCTCAGAATAAAGGTATCCGACGTACACGAGCGCTCAATCGTTCAAATACATCCCAAAGACGCCATCACGAGAGCGACCGGCGCTGTATGCACGTGGCCGCGACAGGAAACGACGGCACTGATGTGACCCCTGCGCGCGGTGCACAGCGCGACCCCCCCGGGGCACTCCGACGCCCCGGGGTGAGCGCGGCCTCCTGCGCCTGCGGGAGTGAGTGGGCCTGCGCGCGGGCGAGCGGTGCACTTGGCCAAAGTGCACGGGGGTCGAGGAACGCCGCGCGTGACACCACTCTGGTGCGGCAGGGACTCACTGGCGTCTACGGCGGCGTTCGGACGAACTAGAACTTGACTCGTAGTCGTCAGGATACGTCTCGGTGTGAACATTTGAGGGCGCGCGCCGCAGGCGGACGAAACGCCGTCACGGGCCCGTAGCGGCTGCCCGAACCCTGCGCTGGCGCGCGGCGAGCGCACCGCCGTCGCCGCGGCCCGTCGCCGCGAGACGCGCGCCCCGTGAGCCGTCAGCGATGGGAAAGGCTTCGGGAGCCAAGCGGCGCGCCAAGGGCGGCGGCGCGCCCGGCCCAGCCGCCAAGCGCTCCGCCGCGCCCAGCGACAAGGCGGAGCGCCGGGCGCGGCTGCTCGACAAGGCGGCCGCCAGCAAGAAGGCCGCGCTCGCGCAGGTGAGCGCAGGTGTCGCGTCGCGCCGCCTCGCGCCCCGCGCTCGGCTCGTCGCCCCACACACCGCGTGTGTCTTTCGTGCCCCGTCGTTTCGCGCAGGTGCGCGGCGTGGCGAAGAAGAAGGCCAGGCGTTCGGGGAAGACGGGCACGACGCTGCAGGACTTCGAGGCCATGCTCGACGCCCTCGACGGCGCCGGGGCGGCGGCGACGAGCGCCGGCGGCACCGACGGACCCACGGGTGGTGCTGGTGCCGGCGCGGCGAAGGCGAAGGCGGAGGCGGCGGCGCGGCTGGGCACGAGCGTCGGGACGGCCCGGCGGCGCAAGCTGGTGACGCGGACGGAGGCTGCGCGGGCGATGCAGGTCGTGGACCACCCCGCGTTCCAGAGAGACCCCCTGGGGACGATAGCGGCGCACATCGAGGCGACGGTGCCCAGGGCGCCGGCGCGGGAGGCGCCGCGCGGCGCGGACGAGCAGGCCAAGGCCAAGCGGCGGAAACGCAAGAAGCGGGCCAAGGCGACCGCGACGCTGCAGCTCGAGGCGCTCGCCCTGTGACGCCCGCGACGTCGACGATGACGAGCGAACGACGCCCCGCACCGCCCGCGTCGTAGCCCCGCGGCCCTGCGTCAGCACGACATTGCTGCGTCGTACCGCCGGGCGACGAGGGAGTCCGCGACGACGCGTCACGAGGGAGGCGCGAAGCTGCGCACATGCACTTCCTGCGAGGAGGACCTTGCACCGCAGACAGGATGCAGCGTCTGCGTGGAGCGCTCGGGGCGGCCCGACCGTGGACGGGCCTGGGGTCCACGGGCAGCTCGGGTGCGGCCCGTTCCCCGCCTCCACAGCCGCCGCGCGCGTCCCGCTCGCTTCTCCTCGTTCGTCTCGTGTCATCCACGCTGTTGAGGTCGCGGCAGGTGCCGCGCCCGCGCTGTGGCGCGCTACCCTCGCACATGGAGGCAGGGGCCCCTTCCGCCTGCGCGGTGCGGCGCGCCGTGACCGGTTCGCATCTACGACTCCCTTTCCTCGCAGCCGCGGAGATCGTCTCGCGCGAGACGACGGCCGGCGCGCCGCCGATCGCCGGCGCTCTGGGCCAGGTGCGGTGGGCCACCAAGACCGCGGGCGGCAGCACCAAGAACGGCCGCGACTCCCACCCGAAGTACCTCGGAATGAAGGTCTCCGACGGCCAGCTGGTCACCCGCCCGGGCGTCCAGATCTTCCGGTGCGCCGGCGCTCCTCCTCCCTGCACCGGCTCCTCGTGCTCGTACGCGCGCCCCGCCCGACCCTCACACGGTCGCGTCCCTCGTCGTTCGCAGGCAACGCGGTCTGCGGCACCACCCGGGCTTCGGCGTGCGGCGCGCCCGCGACGACACCATCGTCTCGGCCATCCCCGGGCGCGTGCGCTACGCGTTCGACCACAAGAAGAAGAAGCGGACGATCTCGATCGAGCCGCTCGACGTGGTCGTTCCGCAGCTGACCAAGGAGGCGCCGGACGCGCGCCGGTTCCGCATCGACTACCGGGCCGTCGACGACTACCTGCAGGGCGTCCGGGGCGACAGTCGGCGCATCCCCAGCGGAGCGCTGCCGTACTAGGCCGGCGCCGCCCCTGCCTGTGAGGTGTCACATTCTTCGCGTCGTCAGCCACAAGGCTCTGGGACCCGAAAAGATTCGTTCGACTGGGTCCCGCATCCGTGGTACGTCGCTGAAACCTAACGTCATTAGTCCTAATTGTTAGTCGCTAAGGTCGTTCCGGCAGGCCTAGTGCTGCTCCTGCTGTTCCGGCTCGATGGGTGCGAGTCTGCTCATGCTAACCCCCCACCGTTATGGTAGCGACAGCTTCGGCAGCTGTGACAGAGTCAGCTTAGCAGATCCTCGATGCCACGAGCGAAGATCGCCATGCCTCGCTGATTCGGCAGGTTCAGAAGATGACGCACGGCAGCGTTGGCAGCGGCTTCCGAGTCCTGTAAGTAAGTAAGTCAGTACTGCAGCACTGTGGCGCCGCCCCAGCCTCCCCCGCGCCGCCCCCGGCCCCGTGATCGTCCACCTCGCCCGCGTGCTCGGGTACTCGGTGGGTGCGGCCGCTGTCCCGGCTCGTCCGAGTCCGTCAGGGAGGTCGTTGAAGAAGCAGTGGTTGTGCGACCCCTCGTTCGCTGACTCGCTGTCGTCGCCAGTGGCGGCCGAGGTGTCTTCGCAGTAGTTCGGCCTCGGTGTTACATTCTTCGCGTCGTCAGCCACAAGGCTTTGAGACCATCGTTCGACGAGGTGGCGAGCGTTGTTGTGACAGAGTCAGCCAGAGGGAGCACATCCCCGAGCCGCTCGGAGCGAAGTTCGCCGTGCCTCGCTGATTCACGGCCGCCCCGTGCTGCGCGTCCCCTGCGGCAGCTCTCACGCGACCTCCGCGACGTCGTCGAGGGACACCCGCAGCACCTCGGCGTCGTCGCCGACCTGCACGGCGGCCGCGCCGTGCCCGTCGGACATCGCGCGCGCCAGCATCGACCCCACCTGCCCGCGAAACGCCCCGCGCAGCACCATCACGCGGCCCCCCGCGGCCTTGGGCACCACGGTCTCGAGGCTCGCCTGCCGCACGTCCGACACCACCGTCCCGTTGTGCTCCATCCGCACGTCGCACACCCTCGGCCGCGTCACGTCGACGATGACGCCCTTCTGCAGGTAGAGCTTCCCGCCGCCCACGTGCCGGTCCACCACGCGCACGCGGATCCCCGGCATCACCCACCCCGCGTCCCGCGCGCCACGGTCCTCCTCCGCCCGCGCCCGCTTCGCCGACCGCTCGCCCGCGCGCTCCCGCCCCGCGCGCTCCCGCTCCCGCCTCCGCCGCGCCTCGCCCTCGCCCAGCTCCCCCAGCTCGCTGCACCGCACCACCACCTCCGCCCCCGACGCCGTCAGACGCACGCGCGCCCTGTCGGACCGCCCCGCCTCCTTGACCAGCTCCCGCACCTCGCACCGCAGCCCCGCGTGCCGCCCCTCCACCACCTCCATCGCCTTCCCGACAGCGGGGCCCTTAACCGGCCGCCTCGCGAGCTTCTCGTCCAGCCCCACGACGTTCTTCACCGCGCCGTGCTCGTTCAGGGCCACCAGCTGCTCCTGCGGACCCCGCTTCTCGCCTGCACAGCGCACCGCGCGAGCCCACCGTTCGCTGCCGGCGACGCGCGACGGTGCACGACGACGAGCGCGCGACGCACAAAATCAACAACGTCCCCACCTGGCTTGATGAAGGCCTTCTCGCGCTTGGTCTCCGCGGGCTGCGCGCCGAGGCCGAGCCGCGGCGGCCGCGCGACGTACTTGACCGCCTGCACCTTGCCCGCCTGGTTCCTCCCGACGTTCATCCCCTCCTTCCACCCCATGCCCCGCAGCATCGCCATCGCAAAGTGCTCGACGGGCACCGCCTCGTACGCGCCCAGGTCCGGCCCGTCCGGCAGCCGCTCCATGTCCTCCCTGTACGCCGCGTCCTCGAGCCTCCTCAGGTCCGCCTGCCCGCGCAGCCGCGTCGACAGCGGCTGCGCCGCGCCCTCTCCGCCGCCGTCCGCGTCGTCCGCCGCGCCCGCGGCGGGCTCGCGCCGCCGCGTCTCCAGGCCGTAGGCGACCGCCGCGCGCTGCTCCTCCGCCGCCGTCTCGAAGCGCTCCCCCGTCGTCGCGCCCGCGTTGCTGGCCTCGGGGACGAAGCTCGGGACCTTGGAGCCGGCCTGCCTGGCGGCCGCGGCGCCGGGGGGCGCGACCTGCCGCCCGACGCCCACCTGGAAGGTGTTTTCGATCTTCGGGATGACCAGCTCGCCCTGCGGCGCAACGGGTGCGGGCGCGAACCACGCGTGGCAACGTGGCAGCGTGGCAGCGGAGTCGGCCTCGTCGTTTCGTTCGTGTCTCGAACGAAACGCGAGCAGAGCGTCGGACTTCCGCCAGGGAGCGGCGCGGCGCTGCGCGTGCGAGCCTGTGCGCTACCTTGGGCCTCGCGGGCGCGCCGTCCTCGCTGATGACGGTGCCGCCATCGAGCCCGCGAATGACCTGCCGATCCGCGTCGTTCTGCGCCGCCTTGCCGCTCCCTCCGGTGGCGCCCCGGCGCAAGCCCGCCTTGACGTTGAGCTTGAAGCCCAAGCCCGGCTTCTTCGTGGCGTCGTCCTGGCCCGACATGGCCCACGAAGGACGAGCACGCGTACGCTCGGCCGCGGCGACGCAGGTCACTGCCACATCATGCGCCTCCAAGAGTGCGCAGGCCGAGAACGCGGGACCTTCCTCGCGCACGCCCGCCCGGGGCTCAACACGCGATGATACGCGCAGGAAACGCGGTGCCGCGACAGGTATCGCTCGCCGCGCCGTCCACGGGCGGCAACGTTCGCGACCCAGCGCTCGCGTGAGTCGGGCCTGGGGACCAAACAGAGTAGAAGCACGCCAGCTTGCAGCGCGACGTCGCGGCCGCTTCGCGCCGCGGAGCCCGCGTTTCGAGCAAGTCGAGCACGAGGCCGTCGTTCGCAAGCCAGCCAAGCCCCAGTCTTCCCCGTTTATTGGAGTTTCGTCGCGTTTCTGCTCGGGAGGGTGGCAGCCGCCAACCGGCAGTGCGGCCCGGCCTGCGCCGCGCGCGGCCACCGAGGTCGGCGCAATGGCGTACCTGAGGGACAGCGACGATGAGGAGTACGTGTCCATGGGGTCGTCCGAGGTGCGTCGCGCGCCCCGCGGGCTGCGCAGGCGGCAACGAGCTCCGGCGGTCACCGCAGCCCGCGCCCGGCCGCAGCCACCCGCCTCCTGCACTCCATCCCGCGCCGCCGCGCCCGCGGCCCGCATCTCGAGCCCCTGCGCCGACCCAAACCGCCAAACGGCCACGCACGGCGCTGCCGCAGGACGAGAGCGAGTCGGAGGAGGGGGAGGGGCTCGCCGGGGACGGGAAGAAGGGCCGCATGCCGATCTACAACGTCGAAGCGATCCACGAGGCCCTCGAGGACATGTCGTGGACAGGTGCGGAGGCGCGCCACGCGCGGACGCGCGCCGGCCGGCCCGCAGCACCCCGCCGGGCGCGGCAGCTGCCCCCGCGCGCCCGCGCTCTGGGCAGCCAAGCCAGGCCCCGCGCGGCGTCGTCCGTGCCCGGCGGGGCGTGCTCTCTCTCCGTGCGACCGTGCACCGCGCGCGCCCGGTCCCACGCCCACGTCGCCGCGCTCCGTGTGCCCGCGCCGGCCCGCAGAGGACCAGCCGTGGATCGAGTCGATGGCAGTGACGTCCGAGGACCCGACGGAGATCCGCGACGTCGAGGACGACATCGAGCGCGAGCTCGCGTTCTACACCCAGGCGCTGTCGGCAGCGCTGCGCGGCATCCAGGGGCTCACGGCGGCGGCGGCGCCGTGGCGGCGGCCGCTGGACTACTACGCGGAGATGGTAAAGTCGGACGAGCACATGGCGAAGGTCAAGCAGCAGATGCTGCTGGAGCAGAAGGCGGTGCAGGAGATGGAGGAGCGCCGCAAGGCGCGGGAGGCGAAGAAGTTCGCGCGGGAGCTGCAGAGCGAGAAGATCAAGGAGCGCGCGCAGCAGCGGAAGCACGAGGTCGCGGCGGTCAGCAAGTGGCGCAAGCAGCGCAAGCAGAGCGGGTTTGCGCCGGGGGAGGACTTCGACCCGGACGCGGTCATGGCCAAGCCCGGGAAGGGCGCGCCGGCGCCCAAGGTGAGGCAGCGCGGCGCGCGTGCGGCGCGCCGGTCGCGAAGCACCAACGACTATGCTTTATCATCTTCGATTGTCTGGTCTTACGTGTGTTGTGTGTCGTGTCTGGGTGTGCAGCGTGCGGGGCAGCGGTTCGATCCGTCGGCGAGCAAGGTGTCGGCGAAGCGGCAGTCGAGGAACGCGAAGTACGGGTTCGGGGGCAAGAAGCGCGTGCAGAAGCAGAACGACGCCAAGAGCGCCGCGGACATGTCCTCGTTCAAGCCGTCGGTCAGGGGGGGAGTGAAGAAGGGCGGCAAGGGCAAGGGCGGGAAGGGCGCCCAGGGAGGCAACAGGCCAGGGAAGGCGGCGCGCGCCAAGGCACGCGCACGGCGATAGCCATAGCCGTAGGTAGCGGACGCCGAGGGTGATGACACGGCGCGGCGGCCTTGCGTGGAACGCGTCACATCAAAATCGTCGTGTCTCGCAGCGGAATCAATCAATCTCACGGGGGCGCGAGCGCCGTTTGGCGTCCACGTCGCGCCGGGGCCGCGCGCCTACATGCGGCCGCCGACCCAGCCCTTGACGGCCGAGCTCGCCGTCACGCACTTCAGCACGCCCCTGCTGTCGTACTCCCGCCGCACCTGCGCGACCTCGCCCGTGTCCGACAGCCACATCATGCACACCTGCAGCCCGCGCGGCGCACCCTCCTCCGGCGCCCGCGGCTCCGAGCCGTCCTCGGTCCACATCGGCACGTCCGGCACCATCCGCAGCACGACGAGGATCCTGCTCGGGAGCCACAGCATCGCCCCGTCGACCTCGTCGTCGTCCTCCGAGATGTCAAACCCCCCCGCGGCGCCGACGCCCCACGTCTGCCGCGTCTCGCACGTCGAGAACGCCCAGATCTTCTCGTTGTCCGTCGCGTACGGGTTGATCGACGCCAGCGGGTCGTCCACGGGCACGCCCTGCTGCTCAAACACCGCCCACTCCCCCTCGATGTCCTTCGTCGTCATCCGCGGCGCCGACAGCACCTTGGGCACCTCCAGCACGTCTGCAGCGGAAGCACAGCGCGCGGCGGCCGTCACGCACCGCACCGATCGCCAAGCGACGCAACGACGACACCAGGGCGGTGCGCGACACCTCGCCCGACAGCTCAGCGCCGCGGGCTCCCCGCGCCGCCAGACCGCTCCGGCCCGCTCACCTGACTTGTGCTTCGCGGACGGCCCGCCCGCCCACACCTCCCGGTGCGCCGTGAGCCGCAGCGGCATCACGCTCAGCTCCTCGCCGCCGCTCTCGCGGCCCGCCTCCAGCGTCAGCACGACGCGCACGCGGTCCTTCGCCCCGCGGCACACGCACTGCTCCACCACCACCACGCACGTCGGCTCCGGCTCCACGTCCCACTCCTGCAGCCGCGCCATCGCGTCCCGGTCCGACGTCGCCTCCTCGCCGCCCGCGCCCTCGCCGCCCGCGCCCTCGCCGGGCTCCGCGCCGCCCGCCTCGCCCCCGCGCGCCTCCTCGAGCCCCGCGAGCAGGTCGTACGGGCCGTTGCTGTACGACCCATCCTCGAAGACCAGCAGCCCGTCCGCGGCGGCGTTGATGGTCGCCACGTCGTCGAGGTGGGCCGGGGCGTCCGCGGACCCCGGCTCGGGCAGGGAGTCGGGGTTCCGCGTGAAGTGCGTTGCGGCGGCGTCCGCCGAGTCCCGCAGCGCCGCGGCGTCGCCGCCCCGGAAGACGGCGCGCGCCAGGCGGTCCGTGGCGCCGTCGCCCGACACCTGGCGGACCTCGAGGACCCGCGTCTGCGCGCGGCGGGGCAGGGAGGTAGCGGGGGGCGCGTCGGTGGGGGGATCTCGTGGCGCGCGCGGCGGTGCGGGCGGTTGGAGGGCGGAGGGCGGCGCTGGGCGTGCGGCGGGGATGCGTGGCGATGGCGGCTTCGCTGAGGCGGAGGAGGGGGGCACCCGGGCCTCCGTACCTCTATCTCGAACTGCTTCTCGCGGTCTGGTCCGTAGCCGAGCAGTTCCGGCTGCCCGGACATGGGGCTGAAGGCGGCGTAGCTGCCCTGCCAGTGGCCCACGGCCGAGCCGCAAAAGGTCGTCCACCACGGCTTGTTGATGTTCTCACTGCGGACGACGACGGAGAAGGCCGGAGCGGGCGTCATGTGCCGGAAGGCGCCACGGAAGGAACGAGAAACGGCTTTCCTCGAACGCTGGTGCGCGGCGACAGCCATGGGACGGCGCAGCGTCAACGCGACGCGGAGAGCTCGCGCTCATGGACGCCCAATGGACCGAGGACTGCACCGCGGTCGGCACGCCCGCGTCGAACGAGAGAGGCGCCCCGCGCCAGCCGTCCGGGTGCCCCACGCCTGCGCTGCGTCACCTACCAGGAGCATCGCCAGCGCCGCTACAGACGCACCGCGCGCCCAATACGCACGTCCCATGCGTTCCCTACCTCCGTCCCAGCGCCTGCTGCCCCGTGCGCGGCAAAGCGACGCCATCTGCGCGCCGTCGCCCTACGGAGGCGCGCCAGTTGCGCGTCGGAGTAGGTCTGCGGCCGCCACGCACCTGTCGTTGAGCGTGTCCGTCACGGACACCGAGAACGGCGGCGTCATGAACACGTCCTTGGAGTTGTTCTTCGCCCTGCACACCCCCCCGCAGCCCCGCTTCGCCGCCCGCCCGCCCGCCCTCCGCCCACCATCCGCCACGCTGGCGCGCCCGCGCGACGCACTCGCTCGCATTGCCGCGACACCGCCCCCGCTGCGCAGCACCACCCGTGCGACAGCCCGTCGGATTGCGACGCGCCCGCCGCGGGCCGCCGCAACGACGCCACCGCCACTGTCCGTCATGCGCATCATCACGCCCCCGGGGGGCGTGAAGCGACTCCACGACGTCCGGAGGCGCTCCTTCGGGCCCCGAACCTGCGCCACGGCGTGTACTTCGCTCGCCGCCCGTCGCCGGCCTCGGCACCAAGTCCTAATTCGAAAAGCCCGACGTGAAATAAGGAAAGCCAACTGCGGGCAACAACTCGGTGGAGTCGAGTGCAGCGGGGCTGCCGACAGCGGCGATGTTGGGGTTCCCGGACGGCCGCGGCCCCCCGCAGCCCGCGTTCGACCTCGCGGCGGCGATGAGCGTCGGGGGCAGGATCGCGCAGGCGGTGGCGCCGCTGCTGGCACACACCGCCGTGTCGGGGGCCGCGTTCGGGGCGTCGCTGGCGGCGACGCAGGTGGCGTGCATGTCGCTGCGGATCTCCGCGGCGACGGTGCTGGCGCCGCAGACGATCGGCGTGGCCTGCGTCGTGGGCGCGTCAATCGTGGCTGGGCAGGTGCGCCGATGCACAGGGGCCCTGCGCGGCCCGATACGAGCTTCTCCTGCAGTCGATGCGCACTGTTTGCAAACATCGCCGTATCTACGACGCGGGGATCATTGAAAGCGAGAGGCGCGGGCTTCGTGCAGGCGTCAAGACGGCTAGACCTGATGGGGAGGCTTGGGGTGCACCACTCGATGGTGGGCAGCGGCTACACGACGCGCAAGGAGGACCTGATCGCGGACGCGCTGGTCGGACTGTCCTTCTTCAGGGTCGCTGGCGGGAATTTCCGCAGGTTCCGCCCCGCCCCCGCCCGCACGGGCCCTCCCGCCACCTCCTCCTTACGCCCGCCGAGCTCCCCAGCGAGCACAGCCGCGGTTCCAGCGCCGCGCTTCGCCCCTGTCACACGAACTACCGCGAGAGAGGGCCGGTATCGAAGCCCGAACTTCCTCTGTCACGAACGACGCCTTGACAGCCCCGCGTCGCCTCTCCCATCTCCGCACTCGCAGCGCTCTTCCGTCCGACGTCCGGTTCCCCGGCGCGCTCTCCGGCGAGTCCGTCCCGGCGTCGGGCAAGGCCTACGCCAACGAGTGGCAGCGGCGCGAGCTCCTGCGGCTGTTCCGGCGGTGGGGGTGCCACCACTGCGGGAGCCGTCGCGGCCGCCCGATCGGCGACCACATGCCCCCGAACATGTCCGCGCACGGCAACACCAAGGGCAGGCTCGGCCCGCTCAACTGGCAGGAGCCCGACGAGGTCGTCAACCGCGGGCTCCGCAGCACGATTGGGCGCCTGCCCGTGGTGGGTCGGAAGCTGCGCCTCGCGCCGCCGAAGCAGCGGTACTACCCGCAGTGCGAGTCGTGCAGCCAGAAGCAGTCGGCGGCGATGCGGAACTGGAAGAAGGTCCTGGTGTTCCACTTTGGCGGTCCGCGGTCGCAGTACTTCGCGGGGGCGTTTGTGGGCCTGCGTCACGCGCTGGCGCACGGGGAGGGGACGCCCGCGGCGGGGCGGCCGTGGCGGTGGAGCAAGGTGGTGGACGCGCTGATGAAGCCCGTGCGGGAGTTCCAGAGGGAGTTCTCGGACGTGGTGACCATCAAGAAACGCTGACTGCCAGCGCGGCTGTAATGAACTTTCAGTCTGACGAAAGGTGTCAAGTTGGAGGTCACAATAACCAAGGAAAGGGGTGGCCGAGAGCAACGACGTGGTGGAGTACCCGCACGCAGGATGAGCAAGCAGCGGCAACAGATGTCGGGGTCCCAGCACCTGCGCACGCAGCTTGAGTGAAGTCTTGGATCAGTGACGAGCCCCGCGGGCGTGTGACGCACGACTCAGGTGCCGCGCCGCCGCGGCCGCCGGGCTGTCCGCTGCACTCGCTGCCGGTCTCGCCGATGCGCACAGGGCCGCGTGGCGAATCCGATCGTCAGATTCATCTGATGAGATTTCATTCGACGACCGCATGACAGAGGCGCGCACGCGAACAACCTCTGTCTGCCGCTTGCCCCATCACACGCTGCGTCCCGTGGACGGCCCTCGCTGCACATCCCAGGCCCCGAAGTCCGTCATTGTTCACCCTTTCCTGCCCCTCTACCTGCATGCTCCTCCTCCCGATGTCCAAGGCCTCTCGTTGCACCACGCCATCGTTTTCCTAGCCGCCCGTCGCCTCCCCCCATCGCTCACTTGCATATGTACACGTTGTCCAGGTCGCTGATGTCCTCATCGTCGGAGTCGTACGAAAAACACGCCCCCCTTGACACACTCCCCTCCGTCTCCGTCTCCGCCGCCGCCGCCCCCGCCCCCGCCGCCCACTCGCCGCCCATCACCGCCGCCGCCGCCCCCGCCCCGCCCCGCCGCCCCGCCCCGCCGCCCACTCGCCCCCCGCCGCCACCGCAGCGCCTCCCGCACCGCCGCCCTCCTCCCGCGCCATCTCCACATCGCCCTGCGCGTCCGCTGCGACCCCCTCCGTCGCACCCACGCCGGCTGCATCTGCCGCAGCCTTGCTCGCCATCGCGCGCCTCACCACGATCGGCGGGAACCCGCCCGTCGCGTGGCTGTACCCGCCGGGCGTCGCCCGCGCCGTCGCCAGCAGGTCCCGCAGCACGGGACTGCCCCCCGCCACCGCCGTCAGCGCGCCCACCAGTATGAGGTGGTGTCGGGCGCGAGTCAGCGCTACGTTTAGCCTGCGCGCCTCCATCGCGAAGGCGCACTTGCTCGCGCTGGATACCGTCGTGCTGAGGATGATGACGTCACGCTCGGCGCCCTGGAAGGAGTCCACGGTGGAGATGTGCAGTGCGCCTGACGCGGTGGCCGAGTCCGGCGGGGGCGCCGCGTCGTCGTCGTCGCCGCCGCCCACGTGCGTCACGGGCGCGCAGATGCCCGCCTGCCGAACGCTGTCCGAGATCTTGAACGCCTGCGTCCGCGCAAGGGCCAGCCAACCGGAACATCAGGCATCATGAACCAATACAAACACACACCAAAACAAACATATGAGTTCTCTATGTATTTCCCCTCCAACAATGCGTGCTCGCGCCTCACCTGGCTGCGGAAGAACGTGATCACGCCGATGCGGCCCGGGTCGATTCCCTGCCCCGTGAGGAACCTGACCACGTTCGCCACGTAGGCCACCTCGGCCATGTTGTACGCGCTGCGCCCGCTGTGGTCCGTCCGCCCCTGCACCTCCACCGCCACCACCGCCGGCAGCTCCGGCAGCAGCGCCGCGCGGTCGCCGCGCGTCACGCCGTCGCGCAGCCTCCCGCCGTAGAAGTGCTCGTTGGGAACGCGGGCAATGGCGGGGTGGCAGCGGTACTGCGTGCCGAGGAGGTGCGGCGTGACGCCGCACTGCGTCAGCCTGACGAACAGCGGCCGCACGAGGCCGCCGCCCTGGCCCGGCCCCGGCCGCGGCGAGGGCTCCTCGGGCGACGTGACGACGGGCGGCAGCTGGCAGGGGTCGCCCGCGACGACGACGTGCTTGCAGCGCGTCGCGAGGATCGGCAGGAGCGCGAGCGGCTCCGTGAGCTGCGAGCCCTCGTCGATGATGACCACGTCGAAGGTCTGGTCGGCGAGGAGCGGCGTCAGCGAGGAGCAGCACGTGACGCCCACCACGCGCGCCGTCTTCAGCTTCAGGCGGCGCTGCTTCTCGCCGTCCTGGGACCGCAGGTTCTGGATCTCGTCCTGGATGACTGCGGGGACGGAGCACGACGAGCGCGGTCTCGGGCGGGGCACCGCGGCCGGGAGAGCGCGAGGAGGGTGTTGGTGCTCATGACTTGTACTGCGGCACGTGTGCGAGGAGCAGGCGGATCGGCAGGGGCGCAGTGGGCTTACGTCGGCGCTCGACGGGGTCACGGGAGCCCTCGAGCATCCACTGCAGCTCCTTGAGCACCTCCCCGCCCCCGCGCGCGTCCGCGGAGTGCACGCTGTACGCCAGCACCTGCGGGGAGATCTTCCGCACGCTGCCCACGCGCACGAAGTCCTCGAAGCCGGCGTCGCGCAGGCCCACGAGCACGCGGTCGACCGCCGTGTTCGTGTGCGCCGCCACCAGCACGCGCCCCCCCGCCTCGCCGCGCTTTGTCGTGCTGCCCCTCTCCGGCTTGGCCGGCAGCGCGCTGTGCAGGAGGTGGATCAGCGCGACCAGGAGGCTGCTCTTGCCGGATCCGAACGGCCCGTGAACCAGACAGACGGGAGGGCCCGGGCGCGCCGCGCCCGACCCCGGAGTCCAGGAGTCGACGTGCTGCAACAGCCAGGAAGGTGTTCTCGATCGGTTCCGGCAAGTGTGTTTTGCGGCACGGGGCGAACAACCCTTTCCCGCGCGACAGCACGCTTCCACAGCAGCCTCACCTGCAACACCCTTTGCTGCCCGTCGTTCAGGCGGAACCGCTCGCACACGGCGCGCGCCTGCGGCGACATGGCCTCCAACTCCCGGCCGACCTCGCACGCGCCGGCCGCGGCGCCCGCTCCGCCCTGCACCAGCATCGACAGCGCGGGAGAGACCCCCGCCCCCGCCGGGGCGCCCATGTGCGTCGCGAGGCAGTCCAGCGCCGCGAAGTCCGACGACGCGTTGCCCACGCGCACCGCCAGCACGTCCGTGTACCGCTCCCTCTCCCCGACACCCCCAATACCCCCCCCTAGCACCTCAACCTGCATCTTGCCCGCCCCGCGGTCCCCACGGCTCGGCCCGTGCCACAGCGCGCGCGCCAGGACCGTCCACGCCCCGCGCCGCACGCCGCTCGCCCCGAAGAACGGGTCCGTGCTCAGCACCCACAGGTCGTCCTTCTTGAACGCCGACGGCTTCTCCAGCCCCGATCCGAGGTGCAAAAAGTACTTCTTTTTCGCGTTCGCGCCGTCGTCCGAGTCCCCGCCGTCGTCCTGCGCCTTGCTCTTCCCGCGGAAGTAGTGGTTGATGCCCTTCGTGCCCCCGGGACGGAACAGCTCGAGCTGCGCACCGTGGTAGAACCCAGGCACCCCCCCGGCCCGCATGGCCTTCTGCAGGGCCGGGCCGACGGTCAGCGGCGCGCTCGCGCGGTCGCGGATCTGCTGCATCGTGCGTCCGACCTGCGCGGCCTGCAGGCTGAGCTCCTCGCCCAGTGCGTCAGTCCAGGCGGCGGCGTACTGCATACGGGTCTGGAAGGAGTTCGGCACGACGACCGTGCGCTGCAGCGCGGCGCGCGTCGCCGGGATCCACTTCGGGAAGTGACTCTGGCCGGCCGGACGAGCGCGCGCTGCCTGCTGCGGCGGCACTTGATACTGCTTCGTCAGCGGAGTGCTGCGGGGCGCAACGCCGCCGTCCCGGTTCCCGTCGTGCGCAGCTAGGGCCCGGTGGCCTAGCTGCGCGTGTTGCGGGGCTAGCTGCGCCGAACCAGAGCGCTGTTGGTGCTGCTGCTCTGCTGGCGTGTGTGGTGAGGTGAGTGGCCGATCGCGCGGCACGTCGTCATCGCCGCCCGCGTCGCCCCAGCGGGCCCTGACCTCGACGCTGGCGCGCGGGGCGCGGTCCTCCGGGCCGTCGCCGGCGCCGTCGGTGAGGTACGCGGTCCAGTCGACGTTGGGCCGTTTGCGCTGCCAGACCGGGGCCTCGACGTCCGCGGCTGCCTGCACGTCCGCGGCCTGGCCGTCGCCGGCGGGAGGAGGTCGCTTGTTGCCCAGCACGCGCTGTGGGGCGCTTGGCCAGCCTTGGCTCGGCTGCGTCGTGGGCTGGGACGAGGTCCGGGCTGGCTCCGAAGACTGACGCCTGGGGATCGCGCGCGGCGGCACGAAGCCCTTTCGTGCAACCTTCGGAACCAGCCTGGACGGTCCCGCTGCGACGCCCGGCGGCTCGGCGGCGGGGATGCGACGGGCCACGCTGGCAGGAGCTTGTGCCGGCGCTGCCGACGCGTTCGCTCCCCTGCACGCGACGTTCGAATCAGGCCGTCGTCCTTTGAGCGAGAACCGCGCAGTCATGGCGCTGTGCTGGTGTGGCGCGACGCAGGCGGCCTGGTTGCGAGCTGTCTAGAGGAGCGAACTCGTGCGAAAGCGCGGCAGAGGCACGAAACGGCTCTTCTGCACGCCCCATCGCCATATGCTCCTTGTCTCACGACGGTTCGCGATAGCGAGGTCGCACGTGGCGCGGAATTCGGGCACCATCCGGCCACGTCGAGCGGCCTCCGGGCGTTACCTGCTCTGCTGAGGACCTCCTGCTTGTGGGCCCTCAACCTGCTCCTCCGTGTTCACGAGGAACCCCGCGAAGAACTCGATACCGTCCTCATGCTCCGTGGGCGGCGGCTGGTTCCTCGACAGGACGTGGCGAGCGATCTCCGCGCCCCTTTCGTCCAGCAAAGTGACGCAGCGGTCGCGCACCAGAACGAACCCGTCCGCGTACGACTTGCTCTTCTTCGTGAGCTGCTTCGTGTACAGGGCCACGAACTTGCACCACATCTCTCGTTCGCGCGCTCACCTCCGCTGGCACCCTCATGGACGACCACGCATGGTCGTGCGCTGCGTTCCGAAGACACCAGTCGCCCCTCCTGGCCCGCGCGTTCGCGTTTCGGCGTGGTCGCGCACCGCGCGTGCGACTTGGCACGCGCTGCGTCGTCCGCGGGCGTTGGAGCCCTGCGCCGGTCGAAGTATGAAATACTTTTCGTGTTTTCATTATACACGGAGCAGCTGTCAGCACTCCCCACCGCGCGCTGGGCGCTCCAAGGCGTCGGGCGCTCCGCGGCCGCGCTCAAATCAACGTTGAGCACAGCGACATGTTCGACGTCTGCGATGCGTCCAACATGATGGGCACAAGAGGGCGTCGCTGCGCATCTGTGAGTAGCGTGCACAGGCCATCTCTGCGCGCCCACGGACGCTTCCGGGCCCGAGCACCTCCGCTGCTCCCCCGGCGACGATCATTCAGACACTACGAAGCTGCTTCGGTGTCTGAGGCCGCGGCGTCGGGCACGTACGCTGGCCATGGGAGTCTCTGGCCTTCGCAGGAAAACGCGCGCCTGGTCGAGCTGTGCGAGCGCAACCCGAGGGCCTGGCGCGGCCTGACGTGCACGCGGGGCACATGGGAGGCCAAGGCGCTGGGGCCCGAGCGGTATCACCTCGCGGGTCGCGTCAGGTTCACCAACAACACCCTGAATCAAGAGCTGTTTCTACCGGAGGTAGAACTCAGCGCGCGGCTGCTCTCCGCGGGCCGGAGCATCGACGGCCTGCGCGCGACCGTCACGCTCACGCCCCGCCACGACCTCTCGACCAGCAACGAGCCCCCGCGCGACGCAAACCCACGTCAGGACGGGTACTGGTCCGCCTTCATACTCACCCCCAGCTCCTTCACGTGCGCCGACGTCAGCGTACGGATCGAGCCGGACCCGGCGCGCGGCGAACAGCCTCCCGCGACCGGCGCCCTCGACGCCGTGGTGCTCGCGCTGCGCTACGTAGCGTATGGGCCTTTCGGACGGCGCTGGCAGCGGCAGGACATCGTGCTTCCGCTCGGCTTCCCCCCCGTCGCCCCTGAGCCCGCTGCGGCGGGCGGGGACACGGTCCCCGTGAAGACGCACCTCCTCTGCCACCTCGACGACCCAGTGTCGGTGGCGCGGCGATACGCTGTGCCTGTGGCGCAGGCGGGCGACGTGCTGTGCGTTGCGGAGAGCGCACTAGCGGTGATGCAGGTGTGACTGGACGTGTGGTACCGTGGGCTTCCGTGCCAGGCCCGTGTCGGCCTTGCAAGTGCCCACCGCACTCTCCCATGGTTTGCCATGGTTGCAGGGGCGCTGGCGGCACCCGGAGAACATCCGTCCGGGGCTGATCGCGCGGCTGGCGTGCAAGCTCTTCAAGACGACGTCGAGCCTGGCCACAGCGTGCGGGATGCAGTCGCTCATCGACATGGTGGGGCGGGCGCGCGTGGTGTTCGCGGTGGTCGTCGGGGCCGTGGCGCGGCTCCTGCGCATCCGCGGAGCCTTCTACTCCGCGGCCGGTGAGCAGTCGCGGCTCGTGGACGACCTGACCGGGACACTCCCCCCCTACGACCAGTACATTGTGGCGGGCCCTGTGCGGTCCGAGGACGTGGCCGAGTCGGTGCGGCGCGCGACGGGGATCGAGACCGCGGTCGTCGACGCCAACGACCTCGGCAAGGTCGACGTGCTGGGCGCGTCGAGCGGCGTGGACCGGGCGGCGGTGCAGCGGGCCCTCGCGCCCAACCCCGCGGGCAACGGGGACCAGCGGACCCCCCTGGTGCTCGTGCGGGGATGCACGCTGGCAGAACAGTGACCCTGTGACGACACGGGATGTGCCTGGCACGCTCGATCGAGCGTCGCGAACCATCGCATGCTACAATCGGTTCGATTCGAGGAACATGATCACAACGACAACACGTGCAGTGCTCGCGAGCGAAGTGGAGAGGCACGGACGGAGATCGTCAGCGCTTCCGCGATCTCGCAGCTCCGCTGCCACGGTAGGCCGCCACGCTGCCTTCCAGCCAGTATGGCACGTGCTTCTTTTTCTGCCGCTTTGGCAACTGCCGCAGCGGCCCCTCGAGCCGCGCTCGCCGCCGGCCCCTCCCCTGCCTGCCCTGCAGCTGCCCCAGCTGCGCCTGCGCGCCCTCCTCCGCGCGCCCCTCGCCTGCGTCAGCTCCGTCTTGTCCTTCCGTGACGCAGAACGGACAGTACCAGTCCCCCGGGGGTATCCGCTCGAGGCACGGCTGCAGGCAGAACGTGTGCCAGGCCGCGTCGCAGCCGTCGCACAGGAGCATGAGGTCCTCCGCGCTCGCCTCGGCGCAGACCTGACAGCAGGCGTCGTCGTACTGGTCAGACGCGCGTGTGTCTGCGGGGAAGAGGTCGCGCCGTTCGAGCAGCGCGCCTTCGTGCTCGTGCAGGCGCACGCGGCACTCCGGACACGTGTTGCTGATCTGCACGGTCACGACCGGGGACGCGTCGCGTTGCGTCGGGCACACGGGCTGCTCTTGGTGTGCGCAGGATGTGCGATGTGGTCGCGGCGGCGCCGGGTTGAGGCAGACTGGGCCGCGCGCGCCACTTGCGTGCTACTGACAGGGGGTGTGATTCGCGTTTCGATCGCGGGGGGTCGACGCCGCACCTGGAGCCATCTCTCAATGCAATGTTTGTGGAAGGAGTGCCCGCAGGTGGTGACGGACAGCTCGGAGCGGATCCGCACTGGCTCGAGGCACACGGCGCATGGCAGGCGACCCGGCATGGCCCCGCCGGGGTCCTGTTCGTGGCCGTCAGCGGCAAGGACGGCACCACCGTCGCTTCGTTCGGCACCGTCGTCACTTATTCCGGGACTCGCGGCACTTCGAGGAGCAGGTTCCGACAGCTTCGCACCGTTCTCGGGGCAGCAAACGTGGGTTTCGCCGCGGGATGCCCTGGGCGAGCGCCCTACATCGGTGCGTGCACAGTCGCGGTCATCCCCTGACGCGGGGCCGTCGCCGCCTCGACGGCGCAGCACGGATTTGCGTCGAGTATGTGCGGGAGCTGCTGGACGACTGCTTGTCACGAGGCGCCCGGCTGCGTGCGTGGCGCTCTCGCAGATGCTGTTGCCACAGGGCGGTGCGTGGCCGTGCGCTCCACTGTCTCCGTCGCGGTGCTCGCACGTCGCATGCTCGGTCTCGTCTAGCGCGGCAGCCGCGGGCTCGGCCACGGCGTTGTGCCGCGCGGAGGCGGGGAGGCAGGAGCTGCCACACCAAGCACCGCCACCGTCGTGGATGCGGGTCCCGAAGGCGCGCTCGAACAAGGCGTTGAAGCTCGACTTGAGCAGCTGGTCAGCGCTGGCCGACGCCCCGCCCGTCTGCATCGCGCTCACGCGTCGGCCTGCAGCCAGTGTTTGGCGCCCAGCTACGTCGCTCCCAAGGGTCGGGGTCACGCCCCTGGGTCGGCGGTCGCATGTGCTCGCGACGCCCGCGTCGTGGCCGGGCGATGTGCCCAGGGGCAGGGGGGGGGAGTTGGTATTCAGCCCCTCTTCTACCTGGAGATGGCCCGGGGGAACAAGGCGGTGTTGGCGCCGCTCCGAGGCTTCTGGGCAGATATGTACACCCCATGACGTGCGTCATCGCTACAGTTACGCCAGCGGTGGATATTTGGACCACATAATTGCTCCGAGGGGTCCTCGGCGGCAACGACTTACCTGGGCCTGCAGGGCTGCCTTGCGGGCGCCACGCTTGCTCCTGGGCGCATCCGATAGATATTTCGCGTGATTTTGAAGTACTCACTGCAATGGCTGTGCTGACATCACTTTGAAGGCTCAAGACCACCCACGTGGCGACTCTCGCCACCGCAAGGGCGTCCGCACTGCCACCTGCGAACGCGCTCGGCATGTCCGCCACGGACGGTGCATCTCTCCAGAAAGGAAGCGACGGCTCCGATCTCCTCGCTCTCGACCTCCAGATCTCGGCCTTCGCAGCTGCGGTCAGGCACTCGCGCCGCTTCGTCATCGCCAAACCCTTCCCCACCGCCGCCGTCACCGGCCATGCGCCGCAGGGCGGTCCGACGCCCGAGCCGGCAATGAGGGTGGGTGCCCCGCCCCAGCCAATCCTGTCAGCCGCGGCCGCTCTCGTCCAACAACAGCTCACGCTCCCAACCATCAGACCTCCATCACATCCACAAACAGTCGTGTTTTCCCTTCTCCGCGGGGCTGCAACAGTCACTCTGAATTCGACCGACGAGCTGCCGCACGCCACGGCCCTGAACAACCTCTGCGCCGCCCAAACACCCCCGCAGGCGTGTCAGGCCCTCGTGAGCTCCCTCCCGCGCCTCTCAACCCTCACCACCGACGAGCTGCTCCGGGCGGACCCCGACGCCGGCCCCGCGAGCGACAGCTCCCTGACGACAGACGCGATACGGCTGTTGCAGTGGATCGCGGCGCGGCCGAGGGCGCGGCGCAAGGTGCAGCTGTCTTCCTGGGCGGCGTTGACGCGCGACGTCGGGGAAGGCAAGCTGGCGCGCGTGCCGCCGAATCTGCTGCCCGACTACGTGTTCGCGCTTGGACAGAAGGGCGGCGCGGGGCCGGGGCCGCCAGCGACCGGAGAATCGTTGTCGTACGCGTTTCATGGAACCAGCTTCGAGAACCTGCATTCAATCCTTGCGTTCGGATTGATAGATACCGGGGACGCGAGGATGATGAGCACGGGACAGGTATGGTCGCGGACTCGCTGCATGGTGCGCAAGCGCGATATTAATGCGAACGACTTGCGACACTTGCACCCACGTCGTGTTGCACCGTCACGTGGGTGCAGATCTTCGGGAGGGGCGTGTACATGGCCCGGGACTACGAGACTGCGTTCGGGTTCAGCGCCGCCACCGACGCGTGGCGCAACAGCAGCCTTGGGTGCCGGCTGCGGTGCATGCTGGTGGCGCGGTTCCCGGAGAGCAAGGTCAGCACGGAGGAGGGCGCTCGGCCGAGCGACGTGGGCGCGACCGACCACTACATCATCGTCCAGGACGTCTCCGCGATCGAGCTGACGCACGTGCTGGTCTTTGTCGACCAGGGGCCCTTGCCAGCGGGGGGGGGCGACGGCACAGCAGCGGTAGCCGCTGCAGGCGACGGCGCGTGGAGCACGGCGGCGCTGATCGCCGCGGCCGTCGTGGCGCTCGTTGCGTGGATCGTCGGCGGCCTTTTCGCCGGCCGTTCCGTCAGTAGAATATTCTAGGGAGCCGTTTCGGGCGAGCTCGTCTCTTTGATTCACAATCATACGTCGCTCGGAGCACCGGAGAATTCGCCGAGGCCGCCCCTTCCGACCCCCCTCCCCCCCGCTTCCTGACATCAAATCTCCCCCTCCTCGTACCCCTCGTCCCGCCCGCGGTGCGACCCCCGCCTGTCGCGCTCCCTCGAATCCCGCCGGCTGCGCTTATACTCCCCCCTGTCGTCCTCGTCCCGCCTGCTGCTGCGGTCGCGCTTCCGGTCCCTGTCGTAGTCCCTGTCGCGGTCGCTCCGCCGGTCGCGGTCGCTCCGCTGGTCGCGGTCGCTCCGCCGGTCCCTGTCGTAGTCCCTGTCGCGGTCGCTCCGCCTGTCGCGGTCGTACCGGTCGTACCCGCGGTCGTCCCGCCGCCCGCGGTCCCTGTCCCTGTCGTCGCGCCGCCCGTACCGGTCGTCCCCGGGCGGCGGGAACGACGGCGGCGCCGCCGCGTACCTGTCCCGCTCCGGCGGCGCCTCACGGCCGGGATACGGGCCCCGCGGCGGGCCGCCCGGCGGAGGCGGCATGCCGGGCGGTCCTGCGTCCGACCGCGGCGGCGGAAGCCCGCCGCCCATGTACGTCCTGCCACCGCCGCGACCACCACCACCACCAAACCGGTCCCCGCCGCCGAACCGGTCGCCGCCGCCGAACCGGTCGCCGCCGCCGAAGCGCCCGCCGCCGCGCCCGCCGCCAAAGCGCCCGCCGCCGTACGGCATGGGGGTCTCCAGCGGCGCAGGGGGGGCCGTATAGACCTTCTTCTTCTTCGGCTGCCACGCGCGCGACTCCCCCCCCTTGCCGCCGCCGAGCCGGCGCGGCAGCCAGCCCTCGACGACGCGGCCGCGCTCAGCGTCGACTCCCACACGCCTGCGAAGGACCCACGCACTCGTCCACCGTCAGTCGCCCACCGCATGCAACCGACCACGCAGCCCCGCACACGCGCATGGACCTACGCGGATAGGCCTAGCGCACCTCTCCATGATGCGTTTTCCCTCGCCGTACTTGTACGCGCTCTTCATGTCGGCCTTCTCGGCATACTCGATGAAGGCGTACCCACGCGGCTTGTTCCGCTCCCGGTCGACGACGATGCGGATGCGCTCGATGGGGCCGAACGACTCGAACTCGCCCTTGAGAGTGTCGTAGGTGATGTCGTGGGGCAGGTTGAACACGATGATCGTCTTGTACGGGTCACCCTGTGTTGGCGGAGGAGGGAGCGGCGGTTGAGGGGCCCCGGGGGGCGGAGTGCGGGGGACGGCACTGCCGCTTGGTCTGGAAGGGAGCGTGCGAGCGGTGCGGGCGCGGCAGCGTGGCAGCCGGCGCGGGACGTGACGGCGGCGAGGGCCGTGCGTGCTTGAGCTCGCAGGCCGGGGCTCACCTGAATGTTGAAGTCGTTCTTGGGGTCCCAGTCCTTCTTGGCTTCCTCGATCTTGAGCTTGGCGCGCTCCTCGGCTTGCTTGCGTCTCAGTTCGCGCCTGCAGCGACGCGGGGCGGCGACGTGGTGCACACAGAGCGGCAGACGGCCGCGGGGGCCCACGCACGAGGCCGACAGGCCGACAGTTGCCCAACCTGCCACCTCCATTGCATAATCATGGGCACGCGAGCCACGTCGGCGGGAACGCAGCAAGGCACGGAGCGTGGCGGGGCCAAGCCATCGCTGCGCAGTTTGGGTCGCACTCAGCGCGCACACACGCGGCCAGGAAGGGCACCACGGACACGTACCTCTCCTCAATCAGAGGCGTATCGATCCTGCATTGGTGCACGTACTCCTTGTTGCGGAACTTGTCCGCGGGGCGCTCCTCTTCTGGCTTTTCATCCTTCGCCGGGTCCACAAACTCGCTGACGTACTGCGCAACGCCGGATATCGGGTACCGGAAGTACCTCTGTCTAGGAGGCACCGGGTCCGGTGCAGGACGGGGCTCGAACAGCCGCAGGAGCTGCGGGTTGAGCCCGGTGGGATGGCCCACGACCACATCCTCGATGCGCTGCCTCGCCCTCTCCATGGCGGCGACCGTGCAGCCCAGAGTGCCGCTCGGCTGGCCCTCGCTGGCCCCTGCCCCTGCACGCACGCCGCAATGGCGTCGGCGCTCGGGCTTCGCGAGGGGGGTGTGGGCACTGACAGTCGACGGGCGTGTGTGTTCAGGCGCTCGTGAACGGCCGTGACGACGAGGGGTGCGCGCCATTTCCCGGCTCCTGCGCCCACCGCGCTGTGCTGCACGGTCGCTGGCGTGCGGTGCAACCTACCGACCGCGTGCCAGGCCGCGTGATGGGTCCGGGCACGCGATGCACTTCCTGCGCGTTCCCTCCTAGCAGGATCGCGTGCTGCGTTTGAGAAAGCCATATTTCAATCGGATTCTACATAGAGGATACATCCGCGATCAGAATCACCTGATTTTTCCCTCGACAAGCCATGGCGACCATGGTGATCGAGGCACTCAGTAGTTGGGACTGCCAGCACCCGCCAACGGGGTGGACGTCGCTGCCTGCGGACCTGCAGATCAAGATTCTCTCGTTCCTCCCCGTCGTGGACATCCTGTCCTTCCTCGGCCTCAGCAGGGCCGCTCGCGCCGCGGCCTTGGCAGCGCTGCACGCCTCCACGGACAACGTCGACCTCTCGCCGCTCGTCGGGGCCCGCGCCGGAGCGCCGCGCCGCCTCGCGGGCCTCCTCGCCGTCGTCCGCGAGCGCTGCCCGAACATCCGCGGCCTCCGAATCCAGGGCGCGAAGCACGTTGCATTGCCGTCAGAGTGCGTGGCACCGGCGCTGCAGAACCTGAGACGCCTCGAGATCTTGGACGCCACGGACATGAGCACGACCGCCATGTCGACCTTCGTGTACACGCTCTTCGGCGGACACACCGCGCCCCCGGAGTCGGACATGGGCGCACACACCATCCGCAACGCAAAGAGACCGCACCTCCCCGCACACCTCGAGGCGCTGAGGATGGTCAACTGCACGAAGTGCGACGTGCCTCAGGCCTTCGTTGACATGGCGCGCTCAGTCCGTCACGTCGAGTTCCAAGCCACTGCGTTCAGCATGCAGGGCGCGCACCGGTTGCGGATCGCGCTGAGCGTCCTCGAGACGTTCGTGGTCGACACGTGCATCGCGGGCTGGTGAGTGCGCGTGGAACTGCGTGGCCCCGCAAGCGGAGCACGTCGACGGCGCCGCGCACCTACAGGCCCGATCCCGTGTCTCCGCAGGGTGCTGGACGACTCGGCGGGGGACCTGTACGCGCGCGCGGACAGCGAGTGGCCGGGGGAGGCGGACGAGGTGGAGGCGCGGAATGGCCGGGAGGTACAGGAGGGCAAGTTGTTTCCCGCGACGGTGCGCGCGCTGAGGCTGCCGCGGGCGCGCCCCCCGCCGTCGGGCACGATGGTGATGCAGACGCCCCTCAGCGGCGGCGTCCTGCTGCAGCACCCGTGGACCATCTACCTCCTGACCCTGCTCAGGCAGCTCGACCTGTCCATGATAGGTGCGACTGCGCAGTTGTTGAGGATGAGCCTGCTGACTTGCAGGCCAATTCCATTCAGGCCAGCACGCTGCCACGCGCTTACGTCGACGCCGCATCACCTGTTCGAACCACCCGTTAGCGGCCATCACGGCAGCCCCCGTGCATGGCATTGAAGCCATCTCTTTCGACCGTCGTCGCGCGACCCGGCGTGTTCGCAGAGTACACGAGCGAGTTCCGCGACGCCATCAAGGCGGTCGGCGAGGGCGCCGCTCAGGCGGAGCTCGTTGAGCTGCGCATGGCCCACATGTACTGCTCTGTCTCGTGGCTCGAAGACCAGGACTTGCAGAACATCGCCAAGTCCTTCCCGAAGCTCGAGGTGCCGCCCGGCCCGCACACGCGCCTGTCTTCGCGGCGCAATCAGTGCCGCGCGCGTCCCTCGCCGATCCGCGACCCCCGTGCCTTGCCACGCAGGTTCTCGACCTGTCAGGCCACGACAAGCTGACGGACGCGGGCGTCGCGTCTCTGAAAGGTCTGCCGCGGCTGTGGCGGCTGCGCCTCTCGCGCTGCCACAACATCGGCGCGGGCCTGCGCGCGGTGCTGCGGGAGCCTGCCCACGCGCTGGCGAGCGAGCGAGGCGTGCTGGAGCTGGTGCGGTGCAAGCGGCTCGGGGACCGCCCGGAGCTGTCCCGGCTCAGCAGGGGGTCGGTGTTGTTCGACGAGAAGGTGCCCGAGGTGCTGCGGATCTCGGCCGCGGACGACACCAACCGCTGGGGCTCGTGGCGGTGACGCGTGGGCGCCCGCACGCGCACGTGCGCGCTGCCGCCAGCTGCGGCGTGCGAGGCGGCGAGCGCTGCCCCGCTGCGCCGCGCTGCGCTGATTCGTAACGCTTACAGAGTCACTGTTGTGAGGGTGTCGCTAGGTCGCCGTCAGATGCGCATGCACGATTAGGGGGCGCTGCGAGGCCCGCCAGCGGGGCTCGGCCGAGGGACGGGCACCCCCGGCACCTATGAATCGGTCGTTCGGTATAATTCGGTCCTCGTTGCAAGCGGGGCTATGTACAGGCAGGCACGCCGAGTCCGGGTCAAGCCGGCCGCGTTCCGCCGCACCCGCGCTCGAACTGCACGGAGTACTGCAGGGTCAGCGCGGGCGCGGCTCACTCCGCGTTCTGCTCGCCTTGCAACGTGAGCTGCGCCGCGTGCACGTGCGCCAGCTCGGCCTCCACGTCCCGCCAGTCCGACACCGACCGAATCAGCGGGTGCGGCCGGTCCATTTTGCTCCACGGGTACGTCCCCAGCCAGTCGTACAGCAGCACTGCAACGCCACCGCGCAAACAACCCCAAATTGGCATCAGACCACACGACAAGCACCAACAGCGCACAGCGACGCTCTCACGCAGCCCGGCCGCGGCCGCGCGGTAGCTCGCCAGCCGCGCGCGCGCCCCGCGACGCACCTGTGAGGCCCTCCTCGGCGCAGTCCTGCGCATACCCCGGGTTGTCGTCGATGAGCACCGCGGCCCCGATGTCCCGGCAGATCTCCGACTTCTTCCGCGAGGACCCCGCGAGCGCGAAGTGGTTCCCGAAGTGCACGCCCTCGAACACCCCCGGGAAGTGGTCGTCGAGCCACCGCAGCGTGGGGGCCTCGATCACGTGCTGCCGCGAGGTCACGACGTGGAGCTCGCAGAACGAGGACAGGCGCTGGAGGGACTCGAGCGCGCCGGGCATCGGCGGGATGCCCTCCGCGAAGTGCGGCGAGTCGAAGAAGGAGTGCACAATGTGGTTGGACTCGTCCTGCGAACAGCCCCAGACGTCCGCGAAGACGTACCGCTCGTAGTCGGAGACGGTGTGCTGCATGCCGTACTCGTCCTCGATGAACACGTTGAGCGACTCCACGAACTGGCCGAGCACTGCGGGGGCAGGGCGGGGGGCGCTGGCAGCGTGGGCGTCCCACGTGCGCGGCGCCGGACCGCCGCGGCGGCCCAGGGCGGGGGAGTGCGGTGCGGGGGCGCGGGGGGCGCGGAGGGGGCGGGATGGGCGCGTGCGGCGGGAGTTGCGGCGGGAGGGAGGCGCCTGGTGGCGCATTGAGGCTAGGGCAGGCCGCAGGGGGGGCGTGCGGGCGCGCGAGCGGGTGGTCCGCGGACTGCGGCGGGTGGGGGGGCGTGGGAGGGGGGAAGCGCGCGCACCTTCGTCGACGTCTACCGCGACGCGGATGCGTTGCGAGGCGGCGATGATTGGCGCATCGGGCGTGCGCGAGGTGTGCGCGGTCCCGATGAGGCCGTGGGCGTCCTCGCGGACGGCCTCGAACGCGTCGGCGTACACGGAGGTAATCTCGAGCGACGACGCGCGCGGCTGGCTGCGCCAGCGGCGGTCGTGCGCCGCCTGAGCAGCCACGCACCTACGATGGGGGCGTGCCGGCGGGTGGGGCGCCGCGAACGCCGTGCGGCCGGCCTCCTGCGAGCGTCGGGGGAGATGCACGTCGGGGGTGGGCGACGCCTGGCGAATGCAGCGCCGGCTGGCGGCCGTGCGAGGGCGTGGCTATGGTGGGAGGCTCCAGCGCGGAAACCGGGCCCGTTGGCGCCGGAGGACGCCGCTGAGGGCGCCGCAGCAGCTGCTCGGTGCTGCAGAGGGAGCCCTTGCGCGCTGCGCGCGAGGGCGTGCGGTGCTTTCGGCCGGAATTCGAAACGGAGCAGCTTTCGCGTCCGCGCGCCGTGTCCCGCGCTGCACGCGTATATTCGCGCCACGGCGCGGGCCAGCGGCATGGATGGACGTAAGGTGTCACCGGAGGCGCACGTTCGCGTTCAGAATGTGCCGCGAGGGAGGGGCCCGGTGGGCGAAACCCGAGTTTCGGTTCAGGCGCCTGGCACGCACCATGTTGACGCTGAAAGGTCCCATGCTGCGCCGCTCGCTGCGTGTGAGACGCCAGGGGCGCTTCCCGGCTCCTTCCGGAGGGAGAACGGGGGCGAGGGAAGGCGTCCGACGCCAGCCGGCTGTCCAAAAGTGCTGCTGTGCAAAAGCGCGGCTGAGACGCAGTCGCACGCAGGTCGACGTCCGCGACGGTGCAGCGCTATCTCGCAGGGAGCGTGTGCGGCCGGCCGCGCAGCCAGGGAGGCCTCGAGCGCCGTTCGCGAGCGGCGGTGCGACAGCGGGTCTGACTGAATTGGTGGCCCGTTCCGAACGCACGATCGACCGCCTCGAGAGCGCAGTCTGCGCGCGACGCGAGGCACATACGCACAGCTGCAGCCAACGCGACGCACAAAGTTCGTCCGCGACGCCAGGAAGGGCCCAATTGCGCGGCGGAGAGGTGGTTGCACACCCCGAGGTCGGCCGGCAGCGGTCTCGCGCAGGCCGCACGGCCGTCCCGAGGAGGGCCGGTGGGTGACTGTTGCACGCGAGGCCATCGGCGAGGTGCATCGTTGCGAGGAACTGCTCTGTAGAGGCCGCCGCGGGGCTGCAACGTGAGAGGGAGTGGCTGCGAGCATCTCAGCCCGTTCGCCACGGCTATGTTGCGGCAGCGCGAGCGCCGTGGGGAGGATATCGGCCTGGAGCTGCTGACGGGCTCGCCTCGCTCCTCGGAGGGAGGTTTCGCGCGGGAGGGGAGCGAAGACGGGCTGAGGTAATTCGCGGCCCCCGCGCGCGGCGCGTGGCTACATCGCGCCATGTGCGCTGCGGCCGGGACGCAACTTTGTACTTAAGCCCGCGACGTACGCGAGCGCCGCAGTCCGCGCGCGAACGACACGTCACACGGCTGCCGCGGGCCGGGCCAGCGTCTTTCACTCTGCCGCCCGTTAGCCCGCCATAGGTGCCACGACCGCCCCCGCGGGCCCCCGCTCCCCACTCCCGCCCTTCGCGCCCCACACCCCACCCCGCGCGCCCCTCCCCCCGCCCCCGCAGGTCCCCTACAAGGAGCGGCCACGAAACCACCACTACCAAAACCAGCAAGCGACGCCTGCGCACGTTCGTCGTCTGCGGCGTCCTCGCGCTCGCCATGGTGCTCCTGAGCTCGCTCCTCAGCAGCCCGACCGGCTCCGCGGTCCCCGCGGCCCGCAGCTACGGCGGGTTCCCCCTCTCCATGCACGCGCTGGCGTCGTACAGCTCAGCCCCAGGCGAGACCACGTTCGCGGACAAGTACTCCATCGTCCTCAACACCTACAAGCGGCGCCAGCTCATGGAGGACTCCCTCGCGCACCACGCGGCGTGCGCGTCCGTCGACCGCATTCACGTCGTGTGGTCCGAGGCCGCCCCAGCACCTGCGAATTATGTAAGCGCCCGCTGGCGCCGCGCCCGCGCGCGTGCGACCGCGCTTCCGGCCCGGAACAGGCTCCGCGCTGCTCGATCTGTCCGCCGCCTGCGCGGTGGGGCGGTCGGCCCGCGCGTTTGCGTGGGATTCGGCGTGCCGTCTTTCGCCTGCCACGGTGGTGACCTCACGCGTGCGTCGCGGACCGCGCCCGCGGACCGCCGGCCCTCGCGACCGCCGCACGCGCCGCGGACTCACGTGCGCTCCGGCGTGGCGTCCGCCCCCGCAGGTCGCGGACTCCGGGGTGGAGGTTGTGTTTCACGCCATGGCTACCAACAGCCTCAACAACCGGTTCCGCGCGCTCCCGGGCGTGCGCACCGAGGCCGTGCTGTCCCTCGACGACGACCTGCGCATCCCCTGCAAGGACCTCGACGCCGCGTTCGCCACGTGGCGGAGATCTCCGCAGCAGCTCGTGGGATGGTTCCCGCGCATGGTTGAGCGGTCGAGAAGCCTCGACACGTGCCGGTGCGCGCCCCCGCCTCGCCTGAAACACGCGCACCCAGGCCCGCACGCGACCGCCGAGCGCGCCGCCGTCGCGACCCTGCACGCCGCCGCTGCGCATGCGCGTGCCGGCACGCACCACGGGCCAGCGTGCGCCCTGTCCACGCGGCGCACGCACTGGAGATCGCGGCGGAGCCGTCGCCGCAGCGCACGTCGCCGTCCGCTCCGCCCAGCGCGCGTCGCTGAGCGCTCCTCGTTCCTCCATCGCCTTGCGCTTGCGTTCAGGTATACCTACATGCGGCCGTTCTGGACCATCGTGCAAGCGCGGCAGGTCAACATCGTGCTCACGAAGGGCGCGTTCATGCACCGCGACTGGCTCAAGGCCTACGAGGATCTCGTCCCCGATGCCGTCAAGCATTACGTCGACGAGCACCGCAACTGCGAGGACCTCGCGATGCAGGTCCTCGTCTCCACGGTCACGCAGGTGCGATACCACCCGCCGCCACACCTGCGCCGCGCCCGGTTCCGGCGCACATAGGCCGCGCCGGCACGCTGTGCGTGCGCTGTGCGTCGCCGCCGCTGTGGTGGTGGCGAGGCCGCTGACGCGATGCGAGGTCGCCCGCTGCGTGCAGACCGGGCCGGAGGTGGCAATGAGCTACAACGTGCGGGATTTGGGCGCGAGTGCGGCGCTGGCGATCAGTCAGAAAGAGGGGCACCTCGAGGCGCGTCAGGAGTGCCTGTGCGCGTTCGAAGACATCCTCGGCGGCGCGCTGCCGCTGCGCTCCAAGTCGCTGTCGCTCCGTGAGGCCGCCGCGCTGCTCTGGCAACAAATCTGCATCTCGGTGACCTAGAATCGCTCCCCAAGTTTTTCATTTCAGCCCATTGACGTCGTCGACGGCCGGGAAGCAGCGCCTCCCTCGGCACTGCGGCCCACTCCTCGCCCTGCCTGAACCGGCCGAGCGCGCGCGCGGCAAGCGAGTTAGATCGGCCGCGCGGCGCTGCGCGGGAGAGTGGTTCGCCCTCCGCCCCTCGCCCAAAAGATTCCCGCCCCAGCCCAGCTGCGCGCCGACGCGCTGCAGATCCACACCGCTCCGCAACGCCCCCGATGGTCCTGGCAGGCAAACAACCACACTTCGTGCGCGCGATTCACAGCCCCTTTTGAGCTGGCAACGGCCGCGCCGGCCCACGTTGGCCCGCTCCCCTCGCGCCGGAGAAGAGCGCGACGGCCTCCCCGCAAGCGCGGCAGCGCGACGCAGCGGGGGCGTCTGCGCGCTCTTCCTGCCACTGCCATCGACACCCACCCACACACACCGACACGACAGGACCCCCCTGTGAACACCCGTGCGTCGCCGGTCCGTCTCGCGCGCCGTCCACGGCTGCTCGGCCTGCCCACTCCGTCCACCCTGGTGCGTTACTTGCGGTTTCATGCATGGCACGTCAACGTTGCCGTGGAACGCACCCGCGAAGACGAAAGGACGGTTGGTCGCAGGCTGTGCCTGCCAGTCCCGGCAGTGGCGCGCTCGGGCGGGCGCGCTGCCGCACGCCTGCTGCGGTGCCCGACCGCGGTGCCACGCCAGGGGGAATGTCGCAGCATGAGGTCTCGCCGCCGTGCAGCGCTCCGAGCGGACAAAGCGGGCCGTGGAGAGGGGCGCGCGGCCGGCTGGGCATGTTACGTGCGTGCGGCGCGTGACGCGTGGTTGCACGCGTGACGTGCGGCCCTCGAACGCAGTGTGCTCAGCAGGGAAGGGTGCCGTTGTGCGCGCAATGCGGGGGTTCCGAGGCCAAGTGGGCGCGCGCTCCGAGACCGTCGTGCGTATACGAGTGCGCCGGACGTCCGCAAGCGAGGCTGTTCGCCGGGTCGGGCGCGGGGGGGACTCGGGCGGCAGTCCCACCTGCGCAGCCGCTGGCGGCTTCGTTGCCCGCTCCCGCCGCCTCGCTCGCCCTTTCTGGTCACCTGACCAGCTGCTTCCTTTCCGTGTCCTTCCGAGCACACAGGTGCGTGGAAAACGCCGCGCGCATCGCTCGCCGCACGCCTTCCCGCTCGCTGCTGGCTGCCAAACGCTGGCTCTCCCGCCGAAGAATTGCCGCAGAGTTCAAGATGGCCGCCCCGCTCGAGCCTTCGGCTCAGAACAACTTCGATGAGTCGCTCTTCGACAAGAAGATGACGGAGTTGTGAGTGCCCCGCCCCGAGCCCCCGCCTGCGCCAGCCAAGCGACGGCCGAGCAGCCCCCGCCCGCGGGGCCCCGCGCGGGCCGCGGCGAGGCCGCCGCGCCGCCGGGCTGGCCTCCTCGTTTTGTGCGCCACCCGTGCGTAACTTGCGGCGTTCCGCAGCCCGCTTCCGCGGCACCGGAGCCATTCCCCGGCTCTCATGCGACCTCCGCCGTTGCCGTGCCCGCAGCCTCTCCAACAACACGGACGAGTTCTACACGGACTGGGAGGAGTCGTTCGACACGTTCGACGACATGCAGCTCCACGAGAACCTGCTGCGCGGCATCTACGCCTATGGTGAGCCCGCGCGCCGCCTTGCCCGCCCCTGCCCCGCGCGGCCCTCCCCTCCGACGCCGGCTCCGTCGTTCGTGACGCTGATTTCCCGCGCCCGAGGCGGCCGTGCGCCCCCGCCCGCTTCCCTGCGGGCCCGGGGCCCAAGGGGAATGAAAGCGGCTTGATGGCCACGGGCGGCTGGGTGCGCGGTGTCCCGCGCGAAAGCGCCTCACGCTGGCGCACGCGGCGACCTTCGTGCGTTGCGCCCGCGCCGTTCGCGCCTAGCACGGCTTTCGGCGGCTTCTAGACCAGCCGTCGGCTTGTCAGGCGTGTGGCTCCCCGCCTGGACAGAATCCGCGGGACATTCCGCAGGAAACGCGCGCACAATGCTCATGTCTTTCCCCCCGGATCGATGCGCAACGGCCCAAACCACTCCCGCGAGGCCGATGCGAGCATTCGAGCCCTCTCGGCCCATTTCGTGACTGCTTGCCGGTCCCAGCGGCACGCGTGCAGCTGCATCGAACCTCCCATTTCCGCATCGTCGATTCGCGCGGCGATGCCGGAGTGCGGCGCATCCCGCCGCGCGGCACAGCAACACCTCTGCTGCTGCAGTCTCTGGCCCTTCCGCGCGACTGAGACCGTCCAACACCCGGCCGCCCGCCAGAGCCTGACCGACCAACGCTCCCCTCTCCTCACGCAGGTTTCGAGAAGCCCTCGGCCATCCAGCAGAAGGGTATCGTGCCCTTTGGCAAGGGCCTGGACGTGATCCAGCAGGCGCAGTCCGGTACGGGCAAGACCGCCACCTTCTGCGCCGGCATCCTCCAGGTACGTGCCCCGCTTCCCGCCGCCCCGCCGCCCCGCTCCACGCCCCACGCCGCCCCGCGCGCCCCCCCACGCCTCCGCGCCGACCGCCGCGCCCCGCGCCCCCGCCCCGCAGCGCCTGGACTACTCGTTGATGTCCTGCCAGGCCCTGGTGCTCGCGCCGACGCGCGAGCTGGCCCAGCAGATCGAGAAGGTGATGAAGGCGCTGGGCGACTACCTCAAGGTGCGGTGCCACGCCTGCGTGGGTGGCACCAGCGTCCGCGAGGACCAGCGCATCCTCCAGGAGGGCGTCCACGTCATCGTCGGCACCCCCGGCCGCGTGTACGACATGCTCCGCCGCCGCGCCCTGCGCCCGGACGACATCCGCATGTTCGTGCTCGACGAGGCCGACGAGATGCTCTCGCGCGGGTTCAAGGACCAGATCTACGACATCTTCCGGCAGCTGCCGCCCAAGCTCCAGGTGGGCATCTTCTCCGCGACGCTGCCCCCGGAGGCGCTCGAGATCACGCGCAAGTTCATGAACAAGCCGGTGCGCATTCTGGTGAAGCGCGACGAGCTCACGCTCGAGGGTATCAAGCAGTTCTACGTGGACGTGGACAAGGAGGAGTGGAAGCTCGACACGCTCTGCGACCTCTACGAGACCATGGCCATCACGCAGTCGGTCATCTTCGCCAACACCCGCCGCAAGGTGCGCAAACCGCCTCCCTGCCGGCGCCGGACGCCCGACCCGTCCGCCGCGCCGCCGTGGCCCGCAGCGGGGCACGCGCTCGCGCGGCGCCGCGCCCGCCCGCCGCACCCTGGGCGCGCAGCAGCAGCCACGGGGTATGACGAGACAACACAACAAATCACCATCTTTCGAATGAGCGCGGGCTGGTCCCCGACGCATGATTCGACTGTGCATGCCGACCCCGCACCTCGACCCGCGCCGCGCGTCCCACACCCGCCGGTCATCGCCCCGACGCGGCCACTCACGCAACCCCCCCCCCGTTGGCACCTGCGCGCAGGTGGACTGGCTGACGGAGAAGATGCGCGAGCGCGACCACACGGTGTCGGCGACGCACGGTGACATGGACCAGAACACGCGTGACGTCATCATGCGCGAGTTCCGCTCGGGCTCGTCGCGCGTGCTCATCACCACCGACCTGCTCGCGCGTGGTATCGACGTGCAGCAGGTGTCGCTGGTCATCAACTACGACCTCCCGACGCAGCCGGAGAACTACCTCCACCGCATCGGTCGTTCCGGCCGTTTCGGTCGCAAGGGTGTCGCCATCAACTTTGTGTCGACCGACGACAAGCGCCTCCTGCAGGAGATCCAGCGGTTCTACAACACCGTCATCGAGGAGCTGCCCGCCAACGTCGCCGACCTCATCTAAGCGGACCGCCCGGCGGGCGGGCGGCCTCGGTGGACCGCGCTGGCTCTCCCGCCAGCCACGCCGCACGCGCCCGCCCCCGCACTGCGCGCCGGCCGCGGCGACTCCCCGCCCCGCGCGGGACACTCGTGCGGAAGCCTGCAATTTTTAACGGCCAGAGCTTCCGACAGGCCTGCGTGGCGCGAGATGCGAGCCCCGTGCTGCCAGTGCACGCCCCCTCCGTCCCCACCCTGCCCAACGCGCCGCAGCGGGTTGAGCAGGGGTCACAGCACTCCTCACCCCCCACGGAGCGACTCCCCCCCCAGGGGCACCCTGCACACCCCCTGGGGCGCTCTGGGGCCCGTGCACACCTAGGCACGACCAAGGCGCGACTTGCTCATCCCCACCCCCCTCTCCCTCGCACCCCCCCTCTCTGTCGCTGTCCACGGTCGTGCCACCCTCGCAAGGGCGGTCCGGGTCGAGATATAGGACCTCTGATGGCCATCGGCTGTCTGCGCGAAACCTGCACTCCGTCCTCCCACGCGAGAGGTCGGGCTCCAAGTGTGAAAACTTGTCAAACGCTTCCGTCGCAGCGTCGGATGCTGCGAGCGTCGCCCTGCGGTGTACCGACGGTGTTCTGCGAGATGGCACTAGCGTCGGACAACACGATGTCCTTGGGACGCACCTAGATGGCAGCAGAGGCTTGGGCCTGCCAACGAGCCTCTCTGTGCAGTCTGCGAGGGACAGGCGCGGCACGCGGCCGCTCCCCTCCACCTCGCTGCGGGACAGTCGTCCGTCGGACCACGCAGTATGGGGCCGATCTCACGTGTACGCAGGAGGCCCGACTCGGCGCAGAAAACAGGGGCGGGGTGTCCTCACACGGCTTGCGCGCCCCGCTCGGCGTCCGAGCGGCAGGCACAGATCCGCCATTTTTTGTGCTCGAGCTCCCTAGTCCCCTCACTCCCCCTTGACCTACAACCCCTCGTCCGCGGGCCTCCACTGCCCCGCTCACTCCAGCGACTTCGACACGATCTCGTACACGTTGTCCGTGAGGCCCTTCTTCGCGGCGATGCGCTGCAGCTGCGCCTTCATCAGCGCCTGGCGCCCCTGGTCGTACTTCTTCCAGCGCGTGAAGGCCGCCACGATGCGCGCGGCCACCTGCCCGTTGATGTCGTCGAGCTGGATCACCGCGTCCGCGAGCAGCTTGTACCCGGACCCGTCCGCGTTGTGGAAGTTGTGCGCCGACGCCGCGAACCCGCCGAACAGCGAGTAGCACGAGTTGGGGTTCTTGATGTTGAACCGGGACTCGTCGGCCATGAGCTGCTCGACCGCGGCGGTGTTCCCGGCCACGTTCGAGGTGCTGCAGAGCGTGAGCCACTTGAGCAGCACCAGCGGCTCGTCCTTGTACTGCTGGTAGAACTCGTCCAGGACCTGCTGGCGCTGCGGACAGTCGATCTCGTTCAGGGCCGCCGCCGCCGCCATCTGGTCCGTCATGTTCGTCGCCTCCTTGAAGCGCTTGTAGATGTCCTCGATCATCGCTGCGGAGCACCGCGTGAGGAACGCAGGCGTTCGTGAGTGTCCGGCACGCCGTGCCGTCGCACACGCGGCCGCGGCGCCGCTCGAAGCACGGCAAGCACGCAAGTGAAACAGGTGCGCGCGGTAGTGCCGGGGCCAGCACGTCGCCCGCGGGCCGCAGCGAGGACTCACCGGTGTCGCCGGCCGCGCCCAGCGAAGACAGGTACGCCAGGCACTTCGACCGGATGTTCCGGCGCGCCATCTCCGGCGCAGAGAACACGTACGGCGCGCCCGGCTCGCTCGCGTTCGCCGCCATCTCCGCCTCGAACTCGGGCCGCAGGCGCGCCGCCAGCTCGCCCACCATGAAGGACCGCACGTCGTGAATCAGTGTGGGGTCCGCCTCCGGGATCGCGTCGACCAGCTCCGACGGCGACGGGATCGAGATGGCCATGGCCTTGAACGACCCGTCCAGCGCCTTGTCCGTCAGCACGGCCTTGACGGCACCGACGATCGACTCGGGGACGCCGCCCGCGGCGGCCAGCGTGGCGCGGACCTTCGCCTTGTCGCCCGCGGCGCCGGCCTCCGCGGCGGCGCCGTACAGCGACATCGCGAGCTTCTTCAGCAGCCGCTGCCCGGCCTCCCAGCGGTTGAACGAGTCGGTGTCGTGCGCCATCATCAGCAGGAGGTCCTCGTCAGTCTGACCGGCAACCTCGAGCTTCACGGGCGCCGAGAACCCGCGCAGGAGCGACGGCACGGGGCGCTGCGCCACGCCCGTGAACGTGTAGCTCTTCTCCGCGTCGGCGAACTCCAGCACCGTAGAGGTGCCCAGGGACTCCCCCGTGGAGAGCGTCAGCGGCATCTCCGAGCCGTCGGGGCCGAGCAGGCCCATGGCGATCGGGACCAGCACGGGCTTCTTGGCCGTCTGCCCGGGCGTGTCGGGCGTGCTCTGCTTGCAGGTCAGCGTGAAGGTCTGTGCCGCGGCGTCGTAGGCCGTGTCGATGTGCAGGTCCGGGGTCCCGGCCTGGGAGTACCAGTTCTGCATGTGCGACAGGTCCCGGCCGTTGGCGTCGGCCATCGCGGCGAGGAAGTCGTCGCAGGTCACGGCCTGTCCGTCGTGCCGGGAGAAGTAGAGGTCCATGCCCTTGCGGAAGCCGTCGACGCCGAGGAGGGTCTGGTACATGCGCACGACCTCCGCGCCCTTCTCGTACACCGTGAGGGTGTAGAAGTTGTCCATCTGCGCGCGGCGGCACGCGAGACCAGGCACGGGTGAGCTACGCCATGAGCTGCGAGCGTCCGGTAGGCGGGAAGCGGAAGCGGAGGGCAGGACCAATCAGTTCGAAGTGCCGGCGACAAGCGTGCCGGCCCTGCTGGCGGCGAAACGCCAGGCCTTGTACCCGAAAGCGGGCGCGCGCTGGTCAACAGCGGGCCTTCCCGCCTTCCGACCGAGCCAGTCACGCACGAGCGCGGCGGCCAGGCGGAGGCGGGCGCCCCCGCCGCGCTGCAGCCGCCACATCACACCGGCGGCCGTCCGCGGGGTTCGCGCACCTTGATGTACGAGTCCGGGCGGATGGGGTGCGCCATGGGTCCGGAGTCCTCCGCGAACTGCCGGCTGCGGAGCGCGACGACGTCGTCGATGCGCTGCACGGGGCGCGAGTTCATGTCGGCGCTGAACTCCTGGTCGCGGAACACCGTCAGGCCCTCCTTGAGGGTGAGCTGGAACCAGTCGCGGCACGTGACGCGGTTGCCCGTCCAGTTGTGGAAGTACTCGTGCCCGACGACGCCCTCGATGCGGTAGAAGTCGACGTCCGTGGCCGTCTCCGGCGACGCCAGCACCAGCCGGCTGTTGAAGATGTTGAGCGACTTGTTTTCCATCGCGCCCATGTTGAAGTCGTCCACCGCGACGATGTTGAACAGGTCGAGGTCGTACTCGAGCCCGAAGCGCTTCTCGTCCCACAGCATCGCCTTCTTGAGGCTCTCCATCGCGAACGGCGTCTTGTTCATGTTGTGCGCCTGCGCGTAGATGCGCAGCTTCACGTCGCGGCCCGACGCCGTCTTGAACGAGTCCTCCGTCACCGCGAGGTCGCCCGCGACCAGCGCGAACAGGTAGCACGGCTTCGGGTGCGGGTCGTGCCACACGGCGAAGTGCTTCCCGCCGCCCAGCGCACCCTCCTCGACCAGGTTGCCGTTCGACAGCATCACGGGGTACTTCGACTTGTCCGCCTCGATGCGCACCGTGAACTCCGTCATCACGTCGGGCCTGCAGGCGCGCACGCGTCGCGGAGACACCTCACGTGCGCACGCCAGCACCAGACAACACAGAGGTCCCGGGCGCGTCGCGGCGCGCGGGAACGTGCCTGTCGAGGAAGTACGTGATGTTGCGGAAGCCCTCGGCCTCGCACTGGGTGCAGAAGTTCCCGGAGGACTTGTACAGCCCCTCGAGCGACGTGTTGTCCTGCGGCTTGATGTGCACCTCCGTCTCCAGCACGTACTCGCCGCTGGCCGGGAGCGCCGAGCCCTTGACGGTCAGGCGCTTGTCCGCGATCGTGTAGCTCGAGGAGTCGAGCTTCGTGCCGTCCACGGAGATGGAGACCAGCTTGACGTCCTCGCCCCCGTTGAGCACCAGGTCGGCCCCAGTGGGGGCGCTCGTGGGCTTCATGGCCAGCCTGGTCTGCGGGGAAGGTGCCGCGGGGCGAGAACGCGCAGAATGTGGGGCGGGCGGGCCGCGGAGGGGGGCGTGCGGTGGGGGATCGGGGCGCGGCAGCGCGAGGAAGGGTTCGTGGCAGCGTGCTGGTGCGAGGCGGGGGGCGCCGCGTGCGGGGCGGTGGGGGCCGCGCGGGTCACCTGGACGGTCGTGAAGTCCTCATCGAGCTTGAACGTGAGGTTCACGTTCTTGATGTTGTACGGAGTCGGCGTGTAGTCCTTCCTGCGGGTAATGCACCATGTCGAGGGGTGGGCTCCGGCGCGCAGTGCGAGGTGCATCGTTCGAGAGATGACGGGTCAATTGGGACAGGCAGTGAGTGAGGGAAGGCAGCGGAGTCGCGTGTGCGCCCGTTTCGCCGCTGGAGAGCGCGTTCCGCCTCTCGAGAGCGGTCAGCCAAGACTGCTCTGGATTGCGGCCGGGAACGACGGGACGCGAGCCTTGTGAGTCAGACTGACCCACGACTGAGACTTCAGGACGCTCATGCGCTGCCTCGAGGCGCCAAAACGGGCGCACGAGGCCCTGAGCGTCCCAATTTCGGTGGGTTAGGCAAGCGTCTGTACGTGGTCAGAAAGCGCCGGAAAACACGCCCCGGGCGGCGGGAGCGATCCTCGTAGCCCGCGAGCGGCGCCTGGGGTGGAACCCCGGTCCATTTTGCGTGGTAAGGCGGCGGGGGACGCGCCTGAAGATGACCTTCGGCTTGGTCTCTGTCTCAGCACCCATCGTGGTGCTCGCAGCGCGGATCGAGGTGTCGACGCGGGGGCGGAACGATCGGTCCGAAGAGCGAATCCGTTCGGAAACGGCCGAGGCGAGGGAGCGAGAGAAGCTCTGGAGTCGCGGCGAGCGAGGCGCGGGGGCGGCCTTGGCACAGGGTCGGCACGCGTAGCCAGCGGCCGAAACAGAGGGGCGCCGAATGAGCGACCCAACACGCATCACAAACCACCGAGAACTCGAGCAGTTCAAAGCGCCCACACACCGCGACGGCGCCTGCACAAGAGCCCTGGGCAGAAACCAACAGGGTCAGTTATTTTCCACCCCGGAAATACACCCCCGGCCGCGACCTCGACGCCCTCCGGCTTCGCGGGGCGCAGGCGGCCGGCTCTGCAGCCAATGCGCGAACCGCACAGCTCGAGTTCGAGGCCCTGACATCACGCACGCGAGCGCCAAAGTGTGGAAGCGGCACTGGCCCCCCGAGGCCGCCTCTGAGGCGCACGGCGCCACCGCGCGTGGCTCAGGGTGCTGGCATCTGTTCTATCGTCTCCGGGGGAGCCTGTCACCGGCCATCATGGCCGCGCGTCTGTGCGGAGCGCCAACGACCTTGAGCCGGACCGGAAGCGCTCGGCGATGGCGCGCGCCGCCTTCCGGGCGCGGCTGCCACCGCCACCGCCCTCTGCGTTCCCATGCTTCTCGTCGCGACCTGCTTTCCGTCCCTCTCGCGTTCGGATTCGTCGCCAACGCGCCACCCCCGCCAACCGACACGGCGCGTGCACCCGGCAACGCGCCCCCGCCCCCCGGGGCTACGCTCCCGTTCGCCAGCCCCGACCTGCGCCTCAGACGCGCCGTGACGGTCCCACTGAAGCGCTCCGAGCGCAGCAAGGACGGCGCGGGGGAGGCATACCTCATCATCAGTCTCCAGCGGGGGGCCTGGAAGGTGTGTGGTTCCTCCGCCTGCCCCGACACGCCCACCGTGCGCCTCCGCACGCTGGCAGGGTGGTCCACGACGCGGCCCGTCCCTTGCGGCGAGCACCAGCTCCCCCACACAATGCGCGCGCCTCGCAGGGCGACTTCATACTGGACACCGGACTGACGGCTAATATCCTTACCCCAGAGGCCAGGGAGGCGCTCCAGCTGCCCAAGGGGAGCGGTGCGCGCCCCGCCGCTTCGCCCGCGCGCAGCGCACCAGCTCAAGCTGCCTGACACCCCCCAGCGCGCTCGCATCTCGGCGTGGGTGCGCACCTCAGCTTGTATGGTTTCGCTCCGCGTGCGCCGGCAGGTACGGCGACTGGCGTCGCTGCGGGCGGAGAGCGCTCTGGCGAGATCGTGACCCTCGCCGGCGCCACCCTCGCGGGCGAGCCGCTGCCGGCAATGCACGCGATCGTCGCGCCGCTGCCGGACAAGCTGCGCGCCGCGTCGCACGGACGCGCTGTGGCGGGCATGATCGGCATGGAGCTGCTGTGGGGCAACGACTTGGTGGTGGACGTCCCGGGGGGGAGTCTGCAGTTGCTGCCCGCGGGAGAGGGCACGTCGCTGGCGGAGGCGACGTGGCCTCCGATGACGGCGATCCCGCTCGCGGTGCTGCCGTCGCGAGTGCTCGGCATCGGGGCGAGCTGTGGGCGGGTGATGATGGACTCCGGGGGGGGGGTGTTGTCCCGGTCGGACGGGAAAGCTTGTGGGGTGGTGTCGGCCGACCAGGGCGCGCGGGTGTTCCCGGCGGTGCTGGACACGGGCGCAACGATGACGTTCGTGAACACGCCCGCCGCGGCGGTCACGGGGCTCGTGCCTGCCGACGCGAAGCAGGCGCAGGAGGCGCTCGCAGCGATGGCGCGCGGCCCGCTGGAGGCGGTCGCGGCGGTCGGCGTGGACGGGCGGGCGAGCGGCATCATGCCGCGGACAGTCGCGCAGGTACGCAGCGAGCCAGGCCGCTCGTGGTTCGTTCCGCGCGCGTGCGCCTTTCAGAGAAGTGCAGCGCGAGGCTCTGTGGCCGCCCATGGGGGCAGGAGGGCGTGCTGACTCTGCGCGTTGCGTCGCCCACTGTGCGCGCCTTCGGTCCTGAGCTGCGCAGGTCGCGCTGTGCGGCAAGCTGGCTTCGGAGACGACAGTTCACAGCTTGGTGTTCGACCCCGTGCCGGTGGCGATCGGGCCGGTGCCGGCGCTGCGGCTGGTGCTCGCGGCCGGAGACGCGAAGGAGCCGTACTTGGGCCCCGGCGGACTGATCGGAATGGACGTTCTGAGTCAGCGGCGGTGGATTTTGTGCGCAGCACGGCGCCGGCTCTACGTGGCGTGCTGACGCGACGTGCCGCGCGGGGTCGGGCTCGGCGGACGGCGGACGCGTGGAGCGCTCACACGGGACGGCTACGTCGGGCACGGCGTGGCCTCGAGCTCCTGATATAGGAAAAGGGGGAGTGGTGGTGATGGGAGAAGAAGTGATGGTCTGCGGTACTCTGAGCGAACACTGGAAGAACTAGAGGTGCTTGTCACGGTGCGGGCGTTGCTGGGGGTGGTGGCGATCCGCCGCTGCGCTTGCGTGCGGGTAGGGTTGCTCGGGAGGCCGCGAGGCTCTCCGCATCAGATACGTTGGGTGGCGCCTGAGTCAGGCCTCCCGGTCCTGGCTGTCGTACATCTGCTTCGCGGCGGCGTGGTCCTCGTGCACGTCGTACACCAGCTGCTTCAGGTTCCGCCTGCGCGCATCGAACACGTGCATGTGGGGATGACCCCTGTGACCGCTCTAGGCGCAAGGCAAGACGCAGCATCGCGGCACAACGACGCAGGGCACACGTTCCGCGCTCACCCGTAGTTCCGCGGCACGGCGCAGCAGAAGGCCGCGTCCGGCATCCCTGAGTCATGGTACGCAGTGCACACTTCGATCACCTCGCTCTGGTACATCCCGCTCAGGACGACCGTCCGCGGCACGTCCCACGGCAGCGCAGCGGACGCCACGCCCGCCGGCTGCTCGGCCTCGAGCGCTTCCGAGAGCGGCACTTCCAGCATGTCCTGCGGCGACGCCGCACACGCCGGGCGGCTGCTGCGTCGGACTGAGTCGGGCACCGCCGAGCAGCGCCGCGCGCGGGGCGCTGGAGCGGTCGGGCACCGGAGCAGCGCAGTCGGCCGGCGTGCGAGGCCCGCTGGCAGCCCTTGCTCCGCAGTGTTCTTCGTACCTTGGTGGCGACGAGGAGCTTGACCATGTCCGCCTCCATCTGGTTCATGAGGCCCTGCCACATCGAGATCTCGAGCTCCGGGAAGCCGACGAGGAGCACGGCGAGCGGGCCCAGCGGCGGCGGGTGCCCGGAGCCCGCGTCGTCAGCATCAGGGTCCGCGGGGTCGTCCTGCTCCGACGCGGACGGCTCGGGGGCCGCCGCGGCGCCAGAGTCGAAGCTGAGCCAGTCGAGCTCCTCGAAGAACTGCTCCTGCGCGCCCTCCATCTCGGGATGCGAGGGCTTTCGCTCTTCCCCTCCGCTGCCCTGGGGCTCGCCACGGGCCGCAGCGGGCCGCACGAGCGGTGCCCGGCGCATGGCTGCGCGGGTTGCAGCCAGGCCGGCCCTGCGGACCGGTGCGCGGAGGCACATGCTGCGGCACCACGCCATGGGGCCGCGGGACCTGTGGCACGCGCGCCCTATCGCTCGTCGATACGATTGCCGGGCTGGGACGCGCCCTCGCTGGACTGGCGCAGGCTCCGCACGTGCGTGGAGCCGCTGGCAGGCAGGGGACGCCTCGGGCCGCGAGCTCGTCCGACAACGGCGTCGCAACGCGGCAGCAGAGACCTGAGGGAGCCCTTGGTGCTCGTGCGCAGGCCCGGCGGTGGTATAAGCGGCAGGTCCACGGACCGGGTCCAGTCGGTGGGGGTGCGTCGATTCGCGGAGGGTTGAGCCTCGTCTGCGGCGTGGCCTGGCGGCGCTGCGGCGCGCTGGGCTCTGGTGGAGGTGGACAGGCTGCGTGCGCTGTGCGTGGTGGTCTGGCAGGCGATCTCGATGCGCTCGAATGGATGCAGTGTCGGTTGTGGCCCGGCGCGGCGGTCGTGAGTCCGTTGGGCTCGTGTGCGGCGAAGATTGACCGGCTGGAGGTCTAAAGCTTGCTACCGAGGCGTGTTTGCGGCGCCTGGGCGCGGGAGGCGGCCCGCGGGGGCGTCATGGCCGGCCCGAGGCGCATGGTGTTTGTCCCGCGAGTAGCCTGGGCGAGGCGCGCGTGCGAGATCAGACTCCGGGGCGCTTCCGGACCCGATCAATGCTCGCTCGTCGCTCTGTGAGAGCCGTTGAGTGCCTCGCGCGTCGCCCTCCCGGGGAATCATCGATGTCCGCCGCGGCTCAAAGGTAAACCCCCCGCCCATGACCGCCGTATCCGCCCCCCTCGCGCCCCAGCCGCTCCGCAAGCCCCCTGCTGACGCCTGATGCAAAGGCCGCCCGCGCCGCTCGCACCGGGCCCGGGCCCCGCGGCCACGCCACCCACAGCTCGCAGCCATCCCTCCGCGCCCCTCCGCCACCCCGCTCGGCCTGGCTTCCCCCCGGCTGCCCGCGAGCAACCCCTCGCCCGCAGTTGGCTGAGCCTGCCCAGTGCCATCCGTCGCCCCTCCCGATCCCTGCCGCCCCCTCCGCTCCGTGCGACCCGGCACGCCTGCCCACGCGCCACGCGAGACATCGCGATGGCGCCGCGGGGCGGTCCCTCTCCCGCCGTGCAATGCCAGACCTGAAGTGGGCTCTCAGTGCAGCCGGGAAATCCTTGCCCCTCTTGCAGGGCCGTCGGCGGCCTCGCGGCGCCCAGCGTGGCCCAGCAGGCCCAGCCCCGGATGCGAATGGTCTGGCCTGCGTGGCGGGGCGCCGCCGCGGGTCGGCACGCCCGCGTCGCGCTCGGGAGCGCGGTTGAAGGGGGCTGCCGGCGGGGCACCTCGGCATCGACCGTGGCGCGCGCGCTGGCCGCGGAGACGCGCTACGCGGAGAACCCGGTGGCGGGGAAGAAGTTCGACTACATCATCGTGGGCGGGGGCGCGGCTGGATGCGTCCTGGCGAACCGTCTGACCGCGTCTGGGGACAAGAGCGTGCTGCTGTTGGAGGCCGGGCCCGACAAGACGGACGCGCGGGAGGTCAAGACGCCCGCCGCGATCACGCGGCTGTTCCGCTCGCCGCTGGACTGGAACCTCTACACGGCCCCGCAGGCCCCGCTCGGCGGCCGCGAGATCTACTTGGCACGCGGGAAGCTGCTCGGGGGCTCGTCGGCGACGAACGCGACGCTGTACATGCGCGGGTCGCCCGAGGACTACGACGGGTGGAACCTCGACGGCTGGTCCGCGAAGGACGTCCTCCCGTGGTTCATGCGGAGCGAGCGGAACAGCCGCGGCGCAGGCACCTACCACAGCGCCTCGGGGGAGATGAGCGTGGAGGACCCGCGCTACGAGCCGCCGCTCACGAAGTTCTCCTTCGGCGCGCTCGCGGACGCCGGAATGCCGCACAACCCGGACTTCAACGACTGGTCGCGGCCGCAGGAGGGGTGGGGGACTTTCCAGGTGTGTCAGGACCGCGGACAGCGCGCCGACACCTCGCGCGTGTTCCTCAAGCCCGTCCAGGACCGGCCGAACCTCACCGTCGTGAGCTCGGCGCCCGCCACGCGCGTCGTCATGGACGGCACCACCGCTGTCGGCGTCGAGTTCGTCATGCCCGAGCTGTCCGGACGCACGCGGCTCGCAGCGGGTAAGGCCCCCCCCGCGCCCCCCTCCCCTCTCGCTCGCGCCCTCGCACGCCGCGCGGTTCCGTGGCGACGAGCTCGGCACCGGACGCGCGCTTGCACATGCGCGGCGCGTCGTCGCTGACGGCTGCGCGCTGGTGCGGTCGTGCGCTGCAGAGCTGGCCCCGGGCGGCGAGGTGCTGATGGCTGCGGGCGCGATCCACTCGCCGCACATCCTGCAACACTCGGGCATCGGCCCGGCCGATCTGCTCCAGTCAAAGGACATCCCAGTCGTCGCGGACGCCCCGGCGGTCGGCGAGAACCTCCAGGACCACCCCGCGTGCCTCTCCGCGTTCCGCATCACGCAGCCGGGCCTCACGGTGATCGAGGAGATCTACAGCCAGAAGGGGTCGCTCAAACCCACGGCAATCCTGAACTACCTGCTGCGCCGCCGGGGGCCGCTCACGTCGACCGGCTGCGAGCGCGGCGCCTTCGTGAAGACGGACGCGTCGCTCCCGCTCCCGGACCTCCAAATGCGCATCGTCGCGGGCCTCGCGCTCGACCCGGACGGCGTGGGCTCCTACGCGCGGTTCGCGCACATGGCCAGCAGCGGGAAGGACGCGGAGTGGCCGCCGGGCATCACGTTCCAGATCATCGCCGTGCGCCCGGAGTCCCGCGGGTCGGTCCGCGTCGCGTCGGGCGACCCGCTGGACCACCCGGAGCTCGACTTGGGCTACCTCAAGGACCCCCGGGATTTCGCGACCCTGAAAGCAGGTCTCGAGATGAGCCGGGAGCTGGTGAAGCAGCCGTCGCTGGCGGGGATGACGGGCGAGGAGGTGTGGCCGGCGCAGGGCACGGACGTCGAGGACTACATTAAGAACACCATCCACTCCGCCAACGCCGTGGTGGGCACGTGCAGGATGGGGACCGACCCGCGGGAGTCGGTGGTGTCGCCCGACGGCCTGCGCGTGCACGGCGTGAGCGGGCTGCGGGTGGTCGATAGCTCGGTGATGCCGAGGATCCCGGGCGGGCAGACGGGCGCGCCGACCATCATGATCGCGGAGCGCGCGGCGGGGATGATCCGGGACGGACGCTGAGCGCGGTGGCGTGCGATGTGAGCATGACGCATGGGTGGGGCATGGTGCGGCCTGTTGGGGGGGGGCTGGCGGAGAGGGGGGGTGTGTCAAGGTGTGAGGATGCGAGTTTGAAGTTCATACTAAGAGGTGACGGTTGCGGCCGTGGCGGCATGGTTGCGACGTGTGCTGGTGCTGTTCGGGCGCGAGGTAGGGGCTGCCGCCCGCGCTGTGCGACCAAGACCTGCGTGCAGAGCATAGGGGTGCAGGGCGCACACGAGGGCGGCTCGTTCGAGGTCGCCTCGATCCCGAGGCGCGGCTGGCGCCCCTGAATCGCGGCTACATGTCCGCGGCTCGTTCATCGCCGACGTCGCGGCGCGAGTGCAGCCCTGCGTACGTTCAACATTGCAGAGACATATCACGTCCGGGACGCCGCGGGACGACGTGGAGCGGACACTGAGAGGTGCGGCGCGATGTGGGACAATGTCGTGCCTGGCAAGCGAAGCGATCCACAGGCGTGCAGTTCGACCCCTCGACGCAGGCCTCTTGCGAGGTGACGCACTGATGAGGCGATGGCACGTTCTCGGAGCTCCTCACACTGCGCATCCCGCGCCGGCTCCGCGCAAGCGCACCGTTGCGCGGCGGGTGGGCACACACCCCCTCCGTACTGCACCCGTCATCCTGCTCCACAGTGCCACTGCTGCTCGCCGGACTGGCGGTGCGGCGCACGGAGCGGAGGGGAGCTGCATCGGTGGGGGTGTGCGTGGGGGAAGGGCACGAGCTTCGCGGAAAACAGCTCGAAGGACTGGAACGGTGTCCGCTAGCAGCAGGCGCCGGGTGCACAGATGTGCGCTCGTGCAGGGTGCCGAGGGGGGCAGGGCCTCCTCGCGTGCAACCTCTCGCGGAAGCGAGCTCTTCAGGGCCGGCCCGGCGAATGAAGCCGGGCGCGGGCGCACAGAAAACGTAGGGGAGTGTGTTGGGGGGGAGGGGGAGTTGGCAAGTTCTACAGCGTGGCACTAGACCCGCAACCGCGCGGCGAGCAGCTATCGGCGGGCGGCGGCCCTTCCCGGGCGCGCTTAGGCCCCCACGCGCGGCATGCGGTCCCCCCAGTAGTCAGGGTTGGCAATGCGCTGGAGCGAGGCCTCCGTTGGCAGCTTCACGTTCTTAGCGAGGCCGACGGCCTGGAGGCCGCGGATGACGAGCCAGGTGATGTCGAGCTGCCACCACTCGAGGCCGTGGCGCGCCGAGTACTCGAACGCGTGGTGGTTGTTGTGCCAGCCCTCGCCCCAGGCCAGGATGCCGACCCACCAGTTGTTGCGGGCCTGGTCGCCCGTGAGGTAGCTCTGCTTGCCCCAGGCGTGCGTGGCGGAGTTGACGAACCACGTGATGTGGTACACCCACACCACGCGCAGGCACCCGCCCCAGATCAGCGCCGGGAACCCGCCGAACGCCAGGAGCGCCGCGAACATGCCGACGATGTGCCACGCGTACGTCTTCTCGAGCCACGTGTAGAACGGCTGGCGCAGCAGGTCGTTCGAGTTCGAGCGGTCCGCGACGCGCTCGCGCGTGGCCTTGTCGTCCAGGAGCCACCCCATGTGCGACCACCAGAAGCCCTCGTACGTCGAGTGCGGGTCGAGCGGGGTGTCCGTGTGGAGGTGGTGGTAGCGGTGCGTGGAGGCCCACTCGAGCGGGTCGCCCTGCACGGCGAGGGCGCCGCAGTAGGCCAGCACGTACTCCAGCGGCTTGGGCAGCGAGAACGACTTGTGCGCCAGGAGACGGTGGTACGTCAGCGTGATGCCGAGGCAGCCCGTGATGAAGTACGTCGCCGCGAACAGCCAGACCATGTTCCACGAGAAGGTCATGGGCGCGAAGAGGCACCCAACGTGCACGGCCAGCATGAACACCGCGTAGCCGATGTCCTTGGGCTCCCACTTGCGGTTGAAGAACGCCCGCGTCTTGGGCACCGCCCACACGTCCTTCGAGAACGGGATGCGCTTCGCGCCGGGCTGCGGGCGGGCGCGGGAGGGCAAGATTCGAGCTTAGGGTGGGGGCGGCGCAGCGGGGGGGCGGTGGGGGCGCGCGGGGCGCGGGGCGGCGCGGGGGCGGCGGGGCGGGCGAGGGGGTGCGTGGGCGTGGCAGGGGGGCGGTGTGTGTGGGGAGTGGGCGCGCATATGGAGCGGGGGCGCGCTGGCAAGGGTTGTGCTCGAGCTCGGCTCACCTGGCGGGCCTGGGCCTCGGGGTCGGGCTTGGGGACCGGCTTGCTGATCTCGAGGGGCTTGGAGTAAATCTCGTCGTACTGCTCGGTGTACGAGAGGTCGGTCGCGCGGTACGGCTTCTTCTTCTTGCCGTCGGAAGCCGGCCGAGGGGCTTCCTCGACCCCGACGGACTCCGAGACCTCCGCCGAGGCGCTCCTGCGGCACGACGGGAACAATTGATTTCATGTGAGGCGTTTCGCGGGTCGAATCGCCGCGCCCCGGCCCGCGGGAGGCTGTGAGCCGCCTGCCGAGGTGTCCAGGACTGTGCCAGGCGGCCCAGACGGCTGCCCCGGCGACCCGGGTGAACTAAGGGCGGGCCCGCGCGCCGCAGCGGACGGCCGCGGGAGTGGGCGCGCCGCTGGCGGGGGCGCGGGGGGTGTGGCGGCCGAATTCGCGGCCGCGCGGGCACCCTAAGCTCTGTCTGGTCTGCAGGCTCTCGATGCGCGGGCAGGGCCGCGCGGGGCGTGGTGGGGGCGACGCACCGCAGCGTGAACTTGACGTCACGGAATCGTGGCCGGAAAGCAGGCCGGCCGACGAGCGGGGCGCCGTGGGCGGCCCCGGCCGAGGGACGAGTCGCACGCGCAGTGCAGCGAGCGGCGCGCAGGCCCTGGGGCGTGTTCATGACGCTGGTGTTCATGGTCCAGACCCGGGTACTAATCAATCCTGTTAGGTGGAGAGCCGCAGTCGTCGCTCAGACAGCTGCCACGCGTCCAGCCGGGCGTCGTCGAGCACACCAAGCACGTCCGCTGAGATCGACGGGAAGACGCTAAGAGCCTCCGGACCGCCGCGGGAACGGGAAGACGAAAGCGAACGAAGAGCCTCGTGTGGTCGATCTGGCGCGGGCGGCGCGCGTCGCGCGGCATTCGCCGGGCGGCCGAAGGCTGGACCCCTCCCCCGATTCAGGAGCCCAGAGATTTTGCCGGGCGCCCGCCGGCCACACAGGGCTCCGTCCGCACCGCGCCGCCCAGAGCGGACGCCGCCGGACACGCACCATGCGCACGGCGATCCGCGTCCCTTGATGGAACCGTGCGGCGCCGCGGGAGGCAGAAAACCTCGTGGGTATTGGATTGGCAGCGGCGTGGCGCCCACGCGGCGAACGCGCGATCCATGGCGGCGAATATCTTCGCGATGATAGTGCCGTGATGCGCCGGTGGCGATCTCGCATCGAATGTCGCGATCGGCGACGCCGTCGCGCCAGTCCTAGAGCCCGGGGTGCATCTTGCTGGGCGACGCGGGATGGGTGGCCCGAGCCACGGGGGCCGATCGACCGGCATGCGTTAGCTTCGTTGTCATCGAATGACGGGCGAGGCGAGCGCCGTCGCGGTCGCATCCGGCGGCGGCGGGCAGGACTAGGGACCACAGCAGGTTGAGCGACCTGAGCTGGTGATACCTGGGCAGACACGCAGCCATGTCATTGAAGTTAGTACCCATGATACTTCGCAGCTGCCCAGCTGCAGTGCCGTGGTTTTTCGTCGACGGAGCGCCGCACAGGGCCGGCCTCTGCGTGCGAGGCATAGGCGCGGCAATGCTGGCGCCATGTGAACGTAATGGGCGACACCGATGCCACGAACGACATCGCACAGATATGTCTATGGGAGGCAAGTGTGACAGACTCGCAAGCACACACCTCGTTTCGCACATGGACCCTGACTCGCCTTGTTGCAAGATTCGCGGTAGGCACGTTCGCGTCGTGGACAGAGCGACGCATGCGACCATTTGAATCCATGTAGAGGTCCATGCGGTGCCGCCGACGCATCCGGCGGTCGGTATAACACGCTCACCGCGCTGCCACCGGGCCCGACTTGACACAGCTCTGCGCTCTCAGAGCACGCGCGCGCGCTGGCGCCATTGCCGGCACGGGGCGGCCGGCCTCGAGAGTAGCACGAACCCTGGCTGAGAGGAAGGAGCGTCAGGCTCGTCGCAGCAGCCCCGTCCGTCGCACACGCGCCTCTAGCACGGTGTGTTGAGCCCGCGGCCAGGAACCCGGGCCCAGCGGGGGACGGCGCCCCAGGACCGCCGAGGGGGCACCGCCACAGGACCGTCAGTGCGGTGCGGTGTAGCGAGGCATGCCGTCGAAGACGCAGCCGCCCCCTCCGCCCCCGGAGGTGGAGGCGTCCAAGAGCATCGCTAGCGAACTGCGCAACGCGCCCGAAGGCGACATCGCCGCGCACTGCGTGGCCTTCCTGTCCGCGGCCCACTCGACCGAGTTCGAGGTGCGCGCGTCCCCGACCTGCGACCCGGCCCGCAACGCCCGTCGCACCGCCGCTCACGCCGTGAATGCTGCCGTCGCATTTCAGCCATCCCGCGACGCCCACGCGGACTTTCAGCCGCTTCTGACGCCGTGAACGCGGCCACCGTCTCCGTCGCAAGCCCCGGCGACGGCCGTCCGCGGCCCCCGGCGCGGCTCCGCGGCGCCGCGGCCCTCCATGCGCCCAGCTGATGCGCCACCCTCCCGCCCGCGCTCCCGCCGCCGCAGAACGCCGTCGTGGTCAACAGCATCCCCGAGCTGGTCATCGACGCCCTGAAGCACGCGACGGGCCCGCTGCGCGTCCACCTCATCCACCTGTACGCCAAGCTCGCGTCCTTTCCCACCGAGGTGGGCCTCGGCGTCACGCACGGCGAGGGCCCCGTGATCGTCTGGCGCTCGCTCCTCCAGGCGCTCGAGGAGCGCGAGGCCCAGATGGCCGCCGAGGAGGCCGAGGAGGCCGACTTGGGCGCCACCAAGGGCGGGAAGAAGGATGACAAGAAGGGCAAGGCCAAGGGGAACGAGGGGCCGCCGCCCGTGGAGGCGTTCTCGCCCGGCGGGATCGACGCGCACCTCCGCGGCCTCAGCACGAGCTGCATGCGGTGCACGGGGTGCCTGGACGACGTCGCCGCGGAGGGGCTCCCAGCCTTCGTGACGCTGTGCGAGCACGCGACGCCGCTCGTCCGGAGCCGCGCGTGGCAGGTGCGTCGCACGCGCACGTCACGCGCCGCCCTCGCTCGAGCCGCCGCGCGGCGTCCGCTAAGACCCTGACTCTGCCCGCCGCCGCCGCTTCGCCCGCTGCAGCTCCTCACGACGCTCGCGCGCCGCCGCGCGCTCTCCACGGCCTTCCTGCGCGCGGGCATCCCGGCCATGCTGATCGAGCGCGCCGGCTCGCCGGACCTCGACGTGTCCGTGGCCGCCCTGGAGGCCGCGCGCGAGCTCTGGAACACCTCCCCCCCGTGCCGCATCGCGCTCCTCGACCTCGGCCTCCCTGCGCTGCTCGCGAAGATCGTCTCCGCGGGGCCGCAGGAGCCCAGCGAGGCGCCGCTGACCGCCGCGCTCGAGGCGCTGCAGAGCGTTTGTATGTTGAGCATGTCGGCGGTTCGCATGATCCACATGCGCGGGGGAGTCACGGTGCTCCGCGCCCTGCTGCCTGCGCCGGCGAACCCGAACGCCCCGCCGGCCGACGCGGTGCGCGAGGAGGCGTCGGAGCCGCCGGGCAAGGCGCCGCCGGAGCCGAAAGCGTCCGAGCGGAGCGACAAGAAGTCGAAGGAGTCGGCGTCGCAGGCGGAGAAGGCCGACTCGAAGCTGGAGATGAGCCTGACGACCGCGGACGGCGCGGCGGCTGCCGAGGACAGCACGCTGGAGGAGGAGCGCCCGCTGCCGCTGCCGCAGCGACCCGCGGAGTCGCCGTGCACGTGGGCGGGGGCGCTGCGCGTGCTCGCGGCGCTCATGCGGGTCGCGGCGTGCCGGAAGGACGCGCTGGAACGGGAACCGGAGCCCGACACAGGCCCCGGTGGGGACTTTGAGGACATGGCCACCAGCGAGGCAGACAACCAACGTGCGGCGCCCGCACCGCACACACAGCTGACGTCAACCAGCTGCTCAGCCCTGCGCCACGCATGCCCGTCTTGCACCTCCGCCGGACACCCCCGGTCCTGCAGATCCACCCAGCGCCCCCAACCACCCCGGACTTTGTGTGTGTTTGGCAACACTCTCCACGCAGCCTGCCTCGTCCTCTTCGCCGCACTCCAGCCATGCGGGCGCCCCCGCCCGTCCACCGGGCCGCTCTCCTCGCCTCCGTCTCACATTCGTATGTTGCGTTGCCAACGTGCCGCGCAGGGGGCGCCATGAAGCTCGCGGAGGAGCAGGCCACGAGGGTCGCGCCGGGCGGGGACGCCTCCCCGACCCCGCCCCCCGCGGCACGCCCGACGCCGGACCCGGCCGCCCTCACCGCCGCAGCACCCACCCCCCCCCCGCTCCCCCAGCCGTCGCTCATCCTCCACATGCTCTGGCTCCTCCGCCAGACGCCCGAGAGCTCGCCCGACAAGGGCGACGACCTCTCGAGCACCGCGAAGACCAACAAGGCGCCCGCACCGGCGAAAAACAAGTCGAAACTGGACCAAGCGGAAGTGGTGACCGTGTCGCCGGCACCGCCCTTCTCGAACGGCGTGCAGATGAGCGCGGCGGAGTGCCTGCAGGCCCTGGCGCTGGACCGGCAGGGCGCGGACATGATTGCGCGCGCGAAGGCGTTCCACGAGCTCCTGGCGGGGTTGGAGCACATCCCGAATCTGCTGCTCGCGGAGAGGGTCGCGGCGCTCCTGGGCGCCATCGGATCGCACGTGCCGCCGAAGACGCTCGACGAGACGCTGTCGGCGGCGACGCGGGTGATGCAGGTGAGGCCTGGGCCTGGGCTGCTTGCATGCGACGCGTCGAGGGGTGCTGCGCGACACGCGGTGCGGGCGGCGTGATGGTTGTGGGCCTTCGACGGGCGGTGTCGTGCGGGTATTTCAGTCGCGGTTTCGTGTCTCATTCGCCTCCTTTCTGTCCTCGATTGCTCACAGCTCGCCAAGCGCGCCGCGAACACGGAGCTCAGCCTGCTGAAGAACACGATCGGGCGCGTGGTGATGGCGCACCGTCCGGAGTACCCGACGCGCCCGCCCCTGCCCAGTCCCCCCCCGAGCCCCCCGGGAGCACCCCCAGCCACCCACCTCAGCGTGTGGGACACCCTCGCCGACGGGCACCTCGCCAGCGGCATCGCGCAGCACTCGTGACGTGTGATCCGAGCTAGACCGCACCTCGGTGCAGCCAGCGCTGTGTTTGACGCCGTCACCTGGCGACCATGTCGCTTGGTCTGCTGGCTATTTACGTCATCATCAGGTGTGCGGTCGCCGGGTCTGTGAGGTGTATGATCCCTTTTCGCATGACAGGCCACGCGCGGGGGACGGCGATGACGAGGAGAGCTGAGTAGCCGTCGGCGCGTCGCCACACAACGCGGACAATGCCGCAGACTCAGTCACCGCTGTCACCCAGCCGGCTGCCGACACCCCCTGGTACAAGCAGCCTAGGACGTGGACCAGCACTTCGGCGCGTCGGCTGGCGGGCGTCGTCCAGTACTCGCGCGGCTCGCCGCGTTGTTGCTGACGACGCCCGCCACTCACTCTAACTGATTGCAGGTCAGAGCCTTCCCTTGGCACATGATGGCACGCTCACATGGCATTTCGCGCGAGTACTCCTAGCACGCTGCCGCCTTGATCAGGACGATAGCACACCCGCATTTCGTTTCGTGCGCGGGTGGTCAATTACTACTCTGTGTGTCGTGTTGTGCTGCGCCGGGCCTCGAACATGGGGCTTTGGCGCAGTGCCAGCTGAGAGCTACCTCCCTACTCCGGCCTTCAACCGTCGGCGTAGACGAGCCTGCCTCCGGCTAACTGACTCCGCCGTCTCACGTCCGTGGCTCACCGCCCGGCGTGCTAGGAACGCGCAACTTAGGTAGAGCTCTCCCCGTCATCGTCGCCCTCCCGTCGTGGCTTGATTACTGCATCCTCGGTCTAGTTCCGCACACCACCCTCTTTTCACCCCCAAAACCTCTCACCATGCGCACTCCAATCGGTCGCCGACGGAGGAAACGGCTCCAAGCAGCGTTGCGTCTCAGCGACCAGGCCGGCACCGCCGAGGCGCGCACGCTGCGTGGCCACCTTTCGAATGGCACCCTGTTCCACCATGTCGCAAATCTAAATGACCACGACCCGAACTTTCGACCCAGCATCACGCACGCACGCCGCATCGCGGCCGCTATTGCTCCGCAGGCATCTCCCCGTGCCTGGCCCCCTCCTAGCCCCCACCACACACCCTCCCACCCCGCCTCCGCACTAGCCCCTCGACCCTACTGGGACTACGTGCCCCGCGACGAACGGGCGCCCGCATACCCGCACCCGTGCCCCCCACCGAGCGCTCCTTTCCCACCGCCCCCGCCGGCGCTCTCGGACCTCGCCGCGCTACCATCGGTCACGGCAAACCCCCCGCTTGCGGCGCGCGGGGTTGTCTATGTCCTCTTGTGCCGGAAATACCCCTTCTTTTACTATGTCGGGGAGACATACCGCACAGCGATCGAACGACTGCAGGAGCACTTTGATGCAGCATTCACGCACCATCCGAACGCCGTGCACACCCCGCTTTACGAGTTTATGCGACGAGTGTGGGCGCAGTCGCCGAACGGCCATGTCCCGTGGCGCGACTTCACCATCGTGCCCCTCTTTCGCATCAATTTCGCACGCCAGGTGCCCATCCCGCCGGCGACTAGCCCGGACGCTTTGAAGGCCTGGTTCCACAAGTTCCGCACCTACTCCCTGGCCTGGGAGCAGACCATGATACGCTGTCTGGGCTCCACATACCCCGGCGGCCTCAATTACTGCAAGGGCATGTGGAATTTCGGCTACGGAGCTGGCCACTCTGATGCTGCCCCATGGCCTCTATCCCCCCTGGCGTTCCAAATCGCCGCTGACCCCCACCCCGTAGCGATCCCCCACAACGACTTCCCCGTCCCGCCCGGCCCGAGTGGGCTCCCAGCGCTGGCGACCCTCTTCCAGCCAACGTTTGCCATCTCCTCCACGCATCAACGTACCATCCACCTCGACGCTGACAACTGCCTCACAACTACGGCACCAGCGTTGTCCCTGCCCCCCGCTATCGCAGGCATGTCTCCGCGCCTCGGTACACGCGAGTATATCTACCAGACTCGCCTCCTTCTTGACGTTGTTTTGTTCCGCCGCGCCGGCGACACAGAGCACGATCATTGGAGACGCGCGGTGAACCATTGCACGGCAGCGAACATCGGAAAATACCTCTTCTCCCTCCATCACTGCGTGTCGCACATGCATCCCGATGCGCTTAACCTGGGTCTCGACGAGCCCTTTTACACACAGCAGATGTTGGACAGTGCCCGCACCGTTTTGCAGGCCGCCATCAACCACCACTACCCTCCCGTCGCAGACATCGACCTCGGGAGCCGTACCCTCATGATCCACGACTTCCCTACCCCCCTGGCTAGCCTCGCCCCCCTCGAAACCCTCGTCAATAATGATGACTTTCTCAACCTCTTACCTGAGCGTATCCGCGAAGGTATGGATGGCTTGTTTCTGGTGGCCCCGCGCTATTCGGTCAGGTTTCCACCGCTGTCGCGCTCGGTGTGCACGCACAGCGGAGTTGCCAAGTTTGCACGCAGTCGCCTGTACGACATCATGGCGACGCAGTGCGACTGTGCGCAACACCAAGGACCGGACCTACGACGCCACTTCACGCTCGAGGACCCCTACTGGCAGATCGACGGCGAGCCTGTGCGGCACCTCTGCACGCTGGACCCTGCTGCGGCGGGCATCCAGAGCACCGCGTACCGCCGTTTGTTCGCCGTCGGCGGTGCCAAGCACCGACACGTCCCGGAGCTGCACCAAGCCACGAGCGCGACCGTAGCTAGCATCGTTGAAGCCTACCAGAAGCCGCTGCTCGGGTGGACGAAACGCGTCAGCAAGGCCGCCGACATGGACGCGGCAGCGTGCATGCCGTACATTGATGCTATACTTGCTGCTACGCAAACGGCACTCCAACCCGCTCTTCAACCCGGGTTCCGCCTTCCATGGCCCCCGCCGCTGGCGGACATTCAGCCCGACGATCGCGTGGCTCTGCGGCGAGACGCGACACGCCTCACCATCACGACCATGGACAAGAACGCCGGGAATTTGGTTTTCGTGTGTCGGCGCGCCTACATCGAGGTCCTCCTGCACGACCTGCACAGCAACGACGCTTTCGCTGTCAACGAGCCGGCAAATGCCAACATCACGCATGCCAGGCACGTGGTGAACGTCGCTAACACGACGGAGGCTATGTTGGACAACCTGCAGCTACCAGGAATACGCACCGAACGCGAGTGCGGTGGTCTACCGCACTACTACGGGACGATGAAGCTTCACAAGGCCAAGGTGGACGTGCGGTACATCTCGGACTGCTCGAGCGACATCACGCGCCCCGCAGCGCAGCTGCTGACGAAGGCCCTCGGCGCGCTCATGTGCCACGCCACCCTCGTGGAGGTCTGGAGCTCCATCTTCGACGGCGTCCCGGAGGACCTCTGCAGCAGCTTCGCGCCCTTCTTGGTGGACTCCAGCCGCGGCATGCGTGACATGGTGACCGCGTATCTACATGACAACCCACCACGCTCAGCGATACATGCTCAACAACCACCTCTGCTGCTGGGCGCCGACATCAAGCGGCTCTACACGCACATCCGGCACGAGACGAGCGCGGACCACGGGACCGGCCTCATCGACTGCGTCATCGAACACATCGACGCTGTTTTTGCACTGCATCCAGGGCAACACCTCCTGATCGACTTGCAACCCGCGTTTGACGCGAGGGAGACGTGGTGGTGGGTGGCGCAGCTGCCGGACGCGGACGGCATGGTTGGGAAATGGGCACCGAGCATCGAGCAACTTCATGGTCTCGTGCACATCCTCGTCAAACGCGCCTACGTGGTGTTCGGGGGCGTCGTATATCACCAGACCTGCGGTGTGCCCATGGGGCTCTCGGCCTCCCCCCACCTCGCGAACTGCTACATGTTCCGGCATGAGCTCGCGTTCCTCTGCCAGTTTCGCGACCGCTGGTTGAGCACTGGCGACGTCGCTTGGCTGAAGGTCTTGGGGTCTTTCCGTTATTCCAGGCGCTACATCGACGACAATTTCTCTCTCGCGAACGCACTGTACCGCTACTTCAACACCCACCCCCGCCCCCCCACCCCGCCCCCCGAAACCCCGTCGTCGATCGTAGATCTCATCTCTGGTATACATAACATGTACCCCCCCTGTCTTGAGGTCGAATTTGACGCCCCAGCGAACCCGCTCGACGGTGTCTCCTTCCTAGACCTCCGCGTGCGTCCGCATCCCGAATATCAGGGCTTCCTCCTGATCTCGCACTATGACAAACGCGGTCTGTTTCCTGAGAACATTCACCTCATACAGTACCCCCACGCTTCGTGTGCGCTGCTGCGACGACACCTTTACAACATCGTCCGCACCGAACACATCCGCGTGTCCAGCGAGGTGACTGACCGCGACAGCTACGTAGCCAAGATGTCGGCCATGATGCGCTACATGCGTACGCATCGAGGTTACTGCATGCGACAGGTCCTGGCGATCCACCGCGCCGCCTGCCGGACGCACCCGAGCCCGCATTTTGGCCCTGCCACGCCGGCGGGCCTGGCTGACCTCGTGCGTCGCCACGTGCAGTTTGCAGACCATACTGGCCAACCTGCTGACAGGGCGTGCCCGGCGCCCTGCAACTCGTCACCCTCATACATGATCCCGGCGCTGCGAAGCTGGCTCGGAACTATCCAGCCATGCCCGCACACATGACGCACTCTGTTACCCCCCCGATGTTGACATGTTGGCCATGCGCGTATTCCGTGGCCGCTAGACCGAGGTATGATCCCTTTTCGCATGACAGGCCACGCGCGGGGGACGGCGATGACGAGGAGAGCTGAGTAGCCGTCGGCGCGTCGCCACACAACGCGGACAATGCCGCAGACTCAGTCACCGCTGTCACCCAGCCGGCTGCCGACACCCCCTGGTACAAGCAGCCTAGGACGTGGACCAGCACTTCGGCGCGTCGGCTGGCGGGCGTCGTCCAGTACTCGCGCGGCTCGCCGCGTTGTTGCTGACGACGCCCGCCACTCACTCTAACTGATTGCAGGTCAGAGCCTTCCCTTGGCACATGATGGCACGCTCACATGGCATTTCGCGCGAGTACTCCTAGCACGCTGCCGCCTTGATCAGGACGATAGCACACCCGCATTTCGTTTCGTGCGCGGGTGGTCAATTACTACTCTCTGTGAGGTGCACGGGCTGTGCGTGCAGGAGCTCCGCGGCCTGGGCGTGCGGGTGTGTTGGCACGGGGCCAGACGTGGTCGTGGGAGGGTCCGAAATGGGCGGGAGGGGTACTGAGCTGACCGTCAGCCCCTGCTGCGTGTCGGGCGGGGCGCGTGCCCGGGCGATGTGCATGTTGGGGCGTTGCGAAGCGTGGGAGGACAGTCCTGCGCGTGATTGCACTCGTTGAAGCGAAGCCCGGTTGCAATTCGCGCGGTTGAGGCGCCAGGGCAGCTGCAGAAGCTTCGCCGCGAACGTGGACGGGACGCGGACAGCGGCGCATTTCCCCCCCGGCGAATCACCGAACTCATGAACCTCCAGTACCGGCTGAAACAGGCACGTTGCGCGCGACATCGAGGCGTCCGCGCGCCCCCTTGCTCCTCAGCAGCGCCCGCGCGTCACCGCGCCTCGTGGGGGCTCAGGGCCCGGATGACCCGCCGTCCCCCGCGGCCCGGTATCGCAGGCTGTGCGGGCCGCGAGGGCGGTCGCGCTGAACCTCACCGACTTGGAGATCAAGGTGGAGGAGGCGACAAACAACGACACCTGGGGGCCGCACGGTGGTCTGCTGCGTGAGATCACGGACGCGTCGCACGACCACGATAGCTACAAGGAGATCATGGGCGTTCTCGCCCGGCGTCTCCAGGCAAGCAGCGCGCGCACCGGGCGGCCTATACAGTGCACTACCTTGGACGGTCGCTCGCGCCGTGCTTCGCCCCTCTCCTGCGCGCGTGCTGAGTTCAACCGATCACGTCTCCCTGGAACTACACTCGCGCGACGCGAAAGCGAACCCCGTCGCTCCTGGACGCAGGACGAGGGCCCCGACTGGCGGCACGTGTACAAGGCGCTGCTCACGCTGGAGTACATGCTGAAGAACGGCCCGCCGAAGATCCTGTCCGAGCTTCAGAACAACATCGACATCCTCGAACGCCTCCGTGATAGGTCAGCTCGTCCTCCCCGCCGCCCCAGCAGCACGATGCACTGCCTCCCTCCACCCACCCGGCCCCCGCGTCCCCCGCGACCCCTCGGGCGCCGCACCCCACGTCATTTCGTAAATCCTCAAAACTCCCCCCTGACTCGCGCAGGTTCCACTATGTCGACCCCAAGGGCAAGGACCACGGGCTGAATGTCCGCCACCGCGCCAAGGAGCTCGCCGCGCTCGTGCAGGACCCCGAGCGCGTCCAGGAGGAGCGCCGGAAGGCCCGCCAGCTCGCCGGCGTCGCCAACGACGGCGTCACGACGGAGGGCCGCCTCCCCCGCAACGAAGAGCGCCTCGCCGGCGCCGCGTCCGGGTGGCGCGAGCCCGAGGTCGACGTGCCCGCGCGCCCCATGCCCCGCGGCACCCCGCGCGTCGACGTGTCCCCCAAGGGCTCCGGCACGCTCGACGTGCCCCCCGCGGCCGCTCCGGCCGGCGGCGCCGCTGCGGACCTCCTGGGCGGCATGGACGAGCCCGCGGCGCCCGCTGCGGCGTCCGCCGCGGAGCCCGCGGACGACGCGGCCGCGGCGCCGCCCGCGAAGGGCGCGCAGCCGCAGCGGCCGAAGAAGCTGAGTCAGGTGAAGGTGCGCGGCGACATTGCGGCGACGTTCCAGGGGATGAAGCTCGCGGCGCCGCCCGCCGCGCGCGCGCCGACGGGCGCGGCGGCGACGTTCTCTGCGCCCGCGCCGCCCGCCGCGTCGGCCGCGCCGCCCGCGCCGTCGATGATGGACGACCTCCTCGGGCTCGACGCGACGCCGGCGCAGCGGGCGCCGGCGCCCGCCGCCGCCGCGCCCGCTGCGTCCGCGGACGACGCGTGGGGCTTGCTCGGAGGGTCGTCCGCGGAGCCGGCGGCAGCGGCGCCCCCCGCGGCCGACGACGACGCGGGGTGGGCGTCGTTCGCACAGCCCTCCGGGGGCCTCCCGCAGCCGTCGTTCGGGCCCGTGCCTGTGCCGGCGCCAGCGCCGACGCACGGTGCGGCTGCGCCGCCGCCTGATCCGTTCGATGCGCTCGTGGGGGGCGGTGGTGGGGCCGCCGCAGCAACGGCTGCCACCGCCACAGCACCTGCGCAGCAGGCCAACGCGACTGGGCGGGCACCGCTGCCAGACGACTTGTTCTCGGACATGGGAGGGACGTCGGGGGGTGCTGTGCAGGGCGGCGGCGGGTTCGGCGGGTGGCCAGCAGCGACGCCGATGTCGCAGCCGGCGCAGGGTGCGGCGCTTTTGGGGGGCGTTGGGGGACACGGGCACGCGATGCGGCCCGAGGCGGGCGGCGGACCGACGGCGGCGAACCGGAGCGCGCCGCCGGCGAAGAAGGACCCGTTCGCGGACCTGCTGGGCTGAGTCGCGCAGCGTTTTTTCTGGGTGGTTGAGAATCAGAACGTATCTATCTAGGACTCGTGTTAGGAGGAAATACCTGCGTCAAGTGGGGGCCGCTGAGCGTGCGCGAGTCTTCGGACCGGCTGGCTGGAAGGTGCAAGCCGCCCCCGTGCGCAGCGATCCAGCACCGCGATCCACAACCATGACGTTGCGATATATCAATGAAGCAAATCAAATCAAATCAAATTGAGGCCGGGGCAGGGTTGCAGTCTCCGCGACGCATTTGCTCGTGTACGTGCAGCTGAGGAATGTCCGGAATATCTCGTTGCCAGCTGCTCAGCGCCCGTTGTTGCCACGCAGCTGGAAGCTGTCACCAATCGCAAGTCAAATTTCACAGCGGCGGACGCGTGCGCTGGCAAACAAGCATCGCTCCTGCTGGCATTACATCTTGCCCTGCATCCGTGGTATCCTGGGCTGCGTCGACCCGCACTTGGCCTCGGCAACTGCGCCGTACAGCAGGCAGACATCACATCAGATGACCGCGGCCACCTGGATCCGCGCGTCCCCTGCGCGCTTCCGCAGATCCGTCGGGCACTCCCGGTCCCCCTCGACCACCTCCAGCACCCCCAGCAGCCCCTCCAGCCCCGACCGCGCCGCCTCGCACCGCACCATGCGCTCCTCAAACGACAGGTCCACGCCGGGCGCCCGCCGCCCCTCCGCGGCCTGCAGCGTCCCCGTGATCGTCGGCCCGAACGACCGCACCATGCCCGTCACCGCGTCCAGCGCCGTCGACCGATGCCTATCCTGTCTGCTCTCCAGCATGACCCTCAACACGGGGCACAGGTCCGGCAGAGACTCGAGGCCGAGCTTCTGCCGGCTCGACATCATCACGGGGAGGACGTCGCACGCCACGGACGCGTCCTGCCCGCGCCGCAGCGCCGACACAGCACCCTTGACGTCGCCGCGCGCCCAGAACCCTCGGACCACCTGGAGGCTGGCGAGCCGCGACGAGAGGATCAGCTCGACCGTCGCGTGGCTCTCGAGCATCTCCGACGCCACCTCGCGCTCCGACACCGCCGCCGCCGCGCTCCCGGGGGGCACCGGCGCCGCCCCCGGTCCTGCGGGAATCGGGACGTCCGCCGCCGTCGACGGCACGAACTCCGAGAAGTTCAGGCCCTGCGGCTGCCGCCGGCCGTCGCCCGAGGCGTTCGGCGCGAGCCCCGGCGCAGTCCGCGTCCGAGTGATCGGAGGGGGGGACTTTTCCCCCGACACCACCGCCGCCCGCGGGCTCCCCGCCGACATCGACCCCTGGCTCACGCCGCGCACGACCATCCCGCGGCTCGACGCCTTCCGCGCCGGCTCCCCCTCGCTCCCCCGCCGCGCCGCCTCCGACAGCCCCCGCACCACCTGACCGCCCGTCGGTGCCGCCTGACTGCGCGGACTCCTGCGCAGCTCGCTCGGCGGCAGCCCCGACGCGCCACGCGATCCCGAGCCCTGGAGGCCCGCGAGGCGGTCCGCGAGGTCCACGACGGCCTCCCGCGCGCCCGCGCTCGCAGCCTGCACCAGCGCCGCCCCACCTTGCCCGCGCAACAACGAGTCCCCCGGGGCACCGATCCCGATCGAGACCATCCCGGGCTTCGGCGCAGGCTCGTGTCCGTCCGTCTCCGGGCTCGGCGTGCCCCGCGAGCCGCTCCCGCGGCTCCCTCCGCGGCTCTGTGGCTGCGGAGGGCGGTCCCCCTGCGCCCGCGCCAGCGCCGCCGCCGCAGCCGCCTGCCCGGGCGGCAACCGCGCCGCCGCCGGTATCTGCGGCGGCGCCGACCCCGGCGCCGGCACGTACGCCGACTGCGAAGGCATCGACATCCCTACTGGCCCGCCGGCGTTGCCGCCGCCCACCGCGGCGCTCGCCGACACCGCACGCGCGCCCCCGGCCTCCCCAGCCGAGCCGTCCTCCCCGCGCGCCTGCCCGATCCGCGTCAGGTCCGCGGCCCACAGCGACACGAAGTTCGCGGCAATTGAGCACCCCAGCAACCTGTTGCCGTGCAGCCCCAGCCCGGCAACGTTCCCCCACGACATGTCGACGTAGTCGAGCGCGCGCGCAGGCTCCCACGCCCACGCCTTCAGCCCGTCCTGGTTCGCGGTCAGCAGCGCGTCGCCGTCCGGCGCGAACACCATCTGCTTCGCCGGCGTGGCCTCGGGGCCGAGGGTGTCCGCGAGCGCGAGCGTCTCGAGGTCCCACAGCCGCACGGAGCGGTCCGAGCCCGCGGTAGCCAGGAGGAACTCCGACGGGTGGTATTCCACCGCGGTCACCGCCGCGCCTTGCAGCGGGAAGTGCGCCAGCTGTTTGCCCGCTGTCAGGTCCCAAATGCGAACGTCGCCGTCCTCGCCGCCTGCGGAGACGCGCGGGCGGAGGTCGGGGTCGGCGGGGCTGTGTGCGCGGGGGGGAGGGGAGGGGGGGGGGGCGTCGCGGGGGGGTCGTGGGCGGACCTGACGCAACCCAGCGTCCGTCTGGGGAGAACTTGACGTGTTTGACTCCCCCCGTGTGGCCCTTGTAGGTGTGGATGCAGCCCTTGCGGCGGATGTCCCAGAGCTTGACCTGCGTGTCGAGGCTGCCGGAACACACGAACTGGCCGAAGGGGTGGAACTCGACGCCTAGGCATCCTGAGCGGTGGCCCACCAAGGTTTGCAGGACGCGCTGCTCCTCGAGGTCCCACAGCTTGATCGCGCCGCCCGACGCGCCCGCGGCTACCACCTGCGCGCTTGCCGCGGCGTGCCGCGGAACGTCGGAACGGTGCAGCGTCGAGACGCACGCCGCGAAAGAGCATGCGAGAGCAACGAATTGGCAGCGCCGGGCGGTGCGGGGCGCCGGAGCGCGCGGCGCGGGGCGGCGTGGGCGTCGTACCTCCTCCGCAGCGTCGAACGTGACGCACTCGACCGGCGTTTGGTGGCCCGTGAGGGAGAGGATGGCCTGCGGGTTGCCGATGGCCCACATATTCACGCGCTTGTCGTCGCCGCCCGTCACCAGCACCCCCGCGGACCGCTTGCCGATCTTCAGGCAGTTCACGTTCGCGGTGTGCGCCGCGAACTCCTCTGCAAAGCACCACGCACGTCCTGGGCCCGCTCGTGTAACCCGACAGCAACAGCGCACGAAAACGCACCCGCGATGCACGATTCCGCACATACACACGCGGATGCGCTAGCACATAGAGTGTTCAGCGCGCAGCCAAGGCGATCCAGGCGTCCAGCGCGCCCCCGCGACCGCTGGGTGCGAGACTTGTGAGCTTGCTGCTCCGGGACGCGGCCCAGGCTCCCCCGGCGCGGCCTCGCGCGCTCCGAGAGCGCGCGGCGCGATGCGGGGCGCTACGCACGGTATCCCGAGGCCGGTGGCGCGGGCACTCACGCAGCCGGGTGCCTTTCTTCATCGTTCCAGCTCTCTCAACTCTCCGCAGTGTTGCTGGTTCAACCTCAGGCGGTGTGCCCCCTCCCGCGGCCTCCCTGGGCCCCTCTCGCGCGCTTCAGTGCGACTCCCGCCCAACAGGATCGTGAGTCTACCCGCAGAGGCGACCACGGTGCTCAGGGGGCTCAAACACCCGGGCACGGTCCGTGCGATGTGACTGAGGGGGCTGTGGGTGCCGTCGTGGACGGCAGCGTCCCAGGCGCTCCCTGGCTGCGTGCTCCAGATAAGAAGCGATGCGCCGGGGCGCAAATGGCCGCCTGTCCGCGCAGCCGCGCGACATATTGGGCGCTGGAGTGCAGAGCTGACACGAGTGGGGTACTATCGGGAGATGCGCCCTGCGTGGGGTGTGTTGGCGGAGCTGGCGGCGTGCACGGGCACTGCGCAGATAGCCGCCACGTATCAGGACGGAAGCGGCAGCACGAGACGCTCCCATATGGGCGGAGGGGCGGCACGAAGTTGAGAGAGGCTCAACGGCTCGTGCTCCGTCATGGTGGACGAGCGCCGGCGGTCTCGGGCGCGCGACCGGGACGAGGAGCGGAGGAGGAAGCGATCACGATGGGACAGCGGAGGGTGCGTCCCCCCGGGCCCACGCTGCAGGCGTTTTCCTCGGCACAAGTGGCCCGGCTCCGCTGCTCTGTGCCGCCGCCTCGCCGCCGCACATATATTCTGCTTCCATCAGGTTATCCTGAATTGGTCCCGACGCCCACGTTCCAAAAATCGTCGTTTCGGCCTGCAAGCCCGTCGAGAAGCGCCGGGCTCCTTGCACAGTGGCCTCCGTGCAACTCGCCCCGCGCCTCGCCGCACACGACCGCAGAGGTGGCGAGGACGCGAAGCGCAGCCGCGACCGCGGCGCCGAGCCCTCGCCGGCCGCGGCAACGACGCCGGCGGCGACTTCTGGGGTGCGCCGACGCCGCGCCTCTAAGTGGGGGGACGCGCCGAGCAACGCGCTCGCCGCGGCGTCCGCGGTCCCCTCGGCCCCCATGGGCGCACTGCCGGGCTACTCGGGCGCAGGCGGGCCCGGTTCCATGCTCGGAGGCTACCCAGGCGCCACCCAGGCGCACCCGGGCAACGCTCTGGCGCTCGCGGGACAGCAGAAGCCGAGCGAGTACATGACGATCGCGGAGCGGCAAGCCATGAAGGTCTACTGCGGCAACATGCCGCGCGACGGCAACGTCCAGGAGCTGGTGCAGCAGTTCAATGAGGCATACCTTCGCATCAACCCCGCGGCGGCCATCACGGGCGAGCTGCCGATCCGCGACGGCATGATCAACGCGGAGAAGCAGTTCGGCTTCCTCGAAACCACGCACTCGGACCACGCCACGGTCATCATCTGCATGATGGACGGCTTCATTTACAGGGGAACAGCGCTGCGCTTGCGGCGGCCAAAAGACTACTTCCCGCCCGCGGAGAGCGACCAGGACGTGCTCGCGCGCGTGCTCCCGGGCGCCCGCATCCCGATCAACCAAGGTGAGGCCCTGCGCGCCCGTCCCGCCCCGCCACGCTGACGCACCTCCGCTGCGTCGCGCACGGTTCGTCCTGACGCGCGCGCCGCCCCCGCCGCCCGCGCAGAGATCCCCGCGGACCCGGAGGTGCCGCTGTCGCCGTACCGCATCTTCGTCGGCAACCTGCACCCGCTCCTCAACGAGGCGGAGCTCAAGGAGCTCTTCACTGCCTTGGGTCAGCTCCAGTCCTTCAAGCTCATCAAGTCCTCCCCTGACGCGGAGCTGTCCGAGGGGAGGTGCTACTTCGCGTTCAAGGACCCCGCGACGACGCCCCGCGCGCTCGCGGCGCTCCGCGGCGTCCGCGTCATGGAGCGGCTGCTGATCCCGGCGCCGTGCTGCGACATCGAGCTGGTGAACCGGTGGTGGGAGGACCTCGCGGAGCACGGCCACCGCGCGGGCGTGGCGCCGGAGCTGACGCCGGACGCGGAGGAGCTGCTCAAGCGCGGCGCGGCGGACGCCGAGAAGGGGGAGTATCACTACGAGGTGCCGGAGTGGATCACTCCCCTCATATTGAAGCCTGGGCTGAAGCCCACGCGCGTGCTGGAAATCAGCAACGCGCTGACGGAGGACGCGGAGGAGCTGCGGCCCGACGGGGCGGCGGAGGCGGTCGAGAACGACTTCCGGGAGGAGGGCCGGAGGTTTGGGCACGTGAAGAGTGTGCAGGTGACGACGCCGATGGACGGGGAGCGGCTGCGGGCGGAGCGGGACGCGCAGATGGCGGAGGCGAAGGCCAAGGCGGAGGCGGCGGAGGCGGCGGCGGCGGCGGCGGCGGGCGAGGGGGGGGACGGGAAGGAGGAGGGGGGGGACGTCGGGCCTGCGTCAGGGGACGGCGGCGACGCCGGGAACGGCGTGGCGGTGAAGAAGGAGGACGAGGGCGCGGTGGGCGACGCGGACCCCGGGTCGCCGAAGCTCCCGGCGGACACGGTTGGCGGCGACGCTCCGCCGGGGGACTCCAAGGCGCTGATGGTCGACGGGCAGGCGCAGGAGGGGCAGCCGCTGTCGTGTTTCGAGAAGCCGCGGGTGCTGCTCGCTCCGGACGGGCGCGCGAGCGGGCTGGGGAAGGTCTACATTGAGTTCGCCCGCCCTGAATCCGCAACGGAGTGCGCAGTGCAGCTTCACGGCCGCAAGTTCAACGGCAGGATCATGCGGGTGCGGTACTTCCCGCTCAAGACGTACCAGCGGTGGTTCCGGAAGGGCCTGGTACCGACGACGAACGCGGAGAAGCAGGCGATGGCGATGGCTGTGCAAGAGAAGCTGACGACAGCGGCGTACGGGCCGATGCCGGACTCGTGGGTGGACCCGCTGACGGGGATGACGGCGAAGGACGCGCGGATGAGCTTCAACGCCGTGCCGCCACCGAGCCTGATGCCGCCGCCAGGGCCGCCGCGGTGAGGGGGCGGGGCGTGCCTGTGAAAGCCCCCCTCGTGAGCGCGTGCTGGCGCCCCGATGACTCGCCGCAGCGAGGCGCGGTCGCAGCGCTTGCCAGCGATGGCTGCTCGCCTCCGTTCCAGACGCGTGGTGCCACGTCAGCGATGGAGGTGTTCGTACTTCGCTTTAGTACTTCGCTGACCTACGAGCACCGTCGCTGCTCCTCGAGCGCGGCCGCTGAACCAGGGTTGGCCAAGAATCACAGTCGACTGCTGATCTGCGGGGGGTTGCACACGTTGGGGTGGGTCTTCCGTGGTCCTTTTGAGCAGGTGCGGGGGGGCTATGGGGTCGAACACCACGTGGAACTGTGATGATCGCAAGTCGTCGTGGATCGTGTCGTGACAGCAGTCCGGGCATGCACAGGACGGATTCCGAAGAGGTTCAGCTGCTGGGCCTGGCCGCTCCGCGGAGTGTAGCAGGTGTGTGTGTGTGTTGCGTTGCTAAAAGATCATCCATGCACCAACGGACATCACTCTGCGATGTTGCGCAAGCTGTCCGAAAGAGAGAGATTGCATGGAGTGTGCCGTGGTGGCATCGAGCACCCCGGCCGCAACAGGGTCGGCCAGGGGAGGGCAGCTCGTAGCAGGAGGGGTGGTGGCACTGGGGTTGTCCACTTCGCTGCGGGGCCCAGGGGCCCCCGACGCGATGACATGGGGGGAGGAGGGCTGCCACATCGTGCACCGGGTACGTTGGACACGTGCGCCCGGATTCAGGTACGGCATGTTGAAGAGATCATGCAGTTGGTTGTTTGGAAAAGGGTGGGGAGGGGGGGGTCTGGGCGGGAGATGGAGCAAGCACGTGCACATGCAGGTGATGGCGCGAGTGCGCGCCACGTGTTCGTCGGTGGGCGGGTAGCAGGGGCCGGTCTTGGCGGTTTGCAATAAAGAAGCATAAGACTAAGGCACATCAATCCTCTTTCGTACCGATCCAGCAAGGGAGCTGCGGTGCTGGCGGGTTTGCACAAGTGTGCATTGATCAGTAGTGCTGACGCCGTACACGCCAGGCCGGGCGCGCGTCCTTGCAACTGCTGCAGGCGTCACCAAGGCACCCAGCTACGCCGGCACCTGGTTCGGGACAGGGCAGTCCACCACCTCGGTGACAGCAGGGACCTCGGCCGTACGTCGTGTCCCTGACTCGCTGCTGAGCAGAATGTGTCTCCGCGGCCCGGCGCCGTCCGCAGAAACCGGTCCTTGGTCCAAGGAGATGCGGAGCGACGAGGGAGTCTTTCGCGCCATCGGCGACGGCCTCAGCATGACGGGCGGCAAGCCCTGCAGGTCGCCGAAGCTGCCACTGCCATGGCCGTCCAGCACCACCGCGCGCGTGACCGGGTTGACCGGGCACAAGTGGGAGTGGGAGCGTTGGTGGTCCATTGACTCGCGTGGCGACAGCAGGGCGCCGGAAGTCGACGACAGCCGCGACATGCGCCGCGACCTCGAAGCTCTGAGCCCGTGCACCCCGGCTGCCGGCACCGCTTCGGCGATGCTGGGCAGCTCCGCCGCTCCCCGGCTGGACCGTAGGAAGCTGGCCCCACGGCTCGCAGCCTTGCTCCGGTCGTCCGCGGACGGCACCCGCTCGACCTCGTCGTGGTTCACGCTCTCGCCGGATCCGACCGTGGGAAGCCGAGCGGCGGGGAAGGTCGCGCCCAGCGGGTCGCTGCCAGCCGGGAGCGACCGCCGCGCTACCCTCTCGCTGCTTTGCCGCATCAGGGGCAGCTTCGAGACGTTCGGGCTCAGCGTGCCCCTGCTGGCGAGGGACGCGCGCTCGTACAGCGGCTCGAGTCCACGTGCTGATGTCGCCCGGCTGGGCCGCGGAGAGCCCACGGCGGACGCCAGTTCGCGAGTGATGACGATGTCCTTCGACGCCTTGCGCTGCAGGCGCGGCATCTGCGTGGATGTCTGGCTCTCGAGCTCCCGCAGCACCTGCTCGTGGTACTGCTGCGTGATCTGCGCCCCGACCGTGGCGCGCCGCCGGCGCTTGGTGCGCTGAATGTCCTGGTGGATGCGCCCGAGCGTCTCGAGCGCGTCCGCGATGGAGCGGCTGGCGTTGCGCTTCGCGAGGAGGCGCTGCAGCTGTCCCTGCATCTCCGGGTACCGCTGGAACAGCATGTGCATCTTCACGCCCGGGATCTCAATGGCCCGCACTGCCGTGCGCGCTCGCCCCGACGCAGTGCGCACGTTGCTCGTCGTCAGCACGGCCATCTCGCCGACGAACGACCCCGCCGCGTGGCAGGCCAGGCGGCGCTCGAACGGGTTCGACGACGACCGCGTCAGCTGGTCCACGCCGCGGTCCATCAGGTTGTTCAATTTGAGCTGCAGGAACGTGTCGAGGTCTCTCCGGCGGAACACGATGCCCGGGTCGCCGCTGTCGTCGCCGGCTGCGAGGTCCTTGACGTCCGCGCGGTTGAACTTGAGCCCGCGGGACACCTCCAGGTCCGTTTCAGACCCCCGGGGGCCTCGCGAGATGGACTGCGCCGCGTCGTCGTCGCCGCTGCCTTGCGGGGACATCCGCTCCGTGGCCTCGTTCGGGTCGCTCGGCACGACGGATATCTTGCGCGTTGAGAACGCGCTGAGAATCGAGCGCTTGCCAGTCGGTGTCTGCGCTGGTGGGCTGCGGAGGCTCCGCGACGGCCCGATGCGCGGGAAGAGCGAGCCGACGCGTCTGAACAAGGAAGCACCCACCGATGCGGAGTGACGCATGCGGCGGGGCGAAGCCTTCGGGGAGCAAGATCGGCCTCGCGCATCCAGGTCGAGGTTGTTGCTGTTTCCTTGACCTGAGCCCGACATTGGGTCCTCGTTCACCAGAACGGGCCTCGGATGCTGCAGTGGCGTTGTCGTGGTGGGCTGTTCGCCGGGCGCCTGTACGGACGGGGGCGGGACGCGTCAACGGTTGAGCATTGAGAGCAGAAGAACTCAATCGAACAGGTCGGTCGTTTATTCAGACTCGATGCAAGTCAGCTTCTGCACCACAACGCAGCGTAGCGCACCTCACTCCCGCCATCCTGCGCCCCCGCCACACAGTCGCTCGCGCAAGGCCCACCGCTGCGGCCGTTGTCGCGCACGGCACGCCCAGGGCCCGCAGCGGGCCCCGCTGGCACGCCGCCTTCCGGAGCCTCGACCGCGCTCGTGCCGACGCACGGGGTCCCCGCACTCGAGGTGCGCCGGTGCGACCCCCTCGTGCGAGCCCCGGCGTCCTTCCTGTCGTGCTTGTACACGTCGTCCATGTCGCCCTGCACGCTTCCGATGAGACTCGAGACCACCGAGGCACGGTCCGCCTGGCTGTGGTCGGACTCTGCGCCCCGGCCCGGCCCCTCGGCCACATCGCTCCCCTCTGCTCGCGCAGAGGCCTGTTGCGCGGGTGACGCGCTCTCCCTCGACGCATCCCCATGGTCGCCCCCGATGAACATCTTGTGGTGCGGAGTCAGGCTGACCTCGTCGCTGTCCGGCTCAGGGGCCTGCCTGTCTGGCGGCAGCGAGAGCGACGGGAGCGACAGCCTACTCGGCCTGTGGCTTGGGGGTGCCGGCGGTGGGGCGACGGGGCAGTTCGGCGCCACGGGCTCCGCGTCCTCGAGCCGCTCGCTGACCACGTTTCGCGCGTACGCGGCCCGCCGCGGTGCGGCCTCGACCTGCGACACCGCTTGCAGGCTGCGCAAGTGCGGGAGGCCTGTGGAGGCCCGCAGGGGGACGCGCGAGCAGCGCACGATGTCCACGTCGCCCTCGACGATGTAGAACATGCTGTCGCCGACCTCTCCCTCCCGGAACAAATACTCCCCCCGTTCGAACACGCGCTCTTGGAATCCCGCGATGTGTTCCTTGATGTCCCACTGGACGTACGACGTGACGGCCGCCGCCAGCTCGTCCTCGGAAACCTTGACCGGGGCGTACGACGCCCCGCCCGCCGCGTCGTGGTGCGCCGGCCCGCCCTCGCGCACCCACGGGTGTTGCTTCATGCCGGTGAGCGTGATGCGCTTCGCCGGGTCCTTCTCCAGCATCCGCTCGAGCAGGTCGCGGAGGAGGTGCGACACCTCGACGTCCGCGGGCAGCACCAGGTCGTCCACGTCGATCGCGGCGTACGTGGCGTACGTCGTGGGCCCCTTGAAGGGCAGGTCGGCAAACACAAAGTGGTAGAGCGTGACGCCGAGCGCCCAGAGGTCGGCGGCGCGGCCGGAGAAGGCCTCGCCGCGCGCGATCTCCGGCGCGCAGAACGCCGGCGTGCCGTACGTGCGCTGCATGGTGTCGTCGCCCGACGACGGCAGCACCACGCTCGAGCCAAAGTCGATCAGCTTGACGCGGCCCTGCGCGGAAAGCAGCAGGTTGTCCGGCTTGATGTCGCCGTGCACCACGCCGTTCACGTGCAGGTACTCCACCGCCCCGACCAGCTGCCGAAAGTACTCTTGCGCCGTTTGCTCCACCAGGCGGACCGCCCGGCCGTCCGCGCCCAGGTGCTGCACGACGCCGCCCTCGACGTGCTCGAGCACCATCAGCATGTGGTCCTTGCTCGGGTCGTCGATGAACTGGAGCACGTTCACGATCGACGGGTGCGTCAGAGCCTTGATGACCGCCATCTCGCGCTGCAGAGCGGCGCGCGCGTCGCCGCCCTTGCCGAGCATCCCGCGGACCTTCTGCCGGTGCGCCTTGTTCACCATCTTGATGGCTACGAGCTGGTACGCCTTGAGGTCCATGCACAGTCGGATTTTCCCGAACGAGCCCGCCCCCAAGTTGCCAAGCACAATGAACTCGTTGAACATGAGGTGGCCCGCGGAGTCGCGGCCCCAGCTGAGGTCCGCCTTGTCCATGATGATCGAACCGTCGTGCGGGGTCGCGCCGCCGTGCCCGCCGGGCGACGCGGCGCCAGCGCCCGAGGCCCCGTGCGCCGAAGACCCCGGCCGCCCGGAGCTCCCCGGGCGCGCCGAGGCGCCCGCGTGCGGCCGCAGGAACAGGTTGCGGTCCGCCTCCGTCTCGCGGACGGACGGCGTCGCGGACGGCCCCGCCTCCTTCACCGACTCGAGCCGCCCCTCGAGGGCGCGCTCCATGGCCACGCTCTCGTGCAGCTTCCGTATGAAGTCCTCCGTGGTCATCGAGGAGTCTCTGAGCCGCGAATGCACCGGAATCGGCGCGTACGGGTTCTCGAGGTCGTCACGGCCCGCCGTCGCCGTGCTCCGCCCCTGCACAGAGATGAGGAGAGCCCAGGTGGGTGGCTCGTCAACGACGCGCGCGACGCCTCGTCCCGCACCGCAAGACGGCCGCACTGCCAGGAGCCTGCGTCGTCCTCGGACGCGGCGCGCAGGGGCGTCGTCGGACACGCGCGCGCGCGCGCTCCCGCGCCGTGGACCTCACGGTTCGCTGCCGGCACGAGACATTAGGCGAAATTCGGGCTCCTCGCGCGGCTTCGAGGCGTGCGAAGCGGCGCGACCGCGCGGTGATGGGGTGTGTGGGGCTGCGACCCACCTTGGATGGCGCGTGCTGCAGCCCAGGCCCCGCAGCGGCCGGGACCACGGCAGGAAGGCGGTGGCGACTCGCACCGCACCCCATGGCTCCTCGCAGACGGGCTCACGCGGCGCCTGCCTCGGGGGATGTCGGAGCGTCACGCGGGCCGCGCGCACCGAGGCGCCGCACGCTGCGCGCCTTGCATCACGCGAGCTCGCTCACTGCTGAAGAATCACCGCGCGCCAGCGGCCAGCGGGCGTCCGTTGGAGACGGTGTCGCAGTGGTAGGAGTAGGCTGGCTACCGAACTATTCAGTACCCGTGCTCGCGGCCTGCGGAACAGGACGGAGCAGCGCATGGTGGTGGTGCAGGGCAGTGGGAGAGTTTGCTCTCGAGGAGGCACGGGGTGCGCGCGGAAACGGCCGTCAGCTGGCCCGTCATGATGAGCACGTGGCCTACAGGCGATCCCGCGGACGACGAGGGCCGCAAAGCGACCGAACGGCGGTCGGAGGGCGCGCAAACGGGAAGAGCAACACCGTGTCGCGGGAGCGCTCGGTGTGCCGGTGCGCGAAAGTGGCCATCGGCGTCACGAGCGAACACGTGTTGACGAAGGTTCGGCGCGCTCGAGCTTGCCTGCCCCCGTCCGGTGCCGCGCAGCAGCCAAAGCAAACCTGCGCACTTTTTTCGCGTGCAGTCCCGCTCCGTCGTTAAACGCACTCCGCTAGACAAGTGGCTCTGCGATCTATCTTAGCTGAGTGATCAATAAGTACGCAAACCCAGAGCTGCAGGCACCCAGTGATGGCAGGAGCAGCTCCGAGCTGGGTACGACGGTATGACGCGTGCGACTCTCCGTCGCCAAGACGTTTCGCATTCCAGCACCTGTCTGACGACACACATATTTCCACATTCGCCTGTTTCCGGGGACCACCAGGAGCGCGCCGGTCCCGCGCGTGCTCCTGGGAGGGCCTGGCCAACCGCACGAGTGTCCGCCCGGTCGTTCCCGAGGGAAAATCGGCTGCCCGGAGAGGCTGCGGGCGTGTGGCATGGGCTGTGCGCGAGGACGTGCTGGAGGGCGCTGCCCGCCAGATCGTCGAGCTGCGCATGTTGTGTGTGCAACCACGTCGTCATGAACGCGTTCACCGCGCTCAGGGGTTGCTGCGGGGTGCGCACATTGCGCACCGAGTGATGCACCGTCTGTCGGAACGGTGCCCGGCAACCTCGATCACGGGCGGTATGACATAAGGTGGAAGTTTTACTTTTTCCGCTTTGTCGACAGCGCGGCGCTCTCAAGGGACACGTGAATGTTCGTTCGTTTGACTTCTCTAGCTCCAGTATACAAGTAGCCTTCGACAGCGCGATCCGCTCGCCATCGCTCTTCTTTGCACAAGTCTGCTCGCAATGCCCAACAAGGCCGCCCCGGGCGCCGAAATGGTCCCCGGGGCACGTGTCGTGATGGAGACAGCCGCAAAGTACGTCGTCGGGGACGGACAGAGCGGCATCGACCTCGTATTGGGCAACCCCGGCACCACAGAGCTGCATCTCACATCAGCCCTGGACCACGTCGACGGGCTCAGATCGACGCTCGTCCTCCACGAGACCGTCGCTGCTGGAGCAGGTGCGCGAGGCGCAAGACCTCGAACGCCAACGCCGCCGACGCGCGCGGATGCATGCTCACCCAGTGCAACACCCTCGGGCGGCTCGAACCATGCCGCCGCAACTCGCCGTTCACGGACCCGCGCTCTCCCGGTCGCAGCGGACGGATACGCTCGCATGCTCGGCAGGCCCGCGATGGTGCTGCTGCACCTCGGCCCGGGGTTGGCCAATGCAGCTAGCAACCTGCACAATGCCAAGCGCGCAAGATCGCCGGTCCTCGCGGTCGTCGGCGACATGGCCACCTGGCACGCCGACGCAGACGCGCCCCTCGCCTCCGACATCGAGGGCCTCGCCCGGACCTTCGCGGGGAGCGTCCGCACCGCGACGTCGCCCGCGAGCCTCGAGTCTGACACGCAGGTGGGCCGTCGGCGCGGCCCGCACTGCGCGCTTGATTGCGCAGTCTCCCGGTGCAGTGCTGACGATGCCGCGCTGCCTTGTCACGGGAGCTTCAGCGTGTGACGTCGTTGTCTGCAGGAGGCGATCCTGGCGACCCATGCGTCCGCCGACGCGGCCGAAAGCCCGACGGCGTCGTCCCGGGTGTCCGTGCTGATCGTGCCGCACGACCTCTCGTGGACGCAAGTCCCGCGCACCGTCGCGCAGGCGGCTCAGCACCGGCACGCTGCGCCGCGCGATGCGGGCCTGAACGGCTCGTTGAGCGACACGAGCCGCGCTGCGTTCGCGTCGTTCGCGAAGCAGCTCGCCGAGAAGCTTCGCCAGCACGGCAAGGGCCAGTCCGCGTTCTACCTCGGCGGGCGGGCGCTTGTCGACGGGCGATTCAGTCCCCCGGAAGGGCGGGGGGGTCTCCTGTTCGACATCGGGCGGTGCGCCGCTGCGGTCGGCGCCGCCGTCATCTGCGAGGTGCGCCCTCGCCTGTTCCAGCGATCGACAGCGCACTCTGCGCCTGAATCCGACGCAGCACCCGCTCACCTGCCGACACCCGCGGCCCATCACCGCCCCTGCAGAACTCGTTCGCCCGCGTCGATCGCGGCGCGGGCCGCCCCGCGCTCCAGCGGCTCCCGTACTTCCCGCAGGACGCCAAGGCCGAGCTCGACAAGTACGCCGTCGTGGTGCTGTTCGACGTGCGGCGCCCCGTTGCCATGTTCGGCTACGAGGGCGGTCCGAGCGAGCTGCTGCCCGACGCCGACGGCGACCGTGTCTGGGAGATCGATGACGACGGTCCCGGGCTCGACGCCTTCGTTGCCGCGCTCACCGCCGAGCTCGCGGCGGATGCAATCACGCCGGGGCGCAACTGCGGGGGGCTCTTCGCCGGAACGGCGATACCGCGCGTCCCGAAGGACGGCCAACTCGACGCGGCGTCGCTGTGCGCGGTCGTCGCGGCGCTGCAGCCCGAGGGGTGTATTGTGGTCGACGAGTCCCTGACGTCAGGTGCGGCGTACTGGGAGGCCAGCCGGCGGTGCAGCCCCTTCAGCCACCTCACGCTGACGGGTGGCAGCATCGGGTGCGGCCCGCCGCTGGCCGTCGGGGCAGCGCTTGCCTGTCCGCACCGGCCAGTGATCAACATCCAAGCCGACGGAAGCGCGATGTACTCCCTCCAGGCTCTCTGGACGCAGGTGCAGCGCGACGAACACCCCTTTCGCCGCCTCGAGGCCTGCACCTCCGCGCTGCGACCTGCCTCCGTCCGCTCGTCGCGCAGCGCCGTGCACGGACGTGCCGCCCGGCAACGGTGTGTTGCAGGCCAGAGAGAAGCTCCACGTGGTGACGGTGGTGTGCAACAACGCGCGGTACAACATCCTGAGGATCGAGATGGCGAAGCAGCGCATCGGCGCGCCGGGCCCCGCGTGCCGCGGCCTCCTGGACCTGGACTCCCCTGGGATCAATTTCGTCAGTCTGGCGCAGGGCATGGGCGTGCCCGCTGCGCGCGTCACGACCGTGGCCGAGCTCGCGAGCGAGCTCCGCGAAGGCCTTGCTGGCTCGGGCCCGCGCGTCATCGACGCGGTCCTTCCGTAGCGACACGCGCGCGCGCTGGTGTCTGCCGCCAAACATGACTGCGACGCAGAGAGCGCTGCGGCGAAGCTAGAAGTCGAGGCCCTGTGACCCGGGCTGCGCCTGATCATGCTCGCTCGCGCCGGCGAGGTTGCTCGGCTGCGTCCCCGACGCACCACCGCCAAAGAGCTTCTGCACCATCGCAGCGTACTCCGCCTGCAAGGCGAGGGGACAGGACCATCGCTGAGTACGTTGCACGGCATGGAACGTCCGTTTTCGCGTCGTTCCGGGCCGGCACGCGCCTGTTTGTCCATCGACGCGGTGACGGCTTTGAATTTGCCGCGCAGGTCGTCGAGGACGTCCGTGAGGGACTCGTCCGTCGGGTCGCCCACGGGGAACTTCGCGAGCAGGCCCTCCAGGGCCGCGATCCCGCGGGACGAGCGTGCGGGGAACGCGTTTGCGTCGGCGGCTTCCGCCTCGCGCCATGCCCTGACGCAGCCCAGGTAGAACCCCACCTCCTGGGCTATCTCGAAGCCCTTGTACACCCCGATCTCGCGGCCCTGCGCGGCAGGCAGCAGTGTGCGTGCGACGTCCGCAGGATGGTGTTGTACACGTTGCCTTGCACTTCGAAGCTCAGGGTCGCGGAGCGCTGGAACTGAACGCATGTCAGCACGGCGCATGATTGCTGATACATTTGGCGTTCGCTGTGCTGCCATTCGAGCTGGAGTGGCCCAGTGCGCGTCGCTCTCCGGGCGCAGTGCTGCTCACCTGTTGCAGACCTGAAATCCTGCCGTTCGCAACGCCTTCCCTGCGTCCCTCCTCGATGAGCGAGGCCTCCAGATCCACAAGCTCGAACGGGTCGTCCCGCTTTGGGGGCGACCGCGGTGGCTTCGTCAGCGCGCCGCAGTTGCACGCACCAGCCCAGACGTGGGCGCGGCGGCAGCTTCCGCGGGCCCTGTGCAGTCCAAGGGGACGCTGAAGCGCCTCAGGATCGAAGGGACGCTCGAATGGGCTGCGCGGCGTGACGTTGGGCACATCTCACCGCGCACGGAGCGCCCGCGCAACCACCTCAGCAGCGGAGCCTCCGCTCCTGCAGTCCGTCGCAGCTCGCATCACGGCGGGAGGCCGGCGAGCCGCGTCACTCGCACAGACCGCCAACGGAGATACCTCGCTACCCGCCAGCTGGCTTGCGGCGACGGCGGGCCACCGGGTCCTCCGTACGGTGGCAGAGAGGCACGGCAGCAGCAGGACGCAATGCACGTCCACGCGGGGCCTGTGCGCCGGTCCGGCGCGCTCGTTAGGCTGCCTCGACCGTCGAGAGTCGGGCCGGGGAGGCAGCGGTGTCGTGTGGCCGCGCGCAGGTGCCGGCTCGTGCAGGTGCAATGCACCGCGAATGGCCAGGAAGGGGTCCCTCCGTTGCCTGTCCGCAGACGCACGAGGTACGCGCGCGCGGCTCTGTGCTTCGCGTCCCGCCGCGGCGCGCTGAGAGTGGCGCACGCGCGACGTATGTGGGGGTCGCGGGGGGCGCCGACCACTGGCAGCAGTGATGGAATTCACTCAAAGCAGCGCCGTGCGGCCCCTGGACGGCCTTGCTGTTGCGGCGGCTTGCGTCTAGGCGCGGCTGAGTCGATTTGGATCTCGGCAAAGCCTTCTGTCGTCCTTGCCGTGCGTCGCCCGACGCGGTACCCGCGAGCTAAGTGCCATGGTGGCCAGGAGCTCACCGCTGGTGCGTCTCCGTTGCGCCGCAGGGCTGAGCTGGCGTGGGGGGCGCTCGATACGCTTGCGCTCGTGGGGGCCGCGGCAGGGGCGGGCGCTGCGGCGTACACCGGGAACGTCAAGTACGCCTACAGCTCCATCGCACTCCCCGTCGTGTCGCTGATCGCGTCCAGGTGAGATCGATGCCGCCCAACGCAAGCCAGCTGATTCATCTGCCGCGAAGTCGACTCCCAAAGGGTCGACAAAGACCGCGATGCGCATGTTCGTGTCGTCATGCACCGCCACGGGAACGTTCGAACAACAGTCGCATCGCGTGTTTGGACGACCTGCGCTGAGCGAGCACCGCCCGCCACGTCCGCTCTCAGGCAGCGCGAACGTATCCGGGAGGAGTCGAACCGCGCGGAGATGCAGCTGGCGATGGAGAGCGTGGCGCGCTCGGTGCGGGAGGAACAGGCCCGCGTGGTCGCGGCGGAGATGGCCCGCGCGGTCGCACAGATGCAGGCACGCGATTCCACGGCTACACACCCATCAGACACTCTGAAACCGGCGCGCGCAGTTCGAGAAGTTCGTATTTGCCGTCTCAAATATCACACCTGCGATTCGTGCGGCGCAGGAGGCGGTCGAGGCGCGCTCGCAGGACTACCTCCCCGCCGAGGCGCAGCTCCGGCGCCTCGAGGGCAAGGTCTCTGCGCTCGAGGGCTCCGTGGTGGCCACGGGGCGGCGCGCGCAGGATGCGGCGTCCGCGGCGTCGGAGGCCGCGGCGGAGGTGCGGAAGGGCCTGCGGGAGGAGATCGCGGTGGAGATTCAGGAGTCGCTGGAGCGGTCCGCGCGGGCGCTGGGCGAGGGGGTGTCGCGGGAGGTCAGGGAGGCCATGGCAGACAGAGGGGGGAGTTTCGCGCGCCTCGAGGGGGAGTTGGCGGAGCTGCGACGCGCGATCCGCCGGGCAGACGAGGGACAGTCCGAAGGCATCCGGCGGGTCGGGGTCTACCTGTCGGCGCTCGCCAGCGACGTCGAGGCGGCAGTGCGCGGCGCCATTCGCAGCGAGGGCGGCCTGGCGACGCAGGCGCTCCCGGGCGTCTCGGTGGACATCGACGGCACCGTCGGGTACGCCCATCCTCCCCAGCCGCCAACTCCCTGCGCTGCAAACGCGCAAAGTCACGTTCAAGCTCCGCGCTGCTTCTCGAATGTTGATCGTGCCTTTCCACGCGTGTTCGTCGCGCCGATCGACATCCAACTCCGCCCGCCCGCGACACGCAGGGCCTCGCCGCCGACCGCTGGGTTCGCGCTGACGACGGGCGACCTCAGCAACATCAAGCGGCTGGTGCGCAAAGAGGTGGAGTTCGGGGCGCAACGCATCGAGCAGGTGTCCGCGGACACCGTCGACGCGGCCGCCGAGTCCGCCGCGGCCGCCGCGCTCGCGTCCGCCGCCGCGGCGCCCGGCGAGGGGCAGTTCTCGGGCCTGAGTCAGGAGCAGTGGTCGGCGCTGAGCAGTCGGCTGGACGCCATCGAGGAGGCGATCGAGGCGCTGCCGGAGGCGGAGCGGGACGTGGTGCGCGAGGGCTTGGGGGGCGCGCTCGGCGCGCTCGACGCGGCGGCGGAGGGGATCGCGGAGGCGCGGGAGAGCGCGGGGTGGGGGGCGGACGACGGCGGGGGCGCGGACGTGGACGAGGACGAGGACGCTGGGGCGCGCTCCGGCGCCGACGACGGCGAGTACGTAGATATGGGCAGCGACGGGGGCGCGGGGGCGCGGCGGGGTCGTCAGGGGGCGTACGAGGGGGGAGTGATGGACGAGGGGCGGATGCTGGGGGACGGGCGGGACGCGGGGCGGTCCGTGGCGGAGTGGCTGGAGGCGGACGAGGAGGAGGCGCGGGAGGAGACTGCGAGCAGCCGGCTCGAGGCGGACCCGCGGTGGGAGGACCGGGAGTACTCGTGGGCGGAGCGGCGGGACCCGGGGGGTGTTGAAGGGTATGAGGCGGAGGCACGGGCGCCGAGCCGGGGGGCGTGGGACGGGGGTGTGGACCGCGAGCAGGGGTACGGCGACGAGGCGCGGGGGCCGAGGGAGATCAGATATGACGAGGACGGAGCGAGAGACTCCGTTGGAGGGTTGCGGGGAGATGGCGGCGAATACCGGGAGCGAGCTGCCGAGCGCTCGCCGCCCGCCGAAGACGAGGACGCCCGCTGGCGGCCGGAGGAGCCCGTGCCGAGGCGGGACCGGGAACCGCGCGAGGAGGAGCCGCCTTCGCGGCAGGCAGCAGCGGCGGCGGCGGCAGCGGTGGGGTCGGCGCGGCGCGCCGCGGACTCGGTTCGGGACCGCGTCCGCGTCGTCGAGTCGGGCATCTCCGGCATGGCGCGGGACCGGAACGCGGAGGCGCTGCTCTCGGAGGGTCTCGGTCTTCTGAAAGAGGGGCGCCGGCTGGCCAACTCCCGGGGGGGACTCTCGGAGGACCCCGGGGCCGCGGAGCTCGCGCTGCGGTGCGCGGCTGCGTGTCTGGAGGAGGCGTCGCGCATCGCGCCGTCGAACCGGGCCGCGGCGGGGAACTGGGGCAACGCGCTGTTGGCGCTGGGGCAGCTGAAGCTGCGCGTGGTGAGCGAGATGAGGGCGGGGGGGGACGTGGGCGCGGCGGCGGAGGAGGCGGCGCAGCGCGTGGAGGGCGAGGCCTGCGAGCTGCTCGTGCTCGCGGGGAGGCGCTTCAGGCGAGTGCTGTGCCTTGCTCTCACGGATTGGTGCGCTCTGCCTGCCTTGTGTGCGTTCATGAACACAATGCGTCAACAAGAGCAGCGACCGATCGTGTGCGTGCAGGCGCGTGCTGGAGCTCGCGGACGGCAGGGACGCGCGTGCGTTGTGCAACTGGGGCACCGCGCTGTGCCTGCGCGCCGCAGTGGCGACGGAGGTCGACCCGGGCAGCGCGATCCGGCTGCTCGAGGCGGCCGCGGAGAAGCTGCAGGCGTCGAGCGACGCGACGGGCCCCACAGCGAGTCCACAGGATGCTGCGCGACCCCTGCGGTTGCTCGGCACGACACTTCGGGACCTCGCCGCGCTCTACGCGGCATCGGACGATGCGGAGGAGGCCGTCGTGACGCTCGAGGACGCCGCGGGGTGCCTCGGCCGCGCGCTGGACATTGACGGCAGCGACGAGGCAGCGGCGCAGGCGCTGGAGGACTGCGACAGGATGCTGGAGGCGCTCGCATCGCGGAGCTGGTGAGGGAGGGCTGCGTAGGCAGGAGAGGAGGCGTGGCACGGCGCGCGGCGCGTCGCACCGCGAATCTGGCACTGTGTACTGAGAGAGGGACTCTGCAGAAGCAAATTATCGATCAACGAGTGATTCGAGCCTCACAATGCGATGTGCTCATCGAGTCAGGCTACGTGTACCAGCCGCTGTGTCGACCAGCGTCTGGAAACGGTGCAGGACTCGAGTCTGGCCTTGTGCGCTGTGGCACACAACACCCCCCGGGTGGGTCGTTACTGATAGTTCCCGAGCACTGCCTGCAGGCGCCGCTTCCCTGCGTCATTCAGGCGGCTTCGGACGCCCTCGACGAAGCGCGCAAACTCCTCCGTGCGATGCGGCTGCGGGACCAGGTCCTGTCCCACGCGCTCCCTAGTGATTGGCGACGTGAGCGGCAGTCCTCGTCCCCGGCAGGCGTTGAAGTGGCTCTCGATGCAGTTCCGCTCGTAGACACGCCCGTCGCTGGCTCGGACGGGGTCTTCGGGCACGAAGAGCGAGATCGGGCAGATGAAGTCCTTCACGTCGTTCTCAAACGCCCTCAAAATGTCGTCTTGTGACGTCAAGGTCGTGTCCCGCAGAGATCTCGGCGTGGTTGCGGCTAGGAGGTGCCGCAGGCGCTGGTGGATGTCCGCCACTTCGGGGCGTTGGCTCGCCACAGGGTCAGAGCACTTCAGCCCGAGCTCTGCCAGCATTGTGGCGACCTCGACGCATTGGTGCCCGCCCCAGTCGCCGGCAGAATGGTCGAGCAACTCAAAGAGGCCTGAACGCAGTCCACCTCCTGACTGTTGCCCCGTCAGCGCGTCGGACACCACATCACGAATGTGCTTTCCGTTGAACACAGCGCCGCGCTCCCTGTCAGCCCCGGGGGACCCCGCCTGCGATCCGCACGCGCGCACAAATGCGGTTCGGTCGAGCGGCGGCGTGCATCCATCATGCACTCGGCATCTTCATGGACAACAGAGCACGTGTGTTGGAAAAAACACATGCCGTCATGCAGCTGCTCGTCTCGCGTCGCAGGTCCTCGCACCTTGTTCGTGAGCATCTCCAGGATGATGACGCCCAGGGAGTACACGTCCAGGTGCGTATCCATCGGGCTGCATGCTCCGAGGCGCACATACTCAGGGTCGGCATAGCCCACTGTGCCCTTCGGCCCCTCAAAGATCGACCCCTGGTTGATCCTCGCGCATCCTAGATCAGCAACCACGGCGTCAAGGTTGTCCGTCAGCAGAATGTTCGCCGGCTTCAAGTCCCTGCACATCGGTCGCGCAGCACACACACGATGTTCCTTCGACGCCCAACCCGGGATGCGGTCACCCAACGAGATCGCACGAGATGCCTCACTTGCGACGCAGCAGGTCCGTGGTTCTTACCTGTGGATGACTGGGTCGTCAGGGCGGTCCGAGTGCATGCTCAGCACCGCGCTCGAGATATCCGCGAGAATGCGCACCCTCGTGCGCCATGGCAGGGGATCGTTCCCGAACGCCGAGTCGTGCAGTGCCTGCCGGAGACTGCCCTTGGCGTAGAATGGGCTGACGATCGCGCACTCCTCATCGAACGACGCGTACATGGCCAGGATGTGTGGGTGCCGCAGACGCTGCAGGGCCTCCACCTCCTTCTTGTACGCGGCCGGATCCGGCTGTCCTTGCAGGTCGGTGATGCACTTGACCGCAACATCCCTCCCCCGAACCTTGCCCTTGTACACGGTGCCATAAGACCCTGACCCAACCACCTGTCTTCCCGCGACGATCTTTCGCACGTCGGACCTCGTGACGTTGACCGTCGCGCCGGGGTTGTTGCTTCTGAGGGTCACCCACATGTTTTCGCGCAGCGTGCCTTGCACTTGTGGGCCCTGCCCAGGGCTGCGGGCCCGCGAACGTGTCCGCAGTGTTTCGAACTCGACTGTCAAGCTCCGCAACGCATTTCCTGGCTCGAGCCTCAGTTCAGATTCGGCGGACCGCCGCCTCCTCCTCACGATGACGAAACCGACCGCCCCCACAACAATCAGCACAACGCCGCCGACCGCCCCCGCAGCCGCGACTATCACCATTCCACTCGACCCTGACGACCCCGACGACCCCGACGGAGGTGAAGCCGCTGAACCAGACGTCCCAGACCCAGCAGGCTCGACACCTGACATCGACAGCTCCTGCACGGCAGCAACGCGCCCTGTGCTACTCGAAAGTACTGCCTCGAGCTCCGCTTGTGACGACATGATACTGGAAGACGCGCTCGATCGCGTCGATGCAGCAGAGCTCTCACGCTGCGCCTCGAAAGTCGCAACGATCGCGTATGTAGCAGCCTGCAGGATGCGGCGTCGCCGTCCGACAAGGGTCACCGAGACTGACACGGAGACGTCACTAGGGACGTTCATCATGACCCGTAGAGCTGCCTCGACACTTCCAAGAGAGTCCTGTGGAAGAGGTTCCTGCGTTAATGGTCGCACTCATTGAGGGCTTGGCATGTACGCCTGGTTCGGATCCCCAACGCAAGTTGCGGACATATCCAGGGCGTATTTAGGGGCCATATCGCACAGGCGTTATTGACTTACCGAGAACTGGACGAGCATCGTCAGGCTGAAGACGAACGCAGGAGGTGCATTCGTCGCGACGGAAGTGATCTGCCCTCCTGGCGCCGCCGCACCAGTCTGCACCGGGCCCTGCGCCGGGCCCTGCGGCGGCTGCGCGGTCAGCTGCGGTTGCGTCGGCGAGGGCACCGCCGTCGCGACGGGCGTGATCTGCCCTCCTGGCGCCGCCGCACCAGTCTGCACCGGGCCCTGCGCCGGCCCCTGCGGCGGCTGAGTGGTCAGCTGCGGTTGCGTCGGCGAAGAATTGGCTGCGGACGCGCCAGGCGTGGTCTGCCCTCCTGCCGCCGCCGCCGCAGCAGTCTGCGCCGGGCCCTGCGGCGGCTGAGTGGTCAGCTGCGGTTGCGTCGGCGAAGAAGAGGCTGCGGACGCGCCAGGCGTGGTCTGCCCTCCTGGCGCCGCCGCACCAGTCTGCACCGGGCCCTGCGGCGGCTGAGTGGTCAGCTGCGGTTGCGTCGGCGAAGGCGCCGCCGTCGCGCCAGGCGTGGTCTGCCCTCCTGGCGCCGCCGCACCAGTCTGCGCCGGGCTCTGCGGCGGCTGAGTGGTCAGCTGCGGTTGCGTCGGCGAAGAAGAGGCTGCGGACGCGCCAGGCGTGGTCTGCCCTCCTGGCGCCGCCGCACCAGTCTGCACCGGGCCCTGCGGCGGCTGAGTGGTCAGCTGCGGTTGCGTCGGCGAAGGCGCCGCCGTCGCGCCAGGCGTGGTCTGCCCTCCTGGCGCCGCCGCACCAGTCTGCGCCGGGCTCTGCGGTGGCTGCGTGGTTTGAGCTGTTGCAGGCTGCGCAACGCACGCGTCGCCCACACCGTCGCCGTCGGTGTCCGTCTGGTTCGCGTTCGCGACACCAACGCAGTTGTCGATCCAGTTCACCACACCGTCACCATCATCGTCCCCGCAGGCACCAGGCAGCTCCGAGCTGCTGCCGGAGAAGGCGCTCGGACAGTAGTTGCCGCGCGACAACGTCCCTTTGAGATCGACGACATACACCGACCCCGACTCGCTGCCCCTGTCGTCGTCGGCGAACGCGCCCACCACAGCGGTTGCGCCGCTCACTGCCACCGCCCGGCCGAAGTTGTCGAACGACGTCCCGTCGCTTGCCACTTGCTTGGCCGCCTCTGCCCACGACCCGTTCGACGCCCGCTCGTACACGTACGCTGACCCTGAGTCACTGCCCCTGTCGTCGTCCAAGTACGCGCCCACCACCACCACGTCGCCGCTCACCGCCACCGCCCGGCCGAAGTAGTCAAACCCCGCCCCGTCGTTCGCCACCAGCTTCGCCGCCTCCGCCCACGACCCGTCCGATGCGCGCTCGTACACATACGCTGACCCGGAGTCGCTGCCCCTGTCGTTGTCGCCGGACGCCCCCACCACCACCACGTTGCCGCTCACCGCCACCGCCCGGCCGAACTCGTCACCCCACGCCCCGTCGCTCGCCACGAGCTTCGCCGTCTGCACCCACGACCCGTCCGATGCGCGCTCGTACACATACGCCGACCCCGAGCTGCTGCCCCTGTCGTCATACACGCCCACCACCGCCACGTCGCCGCTCACCGCCACCGCCCGCCGAAGTAGTCACCCGACGCCCCGTCGCTCGCCACCAGCTTCGCCGCCCGCACCCACGCCCCCTCTGACACCTGCTCGTACACACGCTGACCCTGAGTCACTGCCCCTGTCGTCGTCGTAGTACGCCCCACCACCACACGTCGCCGCTCACCGCCACCGCATACCGAACCAGTCGTTCGCGCCCCGTCGCTCGCCACAGCTTCGCCGCCTCCGCCCACGACCCGCCCGACGCCCGCTCGTACACATACGCCGACCCCGAGCGCTGCCCCTGTCGTCGTCGCCGTACGCGCCCACCACCGCCACGTCGCCGCTCACCGCCACCGCCCGGCCGAAGAAGTCACCCGACGCCCCGTCGCTCGCCACCAGCTTCGCCGCCTCTGCCCACGACCCGTTCGACCCTCGCTCGTACACGTACGCAGACCCCGAGAAGCTGCCCCTGTCGTCGTCCCAGACCGCGCCCACCACCGCCACGTCGCCGCTCACCGCCACCGCCCGGCCGAACCGATCGTCCCTCGCCCCGTCGCTCGCCGTGAGTTTCGTCTCACGCGCTTTTTGAGAGGCCTCCTGCGCGTCCGGAATTCCATCGCCGTCGGCATCGTCGTCGCACGCGTCGCCCGCTCCGTCGCCGTCGGTGTCCGTCTGGTCCGCGTTCGCCACCAGCGGGCAGTTGTCCTGCGTGTCCGCCACGCCGTCGCCGTCGTCGTCATCGTCGCACGCGTCGCCCGCTCCGTCGCCGTCGGTGTCCGCCTGGTCCGCGTTCGCCACCAGCGGGCAGTTGTCCTGCGCGTCCAGCACGCCGTCCCCGTCGTCGTCGTCGTCGCACGCATCGCCCACCCCGTCGCTGTCGGTGTCAGTCTGGTACGCGTTCGCCACAACCACGCAGTTGTCCTGCGCGTCCAGCACGCCGTCCCCGTCGTCGTCGTCGTCGCACGCATCGCCCACCCCGTCGCTGTCGGTGTCTGTCTGGTCCGCGTTCGCCACCAGCGGGCAGTTGTCCTGCGTGTCCAGCACGCCGTCGCCGTCGTCGTCGTCGCACGCGTCGCCCACTCCGTCGCCGTCGGTGTCCGTCTGGTTCGCGTTCGCCACCAGCGGACAGTTGTCAGCACCGACCAGCACGCCGTCGCCGTCTCCGTCGTTGCACGCGTCGCCCACACCGTCGCCGTCGGTGTCCGTCTGGTTCGCGTTCGCGACACCAACGCAGTTGTCGATCCAGTTCACCACACCGTCACCATCATCGTCCCCGCAGGCACCAGGCAGCTCCGAGCTACTGCCGGAGAAAGCGCTCGGACAGTAGTTGCCGCGCGACAACGTCCCTTTGAGATCGACAACATACGCCGACCCCGAGTTGCTGCCCCTGTCGTCGTCCCAGTGAGCGCCCACCACAGCAGTTGCGCCGCTCACTGCCACCGCCCAGCCGAAGAAGTCACCCGACGCCCCGTCGCTCGCCACTTGCTTGGCCGCCTCCGCCCACGACCCGTCCGACCCCCGCACGTACACATACGCCGACCCCGACCCGCTGCCCCTGTCGTCGTCGTCGTCCGCGCCCACCACCACCACGTCGCCGCTCACCGCCACAGCAACGCCGAAGTGGTCAAACGACGCCCCGTCGCTCGCCACCAGTTTCGCCGCCTCCGCCCACGACCCGTTCGACGCCCGCTCGTACACATACGCCGACCCCGACTCGCTGCCCATCATGTTGTCGTCCCAGTAAGCGCCCACCACAGCAGTTGCGCCGCTCACCGCCACAGCAACGCCGAAGTAGTCGCCCGACGCCCCGTCGCTCGCCACCAGCTTTACCACCTCCGCCCACGCCCCGTCCGACCCCCGCTCGTACACGTACGCCGACCCCGAGTTGGTGCCCCTGTCGTCGTCTAAATACGCGCCCACCACCGCCACGTCGCCGCTCACCGCCACCGCCCGGCCGAAGAAGTCACCCGACGCCCCGTCGCTCGCCACGAGCTTCGCCGCCTCTGCCCACGACCCGTTCGACCCCGCTCGTACACGCACGCCGACCCTGTGTCCCTGCCCCTGTCGTCGTCGCCCCACGCGCCCACCACCGCCACGTCGCCGCTCACCGCCACCGCCCGGCCGAAGTAGTCGGCCGCCGCCCCGTCGCTCGCCACCAGCTTCGCCGCCTCCGCCCACGACCCGTCCGACCCCCGCTCATACACGTATGCCGACCCCGACCTGCTGCCCCTGTCGTTGTCGCCATACGCGCCCACCACCACCACGTCGCCGCTCACCGCCACCGCCCTGCCGAAGTAGTCGTCCGACGCCCCGTCGGCCGCAACCAGCTTCGCCGCCCGCACCCAAGCCCCCTCCGACACACGCTCGTACACATACGCCGACCCCGAGTACGCGCCCACCACCGCCACGTCGCCGCTCACCGCCACCGCCCGGCCGAACCGATCGTCCGCCGCCCCGTCGCTCGCCGTGAGTTTCGTCTCACGCGCTTTTTGAGAGGCCTCCTGCGCGTCCGGAATCCCGTCACCGTCGGCATCGTCGTCGCACGCGTCGCCCGCTCCGTCGCCGTCGGTGTCCGTCTGGTCCGCGTTCGCCGCCAGCGGGCAGTTGTCGTCGACATCCAGCACGCCGTCGCCGTCGTCGTCGTCGTCGCATGCATCGCCCGCTCCGTCGCCGTCGGTGTCCGTCTGGTCCGCGTTCGCCACCAGCGGGCAGTTGTCCTGCGTGTCCAGCACGCCGTCCCCGTCGTCGTCGTCGTCGCACGCGTCCCCGGCTCGATCGCTGTCGGTGTCCGTCTGGTCCGCGTTCGCCACCAGCGGACAGTTGTCCGCACCGACCAGCACGCCGTCGCCGTCTTCATCGTTGCACGCGTCGCCCACTCCGTCGCCGTCGGTGTCCGTCTGGTTCGCGTTCGCCACCAGCGGGCAGTTGTCAGCACCGACCAGCACGCCGTCGCCGTCTCCATCGTTGCACGCGTCGCCCACTCCGTCGCCGTCGGTGTCCGTCTGGTTCGCGTTCGCGACACCAACGCAGTTGTCGATCCAGTTCACCACACCGTCACCATCGTCGTCCCCGCAGGCACCAGGCAGCTCCGAGCTGCCGCCGGAGAAGGCGCTCGGACAGTAGTTGCCGCGCGACAACGTCCCTTTGAGATCGACGACATACGCCGACCCCGAGTTGCTGCCCCTGTCGTCGTCGGCGAACGCGCCCACCACAGCGGTTGCGCCGCTCACCGCCACCGCCCGGCCGAAGTTGTCGAACGACGTCCC